GGGGTTAGAGGGTGGGAGGGGGTTGTTAGGGTATGTTTTTTTTTGGTTTTCTTCTCTTTTTTTGTTTTTTGGAGCTTGGATTCACCTTTTTTTCTTTTTTCACTGATTTTGAGTCAGGTGAAGGGGGATGGAGAGAGTGGGTTTTGGCTAATACGACCACAGAGGTTGAGATACAAGGATATGCAACTTCTTGAACGAGAGGAGATTCCTGAGTCGGCTCTTGTGCGGCTGGGCATTAGAGAGGGTGATGTACTGGAGATTGAAGAGATTAAAGAGTTTGGACGGTTGTTGGAGAGGGATTCGGGGTTGTTTGGATGGTGGAGGAGGGGGATGGGGTTTATGAGGGATTGAGTATTGAGTATTGAGTTTGGATGTTGAGTTGATTGAGGGTTCAGTTTTCGAAAGGGTAGGTTGGTGATGGAGGTTTTTGGGATGGGTGTTGTTGAGGGTGGATTTGCTAGCTCTTTTGGGGTCCTTGGGGACGGTTGGCGATTTCGAGTCCGTAATCAATGGAAGCAGAAGATGAGAAGGCAGCCCTTGGCTAATCAAGTCAAGGTGATGAGAAAGATTGGTTTGGATGGGGATTATTGTGTTAGATACAGGTGTGTTGCCTTTCATGAACCCATACGAAAAGCCCTCTGCTGATATCCGCTGAATAGATCTAGGCATTGAACGAGTGGTGGAAGAACCGTAGAACAAGCTCAACTTGTTCTAGGGTGGTGCTTATACAATTGAATGTAAAGCCTGGATATTTGAGTCAATTGACGAGCAGTCTCAGAGGAGCATGCTTGTGCTATCTTGGTTATTTGAGCACCATTGGAAAGATAATACACAAAGTATACAGGAGACACAAAAGCTCTTGGGCGCCTTAGAAGAAAAGCCCATTTGAGGAAACTCAAGAGAACCTTGAGCTAGATTGGGTCAATTGAGACGTACTGAATTCATTCATTTCTAATCGTTCACAAAACCGTTGAGCTGATTGAATCTTCTGGAAATATAATACTCTTTGGTCAAGTGTTCGTAAAGTGATGGCCACAATGAACACAATGCTTATCAGATACCTGGTCAAACCCATACATGGTTCATATGTGCAGCCATCAGCAGTCTCAATGAATGAGCTAATTGACCTACACAAAGTCAAACTTTCGCCATTTCAAGGTGGTCTTTCTGGTCAACTTCCTTGTCTCATTCTTGACAGGCTTGGCTTATTAGACTGACTCTTTTCACATTCACCTCTACTTGTTTTCAATCCACCAGTGGGCTTTGTAGTTCAACTGAATTACAAGAGCCCACAGATTTTATGAAAATCAATGCTACAGTATCTAATGGTAAGATACCCTTTGAGGTCCGTTAGTTATCGCTATTTCAACACACAAAGATCTTTGTACAGCCCAGGCTTCCTAGCTTAGCTATATTGGTTGTTTTTTACAGAAAACAAAAGTGAAGTTTGGATGAGAAACTCACCTTCAAGCAAGAGTTTCACAACCAAGTCCCATCAGAACATCCACTTTCATTTCGAAAGCGGCACTACCTTGATCAGACCTTACATCTTCGACACACGGCACTGTCCTCACCTTCGCCAACACCCAGCTTTAGCTTTAGCTCTCATCTGATGTTTGAATCTTTCCCCCTCCTTCCACTTTCTACCTTCCAACTCTTTTACAACTTGATCAGTTACACAACATTCCAGCTTCAATCCTCTTTATCCCCGTTCTCGCCTTTCTCAAGTTACTCGCTCTTCCCTTCTACCTCTTGTTATCCGATTAAAGCAATTCAGCTTTGAACCGATCCTTTCGCGTTATCTCAACCCTTGGTTCCAACTCCAACATCACGATCTTCTTGTTCCTACCCGTGTCCCCACACTCGCAACTTACAACAATTCGACGTTAGCCTTGTCGATCTTGCAAGTTGGAAGATTTGAAGATATCCCATGCGCAGACTTTAGCTTCAACTGAACTCTTTCTTCATCGACAACCTTTCTGATTGTTCTAACCTACCACCCTTCGAGCCCCACTTCATTACAACTCTCAATTACGGACCAAGTTGTTTTCTGGACACTGCCCTTTACTTATAACTTCTACCAAGGAAACGTCTTACCTACTTCCCCGCTTTCACTTGGAAGCTTGAGGGGTGGAAGTAAGATTTTCAGTTTATGTCATATCTTCACCAGCTTTCAGCCTCAGTCTCACCATCACCTTATTCCACAACTATCTTTTCCTGGTTTTCATTTCAATTCTTGCATGTCTTGAAATTGCAGAATCATACCATCACTTCCGATAGAAACACTCAAGCTCAATCAACGTCATCATCTTACAGTAACGCTGCATTCTCTTCACTTTCATCTTTTGTTCGCAATGATTTGATTTTCAAGTCTACATCAAGGCAAAATGGCACGAAGAAGAGACCAAGGTGGTGGTGGTGGTGGTGGTGGTTCTCCAAGTTCCGATGATTCAGAATCAAGGTATTTTCAAGTCTCCTATGTAATTGAGAAGGGCTGACATGTACAATCACAACAGCAACAACAACAGGAGAAAATGTCAGAGATGGTTGCATGCCGGAGTTACTCGAGACCCAAAGGGAAACAGAGTGCAAATGTGGTTTGGTTTTACCCACTCTCGCTACCAAGATGCCACGGACGCAAGGAGTGGAGAACACGGTTGGCATATCCATTATGCTGTGAGTAGAAATGGAGAGCTTTCAGGAAATAAGGGTGTAGGACAAATCCAGCGGAACCTGATAACCTTCAACGATCATATCGCCTCACAATGGAGCAGATATCTTACCAGAAACGGACAATGGAGATATAAAAAGGCTACCAAAGGACGCGAAAAACAGTACGCTAAAGCTCTGGAAGAACGAAAATTACCGCGATCCTTACCCTAATGAGAATCATGATCTTCGCGTTGGACCGTCATTAAACGTAATCCACCCAGAAGGTGGCGTTCACGATAACCCGCCGTATCACGCATTTGACCCGACTGTCAGATGCTACCCGAACAGTCGTATTCCGTTGAGCCCACTACACATCAAATTCGATTCTTTTACAGAGTGGAATGCGTCTGCTTTTACTGTGATTCGAGAGTTCCTACGTGGTAGGATGGCAATGGCCGCTGGCCAGGCTAACATACCCGGTTTTGAAGCACTTCAAGTGGACAGAATCGAATCGGCTTTCTTTTATTGTGGATGGCGTGTAGATTGGCGAGCAGTAAAGAAGGCCAACAAGCATGTTAGAGAGAACCGTGTGAGATTTGCCAATAAATCTCGTTCTTGGAGAAGACACCGCCCTATCAAAATTGATCCGGAGCAACCACATTGCAACGCTGTTGAAGCATATATGAACGATTTGAGAGATAATCACCACGAGCCACACAATTATGGCGGAGATGATAGCTCGGATGATGACGACTCTCATTCTCCAAATGGCGGCCCTCGTCCTCCCAATGTTGGCCAAAATGGTGGTCAAAATGGTGGAGCAAACGACTCGGATTCCAGCGACTCTAGTAGCGATAATGAAGCCCCACGTCCATCAAGAGCCAAACGACCACAAAAAGGCAAAGCCTCCACTGCCAGAGCTGCAACTGCTAAAGCGGCCACTACTAAAACTGCTTCTGGAGCGAAGAAAGCAAAAGGCAGCGGCAAGAATGGTGAAAATAGCAAGAAACCCACGGGAACCGCCAAAGCCAAAGAAAATGCAAAAGGAAAGGGCAAATCAAAAGTGCAAGGAAAGGGTCGCGCGAAAGAAGCATACAAGTCATCTGAAAGAGTTGTGAGTCCATTTCCTTCTTTCGCTAAGGTCACGTGATGGATTGATTTCATTCCATTGTTTGAAAGACTCTGCAACAACTGAATTCGTTAGTCGAGGTGTTTGAGATAATTGAGGTGAAAAGTCTATGATTATCGTACACTATCTTGAGCAATACTTACCGTACCCGAAGACTTCATAACTAACCAATTAATACAGGTTGACCTTTCATCTGATCCTGATTCTGACTATGATTCTGGCTCGGATTCTGACACCGACGAAGACCATCTCTCAAGTTATGATGAGAATGACGATGATGACAACCACTTCCTAATTCTTGATGATTCAAGCGAGGATGATGCCGATGACGAGGACGAAAATTCCACCGAAATTATAGAGAATAATGTCCGCAATAAAGTTGGAGGTTATTTACAACAGGCGCAGCAACCAAGAATACCAACTGCAGATGACGAGGCACTATTTGTTTCTAGTGATAGCGACCAAAGCGACCTTCTTTTTATTGAAATTCGGCCTGTCCAATCTAATAAGCTAGGGGGCTCACGGGTGAATTCTCTGAAAGACATGCATTTCGAACAAGTGAGATCGGCACCTCCAGTCAAGGCAGAGAGATCCAATTCACAGCCAGGCTCACCAAACAATGAGAACAATCAGGAGCGTCAGTCCCCTACAGCCAGCTCAGCTGTCATTAAAAAATCAACATCCGAAATAGGAAGCGATGAGGCCCAGTGTGGGACTTCTGAAAGTTCTGGCTTTCAAGGTGCAATCACAGATATACTGAGCACATTTGAATCCTCTGAGTCACAGCAAGATCCAGAGCCACAGCAAGATCCAGAGCCCCAGCCAGGACCACAGCCAGGACCACAAGCTCAACAACAACTGGAATCACATACAGAAGATAGAACCTCAAATCTACGTCAACCTCGAACTACGTCACCAGAAAGATCTGTAACACAAACCACTGCTTCTCAAAGAAGCGGCAACTCTGAACCCCGATCATTCGGTTCCTACCTAACCAGAACTCCATTTCGTGCGCCTGGCGCGCCTTCTCCTTCGCCTATTCGGGCAAACGCTCCTTCCATTCCGGTAGAGCAAACGGTAGGACAAACTTTGTCACAACCAAGTTCACCAATCCAAAGTCCAGTACGAAAGAGGATGAACGTGGAGATGGATGACGCCGAAGAAACCGCGGAGCCCCAATCTCCAAGTAAAAAGGCCAGAGGGGATGTGAAAGAGGAGCCTATTTATATTAAGGATGAGATTAATGGAGAGCTTATTGATCTGCTTTCAGATAGCGAGCATGAGGATGAAGACGATGAGGATAAAGACGACGAGGATAAAGACGATGGGGTTGAAGACGATGAAGACGACAACGTATGTTATTGGTCCCGAAAGAAACATAAAATACATCGGCTAACTTGGATTTGTAGATGGTTCTCGATCTCGATATTGAGGGAGAAGGCACTCAGCAAGACCCTTTCCTTCTCGACTAGCTGCTGGCAAACCGCTTCTTTTCAATCATATGATTCAACAATACTTCCTATGGCCGGACAAAAACAACAAATGACTCGTTCTTTCTTCTTTTCTTTCATGAATTCAATCAAGCAAGCCGTTAATTAACATTTGTGGGGAATTTGGGGGATATTGCAGGGAATTTATTTGGGAATGGGGGGATGACGTGTATTTACAGGAGTTTAGCTCAGCTGATATGGAGGCCTCTGCTTTGATAGTTGGTTCTTCTTCAAATAGCGTTAATTTACAATGATTCACATTCCACTACTTTCCTTAACGCAGGTGAAAACATATTCAAAGGGAATGTAAGAGAGGTGGCTAATACTCTGAACATACCCACCTAGTTGGATTGAGACCACATTTTTCATATTCCAAGGGTCTCGTACAAGTAAAAGTGTTATGCTTGACATCCGGAATAATAGTACGTAATATTTCTTGATTAACATGTGCCTGAACGATCAAATTGATTTTCTAGGATTTCTAGTACAATGTATCTTTAAGATATATTTAGAGTAATAGACCGGTCTCTTATTAGCTTTCGTAGTAGTAATTATTACAACTCAACTTAGTACCGAGTAAAAGTTACGATTGCCACTTTGAACATCTCTAGGTTAGAATAATGTTATTCTAAAAGCCTCGTATAACGAAAATAGTAATACGACAGAACCTAGATCAAATGTGTGGGTATCGTGTTAATTTACTATCCACTAAGCTATCATTTCCCGAACGACACTCTAGACTTGCTTAACTAGCTACAAAGTGACCTTACCTTCCTTGTACCAGCTATCCATTCCCTCCCTTTTCCGCTTCCTAAGTGCCTGTCTTGAAAAGTATACTCTCGTTCGAGTCGTTGCTGGCAATGCGAGGTTTGAAGTGTCTGTAGTTGCGACCAGCCCGTAAATGCTATTATACAATTTTACTTTGAACATCTAGCTGATCAGATGCTTACTTGTGAATCAAAACAGCCTCTGAACCGACCGAAGCCGATTTTGGTCTCTGAATTCCACCATTCTAGATTACCATAATCTAAACAAAACTAACAATTTTGCCTTCAATCTTGATATCCCTATAATGCATGCACCTAGAATTCGTCAAGCAGTCCGCGTGAAAAACCAAGCCTTTCCCATCATCGGTAGCTTGTGCTCCACCTGGATTTACCAGACCCCAAGAATTGCCTGGTAGAAGCAAGGCCGGTGCAGCCTTAGTATAAGGCCCCTTGATTGATGTCGCTGTTGCATAGCTGATATCATAAAGCCCGGAGTTATAACAGTTACTGCTGAAAAACATGATATATATGCCATTGACTTTGATGAGATTCGGTGCTTCGATGAGAGGTCCGTCGCCAGGTCCTTTATCAAGGATTTTAATTGGCTCTCCGATCTTCGTAATGCCATCTCCTGCCATTTCTTGGAGCATCAAGGGTGTTGCTTGAGGTCCTTTATTTGGGTTTCCACAGAGCCCGTTTCCATCAATTTTATAGACCACGTATCTTTTTCCATCCGTATCCGTAAAACCAGAAATGTCAATCGCTCCACCAGCGACGAGAGAACAGTCGATGGGCTCAGATTGTGCCGTATAAGGGCCCAGAACATTATCTGCAATTGCGCTTCCCACGCAGTGTTTGGTGACATCTGCTTTCGTTTGAGCAGCGTAGTAGAGGACGTATTTTGAGCCAATCTTTCGAACATCTGGAGCCCAGACAGCATTCCCCGTTGACCAGGCTCCTGGATTTGGCAGCAGATCTCTGTTCAGTAGATTCCATGGTCCACCCCAGCCGTTAGAGCTTTGTGCGACTTGAACCTTATGGCCGTTTCCTTCTGTGGCAAAGGCCAAAAAAGCACCGCTTGCAGTTCCGACATCGCAAATCACTGCAGGGTCTGGGAAGTTTGTTTTGAGTACTGGTTGAAGAGCTCGTTTGTCAAGGTCTCTTTCAGTAACTGGTGAACTGGTGACTGCTCGAGCGAATAGAAGCGCGATAGATAGAAATTTGAAAGGCATTCTGAAGGCATGTATGAAAGTAGCTCGGAGACAGCAAAAAGTGTATTTGTGACCTGAGTTGGAGGACCCAGGTCATTTATAAATACTTTTAATGAAGGCAGCAAAGCCCATAAAATATGTCTAAAAACAATTGAGCTCATCTAGGACTGTAAGACGTCGTACTAGTTTGACGTCACAATACATAGCAAGCGTGAGATGTTCGTTGAGGAGGCTTAGTCTTACCTAATTGTGATGTTATTGTGCAGCGAATTAGAAGGATCCCCTGGTAAGAATATGCGTTGGTTGCCTCATTCGAACGTGAACCTCTTTCTGCGAGTCACTAGATGGTGGATCTTTATAAGCGGGTTAACAGGGTCTAATTGATTCATGTCTGTGCATTAGGAAGGATCTAAATCTCGTTAAGAGTTAAGGGGGCTGAGGGTCTCCATCGGGCTACCAGTACGCCGCTACAGCACAATATTTAGCCCCCAAGTACGAACTATCTCGTATTGCCATCATGTTATTTTTGGAAGAAATTACCCCAAAGAAACTCACCGTTTTTCGGGAAACGCCCAATGAGATTTTGTTTGAAATAGTTGTTACGCATACAAACTGTAGTTCTTCCGCCACTCACCGAGATCATCTCAGATTCTTGGTACGTGAGTTCTACATAACATCCTGCGTTTCTTGCAAATATATTTTTGAGGATCAAATCAAATCAACCAAAAACCAAAGGATTGATCAAATCATCAGGTCCCGGTGGTTGACAAATACCGATCACGTGTAGAGACAGATCATGTGACCGGAATTCTAATGAATGGATGGATTCTTATTCCAGTTGAAGATCCTCGCCATTTCACCAACAGTATAATGTTATTAAATTCACTTCGGATTTTGGGCATTAATCGTTTTTTTGCTTCTGCCGCCCTCTTGTTGTAGCTCGGCGCTGGGTCACCCTCGCTTACAAATCTACCTTCAAAAATTATTTCCAAATTTGTGTCGAGTCATCCATAACCACACCAAAATGTCGCAAACCTCCATTCTTGACGGGAAGTCCCTCGATAGCCTCATTCTGGATTTTGGTTGCCTCAAGGATATTCCAGAGCTCTCTTCTCCCATCAAATCGTTCCTCGATGGCGATTACAAAAAGGTGCTCGAGAGCCCCGCATCGCAAAGCCTCTTTGAGAAGTTTGCACAGACTGTCGGACTCTCAAGAGAACGGCAAGATGCAGCCATTCAAGACGGAACACTCAGCAGTGAAGCCGACGCAGTCTTGGTCCTGATCGCGGGTCTGGCTGCATTCAATGCGTTTCTGCAAATAAATGTCACGGGACCACCGTTGGACATGAAAAATGTCTTTGGCAAGAGAGACCAGGCATTTCGAGACCAGTGTCTTAAGAGCTTAGAGCTGGACGGGATTTCCGTGTATCAACACATCCCTTCCCTCGAGCTTTTTTGCTTTGCTCGAATGGTCTTCAATTTTTGTTTCCCAAGGATTATTCAGGGCAGCTTTATCGACTCGAAATGGATGCGCATCAGGATCAATTCATATCACCAGCGGTTACTGACCGGGGTTTCATTTAGTCGCGTTCTGGAGACCAATGCGCTACAGGAAGTCATTGAGAAAGACTTGAAGGAGCTTGAAGATGAGCTTTTTGCCCCCGCTTCAATCTTCTCGACTGAGGCCAAGGTCCAGTTCCTTTTAGAAAAAGCGCAGATTCATATCATGCAAGGCCTCGATATCAAAGCAATGGAAGACTTGAAAAAGGCGGAAACGACTTCGGAGTTCAACTATGCTCTCTCTGGAGCCTTAGGAAAAAGAACAAAGTTCCAGCAAAACGATATCTCTCAGTTGGTTGTATTTGCTAAAAGTAAGGAGGATAGTGGCGAGTCGTTGAATGGAATATCGAAGGCAGTGAAGGAGACCAGCTTGTCAAATGAAGATGGAAATGTGCCCAAGGCATTGCAGCTGAACGACGACACACTGCTTGAATCCATTGATTATGCCAAACCCACATCCAATAGAGTGGATAATCTGCCACCTTCATTGGCTGGTATGCTGCCTGACCAGCAACCACAACTCAAACCATTGGACCAAATCACTCTCCTTGCGGAAGCTACTCTGAAAGATAACTTTCTACCCCCTGACAAATTGAACAGCGAAGAAGTCCTTCCCTACGCCGTTCGTGTACTCTCTGATAAGCCAACCAATTGGCAAATCTACACCCAGGCTCTTCTTGTTCGGAGTAGAATTGAATCTCATCGTTCTAGAACCCAAGAGCGTAGTGTCCTCCAACTGCAAGTGATAGTGGATCAGATTATTGCAGACACGACTGAAGGGCCAGCATCATCTTCTGATGGGGTCCCTGAAATTCGGGTTACTCAATTTCTACCACGGGCGAAAGCCACAGAAACAGCATCCGTAACAGAACGTCTGCAATATATCTTTCAACTCAATACACCAACACGATGGGAGCTTGAAACCGAGTTAGCATTTGCTTGGTCTGGTGTCGGTTCTCTTGTTAGTGCTTTGGAGATCTTCAAACGCCTCAAGTTATGGGCTGAAGTCGCCTTATGTTATCACTCCGTTGGCCAAGAAGACAAAGCTCGTCAGATTGTGCGGAGACAACTATATTTTTCAAGTAAAGGTCCAGAGATAGATGACTACGATGTTGACGCCGAAGCCATTGCAGCCGAGACCTGGGATGGTGAAATGCGCACTCCTCCTCCTCCGCACGCTCCCAGATTGTGGTGTATCCTTGGTGATCTTAATGCAGACCCATCATGTTGGGAGCGGGCATGGGAGATTTCGAATCACCGATATGCACGAGCTCAACGTACACTTGGAGAATACTGGTCTAAGACCGGAAACCTAGAAAAAGCCCGAGAAGCATATCTGGAAGCGACGATTGTTAATCGCCAAAACAATGATACCTGGTCCCGACTTGGAGACATAGATCTGCGAGTAGGAAATTGGGATGGAGCCATCATTGCATTCCAACAAAGCATCATGATCGATGACACAGAAGCAAAAACATATTCCAATCTCGGTTCCGCTTTGTTGTCCAAACACGCAGAACTCAAATCTCTCGAGAAAGTCGCGGCTTCAGTTGGCGAAGAATCAGCCGCCGTCCTTCAAGACGAAGATGATGAAAGTCCCGCTGTTCAAGCCCCGAAGAAAGATGCAAAAGCCATCTTGCGACAATCCCTCAGTGCTTATAAAAAAGCTGCCTCGCTTGCTTACTCCAATTGGCAAATCTGGGATAATGTCCTCACAATTGCTACCAGAACCTCACCCCCTTCGTACCCAGATATTCTCCTCGCCCTGAGAAACGTGATTCGAATCCGGTCGCCCACATTAGGCGAAGGCTCGATCGACATCTCCATTCTTCGGGCCCTAGTCAACGAAGTAACAACCCTCGACCGAGTCAACCTTCTCGGCGAAGTCCAAAAATCAGGCATCTACGAGCCTCCTCGCGGAAGTCTCGCCCGAGCAGTCATAAAATTCTACACCACGGAAATCGAGCCCCTCATCACTGCCCAACCCGTTCTTTGGACCTTTGGTGAGAAACTCGCTCTTTTTACGCATGATTACGTGCGTGCACTTTCTTGTGCGGAGAAGGCTTGGAGGGTTTGCAGTCAAGCCTCTGATGAAGCGTGGCTTTCTGAGAAGGAGAAGTTCAAGGAGGTGGTTGAGGTTACGGATGGACTTGTTAGTGCGTATGAGAATTATGGGGGGAGAGAACGAGAGGATGGCGAGGGCGGATTAGTGGAGAAAGGATGGAAGATGAAGGCACGAAGTGCTGTAAGGGGGATCATGGGGAAGGCGAGGGATAGTTGGGAGGGGACGCCGGAGTGGGAGCAGCTGAAAGATTTGTTGGATGGACTAAAGTAAATAAAAGCTCGTCAATCAGAATAAGCGAAAAAACACATTTTGTCGAAAGAATAGCCATTACGGTATTACCTCACGTACATGTTAAGAGCTCAGTTGTACTAGAAGTCCTAACACAGGTATATACTTACCTTAGTGGTGATATCCCGGACTATTAGGCACTTCAGTTCATGAATGAGAAATAGGTATGCTCCCATATAACATACCTTCTGCCAATCTTGAGTGGCAATCATGAGCAAGGACCAAAAGGGACGAGGAAGTCGCCAGCAATCAAGGTCCAGACCACTTCTCATCTCGGTGTTGGGAGTCGCACCTTCCCTGGATGAAAAGTGCACTCGAGTTAGTTGAGGCGACACATTGGGAGTCATCTCAATACTCGCTTTGGGTACCTACCCAGAGAGGTAGGAAAGAGCCTTCAAGAACCTTCCAGGTTTAATAAAAGACCTGTAGGTCCTTTCGTACGTACTCACCTACCTAAGTAGGTAATTTAGTGAACCCCCCACCCCCCTTTTTGATTCCACCCCATCCCCTAACGTGCCATTTCCTGCGTCTCACTCGCAACTTCCTCAACCCCTCACTTCTCTGTCCTTTCCATTCCCTTTCAAAGCTTTGTACAATTCTCCACCTTGGTCTGATCAATGAGACAAGCAGACAAGTCGATTTGTTTTTGGCGGCGTTTAAATCCATGATACTGCTACGAAAACGAGGTAGGCAGACCAGTTAAGAGATGTGGACCAGTAGTAATTACTCTGAACAAAACAAGGTTGGAATGATATTATCCTAAAAGCTTCGCACAACGAAACTATTTCTACGAATGAAATTGGATAATTAAGATCACTATATCTTTAATAATCTATGTAATTTGGGGCAATCAAGTTGATTGTTCTAGAAACTCTAGCACAATAGAGGTTTTTGAAATGTGTTCCCTCACCTATAGGACACTTACAAGATCTCACATGTACAGCTTCCCGCCATTGCCAAAATATAAGTCATGAGTATAGTGAGGCATGATCAGGTAGAGTCCAAAATGGTGACACATATAGCAAGAATACCTAGGTACAGTACGTATAGTGACAGCACATACAGTAAGATTTTACACCCTCGAAAAGACAAAGACATCAATCATAGCAGATCTCCTAGAACAACCCGCGTAACCATTCCAGGCTCTCGCTATCCACACACACTGCTCGTATATACGAGTTCCTCCAGCACAAATCCAATACTATATCCCGTACCTGTAATTCCCAAAGCAGTTAGCTCTCTACCTACCTATCAATCTACCAATCCATGCGCCCATCGATTCAACACCCCATAATACCAATACCATCAAAGCCCTCGAAAAGAACATCATCAACGCAATCACGAGCCTATGTTACAATTTCCATAATCTTAGTAGACTCACGACCACCACCACTCTTTCTTCCCACCTCCCTACGGTCACGAATACCTCAGTGCTCACGTCACTAATGTAATCTTACCTTAGACACACCTCAGGCTCTCTAATTGATAAGGTATCTATAATCCGTCACGACTTACACCCACCATCAATAACCACATCAAGACATTACTTCCGCTTCCTTTCGCCTCAGCTCTATGAACCAGTCCTCTCCCATCAGAGACCATCTCTTCTGCGTTCAGATAATCAAAATAAGTACGGTGCCTACACTTCCGAGTATCCATTAGCATACTCCTTCCTGTTCCAATCCTGACCAATCAGTACTCCTTATTCTAGCCAGTACTCCTTATTCTAGCCAGAGCACCGGATAGGAGAGGGTGGGAGTACTCCTGAGGCTGTGTGTTGTGGGTGTTAGTGGTGGTGAAACCTGTGAAAATTAAGCATCAAATAGGTCCCCGTAATAGAGATCGCGGCCCTTATTTAGACATGAGTAGAATCTTTATTTTGATTTATTTGCCTTCATGCTAGTCTAAAGACCTCATCATCCGCTCATGCTGAAACCTAAATATCAAGTCTCCATGTTACATGCAATCGTACCCGCTCTACCCATTCAAAAGCGCTATGAAGAACTGTCACCACCAATAAAATAATGCTGTTGGTATGCCCCCCCAGATCCGTGCCTTGCCCTCACTCCCCAGAGACTATTCATAAAAACTTTCCCAGTCAATCCCCCAGACTGGAACATCGACCTACTTTTGACCGCTACACAAAAACAGAAAGCGCAAATGCCGACGCTCAATCAAAAATTTTCGTAATATGGCCATTCGCAATCAATATCGAAAACAAAGCCATCTCACCCTCGCCCCCCAATTTCCAGATATCTTTTGTGAAGAAAAGAAATTTGTTTTGCTGATAAAAGGTGTATAAAAAACATGTCATCATGCAAGCATGCTAACACTCAATCCAATCGACGTCATGAAGAGTTCAACATTGTTAAGTCGCTGAACTGACATTGCTGGTGGGAGTGTCTTGGCATTGGAAACCGTATCCATGACACGATCCTTGACGGCCATCACGAGTCTTTGTTGTTGTTCAGGGCTAGCTCCAATGCCGATAAGAGCCAGGAACTGCCAGATGTAAGCATCTTCGCCAGTATTAACAGTGCCAGGGAAGATGTGCTGAAGTGTTGGTTCAAGGACGTCGAAAAAGCTATTGTACATGACCACCCTGTATTCATTAGTATTTGGCTGTGCGAGACTCGATTCAACAAACTTGCCATTGCTCCCACTCTTGCGCATCTGCCTCTGGTTTAATGACTTCAGCTCGGCTCAAAAGCATTGTCAACATGCTAACACCGATTCTGGTCCGAGCGACATGATCAATGTTGGTTCTATTTCGAACAAGACCCAAGAGTCCAGTAACAATAGCCAAACCAATCTCATTCAAAAAGCTAAAAAGAGTTGGCATGACTGCAAGGGAGAACAGCTCAACCTTTTCACGAGAAGACGAGTCCAATTGTATCTCCCCCTCTTGAATAAGACCTTGACGAACAACATCCAATTGATCGAGGTGTACAACGATCATGGTAAGGATAGTAGTTCTCTGCTCATTGTTGATATGGCGGAATACACGAGGAATGGACTTCTTGCCTTTGCTGAAAGATAGAAAAGCAATGAATGGATGGATTGCGGTGGCACCGATAGGCGCGTGCACCTTGAGATGAGCCCACAGCTGGGCATTGAGCTTATCTTCTCGTGCGTTCCAGTCTTGATGAAGACCATGAAGGCCTGGGTTGATATCATCAGTTAGTGGCGGTGGCACATGGCGCTCGTGATCCTCCATTTGCATCAGGGTATTGTAAACATTCTCAATATCAGTTAAAACTGTTTTTCGGTCACTTCCACTGACTCCTGCGTTCAATTTGCGATCGCGAGCAGCACTGCCGGGACGATTCAAGTCAGCTCCGCTGTCGTTGCGCTTGATGTTGAGTAAAGGCTTGGGAGTCTTTGCGTTGCTGAATGATATCTTTCCGAGACTGCCTTCGATTACCAATTGCTTGTTCTTGGGCTTGTTCTTGGCAGCCTCAACAGCACGAGCGACTTGTTGTTCCATGCGCTGCATATGATTGTCACCTCCACGTGCTTGACGACGCATGCCACCATGTCGCCCTCCAGTTTGAAAGAGGTAAGTTTGGGCAAAGTTACTCAATGGCTGACCAGGGTGTTGGCGTGGTCCACCTCTGATTTGATTGTGAACTTGGTAATAGAAGTCCTCGGACAACGATGGATCGGTTCCATGCTCGTTGGGGTTACCAGTTGCAGTGACGAGCTGTTGCAATTGAATACGAGTAATGAAATTCTTGTCTTGGGGTGTCATAAGTCCATTGTCCTTAGATAGCAAGAAGATCTTGTGGTTCCGCTTGGCGCGCTTCGCATCTTCCATGAGAAATGCCGCTCTATCTTCTTCTGATAAATTGGCAAGTTGTTGAGGATGAGTGATGATATGGTGCGAGCCTGAATGATGCTGCTGGTGGCCTGGTCGTTGCACAGCAGGGGCACCTCTATGTTGCTGTTGCTCGCCCGCATAACGATTAGGGTTCTGCAAAATCTGAGTAGGTTGCGAGTTTTGAGCAGGAGCAGTGGGAACATTCGGTTGGACGTGAGGCGGTTGTGATCTTTGCAAAATGTGAACAGGTTGATTGGATTGCTGCTCTCTCTGCACATGTCGCGGATCTTCACGTGGAGGACCACCAGATTGAAAATGGTATTGTGGCTGAGCCTGCTGAGGAAAGTCGTGATATTGCTGAGGCTGCATGTACTGCGCTTGGGGCTGTTGGTGGATTTGCGGTTGTATATGACTTGGAGCGGAAGATGCAGCAGGTTTCTTGGCTTGTGCGCGTATAGCAGCTTCAACTTCCTCCAAACTCATCATTTTTCGTCCAGATGGTAGACCGGGGGTTACAGGTGTGTCATGAGAAGGGGCGGAGATTTGAGCAGGTCGCTTTGGTGCAACACCCCACAAGTTAGCATCAACCTGCAGTTCCTGAACATATTCGGGATCCTGGTATCGTTCATATCCTGTTCGCGTAGGCCGGGACATAGATTGTTGTTGTTGGTAGCTCGAATGCGAGGGGGCGGCTCTTGGTGGAGGCTGCGAACGAGTAAATCGAAGTTGCTCCTCGGTGATGGCATCGGAGACCTTTGCAGTTTGGCCAAAGAAATCAAAGTCCTTTCCTACAGGTTGCTTAGCTGCAGGACCAGCTGTTGCTCCTCCTCCCCCGCCAAAAGTATCATCATTGAAGGCATCGTCCGTCTCGTCCAATTGATCACCAAGACCATCGTAGGTATCCTCAAAGTCGAGTCTGTTTTCGTGTTAGACAGTGAATAATCGCAAACCCACATTACGCCACTCTAAATCAAAGGTGAGGGAGTACTTACGCATCATCATCGTCGTCCGGTCGAGGGCCAGCGAAGGGGTCGGACGCCTGCGAGAAGCCTGGAGCTCGAGTATTGTGTCCCTGGTCGCGGGGTAGAGCGGCGTCAAAGCCGAAGAAGGACATGACGTTCAAGTCAGTTGCAAGCTCGAGAGCTGCGAGCAGTGCAACGTGGATTGTGCTTGCGCAAAGGTTTTTAATGCAGAGAGTAAAATTCGAAGGAACAAGTAAGTAACGTAGATAGATTCAAAAGCAGGCGAGGGGGTGGTTTGCGAAAAAGAAGTGGAGGGGAGGGGAATTGAAGAATTGTCCGAGTGCTTAGTGCTGTCGGTGGTAGAAGGAATTGAGCTCGCTTCTTCGTGCGCTTGGCTCCCCGCACCGCACCGCAACCAGTTGAGGGGTGAATGTGAATGTGAAGCCTCAGTAGGGGTAGGCAAGGTATGGTATGATTGTCATGAATGAGATTGGGTCCAAGTCAATGTGACGACGTGACGAGAGGGCGACCTCATGGATGCATGTGGTGGGGAACGCCATCATAGGTAGCCTCGAGGTTTACTCGTACCCACGTTGATGCCTTGCTGCCTCAGGCCGCATGTTTTTTATTTTGCCCCCCTGCATCTGACGGACCGGGGGGACATACGGAGGACCGCAAAAACCTTAGGTACGATAGGTACCTAGGTATATGCTATTTCGATGCCCCCAAACTCTGGACGTGGACAAACGTTAACCCCTTTCTCCTCGGTCCCATCACCATTTCTTTTCCAACTCATCACCACCACATTTTTCCTCGAGATTGCCACTTCTGCGAGAGCAGCGGCTCCTGGTGGAGAGAAGTAAACATACGAGACTACATCCACACCCACATCCTCGGCTTCTTGGCGTTCAAGTACGGAGCCTAGAGCCAGGGTAGACGCCCGTTGATTCCTGTCCTCTTCGATTCCAGACATCGCCAGTCTCACCAAGGCTTCAATCTTCCTGTTACTGTGCCATTTGGCAACGAGTCCATCATGGCGTCCGGAACCGCGAGATATCTGAGATATATTCTCTTTGCATTTTTTGTACGTTCCTCCGGCAGTATTCATGCGACGCCTGCTTCAAATCCATCTACTACCCAGTGACAACTATTGACCAGAAGAAATAGGGCCTCGCTGTCATCTTTTTCATGTCAAATTCGCCGACCAATCCGCGAATGCCGGTCCCCGGCAGTGGGACGGCATGGGAGGGAGTTCCAACGAAGGCTGGTGAAGAGGTCGCGGCTGCCACAGGATCTTCTCCAAATGTGTCCCCAGGACTTCCTCCTGCGACTGCTGGAGGACCCAGAATGAATGCAACATTTGTGACTTTGGCACGAAACACGGATATTTGGGACATTGCAAGGTCGATTCGTCAGGTGGAGGATCGTTTCAACCGCAAATTTCATTACGACTGGGTATTCTTAAACGACAAGCCTTTCGATGAGCAATTCAAGAAGGTCACAACAGCCTTAGTTTCTGGCAAAACACACTACGGGGAGATTCCCAAGGAGCACTGGTCCTTCCCCGATCACATTGATCAGGAGAGGGCCAAGAAGGTTCGTGAGGACATGGCTCAGCGCAAGATTATCTACGGAGACTCCGTCAGCTACCGCCACATGTGTCGATTCGAGTCCGGATTTTTCTTCCGGCAGCCTCTCATGCTTAACTACGAGTGGTACTGGCGTGTGGAACCAAGCGTCGAGCTTTTCTGCGATATTGACTACGATGCATTCAAATTCATGGCCGACAACAAGAAAAAGTACAGTTTCGTCCTCAGTTTGTATGAGTACGTCGAGACTATCCCAACGTTGTGGGACAGCACCAAGAAATTTATGAAAGAGCATCCAGAACACATTTCCGAGGGTAATTCAATGGGGTTCTTGAGCGACGATGGTGGAGCCACTTACAACCATTGTCACATGTGGTCCAACTTTGAAATTGGTAATCTGGACTGGCTCAGATCAAAACCTTACATGGATTACTTCGAAACCCTTGATAAAGATGGTGGATTCTTCTACGAGCGTTGGGGTGATGCACCAGTTCACTCAATTGCTGCTGGGTTATTGTTGAAGAAGGAAGAAATCCATTTCTTCAATGACATTGCTTACTACCATGTTCCTTTCACCCATTGCCCGACTGGGCAGCAGAAGAGATTGGATTTGAAGTGCCACTGTAATCCAAAGGACAACTTCGATTGGAAAGGATATTCTTGTAAGTTGTTTGGAACTCGATTTTGGAATTTGCACTAACACAATCTAGGCACATCTCGATATTTCGAAATCAACAACATGCCAAAGCCAGAAGGATATGAGATGGAGCAAGATTAAAGATAATCTCATTTGATTGGACGACTATGTTTCAAAAGGGTGTATTTTATTGCATTTTAAAAACTTTTATTATGCATGGGTGGGGAAGGCGTTGGTATTGGAATGATTCTTTCTTGTCCTGTTAAAGCAGACTGTAGATATATGGTTTTCTCTGTTTGGATTTGGGGGCTTTGTTGTCACAAAAAGGCCAAGGAATGGGAAGCACTAGAATTGGCATTATACAGTAACGTTTTTCTTCAATGCGAACTTGCAATAATACCTTTGCTCCACCGTAGTGTTCATCTTCAGGTTTAATGATATTTCTCACCCATCCTTCTTTTTACAAATCGACTAAGAAACGTGGACGATACTCTGGATACATCGTACCAAAAGTCTGCCATAATCAACTTAATCACCCTAAAAGTTTTGGCTTAAACGGTTTTACAAAAAGAGTCTTCGTGAATCGTTATGTTTTTTCAAGCAAGGGCCTGTTGGGTGCTACTTCTCGGAATCTAAGAGCTCTTAAGAGAATTACCTGGCGAGTAATTATGGAGAAGATGCTTTTATGTGCAGGTTTACTCTTGAGTGAATATAGGATATACGAGGAACCCAAATGTTAGTCTTTTCATCGTACTAGTGGAGGTGATTGGGAAAACGGCAAAGGTGGAACACCATGATTTCGCTACTGCGGAATCCCGCAAGAGGATTTCTAACGCGGAATGAGGAATCGAATTGAGAATTAGATGTGGACACGAGTACGGAAGTGCTTTTTGAAATTACCTGTGGTGAGCTGGTAAAGGGTTTCTATTATGTTTATCTCTTGGTAAGTTCTGTTCCAAATGACAAGATATGTGGCAGAATTCTATCCACTATCTACCACTTGTATATCTAACGAGAGACGGTACTGTATATTACTTGTCACTTCACCCAGAACTCATAAAGCAGTCAAATCAGTCCTTTTTCAGTGCCTAATTTCTTAGAGAAAGAAAAGGTAGCTAGCCTACCACACCTACAAACACTTACACACCTACCAGTACCAGCGCCAGGTCACGTGTATCCAGAACGAGTAAAAGTCGCGACAGTACCTGCTTTCTGATTATTAGCAGCAGGCATGAAGCCACGTTTTCCATCCAAAGCGGTTGGTCAACCCGCTTTACCTTTATCGAATTTTAAACTTTCGCTACCAGTTCGGATTCGCGTACCAGTAGTCTCTGTTTGTTCCAAGGCCTCCCCTTGAAGCTGGAACGCGAACTCTGGGTAAGCGAGGTGAGGCGAGGCGAGTTTCTGCTTGTTCGGTTTCTTCCGGGGGTTTTTTAGACTGTGGTTTGGGGGAAGGTTGGGTGTTGGGAGTGTTTTGGTGATTGGGTGGGCTTGTTAAGTAGTGTTCGGTATTAAGGTGGTATGGCGATAATTAGGTAGGTACCTAGTTGTCTCCTAGTATAGTAAAAGGGGAATTAGAAATTCCTACTTTATAGGGGTTTAATAGTGTAGAGCTCTAGTCTTTATAAGCGCGCGTGTATAAGCTTGCGTAGTCGGTAAGAAATCACCGATTTTGTCAGAAGACGAGGGCACAATGTGGAATAGATAAGCTGGAATACAAAGAGAGGCTAGCTAAGGACGAGCAGGGCTCTAATATAGGAGCTGCCTGTCTGTCTGGAAGTGTCCGGGATAGGACTAGCGCCTTCCATGGAATATACTAGTGCCAGACAGTACTAGACAGGAGAGCCGAGAGTGCTCGTGTCGTAACAGATTTAGTCTCTAATGTTTGAGGTTAAAGAATAGATAGTTATCTTTTAGCTAGTTAAATTATAGTCTAGCTAATAGAATAAAAGCCTAGAAGTATGGAATAGTAAAGTTCGTATCCGACTTAGCGAAAAAGACCTTTTTAATATTTTACTTCCTAAGTAAATAAACCCTTAGCCTTACGAGTAAGCGTGTATAAGTAGATATAAGATATCTTATTATCTCGTCTTTCTATATGGATTAGTTGGTAGTTGGACTATATTCGTTGTTTTGGTAAATCACTATAAGTATCATGCCTATTTCGTGAATCGTGACATTATTTTGATTAAACGTGTGGTAGTTCAAAGCATTTATTAGTTATTATAGGAATTAGAGCCATGGAAACTTGACAGCTATTTCTCTTGACACTTGTATATCTCGTTTGCTCCAAGGAGCAGTCAAATACCACTATGTCGCTCTAAATATGGCTGTTGGACCAAGTACTGTCCCCTCTCTCTAATCACGAATCGAAGTGGAAGTCATGTTTGTGTTTGGTGGTAACTTCAGATTTGACTGAGGTGCAGAGGAGCGGGCTTTATAGTAGCTGTGAGTCGCTCGGAACTACAGTCTATTCGCAAAAGTAGCAGAAGGTTTCGCGAGTTCAGAGCATGTGCTACTTCTGCTAAGGGACTGTAGGACAGTAGATGGCTCTTCACAAACGCATCACAGGTTCAGAAACCTTCTGCAGTACAGTATTGAATAATCTAAACACTTTAAGCCAATTAATTCAATTGCTTGAGAATGTTCTGTTGATTGGTTGAATTATAATAAATGACTAAACAGCAGAAATGGTTTTAATAAGTTACTGCTAAGCGAGCAAGCCAACTTGAAAAATGACTCGCCACCAACGGGCGATAAAGGGATGGAAAGCAAGAGTCTGCTGGAAGTTCCTCAGCTTTTCATTCGAAACCTCAATATTTTTGCAAATCGATATCAGAGCGACGGGAATTCGTTGAGTGCCTACAGACATGAGGTTGATAACGATCTCTTAGTTCTCCAGCGAAAACTGCAATTCGAAAACCCTGATAGTACGGTTTTCACTGCAGTCCTATGCCCAGAACAGCCCGAAGGACAGCCAATGCAATTCGCTGTTGCGCGAGTGTTCCTGGACACTGGCTCAGATGTCAACGTCATCTTTGGGAGATACCTGAACGAGGTTGGGTTGGGCCATCTCATTACCCAAATTCCGGAAGAGGAACAGGTTGAAATGGGTGGCATCGTAGAGCAAGGCAAGGCATGGAAATTTCTTTCATCGTCGAGTTTTCGTTACCAGAAGCTCAGATTGGGATATTCTGATCAGTCAAAAACAATACATCAAAAGTGCAGAAGAGAATACGGCTGGAAAAAGATCTCTCTGGATGCCAAAGAAGAAAAGAAGTCAAAGTAACTCTGCACTGTATAGCGAAGAAGTGTCCGCCTAACACTCAAAAGAGGATGAAGCGGAGCAAAGGACCTTCGAGCAGAGTCGTCTCAAGGAGCTTGAAAAACTCAGACAGGGATATGCACAGAGGGAGAACCAAAAGCGGCTGAATTCGCAGCCTATTGGTGTTCTTCCCGAGGCAGGGCGGGCTTGGACTGTTGACGAAAGACGAAGGGCCCTAATGTCAGGCTCTATATCGACAGCTGAGGGCGATGAAGGACCTTCATCAATTCGTATGACTTCCATGGATGATCAAAGATCTCAAAAACAAATAGAGGCATCAATGAGGTCTGGGAAAATGCAAGATGAATCTGATGATGGATCAATCTCAGGGCCAGCTGGAACTGGGATTTGAACATGATACATTAGAGATGAATCTTAATAGCACTTGATGTCGAAAAATTAGCCTACTGGGCCAAACTTTTATGAGTTCTTCAGTAAATACAAGACCCAAAAGTTGTGAATTTTCCAGGCTTTGACGCCAGATATAAACTTCGATGAAAGGAATACTTTTGCACCCATCACTGAGTTAAGGAACATTCTTAGGCCCTCTGCGCAAATGATACTCCCTTCTTGAGATAAACGGACTGCCAAAAACTAGCTCAAACGGACAATGCTCACAGACAAGACAGGTGACAGGCATCTTGTATCGACGAGAGCCTCCGTTCCAACTGAAGCTGACCCTTCCCCTCACCGGTTGCCGACTACCGTTGTTGATGCCAACGAACTCGATTTCTCTCTGGTCATCATCCTCATCGTGTTCAATATGAAGACCCAGACGGACCGCTAGATTTTCCCAGATGATGTTCTCCGGAAAGTCCCTATTCAATCCCGCTATGATGGGATTATCGTTCCCGTCCAGATAGCCAGTTATTGCTGCCGAAACCTGTTCTGGGTTCATGCGAAGGAAGTTTTCTGAGGGTCGTACAGCCATGAAATCGCTATTATTCCAGCCCTGTGTGTCGCTACCAGGCAAGTCGTGTGGTGATTTCAATATTGATGTGATGTTCTCTGCTTCGTTGGCACCCTGCTCGGTCGTGGGGTGAAGAGCCGGGTGTACACTTTCGGATAATGATAGCTGCATTGACTGTGGCCATGATTCCACAGACGAGTGGTCTGGTTGGTCGGATGGCGGTATCGCGAACCTTCCCATTGCCTTCTTCTTCTTTGAATCATCTCCCAAATAATACCGGTAGCGTGAACTCGAACCCCTGCTTGTTTTTCGTACTGGTATACTGGTTGCGACCTCAGCCAAAACCAATTGCTCCACATCGGCAAGAATATCACTCATGCTGTCGTATGTATCATTCTTTGAGGAATCCTTGGCATCTCTCCATCGAGTGGTCCATATCTTAATGTTCTTTTTTTGCTTGATCATTATTCGTTTGTGATATTTTCTGAATATTTAGTTAGCAAATTCTCAAAAGCTCGAGTATTCAAATCTTGTCCTCTCACATCTGGGCTTTCAATTCTTCGGAGTCATCAGAAGTTCGCCTTTTCTCCAAGCTTTCAAGTATAACTTGAAGCATAATCATCACAAAATATGACTTTATTCTTTCCATCCACACCCAATTGTACTCCCGCTTTTGACTGCCCTTATACCAACGATACCGAATATAAAATTCGGGGCCAGCTCCGTGATCGCTCACTTTTGGCTGAAGAGTCCGTAAGCGATCGGTCAGTTGTTGACTTTGTTCGGCCAAATCTTGCAGCGTCTCGTCAAGTCGTCGAACTACCATGGAATCTTTGCAATGGTAAGATATGGTATGGTAAACTGAGTTCAGAATTGAACCAAAGGTATGGATGTTAGACGCGAAGTTTTCCACATCCTTGCGGATCGCTTTCGTTTCGCGAGCGACAGTATAGAAATCTGAAGCGACTTTAGCGACGCCATTGGCAGCCCCCAGAATTGCAAGCACGCCAACAGCTATAGAAAAAGGATCCATGATTTATTGTGTTATTTAGTTTGTTATATAAATACTTTGGCAAAGATGAAGTGTCAAAAACAATTGAGCATCTGCACTCTTACATATAAGCATATAACAAATGTTCTTCTGACACCCTGCATTCTATGAGCTTCTGTAGTATTGGACACATCATCCATATCGTAGTAACAGGAGAGGCTGTGTAAATGGTTACCGTACTGCGTGGGGGGAAAGGTGCCAGGTATGTTCACCTTATTAGTCGAGATGCAGCTTACCAGGAGCTTCGAATTCGTCCAGACTAGCACACCACCTCTTCAGCCTTTTTACCCCGCCATCCAACCATATACCTCTACATTTTCGGTCAGCCAAAACAGGAATGCTACCAACAAATACAATGTTGGACTTTGATCAATTGGCAAATCAGAATGTAGATGATATGGCGAGAAGAAGGGGATGGTGTCACATTTAGTCTTGGGTTGGTGGCGGAGGTGGCTTTGAGTTGCAACATGCGCGGATTTCATTCGTTGATTCATGATGGAGAAGGAGTATGACCGTGGGCTTGATGAATTGCCTTAAAAGTTTCGAGGTCACCCAGTGATATCATGCACGTGCACGTGACAAGCCCCCCTTTGATTGGTCGACAGATGACCCTTTGAAACTTGATCGAGGCCCAAGATCATCTTAATATCTACTGGCATAGATCTAGCTTAAGGAATCAAACTCAAAACAAAAATAATGAAGCACAAATACAGGTACATAGAAGAATTACCATCACCCTTCCGACTTTTGTACTTTAAAATAATCAATACGTGATGTTCACCCTCCCCTCCAACACTCTAGCCAGCCGCAGGCGTCACTTGCCATCACTCTTCCAACCCCGCAGAACAAACAAACCAAATCCTAATAAGCAAACGTGGTACCCTGTGCAGGCAATATCCCCTTCACAAAAAAGGCATCTATAGCTTCCGTCGTCTTCCCAAAAGTCAGGTAGCTAGTATGACCACTCCCGTTTCTAAGAATCAACACCGAGTTAGGAATCTTGGTTTTTAATGCATTCGCCGACGAAATTGGAGTCGACGGATCCCAGAACGAATTTACAAGTAAGATAGGCGGTAACTGAGCGACCTTCTTAGGATCCAAAGTGTGTGGGTTGTTTGTAGGAGGTGATGGCCATCCGATGCAAGATGATTGTATTTCATAGAATTGTGAATTTCCTCTGCTGTGTGGTGAGAGGATCCCGGTCATTTGGCGAATGAGTACGAGGTCTATGTAGCTCTTCGATGCCGCTATCCAGTCTTTGCAGCCTACGCCGAGGAATGAGAAGTCGGCATGACTTGATGTGTTTTTGATAGGGCGGGATAGTAAAGTTGCGTTGCCTTGTGCTGCTTGAGCGATTGCTCCAGAGAGTGCTGGCCATCCTAGGAAAACGGATGACGCAGAAAACCCAAGAAGTCCTATTTGAACCTGAGCAAGAATTTCCTCACTCGTTGCATCACTTCTGCAAGCTTTATCCCCCTCAGGTGCACAACCAGGAGCTGGTATAGGACTACTTTCTGCTGTGGCAATCATTTTATCGAATATCCCAGCAATGTCTTGCCCGTTCAAAGCACATTCGGCAGTGGTGTTGCACCATTGAAAGAATTTATTCAAAGTTGTTTCGTATCCGTTATTAGACTCCATAGCAACCTGAGCAACACTAGACTGTGAAGAATCCATAACGCCGTCGAGAACCATACGTCCGACATTCTTGGGAAACAATCCCGCATAAGTAGAGCCAAGTTGTGACCCATATGATTGTCCATAGAAAGTCAACTTCTCCTCGCCGAGTGCCTTTCGAACCAAATCCATGTCTTTAGCCGCACTTTCTGTGTCCATGAAATCAAAGACAGGTCCAGTGAGATTCCTACAACTCTCTCCGAAGGCCTTGTTATAAGCCACGAGTTTCTTGAATTCGTCTTTATTCTTTGGAGTGCCTGAGACGCGCCTATTCCAGATATCTGGATCACATTTCATGGCATTGCTGAGGCCAGTGCCACGTGGATCAAGTCCAATGATGTCGTAGTGTGCAAGGAGTTCTAAAGTCCAGATTGAAACGTTCAAAAAGGCTTGGGCAAACACTTCTGCTGAACCTGCTCCTCCTGGGCCTCCGGGGTTGTAGATGAGATTTCCAATAGTCGACATGCTGTTGGATTTAAGGCGTGCGAACCCAAGATTGAAGTGGCCTCCATGGGGGTCTTCGTGGTTTATGGGAACTTTGATTTGACCGCACTGCAAGTTTGGTGGATCATTTTCTTTACAAGTCCTCCATTCGATGTTTGGGCTGGTGTCTGTTGAGTAATGTGGAACCGCGAGTGCTTGAGTTGCGAAAAATAAAAACAGGATGATTGAAGTTGATTGAAAGGAGGACATGATTGCGAATGTATCAACTATGACGATAATGCTGGAAATCCCAAGAACAAAGAAGAGGAAATAGTTTGCTCAGACTAGTAGAAAAGCTGAGACAGATGCCCATGGTTCCTTCCCACTGAGGTAGTATATATACTGCAAGATCGTTGTACAAAACAATTATCGAACAGAAGGCCTCATAGATCCTAGCCACAGATGGCGAGTGTAGATCAAGGCTTAGGCATGATATACGAGTCTACCCAGCTTGAAGTAGGTGATCATACCAAAATCCAATCCTTTGGTGCTTTGAGTAACCAAACAACCCATTTTCACTGATTACTAAGAAGCGACTGGGCGAATCTGACGCGTCCCCGAGAACTGAGCCTCTGAGCCGCAATTAAAGTGGTCCTCAAAATTTCTAAACCGAGTAATTCGGAGATACCCTTCAATTACGCCTGACTGCTAACTCATTACAACCTGACAAGCGTGCGCCATTCCGACCACGCAATCTGTAATCGATGACCTAGTCATAGGCGAGAGAACCAACCGAAATATGCATCATTACCCGCGCATTGAAATGAAAAGGATTTTTGCAAGAGCAAAACTATTGGCTGTATTTTCAATGAAAAGGCTGTAAAATACTGACTTGTTCGCCAGGTCATGCAATTTTGTCAAAAAAGGCCATTGATTTCACAAACAGGATTTACACTCAGTATCATGACAACAGCCTTCAAAAGAGTTCAAAGTTCCTCGAGCTGTTATAAAAACAGGGGCGAGACGAATAGCGAGAAGGCCCGCATGGTAAGGAACAAGTCGCTACGAATCTAAAATGCTTCCAATCATTAAGATAGATCGATCAAGAAAGCTTCTACCCTCTGAAACTACCTGGCGTCAGAGAGCGTCATGAGCAGAAATGCTGGAGCTGCAAAGGTCTTCAAGGAACTACGGACTGGCACTGCTGGTCCGGAGCCATAACTTGGTACGCTTTGTAATGTAAAAATAATTACAACCGACCTCGTAGCGAGCCATCTAGAAAAATCCTGAACAGATTGAGCGAAATTCAGATGTGATTCTGACTGTGGTAGCTCACTCGGTCGCTGAACCAGGCCAGTACTTTTGGCTTTCTTGAAAAGGCTTTCTTGGAAGGAGGAAATGGATTCGAGGTATGGTATAGATTTTGGAGCGAAATGTTCGCTGGTGCGTGCCATTATGATCGTATTTCTGGGTATTTTTTCAAAACAAAGACGCCAAACTGTAACATTTTCCCTGCCCGTTCCCGTCCCCCAACGCCGTAGAATTGTTTTGCCTTTTCTATACATTGCCAACTCAAAGCTAGCCACTTCCTTTATCTTTGGAGGCAGCTCTTTTTGGGTTTATGCTCGCCCGGGAAGCCCCCCGTCAAGGTGCTGATCCTCTCGAAATAATCACTGGACATCGTCAACCTCCATCTTATCCGCCTTAGCAACAGTCTGTTTAGATTTGGTCGTAGTTGGCGCATCTGATGCTTTGTTAATGGGTTATTCATGGAGAAGACTCAAGATAATATAACTTACCCGTCATCTGAACTTCTCCTTCTTGCAAAGCTTTCTCCAGGGCTCTTCGACGCGCATTGTTCTGCGCCTTCTCCAGCTTTCTCGCCTTCTTTCCGGAGACGGGTGCTAGCGGACCACTCGTAGGGTGAAGGACATTGCTTCGCGCAGTACCTCGTGGATTCTTGGTGATCTTGTTTTTGGCGTTCTTGGATTGAACTTTGGATCGGCTCGCAGTGCGCCGTTGCTTGTTTGGCACATTAGGGTTACCGCGGGATGGCATTTTGGGAAGTATACGGTCTTTGTGTAGCAGGAAAGGGGGTTGTGGTGATGGTGTTTGGGAAATGTGAATGTTTTGTATGTTCAGATCAGACGAAAAAAGTGAGCCCCAGTAAATTTCGATGATGGCGGGGTTTAGCGCCCGCTTTGGGGCAGCTCAGCCACAGACGACGTAGGCACGCCTTTGCAGTGCAACTTCCAACTTTCTCATCAACAATCTCATATTTTACCACCGACCTTTCCACCAGAGTACATCCTTTTGACGCTACTTGATTTCTCCACGAGTTCTTCATACGCCCAACACTCCCAGAAGAGAACCGCCATCATGTCGTGGCAGGGTACGCAATCAAGAGAACCGCCCGCCGGGTGCAATGCGCTGACGGAAGATCGTAGGATTCAAAAAGAATATCAACCGCGCGACGACGCAGGTTATGATGAAGACTGGTATGCAATGCTCTCTAAGATTACTGAATATGAATAGTAGTCTGATATATTTTAGGCCATGTCGAGAAGACCAACGACCGAGATTATGAAGTAGAGGAGAGGTAGGGAATTCCGGCGTATGCGAGCTTCCAGACCACATTCTCATGACCGCTCAGGCGATATCGAACAATGGAAGCAGCATCGATGCGATTGCAGAAGGAGGCGAAAGGTTATTTGGATTCTCTACGTGGTGGGTAGCAAGATGTACACATTGGATAGTTCCGCGCTGATCCGCGCAGCCATGACGGCCTCACAGATGCGAATCGCAGAAACGATCGACGCCTTCTACGGAGATGCTGGTGCAAAAGATGGTGTTAGCAGAAGTTACAAACAAGCTGTAGAGGACTTGGATGCCGAGACGATCAAGGCGCTTGATGGTCCATATCGGTTAGTGTTGGAGGGAACCTTTGTAGTTGCACCACTAACATAATTCAGTACCACGGTTCTAGAACCAATTTCCAGATTTTGCGCATACTTCCCTGATATCAATGAATGTATGGGACCTCCTCTGACGAATTATCATCCTTGAGCTCTTAGACTAACAATCCCAGGCATCAAAAAGCGAAACCACAAACTTTTGGATTACGATGCTATGAGAGCTAAGGTCAAGAAGCTTGTAGAGAAACCGGACAAGGACGTTAGCAAGCTTCCTCGCGCCGAAAAGGAACAGGAAATGGCCAAAGCAGCATATGAACAACTCAACGAGCAACTCTTCACTGAACTCCCACAACTAATCGACCTCCGAGTACCGTACCTAGATCCAAGTTTTGAAGCTTTAGTCAAGATTCAACTTCGTTTCTGTGCCGAAGCATATTCCCGTATGGCTCAGGTTCAACAATACTTGGATGCAGATACAAGAGAGCAATACGCTCAAGGACATCTTGATAGTCGCGTGGAACAAGTTTTACAGGAGATTCGCGAATTGAGCATAAGCGGCACTGTTTGAGATCATTTGGGCAATAGAATAATATATGTAATGGACGTTTTGGGGGAGTTTCGGCGTTCATGATCACTTAATGAGTTGAGAGGTGAGCATGGAAGGATTAGTTGAGACATCGAAATACGAAGATTATGACTCTTTTCGAGATTTCCTCTTTCGGAGCTCCTAAAGTCTTTGATGAGGGAAAGCTTTGCTTACTAAAATTTAGCACAGCCGCTTTTTACGCCACATCTCGCCGATGACTCTTGACAAAGCCAATATGACAAAGCCTGCTTTGTAGTATGGAATGATTGTTTCAGAATAATGATATTGTCTCATAGATATATTTACTCTATTCCTGTGAATCAATTTTCTGAAATCGAATTTCCTATCGCTTATCACTTAACAAACATTACAATTCAGAAGTCTTTTCAGCCTTGCATAAAACGGAATATCATTGGCCAAGATGCCCTCACGACGCAAAGAATTAACCTTGGCAGCGACCGAGGAAAATGTCAGCCTTGACGAAACTACCACCACTTCAAAGTCCAAGAGACAAACCAGACGACAACGTCGAAATTCTCCTACACCAGCAGAATTAGAAGATGAATATATTCAGCCATCGTCACCTCCAATAGTCGCGCAAACCTCAATTCCCATCGCACTCCTTGACGTCGTGCAAATGGCCTCACCCATCCGATTGCTGGTCTGCTCCATTGGAAACACGGCTCCTTACAACAATACCTTGCACTCCGCCGGTCACAGCGTCCTACATGTTCTCCAACGCTCACTCAAATACCCTCCTTTCCGAGCCACAAAATCCTATGGGAAAGGCATCGTGTCTGAAGGGTGTCCCCTCACTTTCTGGCAATCCAAATCTGCGATGAATGTTTCCGGCACGGGAGTCAAATCCGCCTGGCGGAAATTCAAGAACGTCGCTGGGCCAGAGAACGCGCGACTGGTGATCTTGCACGATGAGTTGGAGTTGCAGCTGGGTGCGGTGAAGGTCCGAGATGGAAGTAGCAGTCCAAAGGGCCACAATGGGCTGAAGGACATCGGGGCTAAGTTGGCGGGGCAGAAGTACACGAGGATAGGCGTGGGTATTGGGAGACCTGAGAGTAGAGATCGAACGGCAGTGGCTAGCTACGTGTTAAAGAAAATGAGTCCGATGGAGCTGGCGAAGGTTGAGGGGGCCTGGGTAGAGGTTGCTGGGGCGTTGAAGAAGATGCAAGAAGAGCCTTGAAAGAGATGGATTGTAGTGCGATATTATGCTCCCCTCTTCAAGCACGGTCAACTTCAATTCGAAGCTCGACAAACTGATACGCGCAAATTTTATGAACGGAGCCTTCGTCGTAAAATCTAGGACTGAGGATAGGTCGAACTTCATCGAAGCGGCCTTTGTCCAGCCCTCGAAATAGAGGAGTCCAGCGCCGTCAGGCAACCTACAGCGATTGCTTCGCAAGCTTTGTATAATACGATACCCATAGACATATTATATGTTTAAGTTAAAATGTAGTGATACTTGATACAAACTACACTTCCTTCGACCCCGTGCATTGTTCCTTGTCAATTGTTATTCCCATGTGACTGTGAAAAGGTTATTGCCTCTAAAAAAAATAAGAAGGAACTTCGATCGTGTTCCTGAAAAACATGGACTTCCGGCTCCTTACTTCTTAGCCATTTCAAAAGTACGAGAAGACCATATCTCATAAGCCTGATTTAATCATTGAAAATCCAATCTCGAAGCCAATCGCACTCCATACCAACCTGTAGCCAAAACCGCCAACAAATTCAAATGAATACACATAGCATGGGCTCTAGGAGAAGCCTTCTTCTTTGCCTGCATCTCTACACTAACATTCACCTCATTAAACTTCCTCCCATCCCTTGTTTCTAAATCAACCACTAAGTCAGTAAACGTCTAAACTCTCGAACCACCACTCAACATACCCTGATGAATCCTCTCCACCATCGTCCTCCCCGTCCTCGGTCCATAAATAAATAAATTCAGTATCGCCATCAGACTTACGATTCCAAGGGGTATCCCATCCCCCTTCTCATGGATAAGCGATACTGGGCCAGATGGTGGGAACGTGACAGTTGTGAGAAGTAAGAGGAGTGTTTGTAGTATGAAGTATGCTGGGAATACTCGCTTTTGGAGAGTAGTGAAAGAGGATGGTGAGAGGGCTTTGTAGCAGACTTTTGTCAATATAAAGGCTTGGTAGAGGGAGGTGCCGAGGAGGGTGCTGTAGGTTAGGAGGTGGTAGGGCGCCGGGTTTTTGAATGGGGAGAAGAGGTGGAGGATAGTTGGGAGTGCCATTTTTTGGTGTTGTTTGAGCGTGGAGAGTATAGTGATTAGATTCTGGAGGGTCTTGAGAGGGTACTTGAGCTTTATATTCCTATTAAAAATTCGTGAGTTTGATGTATACTCTTAGTTACCAATGGGCGTGTAGCATTCGGCTTCGATTTGAGCCGATTTATCGCACTTGTGAGATACTGTAATAGGATCCCGTCAGCTGAGGATATATCCGATCTGGATATCCGTCCCCCTTCCCACCCGTCGCACCTCCCGAAAAAGCAAACAGAGAAATTCAAACCCCGTATTGGAGAAGACCAGTGCATCTATTTTAGGAAATATCATATTGGACCTTGGAGTAAATGAATAGGTTCCCACTACAGCATAATGCGATCCATGAAATATTCCCTTATTTATGCTGCAAAAAGTAGAAGAATTCTTGAATCACTCGTTGCAATTTCCAGAAGGGCAAAGAATTAAGTTGGTTTATCTTGCACGCCATTTTATCCATTGAAAAACGGAATTGTAGGAGCGAATAAGTAAGCGAGTGCCCCCCTTTTCGGCCTTCTTTGCCAACAACACTAAGGGCAGAACAAGCGGCAAAACGCCGCGACCACATGAAAAAGGCTGATACGACATAGAAAAATCGTGAAAATCGAAGAAAAACACAATGGCTTGAAAAGAAGGGTTCTGGTCAATAGTTGAGGTTTGAAGGGATTTGACGAGGGCTACGTAGAGGTATGTACATTGAGGCTCTTTTGGGTAGCCCGATTATAGTTACTCAATCTACTAGTAGAACGCCGGATTCCATAATCCATTGTTCAATCCGAGAAAGCTATATGTTCCAAGTAGTGTGAAGGTTGCGTTAGCAGTTTGATAGTTGGTGGAACTTGGGACTCCACGAAAAACGACTTTACTTTGTAAGTTGTTAGTTACGCCGCTGAGCATCTTGAATTTTACCTCACCAGCAGGAAAATAGGCAACTTTTACGAGATGGATGACCAATCTATCCACGTGGTAGCTCATGTTACTAGATGATATCGTATACGGAACGGGATCCAGACCAAGTAGAGGCTTTTGCCACGTTGCCACTTTGGTATGCTTACCAAATGTCTCCCAAAATTCTCAAAATTAAGTATCGAAATCCAAGCTTAGAACCCATGGTGGTCTGGTGTAGAGAAAATGTTTAAAGGCAACAATTGTGTCCACATTATGCCTCCAAACTTCTTACCATTTCCATCCAGACATTTTTCTTGGGTACGCGTCCGAGGGTTCTTCTTGATATTTGTATCAGCTCCTGTTAGTAACTTGGTAAATTTGGCAATCCCAGGATAAGTGGCGACTTTTGGGTTTGTCTGATATAGTCCTGTACTTAGGTACTTAATCCAGAGAATCGGGGTACATGAAAGAAATCCGATTGAGCGCATTGATGGTTGTCATCTTACTCACTTGACTGAGCCAGTTTGCCATTGAAATAACGTGAGTGGCGACCAGCATCTCCATGAGTTCGGCTTGAAACATGATACCGGCGATCTTGGGAGTTTATCACTAGATCCCGGCCGGCATGGCATATGGCATGGCATATATACGGTATACCAAGGCTGGTGTTTCACGGAGACTAATCGAGCTGCAGCCTGCGGGAGAACTGTTGTTTCGACGGCGGAAAAATGAGTTTAAGGGTCTGGACAGCTCGGGTCTCCCCCCCTTGTCACTTTCTGATATGCAGTGCGGTATCTCAACATAAATCAGAATCCAATTGGCTTAGAGGGTTATACCTTGCCTATAAGAAGTCGTATACAGGGGAGGGGAAACGCGAGCTGTGGAGACCCTTTACTTACATTGAGAGCCTGTACAGTTGTAGGTAGGTTTGAGCAATGTCAGCTTGCCAGTTTGGACCATTCCGTACTCATAACAAACACACTACCTGTTAGCAGAATGTCCTGATTAGGTTGGCTCTTAGTATTCTCATCAATCAAACCAATCTAAGTAGCAGGATACAACCGGCCAATCCCTAATCGGGATATTCTGCTAAACGGTAGTGTGTTTGTTGCGAGTACGGAGTACGGGATAGGCTCTATCTTGTCGGCGCGTGTGTTCCCGCGAGATCATACGGATGGAGTGCAGAGAGCCGCCAACGCTGAAGAGCCGTACAGACAGAGCGGTAAGCGTAGTAATTTCTCCTAGATACAGAATATGCAGTGATTCAAACCTGGATATGCAATGCACCAAATAGATGAGAGGATGTGCCAATAGTCTTAGGAGAGGTCAAGATTGACTTCGTCAGGCTTTAAGATACCTCAAGCATACATGCGTTAGCGCTCTTCTCTCAAAAGCCCACCTAAAGTCGGGTCACGAACCCTCTGGTGGTCGACAAGAACGGGTGAACCTCTGAGCTTTGCACTGCTTGCTTAGCAACACGGGTCTTGGACATCTCCCACGTGGAAAGAAGGATGGGATATTGTTTTAAGCTGATTAGGTCTCAAAATACAGTTCAAGTCAACAGGGGTTCACCCCTCTACCTAGCTGCACAACACTTCGCTGAGACATCCTGAACACAAGCACAATAGCTATGCTTATTAGCTTAAGTATATTTCTTGCGGCCCTCCGGAAGGGATACAATTGTTGCAAGCCCTTTCAGTTCTAGGCGTTTCGGGTACTTACGGAAGAGTGTGAGTATTTGAAAAAGAAGAGATTTCTCTCCGGGTTTAAACGTTAGGTGGGTGGAAACCAGGCTTTTCCCGCAATGCGGGGTGAAAATCAGCTCCACCGCAGTAGGGGAAGCACGTGCAGATCTACTTTAGGTTTTTATGATTATTTGAACGTTTGCATTCAACAAGCAAACATCCAGCTTCTTTTGTTTCTCTGTAAGCTTCTGTATGTGTGCCTTCCCTTGCCCCTTTCATGTCTGTTAGTTGGTAGTAGTAATTTGGGGATTGAGTAGACAATATTTCACGAACAAATGGCACAATTTAGCATAACAGCGCCTCAAAGAGGCCATGTTTCGTACAATAATAATTCAGCAGCCCTTTTCGTTACCAGTGTCGTCAATTCACTGACAGACATTATCATTGATATTCTTCCTATTCGCTTAGTTTGGACGCTGTCAGTGACCAAGAAAAAGAAGGCGGCCCATAAGTATAGTCTTTGGCGCAGGTAATATGTGCGTTCCACAGATCTCATTTTCTCGTAAGCACAAGCGTACGAATCCTGCTTGAAGGGCAGGATATATAAAGTTGTTGAAGGTTCCTGCCCTCACCGCTAGCTCTTGTCGTTTGTTTGTCTGTCCTCGCGTGATATAAAAACATCCCTTATAAATGAATTTTAGCATATGCGGTATTTTTATGGTCAGTTTCAAGGTCACATTCGATATCTAATACAGATTTCAACTACACCGGAAATACATTTATGATACTCGCTTCCCTGGAGATATCTCGGAAACATAAGTGCGTCTCTCCGTATACTCGCGTCTGTCGGCAGAATGACTGTTGGAGGCATCAGCTATTGCACCAGCTTAACTTTCCAAATTCTTTCTTATCTTCCGCTAATTCGAAGTCGTCTATTCGGAAGGAAATCGGGTCAGAATCAAAAACAGATCTGGAAGCGAAGGACGGGGCGAGTATCGAGATTTGGAAATGTTCGCCCCTGATGTCCAAGTGGTGAGAAAATTCTACTTCGAAGTATAGTGTCTCACCGGAAAATAAAGAAAGACCATGCGGTATTATAAAGATGTTTGACCCTTAAGTCGAAGATAGACTACAGTGGATGCGTAACTGATAACTTGAACTTTTTCCGACGAAAGGCAGGTCTTGATGCTGGAGAAGAATCTTTCGCCAACAGGCCGCAGTGTTTTATCCAAGCGAGAAGCCTTATTTTTTGACTTGGTCTTACCCTCTAGATGACGCAAATTGCTACCAGAAGTGCGCGAACTACGTCAAAGCTTGCACTCGACCCCTGCTTGCGAGTGTTGATAAAACCGATCACTATAACCGTGCACACATACTTTTCTGCACGAAAATCCGCTTGCTTGTTCTAGCTTGTCTTGGTTGGGCGTTGGACAAACATAGTCTCCACATTTTCCCACCCATGAACCCCGCATTTCTCGCTACATGTTCTAAGATCATTATATACTGAAGAGGCTCTTGTCTTGATAATTTTCCTTCAACCATGACAGCTATTTGATACGAGAGTCAAAAATGCTGGACCTCGCCGTTGCGATTCCCACTCTGGTGGGCAGTGCATTGTCAATGACCGCTGCGGGTTTTGTATTTCTATGCTACCTATTGTTGCCATCTCAACTACATTTTCGACATATACTCATTAGAAATTTGGCTGCCGCAGGTGAGGAACCCTTCTGTAATTGTCAGTTTTGGCTATTGATTTCATGTGCAGATTTCTTGAATGGTTTAAACAATACGGTTTCTGGCACATATGCTATGATACACAGAGCTATTCCTCCAGGGTTTGGTTGCAATGTCAACGGACTGGTTGGACAGCTGACAGTTCAGGTAATTCCACTTAAATATCCGCCTTTTTTCCAGATGGCAAGCTAACAACTAAAAGGGGACTGATTTTTCTATACTCGCCATTGCCATTGCCACTGTCATTACAATCAAAAGATCCAACTTCAAGCCTAGCATGTCTAGCAAACGAAAGGTATTAGTCACTTTTGGAATCTGGACGGTTCCTCTCACAACAAGTAGGTGCTAATTCCGTGGACGTAAAATACTTAGTACTTATTTCTTTTCTTTTAGGTTTCACTGGACTGTTCCTAGATGATTATAGGCCTGTCACTGGAAATTGGTGCTGGCTGGATGCCAAAAAACCGGCACTTCGCTATGCCCTCGGACACGGATGGCGGATTACTATCATCATTACTGTGGCATCACTCTACGCCTATCTATTTTTCTATATTCAGCGACATTTCTCCCTGATGGACAAAGTTCTCTCTGCTTCTCGTTCGAGTAACTGTGAAGTTACTGAAGAAGTTCAAATATATGAAGATTTCGTCATCGACGAAGTGATTGAGGATGGGGAAGCTGCCGATTACTTTTCACATCCAGGTTCTCCAGAAGAAAAGTCAAGCCGGAAACTTGACGAAAAAGTCGGACCTCTATCCCCTTTCCGAGAGATATCACAAAAGCTTCACCCTTCCAGAACCATGATTGACCGTCCCATTTTCGAGACATCCGACCCTCTCGCTCTGGTCCGCCGTCCCTTGCTCGCACCGTCGTTCATGCCGACAGTTACGACGACCTGCACAGCACCGCCCACACTCCAGCAACGAAAGAGGCGAATCCAACGTCTTCTTCTTGTGAACGCATATCCCATTGCTTATATTCTTCTTTGGATACCTGGTCTAGCAAATCGAGTCTTTGAGAGTGTGGGATACTCCGCACGGTGGATCAGAATCTTGCAGGCGAGTACACAGTTTGTAGGGTTTGCAAATGCCATTGTCTATGGGTACAATGAAAGAATCGTAGCACGAGCTATGCTGTGGTGGAGTGGAAAAGGTCGACCGACTTAGCCAAAGGGATGCGGGCCATTTTAGATATTCTGGATGGGGATAGGAGTTAGGAGTGGGAGAAATTGGAATCGAGGAGCCAGGGCTTCTGATCAGGTTGATCTGACGACTTTTAAAACTTGACTTTTCACATTCTATGCACATATAAACCATGTATATAACGATTCAAAATATATTTAAACTGAATAGACTGTTTTCCGCAGGAATGGCCCGAATGGGGGCAACTTGCTTCTCTGGTACTTTTGGAAAATTGCATCCCAGACCACCAAACCAATCACCAGTAGATTTGAATTGCTCAAAAAGTTGGAAATCCCGAGAATTTCTCTATAAGTCTAGAGCAACGGGAGCTTCCACTGTCATTTTTCTTATCTACCACGTGAGTATTGACCTCTGTGAAAAATGTTTGGGGTTTCAAAACAAACACAACTTCAGCAAGCCATAAGTTATATATGAGGACCAGACTCTAGCGTCCTCGAGGTCAGTAAATCTTTGGTGTTTAATCTTCTCAAGAAACAATCTCATTGGCCAGCTCTTATCTAGAACCATGAAAGATATTCTTAACAGATACTATATTTTTACAATAAAGCTTCTCTCTAGTAACACTACAATGAACTTTACTCAGCTCTTGCCCAATATGTAAACGAAGTCAGTGATTGTTGAGCTAATTGAATCGCTCATTCGCTCCCATTGTTTCACCTCAAGCTTATGAGTATTTTAAACTTCTCAAGTATTAAGATTGTTTTTGTTTGGTTATTAATGTATCATCTGATGGATTGCTCATATTAAGGACTTACTCCTCTTCGTTGGTTCTAACCTTCCCAAAATTACTCACTTCTTCCTCAATTTGTTGAGGGAGGGTTGAAAGACGCAACCACTTATTTTACTGTTTTTGAAAGTTTAATGGCAGTTGTTCAACTGAAGTAGGAATACCTACCATTGCCTAAATCTTTTGCTTCCATGGTTTATTGCAGTGTTCTCGCCGACAATTTGTGTCTTTGTGACTTTTACTTACCACACACTCTGTGTATTCTGAAAAAAAACCTTCGCTTGGTATCACTTCTGGCAAATTCTCTTTAGAGTAGGTGTTTGTGTTATTCCAAACCGACAAACTTAGTTTCCAAACAATGCTAACCCCTTGTCATTAGATTGGTCCCAGGATATGTTAATCCCTTTGGCATTCTGGCAAGTCAGTACTAGATGGCAAAATCACTGAGAACCTTGGTTCCACATCTTGAACCACAAGTTTTACCAGTGATGTTGGCTGATCCTTCATACCCTCCCATCATGAACTTTTTGAGTATATGGCGGATTACCAGAGCTGGGGTAATCGTATTATTTATGCGCAGCTAAGCTGGCTTCAATAGTTACTTCTCCTCTACGATGACTCAAGTAGACATATGGTTTGTGATATTTGGCGACGGTTGGATATACCATATACCTTTCCTTGGTCAATGATGTGTACGTTGAGTAGTCTTCTGAAGAGACTACATGTCAACTCGCCTGCCTGATCTTGGCAGCGACAGGTAATCGAGAGTATCTTCTCCTAATAACCATTGCCATTTACTCTCATGGCCGAACTTTCCTCCCACAAGTGATGTATAGAAACCTTAACCAAAAGATATCTCTCAGCAGATATATAAACCCAATTTTGAAAAGATCAACGCTACAAATTTAAGGTCGTTAAAAGTTCAGCTCGGGAGATTTTCTGATTTTGCCTTGATCCTGCTCATTCTTGATGTCATATTGGAATTCTTTGACACCTCTGGAAAGGTTCTTTGCTTTTTAAGGTGAGTAACTCGCTTCCTCTTATGATTTACCTCATGAAGTCCTCGGTATGCATATGGTACAGTACAACTACTATGCAGTTAAGGTCCACTAAACTCAACATTCACAGCATGGCTTGACCAATTTCGACCTTTCGAATTTCACATACCGGGCCTACAATTGTCCTGGCCCACTCTCTGTTCTTCTTACTAGCACCATGTTTACCGAGTCCCTCATCGAAGGACCAAGCCCTGCTCAGTAGCAATGCGTACGGTCTTCCAGCAGGAACTCGCTGGCACTGTATTTGTTCCACCTGCTCCATAAATACGAATTTGGCAATGGACAAAGTAATACAATACCTATATTAAAGGATAATATTGAAGTTTTCCTGATCATTGAGTTGTTACAGCATAATATACAAAGCAAGACGGCTAGTTATAGGAGGCTCTTTATCTTCTAGTGTACACTCATTCCCAAATTGATTTTAGAAATCGATGGGACATATCTAGGAAATTAAGAGCGGAGTCCGCGTTTGCTGAGGGTAATATGATACAGTGAGGCCAGTAAAGGATTAGAAGAGGCGGAGAAAGGAGAAAACAAACACGCGAAGTTGAAGATTACGTCCATCCTTTATATTCGTTTCTCCAGTTCAAATAATTTTCTCTTTCTTGGCCTTGGTTGATGTTGTATGGGAAGTATTGTTGTAACCTGTGCCGATGGGGGTTGCGACAGCACCTCAGGGGAGAGGGCAGGTTAGTAATGTCAGTGTTGGCAATCTTCCAGTCTGCTTAGTTCTTCGGTCAGTTCTGATGTTGTAAAACCAGATACAGTTCCATTTGAAATTATGAAAATAAGCAAGCAAAAGATAAAAGTGAGCACTTTACTATACTTCAATGTGCTCGATTCTTGCAGCGCATTAGATTACAATAAGCTGCAGCTCCTCTTTTCTGTAGAAAGTACCTCTATAAGTGGCCAGGTAAAGCGGTTTAGGTACTTTGCCCACAATCCCAGTCTCCTCCTAAGAGTCGACTTACTACGGTATAAATATTCTAACTCCTAGGCATTAGGTGTCGCTATACGAATATCGAGTGAATACTCGGTATGATTTAGTAGAATCTCTATAATAAATACTATACTGTTATTACTAGATACCTCTTAGTATTTATCTAACTAGTAATCCCTTCTTTTATCCCTTAAAACTAGTTATAATACTAGTACTAAGGCTTCTTTAAAAATACTTTTAAAATAATAATAATAATAATAATAATAATAATAATAATAATAATAATAATAATAATAATAATAATAATAATAATAATAATAATAATAATAATAATAATAATAATAACTCTAGAATCGATTAAGCGCGATTATTCTAGAATATAATTTACTATAAACGTATACGTAATTACTAAGGTTAATATATAGGCTCTTATATAATAATACTACTAGTACTTTATATATAGTAATTTCTACTATTCTACTACTATACTAAAGTTAGACCTTTAATATTTTAATATGTAGTAGGAAATATATATATATTACAATAAATATAATAGATACTAAGAAGGATAGTATATCTAGACCGCTACTAGATAATCTAGATAACTAGGATACGAATATAAGGGAGGAGACTTGTTTTATATAACCTCTTATAGTATAGAAGATAGTTCTATAGAAGGTAATAGAGTATTTAAATAGAGATAATAAAGATAAGGATTTATATAATATCTTTATTAAGGACTTTAGATTCTAGGACTATAAGAAGTAGAATAATGCAACGAATACTCAAACTGGCTAACTAAACTTGGCTGGGTGTTCGCTGGTTGGTATGCTATGATAAGAAGAAGACTATCGGGTTGTTCACTTGGAAGTGAACTCGTTACTTGTATCAAAGATGTCAAACTAATATGATAAGATTGATAACTAAGTTGAGCACGAAGCTCCTATCTAATGGCAGACTGTAACGAATACTCAAACTGGCTAACTAAACTTGGCTGGGTGTTCGCTGGTTGGTATGCTATGATAAGAAGAAGACTATCGGGTTGTTCACTTGGAAGTGAACTCGTTACTTGTATCAAAGATGTCAAACTGATATGATAAGATTGATAACTAAGTTGAGCACGAAGCTCCTATCTAAAGGCAGAAGTGCCAGTCTTATATAGAACCTTCGTTCTCGTGGAGCCTACGGGGAGCCCAAGATCCTCAAGCTCCAACGCAAGCTCCTGCAAGCTCCAACGATCATGTGACCCTGTCACGTGATACTAACCGAATGAAATCCCTGGATCGCTTAGCTAGCCCAAGCGTCCCTATTTGCTATAAGAGTACTGATAGTGCTTGACCTTTCAGGACGCCGCCTGGTCTTCTCTTATCACGTTAACACGTGATTCGTGACACAGACGTGCCAGTGTTATATAGAACCTTCGTTCTCTGAAGTCGACTTGGTCGCCTAGCGACTTTGTCGACCGACTTATCGCCTGGGCTACAAGTCGACCTGCATCATATCACGTGACTGCGACTAAATGAAATCCTTGGATCGGTTAGCCATCCTAACCAATCCCGTTTTGCTATAAGAGCTATTGATGTGCTTGTCCTGTCAGGGCGCCGCCTGAACTTCACTTATCACGTGCTGACACGTGATTCGTGACATATACTTACTCCTAAGCTATATACTTTAAGTAAAGGTTTCGATACTACTAGAGTAATTAAATTAATAATTAAGGCTATTCTTAGATAATATATTAAGCTTACTATTTATATAGATTTAAAGTTAATTTACGAATACCTAATAGTACTTAGTACTTGTGACGGTTCTGACCATCACGTGCCACTTGTATCACGTGGCGCCGCTTAGCGACCCACACCACGTATGTAGACTCGAGCTCCCTCGAGCTCTCCTCTTCTCTTTAGCTTGGAATCTTCGAATAAGACAGTTCTACGATTCCATAACCTACACCTTGGACGCCCACGGGCAACAAATCGTACGTGTCGTCACAGTACTACTAAGGAAAAGCGTCTTATAATTAATATTATAGCTTTATAATAAGTATATAAATAATAAAAGATTTATAATATTATATAGATTAAGGGAGATTTAAATTGTTACGGAGTTGGAGGGACAAGGGTAGATCACGTGTAGCACGGCACGTGCGTGTTGCTCAAATCTTGTATATAAGCTTCCGTTCCTCTGGAACTCTCTTCTTCCCTTACTTTGTTATTCGCTCAATATAGCAGTTTACACTTGACTCCGTATCTTATCACAGCAAGTAGTGGTTTACTCCACAAGTTTACATAAATCCTACTAACGCTATAATAAAATTCAAGCTCTAATAGGCGCTTATAAAATTAATTAATTTAAATAAGATTGATATTATAATTAAAGAGTAGGTTAAATATAATAATAAAGATAATAGATCTAATAATAATTCGAATTAATAAGTAAGGAATTAAGGAATCTAATTAGATAAGAGATATAAAATAGGATAGATTTAGTTTGGCTAATTAGTTATTTTAGTACTAAGTATTTACTTCTCTTTTTAAGAGTAAATCTAGTATTACTATATAAATATCAAGTAAATACTCTGTATAAGTTATAGTATATACAAGTTAGCCTTAGGGCTAGTAGGGGCGTTAGCGCCTTGGCACTACTATATAATAGCGAGCACCTATAACCTTTACTCGGTGTGCACATCTGATAGTCGAATACGATACTATTCTATTTGCATCAACACTTTGTCTGGACTCTCTATTAGAGTCAAACCAACATTAGGATTTTGAAGAGTCTATTGTTTGGATACCGTGGGTGGGTAGAGAAAGAGTGTGTGAAATATGGCAAATATAACAATTTCAGGCGGTGAGACATAACACAATCAAATCGCTTCCAATTATAAAGAGTCACATTTTAGGCTTAGCGCTCCCGTTTCAGGTGATATAACCAGTAATTTGTACCCTATCAAATACCCCATATATAAGATGCTCTATAAAACCGAGAAAACCAGCCAATTTTAATGGACAAAACTGAACGAATCGACAGTTTAGATTTTGTGTGGATCCCCGATTGGTCCTCCACCCACAACTGTTGAATCTTTTGCACCGTTCTTTTTGTCGTTTGACGAACCTGTATTGGAATTTGTGACCTCATGGTTTTCTAGTCCGCCGCCGATGGTTCCGACACCATTTCTGGGGAGAATGTGTTAGTAATGCAGAGAATGGGAAGACTGGAGGGGACGTACTGCCGAGCTTGGAGACTGTTGGCTGTACTGGGGGCAACTGGGATTGCAGTGACGGAAAGGACAGAAGTGAGGAGGAGGAGAGTGGTTGGGAGGGCGAGGAGTTGCATGGTGAATAATTGGAAGTATTGGGTAGAGGATATGATTTGAAGGGTGATAAAATAGAATGGTAGACCAGCCACAATGAATTGCACTAAAAAATGAGAAGAAAAATATCGAAAGAAGATGTCTCGACGGGATCTGGTGAGGAAGTTGTATGATATATTCCAAAGGCTATCTCGTATTTTCTTATGTTAACTTGGCAGAGTTTCGAAATCGCGAACGACGAGGAGTATGATCTACAAGCGAAACTTGACACTACTTCGAAGTATTATATCTTCTAGGCATAACAAACGTAACGCTTTAATGGGATCTCTACCATGTATACCACTACAATATTCTATATAAAAATCATCACTTTTCACGTTTGTTACGCCTAGGAGAAAGTCGAATACTCGCTATCCCTTCCAGACTCGAAGGTGCCAGATGCGAGCGTGCGCTTGAAGTGGAGAAAAGGTATCCACTTTTATAATATGTCCCCCTAAAGCACAAAACTCAGCCCTTTGGCCAGTCAGGCGATATTTACAAGTATTTGAACTTTAATTCGACCCAGTTAATGTATCCATATACTTCGCAAGAGCACGCTCGTACGTGGCACTCCTCGCGCCTCGAAGGGATACCTAGTAATTTTCTTAGGGTTTTTTGATTATGAAACCTTTTTAACCAAAATGATCCTACTTTTATTGTTCAAAGATACTGTATCTCTAGAGTTAACGACTAACCTAGGTAGTCTTATAAGATTCTAATTCAAAGTCTAATAGTGCAAATAGACAACCAAAGCTTAGTAAACTAGTTTTTCTAGAGTCGCGATAGCTGGTAATAGAAAACTCGTAACTCGGAAATCTATTAGAGAGAATCGAAGAACGACTCTTATACTAAGTTCGATGATATGCCGTATAGTCTTCTTTAGGTATTTCGTAAAAGAAGTAACAGACTTAAATGTTACCTCGCTTAAGAAGACAATAAACTAGAGTTTCGAAGCACTTAACTCGACGATTCCAGTTTAATAGTATAATTATAGAATCTAATTTCGAATTAAATCAACTCTAGGCGGCAATTTTAGCAATCAAACCAATTGTTCAATACTCTTTATTATGACTTGGAGTTCATATAGCTGTGTGTAGACCATGGCTATTCCTTCCAAACGTCAAAATGCCAGATAAAGCGTGCAGAAAAAGTAGAGAAAAAGTGTCTGATTTTATAAAGTTTTCCCCGCAAAACGAAGGTCCTTTGGCTAACTAGTCGGCTTTTCAAATATTTGAGCCTTAACTTGACGAGTTGTCGTACCTACAGTAACCTACTTTGCGTGCACTTTCAATTGGCACTTTGGCGTCTAAAATGGTTATATTGAACGTTTCGTGACAATTAAGTAACTGTCAGAACTGAATTTTAGCTTGCGAGCATAGAATTTACTTTTGTTTCGGACTTGAATTCCACGCATTCTAATTCTCCTAGGCGTCCGAGTCTCCAATGGTAAATACTATCAATAGAGAAGAGCCTTTGCACGAACAGATCATGTGATATATCACGTTTATCCAAAAATTCACCCTTGGAACCCATCATCGATCCCAGCTATAAAAAATCAAGATTAAATTCATTGACAGAATCAGAATGAATTCAAATAATTATCTCTTTATAGTAATGTAGTTTACTCATAAGATGGAATTAGCCTGCAAGGTCACGTTTTCATTAAAGATGCGGGGAACCCGGCACAACCTAAGAACACACAGCTGTACTTCCCGTAGATATAGCTATAAATAACGGCAACCGAACACAATTCAAGAAAGCTAGAATTACTCACAGCTTCTGTGGTCCAATGGTTAGGATTCCACCCTTCCAAGTCAGAAACATCCGACAAAGTGAGGTGGAGGTTCGTGTTCGATTCACGGCAGTTGCAAAATCAGCTTACTTTTTTGCTAATTTTTATGACTTTTGTTTTTACTCGGAGGGTTTTCGATGAGGTGATTTTGTTGAATTCCTTCAATCCTTTTCTTTTTTGTGCTAAGGTTATGAATCAGCGAGGTTTTAGCGGTGACCACCTTTCCAAGTGGGGACAAGCATCGGGCTTGTGCTCCATTCACATCATGATCTCATGAGGAACTATTCTTCTTTGGGCTTTGGAAAGTTATGAGGCAGCACGTGATGGTCGAAGGAACTTGGAGAATTCCGTAACGACATGCGGTGAAGATGAATGAGGCTGAGAATAGGCGAGAATTCCGGTACCAAAGGATCGGTTTTAGGGGGTTACTCAAGTACGTTTGGGATCATGATCTTGCCCCTTTTCTGTACGTTTATTTTGAAATATTTCCGCCTACTGTAATGCGCAAAATGAGAGAATCCTGCAATTGATGTTATGAAATCCGGTAAGTTTCTGAAATCTCCCTTCTTTTTAATAGAGAATAGTTCGGACTCTCGTAAAATCTAATTTTAGGCGTGCCAAACAGTGGCCTGGTAATGCGCGGGTTCAACAAAGTGGATGATCCCCGTTTCACGCCCGAACCTAAATTTCAGGTTGGGGTTATTTTAGACTTTACCGCACTTCCAGAAGGAAAGAAGAGCATCCAAGATGTTTAGGCTGGCTGGAGATGTCGGTTTCGAAATTAAAATATGCCGGACTTGGGTGGTTCCAAGGGGGCGTTGAATTTATAGACGTCCGAAAATGCCGGTTAAGGGAGGGTTGAAGAAGATAAATTGAAAAGGATCCAGATCCAGATGTGCTTTTCTCTTCACCCTCTTTTCCTCTTCCTGCTTTGTAGTCTTTCTTTGAGCTAAGCATCAATACATCCAAGTCGGAAAATACACATCGAAGTCGAGAAATATACATTCATTACATAAAACCAAGCATTGTTTAAACAGTTCTTTTTTCATATCCAACAAAATGGTTCAACTCACATTCGCCACAGCGCTTGCATTCCTTGCAGCTGTTCAAGCCTCACCTCTTACGCCACGCCAATCCACCCCCAGATTCCTCAGTCTCCCGCCAACGCCAGAACTAGCAGCACCAATCAGTACCAAAACATTCGCAACAGCTGATGGAGTACAGTTGTGGTTCCAGAAATACAACGAGCAAGCCGGCGGTGACCCAATCGTTTTTATCCACGGAGGACTCGGTTACTCAGCTTATTTTGCAGATGTGATGAAAATCATCGCCAAAACCCGTTATGTCATTGCAGTAGACCGAAGAGGTCATGGAAGATCGACATACTTGGCCGGAGAAACCTTTACCTTTGACAAGATGGCCGAAGATACCTTTGACCTCCTTCAAGCAGAGGGTGTCAAGAGTGCTATTTATGCCGGATGGAGTGACGGATCTGCAACTACTCTCGCCTCCCTCATCAACCCTAAGATCGCACCCAGCATCAGCAAAGCATTTGTCTTTGGTGGTTTTCAGAACCCACAGGATTCAAACGCCACATTCACAGACACCGCCATCTACACTGATTTCCTCGGTAGATGCGGAGAGGAGTACGCAGTTCTCCAACCCAATGCCGACTTCAGGGATTTCGCAACCAGAGTGGGTACCTTGGAAGCTACTCTTCCTCTCTTCACTGATGCTCAATTGGGTGGCATCGATGGAAAGAAGGTACAAATCGTGGGCGCTGATAAGGAGGAGGCTGTCAACTTGGATGTTCCAGCTAAACTGAACAAGCTTATTCCAGGAAGCTCTTTGGTTATGTTGAAGGATGTCAGCCATTTCGCTCCTGTTCAGGACCCTGTTGGATTTGCAGCTGCTATTGAGGCATTTGTTTCCGGCACAGCACCAAAGAACTAGGAGGCTTGAATCTGTGCCGTAGATATGAGGGTACATTTTGTTAGATACAAAATTAAGAGCTTGCTTAAATTGGCTTTTACCATGATGAAGAATAACGTGATGTGTTTTAAATTTTGCTGCTTCAACGTTGTATGGCAATGTTCCTTCCCAGGCTCTATGCTTTCGATTAAGCTTTGATATGTTTGAGAGTACCAAAAGATCATAGCAAGAGAACGACATGAAAGCCGACAAGTATTCGAAGAAAAATGAATGAATAATTACTCATTTATTGGAATTTCACCTTCTATGCCACCCTCAAATTCAGCGTATTCCACCATTACTCAACTACCTATGGTTTGCCTGTTTGGCAATGACTCTTAATATCTTCCCGTGCAACTTTGGAGCTTGTTTCAAAATTAGTCACTCTTTGAAGGATTCCAGGGACTCGTGCAAATCATTAGTAATTTGTACTCACTTGAAACAATGTGCATGTCTATACAACTAGTTTACGTTCGCTAGAAGGTTTCTCCTCTTCGCTCTCCACCCTGTTGTTCCCACGTCTTATAAGGTTGAAAGTGTAATAGCTAGATATCGCCCTTGATCTGATTTTTGTACCTTTCCGTCACGCTCATAAATCAGTTGAGTCTTGCTTTCTAGTAATTGTAATGCTAGTAGAAGTGCGCTATAGCTGAACGCTCTCTGGAAATGTAGGCCAATTCTCTCCGTACTACTCAATGTTACTAAAGTACTATCATTTCCTTATTGAACTAGATAGGGCTAAAACAGACTTAAGTAAAATAGACTAGGCACTAGTACTCTACTCTCTTTTCCTCTACTTACCATCCAACTCAAATCCCAAGCCCAAAATATCGAGAAACTTCAGTTATAACCTTTCACTTCTTACTTCAAGAAGCTAAAGGAAGGTATCCAAGTATTTCAAGTCAGCGAACTAACGAAGTATCCCGGAACAGATGGGACCTAGAAATAAAAACGAAGCAGGATTTGCTACATATAGTTTTCGACCTTAAGAAAGACCGGCGAAAATTGCTAGGGTAACAATTTATAATCACCTGTGAAATTCCAGGAGGTTAATTCAGTACAGATCACCCAGTGGGGCTCAATACTGAATGGGGGGGGGTAATATAGTCAAAATCTAGTTACGCAAGGGATGATTTAGTGATTTGTAATACATCAGGGGGTATTTTGGCTGATTACCCACAAAGGAAAAAAAAAAGCTTTATCCGGATAAACATACCATCTCAACCCTCAAACTCAAACATGATCATCTTCCAAGGCCTATATCTAACAAGCAATTCTTACCCGGTCTTCTCTCCACTACTAGGTATTTATTTCAAGGAAGTAGACAATCCCACGAAGGATCAGAGTGCCGGTAGACCAAAACTGACAGTACTTACTACCTAGTTAAGCGAGAACCCCCACATTCTATTCAATCCAAGTACCCATCAAAATTCCCGAGGATGAACGAACACGAACAACAAGTCCCATTCATACAAGCCATTTCTGCAAAACACACATACTCATTCTATCATTTCATATCGTCTCATTGCTTCTCATCCGCACAGTACATACACAAGCCCAAATTCCCATACCAAAACCCCACCACCAACAGACCCCTACACAAAAGCCTCGAACTAAACCTATATACACTCTCCAACACTCTCCAACACACCCATACCCACCCATAACCAAACCCCATCAATTCCACCCAAGGCTCATCCATCCCTCTCAGTCTCAATCAAACCGTAGCATTAACCAACGGCCAATTAATCCCCTTATCCGCGGCCCCCGTATTCCCCAAGCCGGCACAGCTATACAAACCCACGGGGTTATTGGCTGTAGCCCTCATGTATTGGAGATCGATGCATTCCTCTGTATATTCTCGTCAGGTCCATCTCAACTCAATCATACTGATTTGTAATACCGTAGGCACGACTGAGAATGAGAGTGATAGGGGGAGGGGTGGAGAGGAAAGAAAGGGCAAAGGAGGAAAGTGAAAAGGGAGGAAGGGAAGGACAGAAAAGGAAAGGAAAAAACAGACGCGGACTCGAAGCACCCAGCGCAATCCTCCCATCCTTCATAGCAACCCACTTCTGCGCAACCTCGGTAGAGGAACAATTCTGTAGATAAATATTCCCCATATCTTTCCAATTTGCTGTTTCTTCATCAGTATCGACACTATTAACACTATTCTTCTAACAACCCCCTTCACCCACCACACAAACGTGGTGAAGAAGGATTTTATGCAGGTAATGGAAAGGAGATGAAATGACGGGAGAAGGGAGGATAAAAGTGTAGAGTGTAGAGGGAAGGAAGAAAAGAAGGAAAAGGAAAAACTAACACTTCCCCCCAGCATCCATACACAACCCCGACTCGACATGTTGAATCGCCGTATTCCCTTCTTTGATATACCAGTGCTGCTCAGCTTTACTATTTTTCGTTTGCCTATACAGCACATACACATTAGCACTTTCCCCTTCCCCTCACCTTCTCCCCTTCCCCCTCTCCTCTTCACCCCCCTTCCCTCCTCCCTCCCTCCTCCACAACAACAAAGAAGTTTCAAAGAAAAGGGAAGAAAAAGGATTCACAAACACAACCAAAGTCGTCCCCCCCTTCACCGGCGTCTTCGGCACAACAACAAACTTCACATCCACATTCGAAGTGATATACACGGTCCGAAAGCCTTCAGGGGCTACAGCATCAACGAACCTGACGCTCGTGGCTGCTAGAGCGAGGACGAGGGAGATGAGGGAGGTGCTTAACATATTGAATTGGCGGAACAGATTCCGAGAGTCTTCTAAGCAGGTTCGGTTGGTCTAGGCTGAGGACGTGGAAATGAGATGTGTATACAACAAGCGATGGAAAACCAAAACAACCCCCAAAACCAAACCCGCAAAGCCAGGACTACCTCATTCAATATATATCTCCACACTCTCTCCCTCTTTCATCCCCTCCAAACCCTCCTACCCAATCCAATCCAACCCTCCAATTCACCCACCCCATCCAACCTCCGCCTAAACCCACCAAACCCATCACCTCACGACCATAAACACCCACAACGCGCCCATCTATCCCAAAGAACCGTCTTAATTAAATGTTGATAAGTAGCACGAAAAATGTCCCCACTCAATCAAACCCAACCCCATTCGATGAAACTCCATTAAAAAAAACCCCCACCCAGTCACGCGTCCCACCGGCAGATACCATTTTCCACATTTTCCACATTTCCCATAGCACCATCCCCCATGGCAAAAACACCCAAAAATCGAGCGACCTGACAACACCCGGCAGATGGAACCATATTCCATAGAATTTCGACAATTATAGAATTCTCTCGACTTTTCCAACAAGGCAATTAAAACGTAGAATGTAGCGGTAGGTAGTCTATAGCGATCATATATAGAATATAATAATGATATATAGATGAAGTAAATAAAACTTGCTATAGATAAACCTAGATATAAGGATATTCGTGGAGGTAATTTTCGTAAGGATATAACTATCCGAGGTTATCCTTATATAGCGAGGGTCTTGGTATATATACCAAACAAAAAAAAAATTGGGATCTAAAATTTATGGATGTAAACGAGGTTATCCTTATATCTAGTATCCTTATATCTAGGTTTATCTAATCTATAGTACCTAATACCTAATACCCAATACCTAATACCTAATACCTACTTTCCTTAATAATCAACAACCTAAAAAACCCCAACAAGCCATTCATTCAAAATAACCCCTCTACCTTACCTAACCATACATAGAATGACATTCCTAATTTTTAATAAACGAAACTAAGTACCTACATTACAATTACAAAAACCCCCTTCCTCCCTAATCTTCCTCCCTAACCTTTCAACCTTCCAACCTAAATATAAATCTCCCTCCCTACTTACTTAAATACAGTACCTTATCAATGAATCCATTCGGACCGCAGGTAGAGACTTTGATAACCGGGTTATACTATATAAAGAAGTTTATATCCTCCGTATATTCCGATCGTTGGAATATATACCGCTACTCGAGTAAAAGAAAATGAATTCTAGTAAAATATTATATGGAATGGAGTTTATCCAGATGCCGAGCGTTGAACGACTAATTATATCTCAAACCCCTTGATTGCAATTTATGGATAGTAGGTGTGGTAAGTAAGTCGCAGTATCCAACTACCGGTACCTAATTATAAATGCCCAAGTCACAATATTAGCCCTCGGCTAGGAAAGGTGGCTAAATCGATAAATTACTCATGGCCTAGAGGTTCAAATTAAAGAAAAACGATTCTTCCAAGACACCCCACCCGGCTAACTCACACCCTCATATTCATCCAAAAAGCAAATAGGAAAAAATAATCTGTTATTAAAAAGTCCACGTCTGGGCATCCCATCTCCTCTCACCCCATCAAGAATCCCATAAACCTCATGAGGTGGAAGTATAAGTATAAGTATTGTAATACTAAACTATATATATATACATTCCTTCCTCTCCCCCTCCACTTCTCCACTCCCAGAGACACATGTCATCCATATCACATCTCACCTCATAAACCCGTAATCCCATAATCCCATAAAACCAAAACACCCAAGACCCCAAAGTCAACACCCTTTCCATACCCTCCCAAAAAGAAATCAAGGGAAACGCCTTTATCCCCATCTTGAAAAATCTCCAGAAAACTCCTGTAATAATCCCATTTCTCATTTCCTGTGATGAAATGAATCCCCAGAAGAACACGCTACACAATACATGATTTCTCAACACGAACCGATGAGAAAAGAACGAGACGATGTCGAAGCAAAGAAGTATATATAGAGAAAGGAAAAGAAAGAAAAAAGTATAAGAACAATAAGAAAAAGAAGATATAAAGAAACTTTTATATACACCACACCAAAAAATATATAAGTCTATTCCGTTCCAAAGATAGAAAGAGACGAGAAGATAATAGGAAAAGAAAAATGATTCATAAAAAACAGAATCATCCATGAAAAGAAGTAGGAAAATCAACAAAATCTGCACCACCTCTCAAGATCTGTTCATCAAAGATCTGATTAACCCCAACCCCAGCTACACTTCCATCGAAAAAGTCTGTTCCCGTAAACCCCGTGACGGGATTAGGGAAATTCGAGAATTGTCCAAAATCACCACACGAAGTGGCCTCAGTACCAACAAGAGAATTCATATCAAACATCCCATCTCCACCTATATTCGGAAAGTCGTGGATCATTGGAGAGTGATTGTTGATGTACGTGCCACAATGGTTGTCAAAGGCGGTATTTATAACGCCAGACATGGGCTGTGAAGAATAATGCTGTTGCGGCTCGTAGTTCTCGACATTTTCGTTATCGGACGTCTCGCCATCAACCGCTTCTTCCTCATCATCTTGCAATGAGGCTGGCATCAGACAATCCTGTGCCTCCTCAACTTCTTTCATCCAATGCTTCAATTCAGACATGGGAGGCCAATCACCACCTCCTTTACCTCCACGCTTATCGGCATCGTCGACTTTACTGCTTTTGCTTCTGCCTTTTTTGGGCTTGAAGTGTGCTCGACGTAGGTGAGCCGCTGCGTTATAGTATGCCCCATATTTCTTTTTCTGCACACAGGCTTTGCATTTGGTCAAAGCCAACTCTGGTTTGGGGTGACTCGACCCTAAAGGTTCGATACACACCCACTTCTTGACTGAAGCTTTATGCTCTCGGTCTTGGTGTCTTCTCAGCTCGTGCTCACCGCGAAACCCTTCGGTATGTGACTCGCATTGAGTACAAAATACGCGTTCATGTTTCGGACGCTGATAGCTTGGCTTGGTGATAGCCAGCTTGTCTTGCGATCCATCATTCGATGCGACATGACTCGTCGATTTTGAAGAGTTTGATCGTGACATGGGAGTATCTGTCTCGCCTTTCGGCATCAACGGCTTACAAGCCAATGTGGCTAGTAAGCGTTGCTTATTTCGAGAATTGGAAGACGAAGAAGAGGAAGTGCTTTCGCTTGATTGAGATTTTTCCATCTTTGTTGCGCAAAGAGGAGATGGGAAAGGATCTTCAGAGGAAAAAGAAATGGGAAATTGAGAATCATTCCCCGCGCCACCAGTACCAATCAATAGTTTGGACTGTTCTTCGCTTGAAGAGCGTCGGGGTTGGGATACAAAAGGAGGATTGACTTCATTATACATGAATTGATGTGGAGAAGTGACATCGGAAGAAAAGGAGTTGTTCGAGTTGAACTTGATCATTTGAAAACTTTCAATCTCATTACACATGCTGTTTTGGCGACTCATGTTGCTGGTGAGTGTCGTGCCCGTTGTGAGAGACTCAGTTGTCGGTGTTGATGGTGAGCCGAGGTTGAAAGAGCCACTTGTTGTAAAGTGGTTGTGATTGAGTGTTGCTGAAGAAGGCGTTGAGAATGATGGTGAGATGGGAAGGATTGAATTATCACCCATTGTACGTGAGATGAAGTCTCCTGGGTGTTCCAGGTCTCCCAATTCCGGAACCTGTTCCAGTCCGTAGCTTTGTTGTGACGCCGAACGTTGGAGGTGAAGAGGTTGATGAGTGAGGGTATAGGAGCTCATAGGCTGGTCTTGCATCCAAGAATCCAAAGCCGGGTTCTCTCGTTCCAATCGAAATAGAGGAGGGATAACGGAGCCATTTTGTGTGAATGGGAGATTGCCACCGCTTCGTGATGAGGAAGTTCCCTTCAAGTTGGTCCTGGCCATGGGAGTTGGTGCGGATTGTTGAGAGAGGGCTCGTGAAGGCTGGATGGGGGCTTCTATCCGATCCTAGTTGTCATTAGAGCCAGTTCAGGAAGGGAGCACCAAAGAATAGTCCTACAGAAAGTTGGCGAGCCATGGTAGCTCCGGCACTGGACATGCTTCGGGGAACATTATTACTTCGACGATGGCTATAATGCTTGTGGATGGGGGACCGTTGGAAGGTGGTTGCTTGGGAACCCGAGGAACTGGCAGCGAGATGGGCCTGGAGCTGTGCCGTGATCTGTGCTTGTTGTCGAAGAAGTTCTTGGAGGGTTTGGTCCTGGTCCGTGAGGGTGGTGTCGATGGTGAGAGAAGGAGACATGCTTGGGTGTTTCGGTTGGGCCGTGGGCAGCTTTGTGTGTTAGAGGGGGTGTTGTCGTGTTGCTTACTGCCTCGCCTCGTGGTGTTGTTTAAGCTGTAATGATGTGCAGCCCTGTGAGGATCAGCCATGAGGTCTTCGTCTTCGTCTTCGGTGGAGACAAGAATGAGGATGAATGGATGAATCAATGTACAGAAGAACTTACGAGGAGCGTTATTGCTACGTCAAGCAATGAAGTTATCGATAATGGTTCGTGACAGTTTCGTCTGGTCGATGGTGTACAATGATTGACACGGGTGTACTTGATACTGTATGGGTATGGGTAAGGTCTGGTTGTAGATGGTTGACTAGGCTCTCGAAGATCGTGGGACCTTGTCACTCAAAAACGAGGCGAAGAGTAGCAACAGGAGATGGATGAGACTTTAGAAAAAGAGGCGGACGAACCAACCTTTGTATAAATGAAAGTTTGGGATGGGATGGGGGGTGTGTAGGGGGGGTGGACTTGGATGGGAATGGATGGGGCTCTGCCGTNCCAACCTTTGTATAAATGAAAGTTTGGGATGGGATGGGGGGTGTGTAGGGGGGGTGGACTTGGATGGGAATGGATGGGGCTCTGCCGTCAAGGTTTTGGATTACGGTCGGGCACAGCAGGAGCAGAGGTTAATCTTAGCGCATCTCCACCGAGGGGAAAGGGAAGGGGGGAAGGAAGGAAGGAGGGATGGAGGGATGGAAGGGGAAAACGAGGGGGAGGGTGTGGGTGTGGGTGCACGGTGAGATTTTGGATTTTCCTTCCCGCTTGGGATGGGGATGGGGGACGATCAAGCTTGGTGGCTTGATGACGACCACGACACACCAACAGGCGAAGAGGCTAACAGGCTACTCAAGCAACAGCACCAACAACAGCACTACAGTATGGGACACCCAAAGTGAACCACACCAAAACCATATTTGACTGAAACCACACTTCTACCTACAACACCATAACAACAACAACACTTAATAATTAATTTAATAGACGAAAAGATGCGCCTGAATTAGCTGAACAAAATGTACTTACTAGCTTTAATTTAATTAATTTATATAAAATGTAGGGCTTATATTTGCCGAGCCTTTGCATTTGTCTTAATTTTTTTTAGCTTGCCCCACTTTTCTTATTACAGCTTAACTAAACGCTATATAAAAAATCTAATAAGTATGATCGATTTAGAATAGTCGAATTGCTTTATATAATACTTAATATTAAGTCTTTATAATTATAGTTAATAGTTATTATATAAGTAGGTAGTACTTCTACTAGTCTACTTTTCTCGGTATTACCTAGAAGCTCTTTAACTCTTAACTATATAACTATACTATACTACCACTATAATCTACCCTTCGAATACGAAATAAACGCTTATAATAGATTCTAATATATATTATTATTTAGTCTATAAGTTATTAATCTTATAAACTCTTAATAAGCGCCTATATAAAGAGTATAGTAAATAGAGGCTAACCTTAACTCTAGTAAAGTAAATAGACTTGAAAGTACTTAATATAAACTACTACCTTCTACCTTAATATAAACTCGAATATAACGCTATTGTATTAGATATAAAGGTTCCTAGCTTAGGGTTGTACCCTATAATAGTTTCTGGTAGTTCTAGGGACCTTATATTCCGTAGTTAGATTAAAAGAATAACCTCTTAATTCGCCCTCCTTTAATAATACCTCGAGTCCGGCTATTAAATCTAAGTACTTTTCTACTTCTCGCGAAATAACAATAACTAGGGTATTAATATATATAGATTAATATAGAATAGAAGCGCGAGTTAGAGACTTATTATAAAGGATTAAGAAGATTTTACCATACCTAACTAACGTACTAGAAGGCTAAATTAGAAGACTTATAAGATAGAACGTTTTATAAAGAAAGCAGTATATTATTTATACTCGCTTATATTATTATATATAAATATATAAATTACAAGGCTATTTATCTACCCTATAGATTTAATTAAACTCCTATATAACCGCCTCCGATATTAACCTATAAGATCTCTATTTTTTAATATACTAAGCGGCTACTTAGATACTTAATCCTTTATAATAAGTATCTATAAACCTAAAGGTTCTACTATAATATTAACGGATTATATTCGTAGTATAGGAATCTAAAGTAATAACTACTTCCTCCTTAGTATATACGAATAACTTTTTAATAACCTAGTAATATTAATACTTCGAGTAGCCCTAGTATATCTCGATAGTATTTAACTTATAGTAGAACTTAAGTAGAAATAAGTACTTATACTTACGATCCTTATATAATTACTATAAAATAAACTTTTATTAACTAAAGTCGTTATAATTTTATAGTACTCGAGCTTAATAATAAGGGTCTTTTAGTAGGTCTCCCTTAATAGGATTAGAATACCTCGGAGTATACTTTACCTTAAGTTTTAGATATTAAAGATTATTCTAATAACCTCGTTCCTTAAGAATAGTTTTAATACCCTTTAGAACTTTCTCTTTAGTTAAATCCCTATTCTTAAGGGTTATATAATACTATATTCGCTAGGGTAAACCCGATATATCCGGGTAGTTTCTAGGATAAGTAGTATTCTTAAGTAGGGGTTACTTTCTACTATTACCTAAATTTATATTAAAGGTATTTAGAGCTTCTTTGTTATACGAAGTATATACTAAGGATTAATCGAATATAAATACCGTAATATAACCCGGATAAATCTCTTTAAAGATACTAATTACGTCTTTAATTTATTCCGCGAGTTATTAAGTATTCTACTAAGGATCGCTATTCTTACTAGGATATATAATTACCCTAGTATCGCGAGTAATATTACTATTAAGGTCTCTTTTAATAATATACCTCTCTAGTTCTACTAAATTAGAGACGTAGACTAGTTTTCCTATACTAGTTTTAGGTAGTACTTTCTATTAATCTTCTCTAAGCTATATACTCTTATAGAAGTCGTTTTAATAGAAGTACGATTCGTTATAAAAGTATAGTATATATTAGCGCTCGCTAGGTTCGAGAGTTAGTAAAATCGCTATTTACTTACTAGTAACCTTATTCTTTAGATTAAGTTTCTTAATAAAATAAGTAGTAAGACGGTTAATTAAGGCTATTATAAGTAAAAATACCTTATTATAGTACTTAATAATATACTCTCTTTTATTAAACGAAATAAGTAGAACTAATTCGAGAGAACTAATAATATACTATTTTTATATTAATAGTTTTACTAACTATTAGTAATTATAGAAGTAAATCGTTATTAATTATATAAGTAAAAGTAATAGAAGTTATAGTACTTATTTTTTATAATAAATACTATAATCTATAAGTATTAAATACTTGTTTATTATCTAAAAAGGAGGTAGTTTAACCCCCTCATTTACCCCTATAAGCTAAAACTAGTAAAGTACTATATATTATATAATAATAGTAAAGTACTCGAATCCTATAAGTAAGGTACTTTCTAAAAGTCTCCGGATAGTAGACCCTTATAATATCCTATAATATAGAAATCTACCCTTACTAAAATATCTCTAGCTTAAGTATATTAGTAGTAAATAAATATAATAAGAAGAGATCTCGCTAGAGCTAGGGGGGGTGGTTTAGGTTTTTTTTATCCGCGGTTAAACGTTTATAAACTTATTCTAGGGTTAAAATATTAGGTATATTAACTTTAATTCTACTAACTAAATCTACTAGAGAATCTAGAATCTCTTCCCTAGCTCTAACCCTTAGATCTAATATAAACCGAACCGGCGATCTATCTATAGTAGTATCCGCGGGAACTATTAGTTATAATAGGTTTAGAATAGGTTTAAAACCTAGATTACTACTTATACTAAGCTTATTACTATATAGATACGTCGAGTATACTAGACTAATTATAGCAGGATTAATAGAAGTATTCTAAGGTTTTAATTTAGAGATAATATTCGCTAAATCCTTTCTTTCTTTCGCCTTTTAATATTCTATTACTTAACTTATTCTATTATATTTAGCCTTCTTTTTAGGTATAGGATTTAAGGTTTATTAGTATAAAATAAAGGGTATTCTAAGAGTGATAACCTTTTTATTACTCTCTATAATTATTTATTTCTTCTTCTAAAAGTTATAAATTAAAGTATTTATAAGAAATTTAATATTCTCCTTATTAAAGTTATTCTTTATATTCGCTATCTTACTAAAGTAAGTTTTAATAAATACTAATTTATCCTTATTAAGCGAGGGTTTAAATGGCGACTTATCATAGTATAGAGAGTTATATATATCTCTAATAATTATTCCTACTTAAGGTCTTTTCGGTAGAAAGAAGGAACTAATTAGTTTATTTATATTATTAAATAAAGTAATAGTTTAATTCTAATAATAATATAGCTATATTATAAAGAGAGGTAAAGCAGGTATAAAACATATAGTATTAAGGTATAGTATTAAGGTATAGTATTAAGGTATATACTTATTAATATCTCTACTAGACCTATACTTAATAGGGGTATATTTAGTAAAATATACCTAAAATCTACTATTTTTTTTTACTAGAATTACCTAGTCGTCATATTTTTAAGAAATCTTTTAACCCCCTTACAATAATACTTAACTAAGGCTTATATGAATTTTTTAGTAAGTATAATCTTGTTCTTTTAGTCTAATTACTCTATTTAGCTAATAAAAATATAGTTTATATCGCTAATCTAAAAAGTCTTTCAACTAAGTGGTCGAGAATATGGTTTTGGTGTGGTTTACTTTGGGTGTCCCGTACTGTACTACTTCTGTGTACCACCACTACTACTGCGTGGTAGTAGTCTACTACCACACAGACATGCCATGCGAATCCTGCAACACTTTCTCGCATTCTCCTTTGCTGCCTCGCGATTTGGCATCTTGGCAGCCCGATTCTGAGCCCGAGTCTGAGTCGGAATTCTGAACTCTGAGCATACCCTATGAAGCATCTGAAGCAATGGCCAGAAGTCAGAAGTCGGTGGGGAGAGACGATGGGGAGACGATGGGCGTATCGGATGCGAAGACGGTGACTGTTTGCTACTGAGCTGTACTGAACTGGGTAGTTGTTGCTGTTGCTGTACTGTACTGTAGTTGGCTGAAGCTCTAGCATTAGCATCAACGGCAAGGCGTTGAGCCGTTCATAGGTACTGTACAGCGTACAGTATGTACGAGTAGTCTGTAGGTGCTAAGCCTGCACTCTTTCCTAAGTCTCACGGTTTAACGAGGTCAACGGCCGCCATCCCGTCTATCGGCTTATTCTCTATCTGAAATCAAGACGATTCTTACCACAGTGCAGTAGTACCTACAGGTAGTCTAGCCACGACTCGGTCTTTGCAGCCTATGAAAGGTATAGGACCAGGACTACCTACCGGACAGGCAGCCATCTCTAACTAGATAGGCAGGGGAAGTGTCTTGGTAAGATCAGAGTACAGACTCGTAGCCGGGCGTAGAAAGTGCAGGTGCGGCTGTAATGTCACTTCTACTGCACACGGCAGGAACGATTCCACTTCGACACCTCCACATTTCAACTCTTCGATACACCGTTGGCGCCTGCAAATCACCTCTCTTGCTCATACTTCGAAGTACACAGGCATGGTAATACCGACATGATCGAGAATTACCAGCATCACCTTACCTCCAAAGCGTGCATCGAAGCAGAAACAAATGCCTCGCGTGGCCCTGGTCCATGTTGATGTGTTGTTTCCAAGGATCAAACAAGATCAGCCAATCATAAACCCCCAAAATCTCCCACCGTTCGCCCCGAAGACATCACTCGCTCCACTGAAATCGCAAACAAAAATGAGGCGGACGACGCCCATCCTCGCTGCTTCCGCCTCACCGAAAGATCGCCTTCCCACTGGTCCACGGTCAACTTCACCACTCCACTACACTTGACGCCTGGCTTACGATGCACCACGTTGACCGCGATAATTGGGAAAACGAAAATAAAAATGGTTCGCATTTTTACGCCCCAGTCCGCAGTTCAAGGCTTTCGTTTCCTTAGCAATCAACAACCGTCACGTCGACCTCCAGATGAACGTTGACTGGACCGTTACGAGTACTCTTTACAGTAATTGTGTCAACTGGGTCACCCACCAACCACAACACCATGTTCACATCATCCAGACGCTGACCGACTTCAAAAGTGTACCAAGTACTAGTGTGACAATGCCATCCGAATCCTTGCTTCAGCATCACGCCTTGCCTTGGGCGAAAAGGGTGCGCATGTCTCTTTCTGGTCTGAAATATGGCTGGGCAACTCAGCTCAGCTCAGCTGCTGTGTTGATACTATCGGGCAGCCCAATCTACGATAGGAATTTAGGTTACGGTTACTTCGTACCACCGAATCATCGTGGCGAGACGCCCATGATTTGTCACAACCAGAAACCTCTGATACCCGATGCATACACCACAACCATTATTGCTCTGCTCCCCAATGCATACACCACAACCATTGCTCTGTTCCCTAATCCGGTCTTTTCATTGTTGCTCAAAGAAGGATCGATCGACTTTGCCTAACCTTAACCTTCCTTAACGTTAACCTCGAATCCTCGATGCATTTTTTGCGAGACCAAATACGAGGAGGTTCAAGAACTTGCGGGGTACACGTGCGTTCAATGCAAGAATCCCAAAGAGCCTCGCTGATACTTTCCATTCGAGACTCGTCGAATGTTGAATGTTTCTTGTTTCTACTTCCATCTCCCTTCGAAACAGGTACCAGGAACAAAAATACGTTGTGACTGGTAGAAAACTCCTACATCTACACCTGCCAGAATTTCATGAACTACTTTTCCTACCTACTCCCCTCCAACGGCTGCTTGATATGCCTTGACTGTCGATATCTACCCACCCTACCCCGGTTCGGTTTCTCATCACTTGTGATTGATATACGTTTGCACTTTGAAATGCCAGCTAGCTTCGTTCATGTATATGAATCGCACTCCCCACCTCTGACTCATCGGCCGTCCATTTTCCGTCCGGAAATGCAAGAACCGATGGGACGACGCATGCCTCTCTGACTTGTTGAGAAAGAATGTTTCTTGTACAGTACTGTAGGGGCCCAACTCACTACTCAGCGCATGAGATGCGGTATTTTCATTACACGGCAGTTGTGAGCACTAATTTGTTGCAGTGCGATTTAACTTAATTAGAAACAACAACACCCTCTCTAAAAAATTCGCGAGCGAGAACGTCCGCGGATGGGAAAACCCCTCCCGCATCTTATCTCAACATCTCCCCTCCTACAGAAATTCCTCTCCGGATCTTTCGCTTCTCGGTCGGCTCTCCATACATACAATACCTACCTATCCTCGACTTCTCTATCTTGCCACGAGGCATATTCTGAGATCGTGTCGTGGAGCTTTACGATGTATCTTACTGGAAGTCTAGAACAGATTACCAAGTCTTTATCCTATTCTGTGTGAGATTACAGTATGGTAGGTAGACACTTGGAATCTCGGAATTTCGTAAGATAAACGAGATTTTGTTGATCGTTCGTGGAGGGTTTCTTTTGTGGAGGTGGGGGGTTGGTGGGGTTGGCTCTGATAGTGAAGTGAGGCTTTGGCTATGATGGTATGTTCACTACGCTATACTGCACTGTACTCAGTAGGGAGATAGCCTTTTAGGATTTATGGGTTTGTGAGTTTGTGAGGAAGTGAATTTGTGAGGAATGAAGTATGTGGGTAGGCAAGTTAATATGTAATTAAGTGAATATACAAGTAAGTAAGCTGAGTTAATCAATAACCACCCTCGAAACGAACGGACGACTTATATGCGATAATACTATACACTACACTATACTATACTAACTACTCCTATTGAACACCCGCTCGTAAGAGTAGATGATTCGCATTTGGCGAAAATATTCAGGTTTATGATTATAACTGTTACTCTTCTTGCTCCATATCTACGAGTACAGTATAGACAATAGGTTTGTTGATCATAGCCTTCTACGAATTCCCCTTCTACGAAGAGGAAGGAATATAGGTTGATGGCGTTCTGAATCCGGGGTTTTGTTCGCGCTGTTGGTTCTATTTATGTTAGGTAGATGAGAGCTCTTGATGATTTATATAGATATGTATTATATGGCTGTAATTGTAGAGTAGAGTTGATATAGAAATGTAGAATGAAGTTTCGGTGTCGATCACAAGCTAGGTGATTCCTTGCCGATGTTCCACTGTACTCGAGTATTCCGACCTGGAATGTAGACATGACGCCACGTGGCTGTGCTGATTATCTGATAAGCCGTTGATGACAGTTTGGACCAACTCCAACACCTTGAGGGAACAACTTGCCAATTATATTCCCCCTTCGCAATTCCATTTCCATATGGCAAGATGCGCTCACTTACTTCAGCCTTGTTGGCGGTAGCCCCAGTGGCTTTTGCCAGTCAATCAACCTTCAGTGTACATGATGATATACTGGCATATCCACAAGTATGTCCCAACTCCCCCTCCGCTTTGCGCCTCACTAACAATGCATAGTATGAAGTGATCTTTTCCGAGTCGCCAATATCGGACACGGCAGCGAAGCTCATTGTTGAACAAGCCTCCTCTCACGTCCGCGAAACCGCCCCGAGTTCGAGTACTGGTATCGAATCTCGTAACCATGCAACCAAAGAACCAGACAAAGCCGACGAGGACCGACCTTTCGACCCCGCCAAAGAGACCTTTGAGATTATGAAGTTGGATGGAGAGCAATATTTATGTACAATACCAATCGTCGATACCCCTCCAAGAAACGAAACGGCAGAAGCAGAAGCAAAGGCTGCACAGCAGAAGGAACTGGCACGCGCTTCAGACCGGGGATGGGAGTTACTTCAAGATCTAGAAGGGAATTGCTTATATTTTGTTGACGGATGGTGGTCATATGCTTTTTGTTACAATTCACAACTCACACAATTCCACCAATTACCCCCTCAACCCGGAAAGCCCGCTCTCCCACCCGTTCGCGATACCAACACCAAAGAATTCGTGCTAGGTCGAGCAAAGAAACCCAAGGCCAAATCCGATGAATGGAGTAATGCCGTCTCCCCACAGAAGTCTTCCCGACACGATGCCCCCAAAACCGAGCTCCAAGTCAAGGGAGATACCAGATACCTCGTACAAAGAATGGAAGAAGGAACCATCTGCGATCTCACAGGCAAACCACGACAGGTCGAGATCCAATTCCACTGCAGCCCCCAAATCACCGACCGAATCGGATACATCAAGGAAGTACAAACTTGCTCATACCTGCTGGTTGTCTACACCCCTCGTCTCTGCAACGACGTCGCATTCATGCCCCCCAAAAGCGACGTCGCCCACCCCATAAACTGCCGAACCATCATCCCCTCCTCGGAAATTGAGACGGAAACCGCCCTCAAAGCCGCCCTCGCCTCCGTCGAAGCCGAGATCAAAGCCGCGACCCCCACCAAATCCTCAACACCCAGAGTCAACGTCGGTGGACTCATCCTCGGCGGCGGACGATGGGCAACGAAAGATGGGTCGAAACTTGCGATTCCTTCCAACTTTGGCGTGGAGAATTTCGGCAAGCAGGTCGAGATCATTGCCAAGGCGAAGAGTAAATCCGAGGGTGGACAGGTGGAGATGGCGAGTCCCGAGGAGTTGAAGAAGATGGATTTGGACCCCGAGATGGTGATGGAGTTGCGGACGGAGGTGGAGAAGATGGCGAAGGAGAAGGGGTGGCAGATTCGGGTCGTGGACCAGGCGGGGGAGGAGAGAGCTATTTTTGGGATCTTGGATTCGGATGATGATGATAAGGATTCTTCTGATGGTGGGGATGGGGAAGGGAAGAAGGGGAGTGCTGGTGCTGGTTCTGGTGCGGGAGAGAAGAGGAAGGAGAAGGAGAAGGAAAATGAAAAGGAAGAAGAGAGTGAAGTGGGGAGTGAAGAGGTCTTCAAGGATGAGTTATGATCCTTTGTATTTTGTTGTATTATTTATCTCTCTCTTTTCTTTTCTTTTTTGGTTGTTAAAAAGGATAAGAATTTAGCGCTTATACCCCTACTCATATCTCATTCCATCCTGCGTCTTGTCCTTCTTCTTTCTTATCCCCCTTTCTCTTCTGTCTTCTTCCATACTGATACTCATACCCTTCATTTCTGGCTCGTCCTGCTTATGTGAAATCTTTTACAAAAGACCAAAACTCTCTGGGCGCTCGCCATACTCGTCCAAAATCTAGGACCTAGCTTCCCTCTACTCAAAGGCTTTACTACATCTCCTGATTAATACTTGATACATTCTATTCCTTCAACTTCAAGTTAAGTGTACTGATCCCTTTTTACAAAAGTTTCTGGTGTATAATAAAATAGGTTATAAATACAGGTCGGGTCCTCGCTTGCTTGTTTGTTTTTTTAACAGAGATAGGAAGGAGATTCGGATGGTGTGGGGGGGGGGAGAGGGTGGAGGAGAGGAGGGGTTAGGAATGGCAAGGGATGGGGAGAAGAGGGGAGTTATGTCTTTCTATCCTTTGGAAATTGGACTTGCTTGGTAGCTTGTGGAGTGTGGAGTGTGGGGTGTGTATGTCTTTCTATGTCTTGTATCTCTTGGGGGGTTTTGGTGGATTTGTTGGGGTTTTATGTTTATGTTTATGATGTGATGGGATGGGATGGGGTTGGAGGGTTTGTGGGTGCGAATGGGGGGTATAAGGCTCGTATATAGTTGAGGAGATTTAGGGGGATTTCTTGAAGTAATGAAGGGGGTCGACTCGTTTCAAATAAGGGCACGTTTTTACATAATGTCGTCTCTGCTGGTTTGTGGGCCGGGTTGGTGGTTCGTGGCTTAGCTGTAAGGCGGATTTAGTTTAATTTGGTTGTCCTTGTGTTGGGATTAGGACTGTGAAGACCTGTGTATTCATACTTGCTTAAGCAAAGTCATGCTCCTTCATACTATAAAATTAATACTAAACACCATAGCTATCGTATATAAAAGAAGCTAAGTACCTAGGGATAAGACAGATAGATTGGGTGTAGAAAATAGTATTGGAATTTCGAAGCTCGTCCCATCTCTCTTTTTGCACTTAACGTACTTGACTATTTTACTAACTACAGTATATACTAAGTAGCTTTGTTTTTATGCTCGAATTTTTATATTTTGTTTATATGTTGAGATGTGGATAGGGGTCCTGGGGTTACTGGGATAGATGTTTCTGTTCCTTGTGGATTTTTTGGGTTTGTTTATACTTATACGGTTTTAGCTGGATTGGTGTGAGGTGGGTTTTGTAGGTTCTTCGCACAGGGTTTTTTATGCTTGTTTGTGAGGAACTTGGCTTGTTGTTGTCCGGTATTTGTCGTGCATTTTGGGTCTAGGAACGTTCTATATACCCTAGCATTATCGACACAGTTCTGGATGTCCTGTAAAGCTCGTTTGTTGGCATAGTTCATGATTCTTTGGCGTCGGGCCAGGTAGGTAGATAAGTCTTAAGTAGAAGAAGCATCTCCTTTATCCAAACCCACATAATAATCAACTCATGCGTCACTCAGTATCTATCGTATCCTCATGAAAATTCACCATATAAGAGACAAAAACCATCATTACTCCAGACATACCTCAAAAACCCATCACCCTCCAAAAAAGTAAAAGAATCAACCCATCCCTACCATTCCTCACCTCTCCTTCAGAAAATATAAAAAATAAAATAACAAAATATCCAACCCCCAAACCTACAGAACACTACAAGATAAGGAGCGCCAGGTGAGAAACAGCCACACTCGAACTCGAATTGTTTTCTAAGGCCGGAATAGTGTGTTTGAGTACTATAGGTAGGATGTTTTTATTATGAGGATGACTGTGTTTATGGGAGGGGTTGATTATTTGAGGGTTGGAGGTGTGGGAGTGAGGGGGTTTGGGTGGATGTTTGGGTGGGGTTTGTGGTTTGTGGGGGGTTTTTGTTTTGGAGTGGGGCTGGTTGGGAGGTGAAACTTTAAAGGGGAGTGAAAGGGAGGTTGAAGGGTGGGACAAGAGGGGAGAGGAGATGGGGAGAGGTTGTGATGGGTTGGAAGGATATGGGACTGTTAGATTTGTGGGGAATAAGTTTGATAGTTCCTTGTTTGTTTTCTAATAATTGGTAGTGGTATTTGCGTCTTCTGAAAATTGGTAGCATGGTTGAGGACCTGAGCTTGTCTTTGGAACAATACTAAAATCCAGTCCTCTTCAGTCCTGGCGTAAGACACCAAGAACCCGAGTTTTCCTTCCAACACCGTGGCATTCTACATTAACTAACAGACCAACAAGTCCCCCCTTTGCCCTAAAAGACCACATATATACCAGCCTTCACCTATTCAACCCCAGTGACAGAATAATAAAACAACAAGATCTACCTTCACACAGCGTTGGCAATAGTTCAGTTTGCTCAGTTTTGTGCTCAATTTCATACGTAGTAAAACTGTAGATAGTTTGGATCAAAATCTAAAACTGTACTAAAAAAAGACAAAACTAACCAAGCAAACTATTGTAGTTTTTAAAACTGTACGTAAATTTTAGTCTAAATTTATAACTACCTATTATAGTATACAAACTCGGCTAATTCTCTTATAGTATCCTCGTTGTCCGTTTCCTTTAACTATTAAATCAACTTCCTAGGCTAATTTATAAAGGGCTAATAGGTAGATTCTATCAGTACGTCTTCTTACTACGCTGTTGCTAGCGTATAGCTTATTAGGGTAGCACGTGCGTAGATTATAGTAAGGGTGGGCGGTGAAATACAGCCAATCAGAACACTCCAATTTGCTAAAAAGGTTACGACTACTAGCGACCATCTACTCCAGCTACCCGTAGACCTAGAAGGAGCTCTGACCAGTCACGTGCTAGTATAACCTAGACCCCTTACACAATAGTACCCTGTTAAGAGCTCTACAAAATAGTCTTATAAAACTGCCAAAACTGCACAGTTTTAAGAGACAAAACTGTTCTAACCAGCAGTTTGGATTTTGCTATTAAAACTATACCAATTTCCCTAAAAACTGAACTAACCAAACTAACCAGCGGAACTGAGCAACTATTGCCTACACTGCCTTCACAGATAGCTTTAAGCCACCCCACGAGCTAGCAAATACCTCACTTCATATAAAAAGCCCCCTTTCATCAAAGTGACCCGATCCCACTCAAGCCACTTCAAAAGAACGAGCCTCAAACATGTCCTACGATTGGGAAGACACGATCTCCCGTGGCAAATCATATAGAAGGGTCGGAGATACAAATGCGCTTCATACTTTGAAGCAAAGCTGAAGTATGGAAGCATCTCCCCCCCTTTTGGCACGATTTTTTCTGTCGCTCACTTAGCGATATTGCACGCCTTTTAGGAGCTGATACTTCATTTGTTTGAGATACCAGTTACGAAAGGAATCGAACACCCCTCAATGTAACCACTTTTTACTTATTTGGGCTAAATACAGTACTGTAGTTTGTTTTGGAGAAAGTTGGATATTCATACGTAGATATCCGAACAGGGGATTGGCACTGATCTGAACACTTATTTGGAAGGTACTAGTACGGAATTAGTACTTTAATTGTAGAAAGGTGCGAGTTAGGAGTAATAACTTGGATTCTAAACAGCATATTATTTGGATTCTAGATATTGCATCGGTACTCAGAAAGAGTCTACTCCACATATGCAACGCTAAAGGCACCATCTTTAGGTCTTTTGGTAGCAATTGTGTCTCATAGTATCTTGCATTTTTAGAAGACGAATAAGGCGTTGTTGGAATATTTGAAAATAAGCTTGACTAATGGGACATACTCGCTCGCAGCTCCCAGTCTGGAATTGGCATATTTTACGGAGGGTGCTAGTGCTATTCTGCACACTTAAAGCCAGCCAGAAAGCCCGTATATCGAATCGTCACCCTCCCTTGCTAAGTTTTCTTTCTATGCATTTTCTATTCACAACATTCCTCCTGGTCTTTTCTAGCTTTTGGCTGCAATACGCAAGAACTGAATACCTCTTGTCCATTTCGGAAAAAGACTGATTTCTTACTGACCAGCTCTGGATCTGGGCACCAAGGGGTCAAAACAGCCTCACCCAACTACACTTCTCCTCCCGGTTGCATATCGCAACATACCGATCGAGCTTCACTTTCCGAAAGGTCGCCATAGAACTGACTTGCCTTCTTGAAATCCATTTGGACCTCTGCACCCCTCCTGTTCCTCTTCTTGCCTCAGCTTAGTCCCTTTACTAAGCTCTTCAAACCGAGCGATATTTGCTTCACATATAACCTCAACTTGCGCCACTAACCAGCAGATACCAACCATTTCCCGCCTTTTTTCCAACATGGACAAACTCACTCTGAAAGAAGGATAGAAGTTGTGGTGCTGAGAAGACCCCTACAGGAAGTCTCACCCAGAAGTCGTCAGAGTTACGAATCAGCCCTGTGTCAAGGAAACCGCAAGGAGACTTGGTAATATCGGTGCTTCCACCCTACCATCTATCCTTGTTATTATAGACATAAACGTCCACCCTAATTTGAAGAAATCGACGGTTTCACACTGGACAGGCAAAAGTAAGCTTGGTGAGGAAACCTAGTAATGCGTTCAGAGAATGCTACGATACTAGGAATAACACCAGGCGCAGTAACAGGTAAGATTACGTTTGGTACGACAAGAAACTGAGTTCCAGGCATGAAAGCGGGAATAGGGCTGGTATAGTAACTTGCTTATTCGAGTATAACGGGTATAAGATAAATGGAACTGGTACATACGCAAGGAATATAAGTAGATAATATAGGAACATTGAAAGATTGATTCGCTATTAGACTATGATCATAAGCAACAAATCAACTAACGTAGTCCACAAGCGAGTTGGATTCCCAAGCGAAATGGATTTTTTTTCTTGGCATTTTATAAATTCTTAAATATCTCACGACACAATTAATTAAATTAATTACAGTATTCAGAATCGGAATCCTCACATATTTCTTCTCCTTTTTGACAAGTTCGTATGTTATGGCCATGTTTCCCACATAGTCCACAGCGCCGGCGAGGTACTAGACTCGGGCTCGTACAATTACTATTTTCTACTAAAACCACTTGTTCTTGCGAATCAACATTACTAAGGACCCCTAAATCTTGCGCATCTTGGAGAGTAAGTGATCCTCCTTCCTGTAATCGGCGCTTTTTCGTACGACGACGCCGACTAAGTTGATCATTTGCTGTACGAAGTGTAGCATTCTCAGCTCGTAATAAAGCTACCTCAGTGATTGCACGCTGTGCACCCTTTGCAAGCTGGTCTAGGCCATATAGAATCTGGGTCGGAGAACTATCTTGGTGTCGTACGACCTTGTTTTGTATATATGACGTCTGGGAATATGCCTCTGTTATGTTATTTGGGGTCTTTGGTTCCCAAATAGCTAGGAGGCTTGTTGAGGTAGATGGACGTGACGGAGTCCTTGGACGTATATCAAGCTGTGAAATCACAGAATCTGGGTCGTACGGCACTAAGCCAGATCCTCGAAATCCTCCTCGAATGTTTGATTCAGTCATTGTCGTACGAAAGGCAGTATAGAATGTTGATAAGAAATCCTCCTTAGAAACATATGTAATGTGGAGTCGCATTAATTTCTCAAGTTCAGCACCGTACGACCTTTTTAACGCTCGAAAACATCCTACATCGAGTGGCTGGAGTCTATGAGAGGAATGAGCTGGCATGCAAAGAGTAATAATGTTATTACTCTTACAAAAAAGCTCAAAATGGACTGAGTGGTGGCTTTCATGGCCATCAAGCACAAGCAGCCGGTGAATGCCCTTCGTACGAAGCTTTGTATGCCGATCGAAATGAAAAATCCAATCTAGGGCTCGCTCATTTGTTGTCCAGCCATTTGTAGTTACAGCAATTACCCAGTCGCGTGGTAATTGGCTGTTTTCGTACCAGGAGGAGAGGTGGTTCTTCCCCGCCAAAATGATATATGGAGGCACTACAAAGCCGTACGACCCAACACCTTGAATTACTGTTGCCCATTCCCGGTTTCCTTGCTGTACTGTACGAGGTCGAGAAAGCCTTTCGGTACTTGTAACAACCATTTCTGATGTAATTTGGCCCATATAAAACCCAGTCTCGTCAAAGTTATAAATATCCTCCTCCTGAATCCCATATTTGTCAATTATATTTCGTACGAGGCGAAACCACGCGTTATACGCGTCTGGATTTTCGCATTGGACTCTTCGATAATCAATCCTTCGATTAAAACGCGTCTTAAGTTCAGGTTGTCGTCGTACGAAGTTCGAAGTCCAGTTCTTGCCAACGCGTCCTGCACCCCGCTCCGAGAGGATACGATTCGCCATATCTTCAACACAACGTACTCGTGGGGGAAATAATCGAGAATCTAGGTCGAGAATATGTCGTACGATACCTATTTCTTCAATCTCTGTAAGTTTTCGAGATTTAGCGATAGAATCTTGTCGTGATAATATTCCATGAGTTCGATTAAGCAATGTCGTATAAGGTACTTTATAGATCCGCGCAACCTTCTTAACTTTTAAATGTGGGTTCGTACGAAGCGTATTTAACGCAAGAATCATATCAGACTCTGTCCAATGCTTAACCATTTTGTTTGTTAAGAAAAAACGCGCTCTGAATAAGTTTGTGGAGTGCCAAGAAAAAAAATCCATTTCGCTTGGGAATCCAACTCGCTTGTGGACTACGTTACAAGTAATCTCGAATACAAATACGAGTACGAGTGTAATCAGTCAACGATGGAACACTGGACTAACAACTAGGTACGCTATACCAATTCTTCCCTTATAAGAACTATAATTCTTTGAAACGTTCTAAGTTTGAAGTATAATACTTGGCCAAGATAACTCTTCTACTCTCGCTTTCTGATATTTGTGACAGACGTGCTTCAGGTAGAACTCAGAACAATTAACACTCTGTTCTTAGGACCAAAGACGAGGAAAGAAGGAGAGCTCGAGAGAGCTGGGAACTAAATACAGGTCGTGCGCGCTAGCGCCTCGCTAAGCGAGCATGTGACATCCAGCCCTCGTGACCATAACCGTCACAATATTACCCTTACAAGTTTAACTTTCTTATTATAGAAGGTAGATAGAAAGTAAATTATAAGTAAATAGTAGAATTTAGAATATATAACTTTTATCTAGAGTCTTAAATAGTAAATAAAGGTTTACTTAAAGATTTAAGTAAAAGATAAAGGAAATTATTTTATAAGACTTTTAACTTATTTACTTAACCTTTTTAGTTAATCTAGACTCTTATATAAAGTTATATTTAGTCTTAGCTAAGTATTCTCGCTAACCAAATACATGGAAAACTACTAAGTAAACCTAATTAACTATTATATTCATATATTTTAGTAGTATTATAAAGTAAAAAGGTAATAATAACTAAATTATAGAAAAGATAATTAGAATAATACTAGTTAAATTTCTTTAAAGAGAAATTCTAAAACATTTCTTTACATTTCTTTCTTTTAAGAAGTAGAATAACTAAAAGTATAAATAATTACCTAAAAACGATATATTCCTTTAATTCTTTAAAGATTAAACTAATAATAATCTAAATACTTTAATTATTATAAAAAAAACTAAAGTAATTACTCTAGGAGAAACATTTATCAAAGATATAATAGATTAATCTATTTTAATACTAGACTAAAAAGTTCTTTTATAATATTAATATTTTTAATAAATATAATAATTAATTAAGATAAAGCTTGATTAAGTATAAATTACTTTAATTAATTCAATTATAAAAGTGTTTACTATATACTAGATATCATTCTTTACTAAATATAGGAAAATAAATATTTTATTAATTATCTTTAGATTTTAATAGAAGTATAAAATTCTAATAGAGAAAAAGTAAAATAAATTATAATATATTATGATAAATAATAACTAAAAAGAGAACGGTTATAAGTATCTTTAATATAAACTTAAAAGATAATAGTTCATTAAATAAGAATAGTATATAGACTCTACTATAGTTAAAATTATAATATAAGAAAGAGTTTTTAGTAATATTCTATTTAAATAACCTTTATTCTTTAATTATAAGTAAGTATAATTTAATACTTAAGGTATTAGAATAGATCTATATATATAATACATACTTAATTCTAGTGGAACCATACCCCGAGCTATATAAAAGACAATAAAAATTAAATGTAATACTGCTTTTATTTTATTATTAGATAAGTAAAATAATATTTAGTATTTTATTACGTTTATTTTACTTAAATTTCATTACTCTATTATAAAAGTACTATGAAAATAAGTTGGGCTCTAGTAAATAGCGATAAAAGTTTATAACCCAAAAAGCTGCAGCTTACTTTGTCTACCTTGTACGAGTGAATGAAGACCTCGGCGTCGGAAAAAAGGGGGATGACGCTGGTCGGCTAGGGGACCAATGGAAAATTCATCCGATTGCCGATCCAAACTTTGACCGCACGCTAATTCAACGACATCCTATCTTTGCAGTTTGAGTTTTCAAATATTTCTAATATTCCAATAACCCACCTCTGGAAGCCCAGAGGACAAAACAACAAGTGTTGTGCGCAGCAAGTTTTGCGCTGTGAGTCGCAAGACTACTGCTTCTAGCGATTAGTGTCAAGCGACCGATCTGGAGGCTCTTTCACTGTCTGCTGCCCTCAGCACTACAACGCGACCTTTGTCTTGCCAAACCTGGTAGTACCATATGATTTCTTTTGCTGAGTCATTGAGCAAGGGGTTGGTAGTGCTCTACCACTGTCAACAATTTCAATTCGTTTCATTCAAAGCTTCATCATGGATGCTCTGGAAAGAGGACAAATATCGATGGACCGATCTTTTTGCTTGAAAAGGATAGGCATTGCGTTTATTTTTGATCTCTTTTAATTCGTCTTGCTCAGATTAGAGATGTCTGGTTGGTTGTTCTATTTCCTAGTAGACGATGTGCGCGTTTCAATATAATGGCACGAATGAACTGCTCAGCGCATTTCTCAAACTCAACAAATCCAAGAATAGCAATATGCTATGATACAAAGAATGGTATTCATTTCCGGGTCTCAAATCCATCGATTTCGAGTCCAGCAGGGCTTTCTTTCTTCTGCCGCAGTGCAGTCGAAAGTCCTCGTCTTCCGCAAGTGTTGTGGTGTGGGGTGGGTGACAGGCGGGCGGGAGTGCCACTACAGTTCTTTTATATATACCCAGAGTACTGGGAGTGGTGGTGGAAGAGAAGAGGCCTCAGAAGAAGAATTCTAAACAATATTACTTTCCTTTTTGTCATCTTCCTCCTCGTGCTTGCCTCCCCTTTTCGATATGCTCGCTACGAGTCACACATGTAACATAGCAAGAGACAAGTCAACGGAGGACAATACCATGCTAAGAGAGACTATTCCGAGAAGGCGGCAGCATGCTGAGCTTGTTTGTGGGGTCCTTCGCTAGTGGAGGAAAGCACTAGCGCGTTTGGGTGTTTTCCAAGTTCCCCGTCGCTTCCCTCTAACTTCGTCAACAACACACAATCACGCACCACCACCACCACAAGCAAGTACAGGAGAATGTACCACCATCCGCGAGAGTATGGAGGCTCTCGTGTCCCTCGCTCTGGGGTTGGTCGCCCAGAGCAATGGGGGCGCGGGAGTCCTCTGGGAAGAGGCAGCGGCGTGGGTAAGTTTCCCGTCCATCGATCCTCAACCTATCCATCACCACCCTACCTACTACCAACTCATTCTCGTCCATTTATCCATCTCTATCCATTTATCACCTCACAGGCTTGCCTTAGCCGCAGGCAGAGATTAATCCATCTAACGATCTACTGTTCACAGGTGCTTCTCGCCCACTAAACCCCGCGGCCCCCCCTTTCTTGCCTGCTGGATGGCCAGCACACCCACACCCACACCCGATTCCTCCTCCCCTCTTTCCCTCCCAAGGAGCGGATTTGGGCGGCTCTTTTGGCGGTGCTCCTGCACCAAGTTGGTATTACTTTCTTCACAAACAAGATGATTTGCTCATGTCACTGATCCACGACAGGTCCCGTAACCAGTCCCAAGCTGGTGCGAGAATATACAGCGGTACGTGAAACCACCCTGAGAAGTTTGAAAAGCCTCGAAATCTTCGCCAACCTATGTATTTGCTCAACTGACATTGGAAACAGGGACGCTGTATATGAGACAACCGACCTCGTTCTGGCGACCCTATAAGCGTAGAAATGGGGATATGCCGACACCAAGCAGAGCACCAAGAGCAGAGCGCGATATGGTTCCTCGTAGTCGTCGTTACAATCGTGGTATGTTTACTTCTATATCTCCCTTGTCTGGCTCGTCCTCTCCAGTCACACCTCGCATTAATATTCACCTGGGTATCTGTTTCACCCCAGCTTACAATTGAGCAGCAGACAATACTAGTCCTGTCGGCCCCAGGGCAAGCGAGGAATCAAGCCAATTAAATCACGAGGACGTTGCTGTAGTACCGGGTCCCCCCTCCCCCGGCTCGCTACCGCGTCTGCTTGATTTGCGTTTTGCGTCCGAGTTTGGTGGCTTGCAAAGTTCTGCTTCATCTTCAACCAACAACTCTAATATACATTTTGCTCAACGCAGAACCTCATTTCGAAGTCTTGTAGACGACCACCACCGACCCACCGCTGTCACCTGGAACGTTGAATTTGGTGAAGATTACGATCTGACTCCTCGCGCTCTCGGCACCATGAGTGAACGAGCAGCACCATCTGAGGGTCAACAAGGACAGTTGACGCCCTCCAGAAACGAATCGCCAGCCAAATACGCATCGCCTGACACACCTGGTCGCTTTGGCGCTGATCGAGGAATGCCTGGCACACCTACTCGCAACCCCTTGATCAATCGTGGTATGGCTAATTCGACCAGAGGACTAACCAGCTCCCAAGGCGGTAGCGCGTCTGGATTCAATCCTGCTGCAAACTCTTACAATCCTGCTGCGCAGCGTGTTCCTGGCGGCAACAACACCGGCGGCTATCGTGGCAATGCCAGTGCATCTGGCGGAATGTCGTCAAACAGCTCTGACAATCGCAACAACGCTGACACATCCTACAACAATTCTGGCAGTCGCAACACTAGTGATATGTCGGCTGGTACTGCTAGCTATATCAACACTGGCGGCAATAACATGGCTTCAAACAACTCGGGCAATAGCACTGGTATGAATACTGGCGGCAACGCTGGTGCTTCTTACAATAACACGGGTAATCGCGGCGACATGTCTACTGGCACTACTGGCTATGTCAACACTGGTGGCAATACCGGTGCTTCATCTTCAACCAACATGGGCAATCGCAACACTGGTGGTGACCCTACTGGATATACCAACACCGGCGGCAATGCTGGTGCCCCGAACAATCTCGCTTTGGTTGGCGGTATTTCTTCTGCTGGGCCTGCTCCTGGTAACTTCGGCTTTAATGGCAATATTGGTGGTCTCGCTGGTAGCAGCCTTCCTGCATTTGTCGCGAGTTTTGGTCGCCCATCTCCTCGTGGCAACATCGCAAACGACAATACAGCAACATACAACCAAATGGCCTTGCAAGCTATCTCTGACAACACGTCCATCTCTATCGATGAGCTCTCTCGTCCTAACGTCGACCCGTTCGGAGCCATCCCATCAACTAATCGGTCCTCACTCCTTACGCCCGCTGATGGCATGAGCCGCAAGATGCGTGAGTTGACTGAAGGTGGACGCATCACCCCAATTGGAGACGCCGCATTGAACGTTTACTTTCTCCCCTTCATTACTCTGTGTAGCCAACACCCAAAGCAATCCCGATATGGAGTCCTCGTCATCAAGAACGTATGTTATGAATTCTACTTCACCTAATTATACAGTATTGTTAACTTTATCTAGATTCCGTACACCCTCACACGCTCGGAGGTCTTAGCATTTATTGGACGCAATGCAAAGATTGTTCCGGAGTCGGAGAACGAGAGCATTCACATTATCATGGAGCGTGTGACCAGTAAGACTTTGGATTGCTACGTCGAATTCACCTCTGTCAACGAGGCCATTGCCGCGGTTGATCGCTTCCAGTCCTTGAAGATGGCTGGTCGCAGCGGTCGTCTTGGTCCACGACACGTTGAGGTTGAGTTGTCCAGCCAGGAGGACTTGATGCGCCAACTATTCCCCAAGGCAAAGAACGTGCAATGGGTTGGCATTAGTCCTACAATCATTCCCAAGGATCCAAATGACAAATACAACTCGGGCTTCCAAGGATTTATCACCAACGAGGAACTTGTCATGCTCGTCAAGCACGTCGAATACCCTCAACGAGTAAGTTCTCTACTAGCTAAAGCAGAATGTCTACTGACTTTGAGCAGTCCCCATTCTCTCGCGATTGCCCACAGCGCCCATTTGAGTGTCTCATTAGCACCTTGTCCAAGGTAAGTGCCCAACCAACCCCAAGAAGCATAAGTCAATCGCTAATAACGTACAGTACCCCTGGCACATGACCCACTACATCACCTTGGCTGACCGAAAGCGTTTGTTCGATGCTACTGTCAAATTGGTCAAGTTCCTCCTTCATCGCATTCGTAATGGGGATGATCCTGTTCACTTGAACAATTCGTTGCTTAAGCGAGTCATCAAGGCTTGCCTTGCCTGTGATGGGTTCACTCCGGTAATGAAGGATGACATTGTTTTCTGGACTTCACTGGATGGCCGTAGAGCTTACGAGCTTGGTCAAGTACCGCATGCTGATGGTTGGGCCGCAATTCACACGCTTGGAGCTAAGAAGGATATTGAGTACGATCTTCTCATGGTAAGTTTTCTTCCTCCGGTTCATTCTCTAATGTTGGCATAATACTGACTCTTACAGTTCTATGTCAAATTGATTCATGATTGGACCATGAAGAACGCCCGTAGACCAACCCTCGCCGAGCAAGCAGAGAGAGGTTACAGCGGATTTCATGCTACGACCATGTTTGGACGTGTTGAGCAGTTCCTTGATCTTGCCAATGCCTTCCACCCCAAGACTCTTGGAGAAGCTACTCTTGCCGAGGTTGCTGTACGCGAGTGGCTCATTCTTGAGCGAATCATTCGCAGTGCCCTCCCTGGAGGTCAACCCAAGTTGGAATAAATGTCGACACCTACTGTCTTCACCTCGAGTCAACAACCGTAGTGGGACTTTCTCTTTCCTTGGATTGCTTGAATAACCCGCACAACTGTTCTCACACGAAGTCAACCTGCTGTCCGATTTTTTCTTCTGGATCGATCAATTGAACACTACATCATCTTTGCTTCTTGCCTTTCCTTGCGTTTGGCTTTGGCAGGGGTTCGTCCTCTCGCCTTTTTTCATGGATAGGTTTTCGTTCTCTTCATGCTTCGATACCCAGATCTCACAAAGATTTCCTTGTTTGCTTTCACAAAAAGAATAATCGATTACAAATAATACTTGCCGCGTTGCTCATTCTTTCGCATTTTCTGCTCTTTTGCGGGGGATCGGATATGTCCTTCGGGTCATGAGTCAACAGATGGGCGAAGTGTTATTTGCGGAATTAATACTACTGGAGTTGTCAAATGGATGTGGTATGGTTTGCTTTCGGAATTGCTGGTTGAAGTGCTCTTTGGCTGGTTGGGATGGAGGCTTACTTGACTTACTGTACCTTGTTGCAGATAGTCGGACTATAACCCAATGATAAATTCTATAAAATACTTGTGTCTTGCATTTGATTGTGAAGGTATGTACAGTAAAGGTGAACTCGTGGTGCCATACTTTCCTTCGTCGCTACTCCTCGCCCTTGGCAAAGCGTGAATCGTGATAACTCCATAAAATAAAACTTCAGGCCCTCTTAGTATCCAGGTTGGCAGAAGGTTTGTATTCTCCTTTTTCATGACTTTCTGAGTTGTCGTGCCTCTCAAAAGCCCTTACTTGACGATTCTTAGACCAGAGCTCCAATAATACTTGACCGCCCAAAGTTCGCCCCAACTGCACGTTCACCCAAACCCCAAAATTTCACAAACATCCCCTCAAACCCCCGCATAAGATGCCGTCCAAATAACCTCAAACCCCCGCCCCGCCGAGCGAGAACCCAATTCCCGCCCCGCCAAGACAACCCCTCCAAACCCCTCCATCTCATCCCACCAACCCAAAAAGATGTCACAACCAAACCACACCCCCCCACCACCCTCCTTCACAACCAAAAAATCCCACATCCTATCCCTCCTCTCCGTCCCAACAGAACAATACGACGACCTCTCCCCGAAAGGAAGCGTCGACGTGAATATCCGCCATCTGATCGATGAGATCAATGCGAGGGAGGGGAGTGTGACGACGAGTAGTTGTGGGGGGCGGGTGAGTGTTTTTTTGGAGGGGAAGAGGAGTGCTGGGGAGCGGGATGGTGGGTTAGTTCAGGAGGGTGTTGTAGAAGGGAAAGAGAGGGAGACGAAAGCGGGCGTGGGAGGAAAGGGGGGAGGTGGGAGGTGGTTGTTTGTTTCTCATGATCCTGTTTCTTTGGGGACGGAGGGGACGTTGGCGGAGCTTCTGGGGATGGTTAGGAATGAGAAGCTGGAGGAGGAGATGAGTGGTAGAAATGTTAGGGAAATGAGGTTTATACATTTCAAATTCGAACCGATGGTAACTATACCCTTTAATCCTCCTCCCCTACACCCTCTCTCATAACCAGCCAACACTATATCAAAACACAAACCCCAAAACAAAAAAGCTAACACCCCTCAGATCCTCCACATCCTAACCTCCTCCCCCACACAAGCCCAAACCCTCCTCACCGCCGCCCTCCAATCCGGCTTCCGCGAGTCCGGAGCCCTAAACCTCACCTCTCCCCCATCATGCTCATCCTCATCCTCATCCTCATCCCCCAATAGCCCAACACCCATCGTAGCAATCCGCTCCATGGGCCTATCTCTCGAATCCATAATCGGATTCCTGCCATCGTCTACATCTACTTCGGCAGATGCAGAAGAAACACCACTTTGTATCGTTCCTGAATGGCAACTGCGTAATTTGATACAGATTGCGAATGAGAGGTTTGTGGAGAATGAGAAGAGGATTGAGAGGTTTAGGGTGTTGTTGAGAGGGGGAGATGGGGAGAAGGAGGGGAGACGGAGGGGACAGGAAGGGAGTGTGTGGGAGGATGGGGGGGCGAGGAGGGAGAGGAAGAGGGCTGAGGGGTTGAGGATGAGGGAGGTTAGGATGGCTGAGANGAGGGGAGACGGAGGGGACAGGAAGGGAGTGTGTGGGAGGATGGGGGGGCGAGGAGGGAGAGGAAGAGGGCTGAGGGGTTGAGGATGAGGGAGGTTAGGATGGCTGAGAAGGCGCGGGAGAGTGGTGATGAGGGTAAGGATGTGGAGGATTTGGGACTGGGTGGGGGGTTGGACGGAGAAGTTTCTTGACACAAAGAGATCGTTTAGATCCGAGGTTCTTAGGCGATATCTTGAATCAGACGATACTGTTGTGATACCCGAAAACGAAAAGAAATAGGATTCTAAGACAGCTATACCCATTCTCCAAGGGACTAGAAGGATCCAAATGAAAAGACAGTTCTACACAATGTTACAGGGAAGCATGATAGCTATCGGTGCTTTGCCACAGAAAACAGCTACCATTGAATGCTAATACCATAAATGTTCAAATATCCTGTCGAAAAAACCAATTTTTGAAAATTCATCATAACAAAGAAACACCGGAGACATCCAGCCAAAAAGCCAATGGCAGTCAATAGACGAAACTTGTGCTATTATAGCAATGGGATATTCCAGAGTCAAGTCAACTAAAGTCCCTTACTTTTAATTTACACGGGAAAATGCTTCGTAGAAATAAGCATCTTCAAAGCTTAAAGGGCGATCTATCAGTACAGACCACGGCGGGATAAGATTTAAACTTTAAAGCCTATATCACAGATTTACTATGTTACAACACAATTAAACACCAAAGATATTATAGTAATGGTATCATATTATCGTCTCTCTTGAAGAGCTCTACATGCTACTGTAGGAAGGCACGAGCTACTAGTCCAAACCCCTCTGCATGTATGTATGGCTATATGAATCCAAGATGATATCCTGAAATCATCACCATCCTGGTTCATCTCAAATCCGATGCCCAACATGCCCTCTTACCAGCAATATCAAGGAGACTCCTGGAACCAACACGTCATCTCGTAGAAACGATGATGTTGTTCACACCAAAACTTCTCTACTCCTGGCAGTTGCTTCCAAACTCTTCCTTCTCCAACGGTGGCCCCATTGTTGAGAAATGCCAGACAAGCTTGTGCATCTTTTTTTAGAATCTCTCGCCAACCTCGTCCCTTTACATAGGTTTTCGCGGCCAAGATTGTTTCTTGACCTTTCTTCTCAGTCGGCACAAAGTATTGATAAATCGGTTCATTCGAGTTACTGATAGGTGACAATGGCTCGTGAGGTGGCAGTGCTTTCACTTGTAGGATGACGAAGAACAGGGGTTTGTGGGACTGTGCAGCTTCGACTGATCTCGTCAAAACACTGGACAAAAACGACGTGACCAGAGGTGCTGAAGATGGTGGGTTTTGAAGAACATATTGCGTTGTTGACGAAGGGAGGAGCGTTGCCAGATGCAGGAAAGATGTTGGTATTACCTCGAGGCAGCAAAATGGATCGATTGAGGCGGTTGACATATTAGATAAGGTATCGGAATCTTTGTTTATCAGATCTGTGATAGAAATATGGGAGGTTTATAAATACCAGATGGGATCTTTGAAGATTGTGATTCAAAAGGCATGACCTTTTTGAGGATCTGATTCGCAATGTTCCTTAAAAATTGCTTAGTTTTATTCAGTTCAAAGCACAAGGGTAAGAGAACGATGAGCAAAACAAAATCGTCTCAGAGGAGTAGCCCTAAATAGCCACATGCAAGTTGTGAATCGAGTTGTGTGCTGGGTGGTAGCGACGCGCTTTGTCAACTAAGCAGATGTGAATCACTGCCACACGTTTCGTTGAAATAGGAAACTCCGTTGGGAGCTAGCGATCCAAAAATGTGATAGAGAAGGAGGCTGATGATTTTGGCCCAACCGAAATCATGACCCCGGCACTCAATCATTAAGTCCAAAGAAAGCATCGTCATAAGTATTTTCTCCTGCACCAGCACCACCACCACTCAAGCCTACTCCATCGACAAACATATCGTCGAAAACACTATCCTCGGCTCCAAACATGTCTAAGTTCAAGTCTAGGTCCATACTGTCGCCACCTCCTATGTCCCCAAGGTCACCAAGATCACCTATGGCAAGGATCTCATCTGACTGCTTGTTTTCGCCAGAATTCGCATTATTGTTCCCAGACTGACCAGCCGTAGCGGAATTTGAATTGTTGGTTGATAGATTTTGTGAAGTATTCCCAAATGTAGAAAGATCAAATTCACTGTTTTGTGTTTGTGGTTGGTCGGTGGTCTGGGTGTTCGCACCATATGAAAAGTCCATGTCATCGAAATTCAAATCAACATTACCATTCCCAGCTTCAGGAATATCATCGAATAGTGAATCAACTCCCGAATTTTGTGGCTCGGAAGTTCTTGGTTCATCAGGGGCCGGCTTCGCATCTGTATTTATCCCAAGGCCGACTGGTTTCGAGTTTTGTGTGTTCTCATTCGAAGATGGTGGAGGAGATAGAGCCTGAAGTTTCTTTGGAATTTGTTCGGGACTTTTGGTGGTTTCTTTGGTTGGTGGCTCTGCTTTGGCCTGTGGCGGCTTGATTCCAGCCGCTGATTTCTCTGGAGGTTTCGGGATAACCTCCTGCTTAGCTACTGGGCTCTTTCCAGGCTGAGGGATTTTCTTGACCATATCTACGACTGGGGCCATGGGAAGTTGTGGTTCTGCCGACTTTGGTGGAATGATGGTCTCGGGGAGTTTTTGAACTACAGGAGCGGGTGCTGGAGCTGGTGTTTCCTTTGCGATCCGTTTTGCGCGCAAGACTTCAAGGTCGCGCAACAGAATTGCCTTGGATCGAACCTGTAATCCAGTCAACACAATCCAACACTACACCAATCACCCGCCTTACAATGTCCATTTCTATATCATCCAGAACACCATGGAATGTTTCTAGGGCTTTGGGAATCGTTACTTGGGGGCGGTCAATGTTGTGAGCTTGCGTTCGCCTGCCATCCTTATGCGAGGCTTTCAATGCCCTTCCGGTTTCTATGAGCTTTACCAAGTTAGCCATCTTCTCATACGGAGACACCGGTGTACATACAATGCCATTGAGCATAGCTTGGAGGGAATCCAAGGGGGTCTTAGGCGATGTGGGGGGTTTTGGTAAGGGTTGCGCCATATTGAGTACAAAGTGGATAGACTAAATGATATGATTGAGGCGCAGAAAATAGACAGGCACAGGTAATATTTCCTCGAGGTATCTTCAACTTTCTTATTTTTTGTGTCTGCGGCCATAAAATGGCAGAAAGTCGAAAAAAATAAGAATCCGATTGTGACGACAAGAGCTCAGGCTAGCTGACCGACCGGTCAATTCAATTCCCCACACTCACTCTCACTCGGTGCTTGGCGAAAGCCTAACAATCACAACAATCATCACTCGAGTACCGAGTATCTTACTGTATTTAAATTCTTAGCGTGTGTGCAGTCCAAAAAGGCAATATCAAAAGAGTTCCACAGAAAGTTCTGTATCTGCACTAAATTCGCTGTAAGAATTGTGATTTAGATCATTCCTATAGCTTCAACATGGTTAGCTATGACTATGTGCTTAGTTGATTTTATCTTTACTCAAGTCTCTGAAATGCCACACAATAGGTGCCCAATCTCTCAACAGCGTGATATTATATGTAATAAATAGTGGATCATGGGAATCTGCTTCCTCAACTTGTATACGACTAGTTGTATTTAGATTGTGAATGGCTTTGGGTAAAGAGCGGGACATTGCAGCACTTGCGTCTCCCGACTGATTTAGTTGAATTCCGGTAGCTCGAAATATCATACTTGAATAGTTAATAATTACCCGTCAATCGTTCGAGGGTTTCTAGCCCTTTCCTTTTCTTTTAGACGAACCACAAATCATTGTTATCCTGGAAAATCAGGACGGCGGCGCCCCAAGCTTTGAGGCTACTGCGGAAATCTGGGGAAGGCATCGGTCGGCCCAAACACTAAACTCAAATCTGACAGCAGAAAATCGGCACCGCTTACAGGTGCTTATTGCTTACTATGCACTGTACGGTTACAAATGTACGTATTAGGCAGTTTGAAAGATGATCTGCATCTCTGCAAATTTGGAAAAACTCCTTACTGGCTCTTCAAGGGCAAATCGGCCCATATGCAGGCTGCACAGAGAGACCGAGTAAGATAATGCTTGCTGATATTTCTGAACCCCATTCCCATCCAACCACGAACCGGGAAATTCTCGAAATCTTGATTGGAGGGGATGGCAGAAATTTTCTTTGAATCCTGCTCCGTCCCCAGCATAGCTCTGTGCAACTCAATCCAATTGGTGGCTTCTTGTCAGTACACAGTCTCCTGGACCAGAGCAAGTTATCTTGAAGGCCAATCTCAAGATTATGGTTCATCCCAAGAGTGAGGGGATGAACGGACATGCATATTTGCAATTTCAGAGGTGCGGGAGCTCGCCTTACCAAGGAAAGCCATGCCGCTGTTGCAGCGTCCGTGAACTAACCAAATCCTTCCACAACGGCTGTGTTGGCTTCCGTGTACTGTAGCTTCGCGTGCTTGAAGTCGCCAAAGGAAATCATTTCGGGGGTTGTTTGTTGCAATTGAGAGATAGTTGGAGTTGCAGCAGGACTTGGAGTGCGTATATTTTGATCTTGTTCGCTTGAAAGTGTCTTGATGGGTGGGAGTAACCAGTTGGCTACAGTATTGGAACGAAATAAGTCGCTGCAGCTTCTTCTACAGCCGCTTCTTTGTCCTCTCTGCTGGTGTCCTCTCTGCTGGTGTCCTCTCTGCTGGTGTCCTCTCTGCTGGTGTCCTCTCTGCTGGGATCTATTAATCAGCAACCCATTCCATCTTGCCTTGGACGCCCATTTCAATAATAATACTCCGTCCCAAGCAGACTCTAGAAGGAAAACAAAGTGCTACGGATCTCGTAATGGACAGATTCACGGCTCTTCTTTTTCATCCCATCTTCAACCATCTAAACGCCGCACCCCCCAACTTCAATCAGACACCTGTCAGCGCACCAATCGGAGCGGCTCGTCTGACCACTAGCCCCGCTCTTCTGCTCGCTATAGGGGTCCCCACCTGGACCTTGACCTTGCACTGGCACTGGCACTGGCACTGGCACCACACTTGCTGGAAACTTCCGCCTGTTCCTTCCCAGCTGCAGGCCTCCTCTCGTCCCCTTCAAAGAAAACGCATCCCATCGCATATCCTACCTTGGTCCTCCTCCTCCTCCTCCTCCTCCATCTCCCATCTCTCCTCCCCATCAGCCAAGGCCTCTGGAACTTGGAGCAGTTTTTCTCTCCCTCTCTCTTCCTATCGTCTTTCTCTCGTGGTTCTTTTCTTCCATTCAATTCCTCGTCTCATCTTCCATCTCAACCTGCCTCTCGTCTCTCTTCCGTCGTCGCCTTATTCCTTTTGCAAGCAATCTCCCGTGCAATCGATTGTCGCAGTCGCAGACGCAGAACAGCGAGTGCAGAGCTCCTCTCACTCAATTTCAAGCTCCCGCGCTTCCTCTGCCACCTCAAACATCCTCCTCTCTGCTTGTCTCGCTGCTACAGCCCTCGTACCAGCATCTCACAGTCGTCGGCTTCTCTACTGCTCTTCCGTACAAGCGTTTTCCTCTTGTCGGTTCATCTTTTCGCCATATCTCGCAAGTATTCCACCTCGTATTTTCGAGTCTGAAAACGCGCCTGTTGTCCTTTCGAGTCGCACGAAGATCTGCCTAGTATCCATCAAAACTTTTCGTCGCTATTCACCATCATCTTGGTGTTTTCCGAGTTCATCCACACTTTTTGCAGATCCCGCGCTCTCCGCTTTCTAGCATTAATATCACGACGTTCACGCCTTCTCTCTCAACATCGTCCTATATTTCATCCAATATACTTCGTCATGGCTGATAACGGACCTCCCCCAACCAGCGCGCAGCTTCCTCCTCCTCCGCAGACCACTGCTGGTGCGCCTGGTTACGAGCCGCACAATGGCCAGTCCCAATCTACCCATATGCCACCTCCACCTCTGCCTCCGGTAATCATTCCACAAAACACAAACCCTATCCCAACCGCCATTAGCTCTCCCATGGGCGACAATGGTGTGGTCATGTCCCCGGATAGCGCTGGTGGTTTTGTTCGTCGCGCAGCTCCCGAGCCAAACAAGCGTGCTCTTTATGTTGGTGGACTTGATCCTAGAGTCACCGAAGATGTCCTCCGTCAAATCTTTGAAACAACTGGTCATGTCCAAAACGTCAAAATCATTCCTGACAAGAATGTAGGTGCCGTCAGTATCAGCTCTCCCACAGATGTCAGTTTTCTTGAGAATTCCGCCGTGTAAAAGCGGTTCCTTTCCTTTCCATGGTGATATCTCACTGATAAAAGGTTTGGCATGCTAATTACTACCTAGTTACAGAATAAGGGATTCAACTATGGCTTTGTTGAATACGACGATCCCGGAGCAGCTGAGCGTGCCATGCAGACTCTGAATGGAAGACGAGTTCACCAAGCTGTAAGCATAGACAGGATTCTTGATTATGGGGTCACAAATGCTAATAATATTCACAGGAGATTCGAGTCAACTGGGCTTATCAATCCAACACCTCCAACAAAGAGGACACATCCAACCACTTCCATATCTTCGTCGGCGACTTGTCCAATGAAGTCAACGATGAAGTTCTCCTTCAAGCTTTCTCGGCCTTTGGCTCAGTCTCTGAAGCTCGTGTCATGTGGGACATGAAGACTGGTCGTTCCCGTGGTTATGGTTTCGTTGCCTTCCGCGAACGACAGGACGCGGAGAAGGCCTTGAGCTCCATGGATGGAGAATGGCTCGGCTCTCGTGCTATTAGATGTAACTGGGCAAACCAAAAGGGACAGCCATCAATTTCTCAACAGCAAGCCATGTCTGCAATGGGCATGACTCCAACTACTCCTTTCGGTCACCACCATTTCCCAACTCACGGAGTCCAGAGCTATGATATGATTGTTCAGCAGACCCCAGCTTGGCAAACAACCTGCTATGTTGGCAATCTTACTCCATACACCACCCAGACCGATCTCATTCCGCTTTTCCAGAACTTTGGTTATGTAGTTGAGACCCGCTTCCAAGCTGATCGTGGTTTTGCGTTTGTCAAGATGGACTCTCATGAGAACGCTGCAATGGCTATTTGTCAATTGAGTGGTTACAACGTGAACGGTCGTCCTCTGAAGTGTTCTGTAAGTATTTTGATTCATTACCCTCTTCCTCTTAGCTTGCAGCTGCTAATTCCCTTTTAGTGGGGTAAGGATAAGGCACCTACCGCAGACGGATTTCCAGCTGGAACCCCTACTGGTTATAGCCCACAAGCTGGTCAAACTCCTGGTGGCTATTCTGGAACACCTTCTGCCTACTTCCCTCAGTATGGTGGAGGAATGCCAGGTCAACCAACAGGTCCTCAATCAGCTGGTCCAATGTCCAACCAAACTCCACCTATATTCCCTGGCCAACAAGGATACGGCGGTCCGCCAACTCAATCACCAAACCAATACCCCAACCAACAACAGATGGGTTACGGAGGCTCTACCAGCGCTGGTGGTTACGCTCGTGGTGGTCAGACTCAAGCACCTACTGCGCAATGGAATGCTCCCCCAGCCCAAAACTTTGGAAATGGCTTCGGTGGATATCAAGGTTAAGCACTATTTCTTTTTCATTTCCAGGTTCCTTGACGATTGCAGTTTCACGAATTATTTGACGATCTCGTATGGTCTTGGAGGAAACTAGGGAGATCAATTTTGGCACTAATTTTTCACGTTTTTCCTGCGTTTGCCTTTCCTTGCGCTACGGTCTTAAGCCATTTAGGCTAGGCCCTTCAGCATAAAATCTGCATTAGGACTGTTCTTTCTTTAAAACTGCTCTCCTCTTTTGCTTTTACTAGTTTCTGTGTTCATTAGTGTTTGGAAAGGTGATTGTTTCTTCAAACCAAAAAGTTGTTTTCCTTGGCTATTGTCCTTTCTTGACTTTGGAACTTGGATCTCTTTTGGCTTTGATTTGTAGCCAGATCTCCTTCGCCCTTTTCGTCTTAATGAGTCACGAATCTTCTATAGCGACTACCCAGTTCGTACAGTATCAAAATTCCAGCTAGTCTGTCGTCGTTGTCTTGGTATGAGCATGTAGCTTGTAATGAAAGGATGGTGTGTATGAAGTGTAATGAAATGAGAATATGACATGAAGATATTTCTTGAACCATAAATGTAGCTGAATTGCCTCGACCAATGTGATTAATACACGTGCGTGATATGTTTCTCCCCATTGATTTAATAGTTGCTGCGGTATTATATTTAGCCGATGACTCTGGACCTCGGCTTTCACGGAGTATCCATGCATGATCATGCTCATGGACCCTCAAATAAACATTTGGAAAACAACAACAACATCCTGTCAAGCTCTTCTTCTCACCAAACCCAATAAGCCAGAATGTCGGAGATATCTGGTATACCAGCACCAGAAACGGAACCCACGATCGAAATCCCCCTTCCGAATCCAATAGCAGCACTACCTACCCCACCATCCGAATCCCCTCTGGCTTCTGATCCCTCTCCGCCATCCTCACATTCAAGACCTGAAATACCAATCCCAACACCAGACCCGAAACCAACCCCGACTCGAAAGCCCACACCTAGCTCTAGAACCCTGCTGTCATGGGCGCCCCTTTACCTCTCGAAAACGGACCGGGTCATCGAGCGGTTGAGCTCGATAATCAGTACGCCGGCGGGAACGGATAGTGTTCTGAATACGCTCTGCTATTCTAGTCTCCTGGTGTCGGTTATACTGAGGAAGGTGGTTGCGTTTCAGGAGGAGGCTGTTAAGATGCGGGCGGAGGCGGTGATTGGGGAGGCGGTGGGGGGGAATGCGGCGGTGGGGATGGATGTTCTTGGGTTGTTGAGGGGTAAGGCGGAGGGTCTGGGGCTGGAGATTGGGAAGGTGAGGAGGGAGGAGATGTTGGATGTTGCGGGGAGGTTGAAGGTTCTTAGTGGGTTGATCTCGGGGATTCGAACGTTTCTGAGGCTTTTTGGTCTGGTTGGTCTTTGGATGTGGGGGAGGGGTGTGCTGGCGAGATTGAGGAAGGGCGAGAAAGGATTAGGCATTGTGATTGAGAGTTTGCAGGTCTTGGTCAATGTTTGTTATCAGATACTGGAGAATGGGGCGTATCTGAGTGCCAGAGGGGTTCTGGGTTGGGACGCAAAGACGCAATTGAGGGCTGGGGTTTGGAGCTCGAGGTTTTGGGGTATGCATGTTGGTCTTGATTTGATCAAGTTGGCAAGGCAATTTGGCGCTCTTCGGCAGGAGAAGAGGCTGTTGAGTGGGAAGGAGACGGACGAGAAGAAAGAGAATGAGATCAGTCTGCAGGAGAAGCAGATGCATTGGAGGAGGCAGTTTGCTATTGATTTGGCGTACGCACCGCTGACTGTTCATTGGGGTCTAGAAGAAGGGTTGGTCAGTGAGGCATGGGTTGCGATATTTGGGAGTGTAGCGGGTAGCTTGAATTTGAGGGAGAGATGGAGGGTTAGTGGGTTATAGAAGATGGCTCGGCTACGATGGAACTCGAGGACAATACAGCATAGATGGCGTTCTATTTTATATCACAGAATGAATTATTAGTTTAGTAGTGTAGGATTACTAGGGAGGGTTCCTTTGGCGAAGAAAGGGGATATGTAGAAATGATTAAATAAAAGTATGCTATGGAAGTTCTTGTAGCGATATTTTCGGTTCAGCATGTGGTTGTTCATGGGGAGCTTTCTGGCACCTGGGGGAATGGCGGTACGCTCGTCTTGTTTGTCACCCTTGCTCAGTTTGTTGCCTTGACTTGATGATTCATTTCCGGCTCACATTTGTATTTTCGTCACTGTAAAGTAAGAAATTACAATGTTTTCTTGAACTCTTCAAAGTTTTATTCTTAGGGAGGAACCCCCTATTGCAAGAATCATTCAACTGGACTCATATCGCCTAATCCATCGCTTTCCACCTCTTGTTCTCTTGCGATTTCGGTCCTAATCATCACAAAAGGAGCCTGAGCACTGTATTGGAGCCCGGGATTTTCCAAGAAGTTGCTGTAGATGGCGTAGATGAAGTTGTCTGTCTGTGTGAGACCGGGTACTGTAAGTAGAGAGCTAACGATATTTGCGGATATTTCTATAATCGCGGAACGGAGATCCTTTTTGTACCATACTTTGAATCACGCTTTGTCATATACTAGATTGTCTTTTTACTTGAATTACTTGATGGATGTTATTTGGAAGTGTGAGGTTTCGGAATAGAGCAAGGAGTGAGGATACCATCTTAGCAGATGTTGCATGTTTATTGATTGATCCAGGAATACTGTATCATACCTGACAGAATGTTTTCCATCTTATTTCGTGGTGTTCGGTATTTATTAAAGCGCGTCATCCCTCCGGGAACTCGGTGTCAGGTATTGTCTGACACCGTCAGGAAACCTGGCACCGTCCTAATTAGGTATTAAAAAGTAGGGAACCTAGGAATACGACTAGGACCGAGGGTCAACAGCCTCTCCGATTAACCTTTAAGAGAGTTTTAGCGTAATCCGAGCTTTCCGTCAGCTATCTGTCTATATCATCCCCTCAAGGTGGCATATGTACATCAGACTTTCCAAGCTCACGATACCCACTTTGCAATTTAAGCCTTGCGATTGTTTCAACGTCCATATAAATTCTCACAATCAACGTCTATATAATATAGAATCGACTCCCGAATGCGAATTAAGAAGTGTTTTACAATTGATTTACAACTACTGTATTGTAGTTGAATTCGTTATACGACGTGAAATTAGGATTTATCGTATATGCTATGAATCGCTCTTTACGTGCGCGTATACTCTAAAATAGTCCCCTAAAATAGTCGAAAAAGTACCCTAAATTAGTCGGAATCTATAGACAAATCATAGGAATCATAGTACGAAGACAGTATTACTTTTTTCGGTTTCGAAGTACTCTCGAGCCTTAACACTACAATCCAAAAGGCATCAAAGTGACAAGACGAGAGTGCATTTTGCGAAATATCCTTGTGCGAGCGCTATTTTAGTAGGTATCATAGTTACGCCGGTAATACTATTGTAACCAGGTGTTAGGGATAGGAATCTGATAATGTGGACAAAGAGATAGACTTGAGTAATAGTGGGAATTCTGATTAGTATAGCATATTCTCATTTTCAGACGTCCTTCGCGATAGCTTCAATTCTGACTTTTTGATACGATTATGCTTTAAAAAACACTTGTTTACGGAGATTAATCAGTAAAGTGGGTATCGTAAGCTTAAAAAGTCTAATGTACATATGCCACCTTGAGGGGATAGAGCCTTCCCCTCCCTTTAACTCGCTCGTAAACCACAGGTAAGTACTTGGTCGTTTTCACCTGTCCCTCTCCCTCCCTACCTGTAAGTACTTAGCCGTTTCTAACTGTCCCTCCACCTCTGTCCCTCAACCTCCCTCCCTATAAACAAGTAAACATGTAAACGCGTAAACAAGTAAATAGAGAACTGCATCTTTAGTAGGAATTAAGGGTTCGCGCCCACCGTTGGTGTCAGGAAATATGTAAAGGGGCTGGACAGTCAATGCTGGACACTGTCACGTAGATCATATGTGAGAAAAGTCTATATCTTGCAAATCCGAGTCTTTGATTGGCTGGTTTAGCTAAAAATCGGGGCCGAGATGTACTATGGTCAGCGACAGAGTCCAGCATTGACTGTCTACCCCCTTTACGTTAAGGAAGGGTTTGTACCCCGGGCCGTCCTGCGCGGGAGTGTCAGGTATCTCCTAACACGGTTCCCAGAGCATTCAGCATTCTTCTTGCTAAGTATCGTTTGCTGGCTAGTCTTAAGTAAATTGCTCAGGTATCTAGCTGATAGTGTTGGATTAGCCTTCTTTTGAATTGGAATATTGAAATTACGTTAATATGTAAGAGAAGAAATGAAACCAGAGAAAGCAGAAAGGGCTTTCCAGTATCAGCTTGTGCTTGCTTGATATGTTCTGGAGGAAGACTCATAGATCCCTCGGACGTAATTGTAGCCCAAACTACTGGTAGACTATTCCAATGTTATCTTTCGTCATCTGCGGGGAGTGGGATGTCCTGTTCTGTTAAAAATGAATAACCCTCCAACTACGAAAGTATCATCAACTTATGGAGTCATCGAGATTTCTGAATACTCGTGGAACCATTGAAGTCAAAGCTCAAAGTGCAGCTTGTAATGAACTGGGAAAGAGAGATCGATGAAAGCTTCACGCTCGTGGCACTTGGGCGCGGTGAGAATCATCCCTGGTGATCCTGCTTAAGCGAGTGATAAACATGGCCACCGCACGATATCTCTGACATTCGCAAAACTCGGTCTCAGCAAGCCGAATATTATTACGCAAGGTATGTAAGATTTTTCATTCGAAGATATAAAATTTTGACATGTATTATCTGTGTACTGTGTTTGATAAACAAGTTTTAAGAAGGATTGCTCAGGGGGGTTCCGAAGAGAATCTTGGTGACTTTGATGGGGATCAAAAGAACTGACCAACTCCAAGAACAGCGAATAGGACACACGTGGCTCTGAATCGGTACTTCGCATAATTAGGCTGGCTCACTCATAAAACAAAGAAATCAGGAGTAAAGATATGGTTAACATTCATGCAGCTCACATAGCGCTGTGTAGCATCCTTTACACGCTATATAGACTGCTTGACATCCCGTCTTTCAGTTCCAGATTGAATTCTTCTCTCCTACTTCCAGCCCCGCACACACCGAATATGCGTTTTAAGGAAATTCTTTTTTGCAGTCCGGCTCTTGAGTTTGTGCGCAGCAACATAAGGTGTTACTAGGTGAGAAACATTTGAAACCTGTGAGGCCCTATGGTGGCAATCAGTAAACGGACATTAAAAACTCGTTTATGCGACTATCGATGAAAGAGAGGGACAAATGTTCTTACTCCGAAGGGTTTACACGAATCGGCGCAAACGTGAGCCAATTTTGGGTCGCAAGGTGATTCTTGAGCCATCCCGATGGAGGCAAGGGCGAGGGTCATGGCGACAGCGAAGAACTTCATGTTGACGAGTTTGGGTCTTGAAATAAAGGATGTGGGGATTTGCTTGTCAATAGAGGTAGATGGATGGATGGTAGAAATTTGTCTGATTTGAGAAATGAAAAGCTTCAAAGTAGTTGGTTATATAGTATACTCACGTTTTGATTATAGTTTACCAAGATGTTTCACTCGGCATTACTACTGGGTAACCAAGGACTCGTTTTTCGGCGATGTCCGAGCCTCAATATCCTGCAGGGGAGATGTGCTTGGAGGGTCCACAATATAGACACCTAGGAGCATGGGTTCCAAAAGCTGGGTACCTGGAATGGATAGTAAACTTTGGAACCATAAAGAGTTTTCAAGGAACACACTTAGATAGCTTCAGGGCTCAAGAATGTAAGATAGCGTATTCGCTAGCAAATATTTGGGTTACTCTCTAAAACCATATACTATCGCTATGTTATACGAATAGAAAGAAAATTAGAGAGTATAGACGCCTAAACAGGGCTTGTAGAGAGCTAGACGCCTAAGAATAGAGTATAAAGAGCGCTTGTAAGCTGGATATTAACGTACTTCATAAGGAGTCCGGATTTATAAGCAGTCCGGATTTTTTACCCCACCATCCAACTTTTAAAAACCATAGAACTTTAACCACTTAATATTTATTTATATAAACTATACTATCTTTCTTATTCTCGATCTGGGCACCTAGGAGCAGTATGCGCTAGTGATCTACATATACTACAGGTTCGTGGTGCACGAATTCGTGGTTCAATTAGCGGGGCCACAGCTTCATCCAAAACCATATTATCACTATTTTGAATAAGTTCCCTCCCTTCCTGACCTGTAAGAACACCCCCAGTAGCAATATATTGACGTCGCACAGTCTTCTTCTTCTTTTGACGTTCAGATTCAGCTCGTAAACGTCGATTTTCCTCTGCCAAAACCGTAGCTGATTGCATAGCCATCTTACACCCTTTAACCAATTGATCTAATGCAATAGCAGTAGGGCTTGAGAGAACGTTTGTACGTCGTTTAATAGATGCTTTAATTGTCTGGGTTTGCTGATCTGCCTCATATGTATTATGGGGTGTCTCAGGGACCCAAGGTAGTAGGTTTGGAGAAAGTAAAGGAGGAGTAGGCGTATGTAATTGAGTATGTAATTTACTCAATACTTGATCTGGGTTGTACGGGACAAGGCCAGTAGTTGCGAATCCATTACAGATTGTGTTTTTGACCATAGTGCTTGTACGGGCTACACGATATATTGAAAGGAAGTCTGGTTTATCGATATGATATGTGCCGGCTCGTACTAGCTCCTCGACTCCTCGTCCATAAAGTCGCTTTAAAACTGCAAAGCAACTAACATCTAATGGCTGTAAAAGATGAGATGAGTGCGGTGGCATACAAAGCGTTATGATGTTATGTTCTGAACAGAAAAGATCGAATTCGGGAGTAGAATGACTACCATGGCCATCGAGGATTAAAAGTCGATATACTCCTTTTACACGGTCCTTGGTATATTTCTCAAATACGTCTGAAAGCCACTTAAGACCTAAGGAATCATTGGTCCACCCTTTATCACTAAGTGCAATTGTCCAATCTGCTGGTAATTGATCTGTATACCAAGTCGATATATGCACCTTGCCCTCAAATATAACCATTGGAGGCAACACCCATCCATCTGCACAAATTGATTCGACAACTGTAACCCATTCGCGATTCCCTGGTTGTATATGAATAGCCCGTCCTGTATATTCTGACCCTGTAACAACTTTTGCGGTCGCAATTACTCCCATCTGAAAGCCAGTCTCGTCGAAATTGTATATATCCTCCGCTAGTATACCATATTTCGCAACAATATTATGTACTAATCGAAACCAATCTCGGATAATCGTAGGATCCTCGCATTTTGCGCGCTTATAGTCGTATTTACGAGTGTATTTCGTCCGTAAAGAGTCGTGGCGCTTTATAAAGTTGTCAACCCAGCATTTTCCGACAATAATTCGACCTACTTCAGTTCGCTTTTCCAGTAGTAAATCGGCCATTTGGCGTATCGAATCTTTCCGTACTGGCAGACCTCTAGCTTCCATTGATAACATCCATTGTATAAGTGCTGATTCCTCGAGGTCGGTGAGTTTCTGGTTTCGGGGTCGGAAATCGCGTTGTGGAATAGCTCCCTTGACGCGGTCGTAAGTAGTAGAATATGGCGCATCGTACCTTGTACAAGCTGCTTTTAAGCTTGTAAATTGACCCTTATTGTATGCACTGATTGCAAGAGCAATTTGACCTTCTTTTCGAGACATTTGAACAATAATTGGGTAAGTTATGTAGATTGAAAGTGTGTAGGGTGGTCAATGGTGGGGTAAAAAATCCGGACTGCTTGTAAATCCGGACTCCTTATGAAGTACGTTAAGGTCAACACATTAGTCATAAGCAAAATTTTGATTAGTCACAATATCGTTCGGAGAACAGGCTCCAAGCCATCCAACACAACACTTTAATTTACGAATTGAAACATTCATTCAGGTTCGTCGCCGGGATATCAGCTACGCCAAGAGCGATATATGGGTCAGCAGTGGGACAATGCTTCTTTTCCACTTTTTACATCATACCCTCGGACCCTCCAGCATCTACGAAGTACTTAGTAACTCCCTGACATCTACGTTTCATTCTTTTAATCAACTCATATCCTGTCTTCTCGCGGGACATAGGTTCCCAGGCTTCATAGCTACCCTCAATCTCTTATAGTATGGGTAAACACTTGGATAGTGCTCTTCGATATAGCCCTTCATCCAATACTAAATTGTCGGGATTGGAAACAAAATCGGGGCTGTTTGCAAGCCACTCTATAATCTCTAACCGCCCATTTATGACGGCCGATAATATAAAACTAGAAGCATGTCCTCTAGCATTATCTTATTGGAATTCAAGCTCAGCATATTCTTGGAGGTTCTCATCCATCATTTGGATAATAACTCCAACGTAGAAGACCTCATTTAGAGTCCCTCAATCCTTCTCCCAAAAGAATCCTCTATGCCTGCCGTAATTGCGTGAAATATCGCTTGAAAATATGTATCCTATCTTTCTTTGATACCGAATCGGCGAATAACCACAGAGTTTTTATAACAGTCCTCGTCTACTTTTTAAGTAACCCAAGTTCTTTTATACATGCCTGTTACGCCTAAGTTTTATTAGTCCAAAACACAACATCTATTGCTCATCTGTTAAGTATATATGTTCAAACGCCCAAGGTTTTAATTGTTCGTCACAAGTAAGCTCTTTTTGTAGTTATTTTGGGGGTGGGATTGAATATGTAGAACCCTTCGAAGTACTAGGTATCTGGTGAATAGAATCGTACGCATTTTGTTTAGACGGAACTATTGCTGCCTCGCTGCCTCGCTGCCTGGCAGCTCATCCCGCTTAGCAAACCCATCCCAAAAAGATCAAAAACCTCCAAAAATTTAAAGATTAACTAACAGCTCAACCAGCAAAACCAATAACTCCAGGCCCCTAGGTAGGAGTTACATGTCAAGAACCGAAGTTGATGACCACCCTCGCGATTGGTTCTAGGAACAGATCACGACGCTCAAGGTTTCTTGCGGATAAGGGGCTTAGATGCCCCCGACTGCGCTCTGAGTACTCAGCCGGCTCGGTTCACATGATAACCATTAGGCCACCCGCTACTTTACGCTACACAACACCGAGTGACAGGATTTGCTTATCGGCGGGATATAGAGGGTTGGTTGTGTGGGAGTTAATTGTGGGGCCTCGCTTGTTGGATCGCGTGACTTGGTACCTAGGTAGGCGACGGTGAATCTATAGACCGTGGATTGCGCGATGGACGTATTTTCCCCATGCGTTGTCGAAGATTTTCAGAAGCCATGAACGTCTCACAGCATTGCCTATCAAATTTCTCAGGCCCTGGGAGGCTCATCAAGGAGCTATTGATATCACGAACCAGCATGAGTTTAAATGTCTACCCGCATCAGCCAATCCGCATACACTTCTTCAAACAGATATAGAGAAATTAATCACTTGAGCCAGGTTGATCTAAATTACGACAAAGGACTCCTAAAATCACTTCAAACACTCTCAAAACATCCAAAATCAACCACCCAATCCCTACATGTAAGCTGCATTACCAGAAGTCGATTCTTGACTACAAAACTCAATATCATTGTGTTTTGTTCCCCCTAAATAATCAACACCCGCAGAGAAATGGTATTTGCACCATTTTATCTCGCCAGCAGAATTATCCTTAATTTCTGGCTCGAGGAAAAAGGCTTTCGCAGCATTCCAGCTGAAGGAGGTGGTCTTGTAAAACTTTCCAGATGCGCTGTCAGCCAAGTAATATGTCTTCTGCCCATTAGGACCGCTACGTCCACATCCATTCCGCGTTGATAAGACTTGAGCAATTGAGACAAGCCCTCGCTCTGACTTTCAACCTGGCTCTATCTCTGACTCTAGCCCATCATATAAAGAAATATTGTCAGAGTCGTCATTCACGTCAATCTCGTTGCTTATTGCCGCACTGAGAAGCCTTTTGAAGGCGGGAGAAGCAGTGTCGGATCTTTGTAACCTTTGTACATCATTTGAATGAGCCCAAGCTCGATAGTTGGGTTGATCTAACATCGGAAAAGACTAAAATTTGGTTGCTCCGTTGCGAAATGTGTTTTAGGTAAAAACTACGGGTAACAATTCAAAAACAGCAGACTTTGAGCGCCTGAAGAAGTTGTATTCATTACGGTCAGCAAGGGCTCAGAGCTGTTTTTATAACACCTTGCCTTTCTTAATATGAGAAGCACCAACATAAAACATATGTTCAACGGTCAAAGCTGGCTCATCCTGCAATAGCTCTGAGCCACGAAGCAACACCCTACATATCACCAGTCAGCCAGTCGAAGTCAGAATATATACAAGGATGTAACCTGCCACGATCAGATCAAATCTGTTCCTAGAGTAATACATTTGACTCATCATATGAATCAGCTTCTCAAGATGGCACATATTTTCTGAAGTCACCGTGGATGATAAGCAAATCATAATTATAAAGATTTGTTCACAAACAACTTTAGTTAGCCAACTCAGCAGAACCGCTAACGCAACTTACATCTTGCGACCTAGAAGACTTCTATTAACTTCAAGAAAAACCCCAAATGATCGAGTGCCATGACTGCTTGTGATTTCAAACCCCCCCAAGAAAGATGCACGAAGAGGGAGGGATAGCTTCCAAGATCGAACTTTTCTTCGCAGTCAATATAACTTGTTTTCTGAGTAGAGTTTAGGTAATAAGGATAGTAATAGCTCTTTTTCGCTTTATAATAGTAACTGATTATTGGCTAGCTCCGCTCCTTTGGGACTAGCGTAAATGGCATCTATAAGTACCAAGGGACTCAAGCTAGCTACACCTGCTTTGGCATGCAACACAGAACTTAGTTGTTACATATAATATAGGTCTATTGTATCACCTATTTATTGATGTACAATCAAACTAACCTTCTGATATCCGACGGATAAGTAAATAGGATAGTACATAAACTCTTGTGTGTTACTAAGATATAACCGTCGAAAGATATCTGCAGAAAAAGGCTCTGTACTATTACCTTCTATAAACCTAATGACCTAATCTTTTTAAAGAATAAACAATTAGTCAATTACTAGTTCTACTATAATGCCTTCCAAAAACTCATTTTCTTTTTACAACTGTAGGGTAAATATCTCAAATCCTGGTACTTACGATATAATATCCTAAATCACTAGAACACATTCCATAGGACCAGACTTCATTCAAAAATGTTATACTGCTAGATTTGGAGAATGTAGCTAGTGTAAAATCGTTACGCAACCTATTGAAATAATAGTCACTTCATTCTCACCATCCTGACTCTATCTCTGAAACAATTATCTTGGTTTCTCGAAGCACTTGAATAGTGTGAATGATCATCGGAAAAATAGTATCCCTTGCTCTGTAACACCGAGGGAACTGGTAGGCAGAACGTCTTTATTAGATTTAGCGAGTACTATTCTACTTTTTGATTGGCGAGAGTACTAACGCCAAGCCTAACAGGACGTTCTGCCTACCGGTTTCCTCGGTGTTACAGAGTAAGGGATACTTCTCTTCTTTTACATATACTTAGAGATGGTATTGTAAAATATCTTTTTGTCATTATCTCAGAACAATATCAATTACTTGGCAAATATGTGTAGATGGGGAAAATCAATATAATCAGATACCTCTTAGAACATTAATAATACCCCAGACCTTTTAGTATTCTATTCTTTTAGAACGTATTTCATAGTATCACATTACAGTTTCACCAGCACATCATCAAGCCTTACATCCTCAAGTATTAAAAACACCAAGAAATCAAATATCACGTCACAAAATTCCCATCAATTCCTACAATACCTACTCAGCAAAGCCCCCCCTCACTCCCTCGCAACCCCCAACTCCCTCAACCAAACCTGCACATCACACCCCTTACAAAACCACAACACTTCCCTCCCCTCCTTCCTCTCCTCCTTCTCCATCCAAAGCTCCCCCTCATCCCGCCTCAACCAAAGCTCCACAACCGCCCAATCCACCTCCCTCCACGCCTCCACAGGATACATCTCCGCCATCTTCACATCCATCACCGGCTGCACCACACTCGCGCTCACATCCTCCATATCACACTGAAAAATATAGTACTTCTCATTCGTCGAATCTCGCTTCGTATTGCAGGACACGTGTTGGCAGATCTGGAGAGCGAGGACGCGGTGCGAGGGCGGGGGCCAGATTCGTTTTTGCTGTGCGCTGCGGACGAAGGGTTGGAAGAGGGGGTGGTGGTGGAGTTTGTCTTCTTGTATGAGTTCGTGGAGGGCGCGGAGGAAGTAGGTTAGGTAGGGAGTTGGGCCTGATGTTGGGATAGGTGCGGAGGGGCAGCAGATTGGATGGATGGTGGGGAGGGCTGCGCCTGTGCCGTGGGAGATGGTTTGTTGAGACATGGGACTGCTCATTTTGGGCGATGCTGAGATCGTTTGGTATTAGAGATGTGGTGGTCAAAGAACTAGAAGTGCAAGGGGAATTAGTCTCAGAAATGTAGAAGTGCTCTGTTGTGAATACATGGGTGTCTAGGATCCAAGCCAGATAAGACATGAGTGAATAATTCACCACCAAAATATCATTGGTGGTTCATGTATATCTCTGCCTTCTTCTGTGAATAGAGAAAAGAAAGCAAGACCTACTGAAATCACAACTGCTTGTCTTCCCTTGTTCCTCTCTGAACTCCTTCTTTGGTGGTCGAATTGTAAAGTCGCACGATGAGTTTGCGAGATAAATGCTGTCTCAAAAGAGCCTGGTCTGTCTGGCTGACATGAATCTGAATCTGACGTGCTTCAGAAGAACAACAGCAGTCAACGACGCCATAGTCTGTGGGGTACTGTTGGGGCATGGCTAAGCGAGAGGTCCAAGGGGTGCGGAATCTTCTATATGATGATACCTGTGGAACACCCTGATGAGCGGTGCTTGTATTGTAGAGCGTGAGTGTTGACAACATTTTGACATTGGTGCTTTGTCGTTGTATTGTGTCTGAAGGTTCTGATTGTGTTGTGGTGGTTGGATATTCCAAGATCAAGACCGAATTTCGGCTAATGGTTAAACTTCGGCCTAACCTAACCAGAGGTTCTCTAGATCTTCAGTATATTTAATAATTTGTGTGACGAGTCCTCAAACACACATATAAATACAGAATAGGACCAAACACGCAGAAGGAAGCAGTAGTAGCACTTTTCTCTATTTTTCCTTACAAATTCTCATCATCACGCCTGCACACCACAACATTGTTATCCCATCTAAGAATCAGAATTCATAGTAATCAGGTCACAGCCTCCCCAAATCCCATCTTGGGTCATCTGAACTTATCCAAACTCATCCAACCTCACACCACCGAGACCAGAATCCTCATAAATACACAAACTTCAGTATAAATATACTCCGGAACTTCCCTCGCAATTTCTAAAAAATGAGAAAACCAAGAAATAAGCACCTCCCTCATCACCACCTCTCTAATCCCATGACTGTCCATCAACTCCCGCAATTTCTCTACCTAGACAACAGTAACTGAAGAGTCTCCTAAACATAAATAGCACAATCACGCTCTAGTTAAGTAACAGCTAGCGCTATACTCCACACCTCTCTAAGCAGCTCTCCATCCACTTACCCCCCATCCACTAACCCATCTAATCCCCAAAATCATCAAAGACCACCTCACCCACACCCCACTCCCACACCTCAACACTCAGATCCCCATCCTCATCCCCCAACCTCCAACCCATCTACCGTAAAAACTCGACAGCAAGGCCCAAACTGGTCGGGGAGTGCGATGGTTATGCGTATAGTAGGTGACAGCTCTGGGCCCAAGTGTATAATCTTACTCTCGATTTAGTAGGATCTACCACCTAATTTCATATATTATTGTTGATTCTATACTTTTTATAATCGAGCTAATCGAAATGCTCTGATTTCACTATTCTAAAATGACGACGACACTGCGATATCTCGAAATAGCTTTAATTATTGAGTACGTACATTTTGTAGCTACGTGCTTATACGTATAACCATCGCACTCCCCGACCAGTTTGGGCCTTGCTGTCGAGTTTTTACGGTAATCACCAACTCATCCACACCTACAAAAGAATACGATCCGCCTCTCCCCAACCCAGTCCTTCACCCCAAACCCTTCCGTGCCTCTCAACTCCCTTCCCTTAATTCCCTTCCCTTCCCTTCCCTTCATCCCCTTCATCCCCTTCGTCCCCTTCGTCCCCTTCAACAAGGTCCATCCTTCAAATCTAAAATACAAATTAAGAAATTCCTTCACTTCTGCAGGTGATATTATTGGGTTGAAAGGGTATTGGGTACTGAAGGTCATGGAGAATTGATTGCATTGTAAAAGGTAGCTATCTAAGGTGTTTATATAAAGAGTGTAAGGTTTAGGCAGACATGAAGCATTTAGGCAGCAGAACTATAAGTGGATCAAATAAGGAAGTGGAGCAAAAGAGAAAGTAGACCCAGCACAACAGATATGCAATAAGATAAGATACATCAATTCTAACCGAGAGTCTTTCTTAATAATCTCCAAGTGGAAATGATGACAGTGGAAATAGCATTGACGTCAACTCTATCGTTTCACCATTACGTCTTATAAAAAACCAGATCACCTCCGCAAGAACTTGCCCCTCAAAATCACCTAATCTCCACATATCAAATTGTAACCACACACACAAGTTCACCCAAATAGAAAACCAGAAGGTTTGAATCGGGCAATCACCATTTCATTGCTATCTATGGCCCGCTAAAAAAACACACATCAAGAAGCACTCTATGAACATGCGAGAACGAATTTCAATCATATTTGAACTCCCATCCAAAAAGACTCCCGGCCAACATCCCCCGGCCAAAAATAAATCATACAAGAAAAACCCGTTTATTTTGCACCCCCCCCTTAAACTGTCCCCCAAGAAAGTGACATCAAATGTGTCAAAGAACAGAGAATCTAGCATCGAGTGCCCAATCCATCCCATAAAAGGATTTGTAACATACAAAAAATGGGAACCAGTGATATCAAATCGTTCCTCGTCCCCGTCAAATGTCATATGTAATAAGAATCAACATGTAGAAGAGAAATGATCAGCATCTAATGAGACAGATGTCTGGCGAGATGTCTAGCACGAACGCTGCGCTTGATCTTGCTAGCAGCTGAGCTGGAATAGACACTCAAAGCTAGTGATCCACCACAAGTTTCCTGGGAGTCACCCTCGCAAGGAACATTGCAAGCAGATTCTTCCAGCTTATTCTCCTTTGCCAAAGTGTCACTACAGAAACACTGGCCACCGAACTCGGTGCCTGCGAGACTGTAGCCCTTGGACGCGCAGTATGCGACGCACTTGGTGTTTGAAACTTTCTTCTGGCCGATGTCTGCAAATTGAAGTTGGGCTAGGACACGATCTGCGTTGACGCCATCCTTATAGCAGCCCTTGTATGTGAACCCGTTGCCGACAGCGTTACCACCAGTGGAGGGAGTGGATGGGGTGGATGGCGGGGAAGTTGGTTTGGCAGGTGCAGCACTATTAGATGAGTCAATTGTTGTTGTACCCATAATAATTGTGGTAGTAACATACGTGTCCGGAGATCCAGATGAAGGGGCAATGACGGTAGGGACTGGTTCCTGAGTAGAGATTGCTGCTTGCTTGGTCGAAACAACGGGTACAACAGGTCCAGCAGCGCTTGTTGGGGCTGGCTTGGATGCTGAGCTTGAAGGCTTAGGAGCCGCGGATGATGGTGCTGGTGCCATGGAACCTGGTGCTGGAGCCCCTCCAGGAGCGGCGACACCCCACTCTCCGATTGGGTTGTTGCCTGGGAGAGCAGTCAAGGTACCACTGATGGTTTCTTGGATAGCGGATGGAATGTTGCAAGTGGTTCTATCGTCATTGAGGCCACCGATCAAGCCAGGGCACTTATCCATACCAGAATCACCGGCATCACAGTTATCAATGATCTGTTGAAGAGTTGGAACGTCCCATCCGGAAATGAAATCAGCGTGGAGACCGTAACCAGTTGGATCGCCGTTGGAGAGGACGAAAGGCTGCTTGCCTTGGCCTGGAGTCCATCTGCTGGCAAACTTAGGTGTGTTCCAGTAGACCTCGTAGAACAAGTGAGGAGTGTGGACCCATCCCTCAGGGCAGTTCCCGTTTGTAGGCCAGTCGGAGTTCTCCTTGTAGTTGCCAACACCGGCGGCAGGGTTATAACAAGATGGGAAATGGATATCAGCTCGGAGAGGGGAAGCATATCCATCGCAGTTCTTGTCCGAGAAGCCGACACCTGCACCCTTGTTGTTTGTATCTCCAATACCAACACCATGAAGACCATCCGAGTTTGCTGGGTACAATGGCTGGTTGGTGTTTGATCGTGGGCAGGTCCATTGAACGGCTTGAGGGGTTCCTTGAGATTTATCGAGAATGAGGTTACCACCTGTGGCTGGCGGGGTTCTAGCAGCAGCATTTCCTACTACCATACGTTGCCCAACTGGGAAAGCCTTGATCTTGTCTGTGGTAGCCTCAAAACTGGAAGGTGTTAGCGATAGATCGAATTAGATAAGCCTGGCCAACTTACAAGTAGTACACGTTCATGTAGAACAACTCGACCTTTTCTAGAGCTCCAGTAGCAGGATCCTTGAAGTATAATGAAGGGGTCCAGTAGTTGCTCTTGTCGTTCTTGACCAGAGATGAAGTACATGTTGACTCCATGGCGTCAGTGTCAGACATGGTCAAGGAGAACTTGTTACCACCTTGAACAGTGTGAACGTGTCCTGAAGCTACCCCTGGGTTGATGATAGGATCCATACGACCCTCAACGAGAGGGCCCTTTCCATAAAAGTGGTTGACTGCGAAAGAACGCTTGTTGGCTGTATAGGCGGTTGCAGATGTGGCAAGAGCTGCAACAACTGATATCTTGGAGAAGTACATGATTGAACTTTTGTGTGGCAGAAGGATCGACGAAGTTCAGAGAAGTGTTTGATGTAAAGAAGGTCTTTGTTCTGCGAGTATGTTGGTTGCAATTTGCTAGTGCTGGTGATTGGGTTGCTGTCCAAGCTGGTGTGGTGATTGGAAAACGCGAGTGCTTGACTCGTTGGATTTTGAATGGAAAAGGAGTGTGGAATCTGTATCAACAGATGGTAATGAATGGGAAGGGAAGGGAGGAACAAATGAGCGTCTATCACAGCATTGCGAATGCAAACCAGAAGGGAAGAAGTGTGGTGTTGAGGTCAAAAGAGGAAGACAATAGCAAGGTGGGGAGGGGCGACACTTATATTTTGATACTGACTGGCGCCGACACAGGAGGGCAGAGGCAGTGGATAGGTGGTGGCAGTATTACCCAGCAACACATCCCTGTTACCTTCCCTTTCACCAACTGATAGCAGGGGTATGAATGTGTAAATGGCGCTAGTAGCCGACTGAAGACATAAAGAAGACACAGGCAACAGAAACTGCTACCGACAAAGGAAGATGCAGTCTTTTGGTAGGAACAAGGGCCCATGGATCCCTACTTCGCACTTTCTTTTGTCCAACATCAACTTCTAATCAAACTCGAGGAAATTAACTCTTGTCGCTTCTTTTGTCCACACATCATAGGACTTTTAATTGCGCTGCGGGAAGTGTATTGCAGATAATTCGCACAATTTTCAGTGTCTTGAAGGGATACAGGATGCAGTACCTCTGCTGGTGACTGCTGCAGGGGAAATGCACTAGAAAATTACCCTGGCTGTGGCTCCGAGATGCGGGTGAGACTGGGTAAGGGTGCTGATCTATTCAGGTACCACCAACAGCACATGGCGCCTCGCTGCGTACCGTACGGCGGTTCTGCTTCTCAAGGAGTCGTACCTGCTTTTCTATCACTGGTCATGGCAGTGGGAGTTGGTGCGAGTGGGAAGTGGGAGGAGCAGTGCCGCTGAAGTCCACTTTTCTGCTCGTAACCCCATCTGCAAATGGAACTTTGACATTGCAGGGGGCCAGAAGAAGTCGTGCCTATGGGTACGAAATGGAAGCAAAAGGATGACCTTTCCAGGGAAAGGGGGGCGAAGAGGGGCTAGAATATACCTGTTGGTGATGTTGGTGGACTTCGAGAGCCGAAAGCCGGTCAACCGAATCTCTCCTGAGTCCTGCCCTCGCCTCACCAGCGCGCAGCCTCTTCGTCAGCACCAACACCCTGCCCCAATCCTTTCACGGCCGCGACTCGACCACGACCGCTATGAAAATGACAAATATCCGTAAAACAGGCCTGTAATGTTCCCGCAGGCCGTAAATTCCCCATCACCCTTGTCTCCTTCTGGACCAAAAAGAATGAGTGGGCGTGTTTCGAAACAGGCGACACTGCAGACTGACCAACTTCACTTGGTCCAACGCCAATTCGTTGTATCCGTCTCCAACCCCTGGTGGGGTTGTGCAAACGAATGTTGCCCTTGTATTGCTTGCCTGTAGACAATCTGGTACGCCGCTTCCGCAGGGCAACCAACAGTTCGTGAAACAATTTCTTATTAGCCTTCATTTCCTGTGTTCTTACGTATTTTTCTGGCTCCTCGTCTCTCGAGCAGCTTTCTTTGACTTGTCATTTCAAGGTGTAGAAAATCTTTTTTGGAAAACTCTACCATCCACGGCCCAATCGTACCCACGGTGGTGGTACGGATGCACGTCAGCAGGGGAAGTACCAAAAAAGCCTTTCTCGGCTTACTTGGTTGCTGCTGTCAGATGGTATTTCCAGCCTATGGGATCTCAATACGACGCTGCAAGGCGATAGCAATGGAACCTTACTTCCGGCGGCCGTTGCTAGACTTCACCGCAGCTTGTAATCATCTCATCCTTCACTTGCGTTGTGTTGTGCCATCGTTTAGATAGAGGCCAGGTCCAGCTTGTTGACGAGTGGAAGGATGCGGATGAGCTGAATCTTTTTCGAAGACAAGTCGAACATTACTTATCTTTTAATATCCCTGGCAAAGTACGTATTCTCGACGCATATCTCCCTCGTATTGTTGATGCCTACAACAATTGATAACCTTGGTAGTTAATCCCATGGTTCGAGTATTCGCTTAATTGCAATTTAAGCACCTTGAAACTTCTTGATCCAGAGGGAAGTTACGACACAACGCCTCGTGGTTATCGCCAGTACATGCAGCGATCATGATCCTGTCTTGTCAGATTTGGGATTGAAGGATGTTCAACAACATGATTTAGCACGTTGTTTTTCCCGCTTCGTCCGGTTCCCGAATCCGAAATTTCTTTTCCCCACGTCTTGGGACATGTACGCACGAAGTACAGACCATCAAAGATAAGGCCCTGATAGAGGATTCTGATATGCTGGCGAAGTGGAACAGTCCACAGTGGACACAAGAGCAAATGTCATCCAACCTTAAATGTACTTCAAGCAATAAATTGCACAGCATCTACAGAAGGACACTTTTGATCGTACATTTAAGATAGTTCAGCGATGCTCAAGTAACACATTTCCCGTGCGGTCATCCCGTGAATGCTACTGAATAGGTCGCAATTCTGAACGGGTTGGCTTGACCAGAAACTTTGAATTAACAATCCAAGTCGTGCTCAGGCCAGGTATGCGACCATATTTGAGACTTTGTCAAACGAGAGGGTTCTCCGTGACGTCTTTATGTTGCTCGGTCAGGAAACCTTTCGCTTGCTAGTAATCAGGCGAAGTGATCGATCTAGAGCTCCTGATCGACATCGACCACAACCGACCCAAACTCGGCTGTCCTTGCAAGAACTGACAACTCATTACTCCAACAGTGATCTCTCAAGGCGAAACGCAGCACCAAAAATCTGCGGTCTCTAGCCGAACCAACTTGCCGCGTGCTTCTCCATCTGTTAGGCACATGCAGTAGTGACCACCCTCAGGAGAATGAGCGTAGAGTGATAAAAATATGCCTCAGGGACTGCTGCGTCAATTCTGCAGAATTTTCATTTTTGAAGACGCCGATTCGTCTGAATCGTGGGGAGTTTATTCTGTGATGACGAACTGATAATATCCATATCCCCTTCTAGGCGCTTTTCTTTTTTTAAACGAAAGAAGAGAAGAAGGGGTTGATTGGATGATGAGTGATTCCGATAATGGCGCCCCTGTAGGAGTGGCTTCTCTTCCGAATATGCTTCGCCTAAAATCGGCGCATCGCTTGACTTTCTGCTTGTAATTGATATTGATGGACGCCGAGGGACGGAGTTTCTGATCAGAATTGTGACATACCACTCTGTGACAAGTTGATCGAGGCAAAGGATAGACACGGGCACGGGGTTGTGTTTCCCGTGATGTTGCTTTTTGAGATGTGGTCAAAGTGAGAAATCAAAATCCGATGTCAGTGTTGGTGTTCCAGGGTGATCCCTCCCACAGTGAGTTTCCTTGGCGGCGTGGCCCGAGGGTTTTTGGTGGGGGCATTTGGTGGGCAGGTGCGATAAGGCTTATCGGCGACGATCACTGAAAATCTTCTCCCGGCAGAGAACCTCCTGCCCCTCAGAGTTCAGACGGCGCTAATACTGAACGAGTACCAGAGTACCTGAACAACTGTGTGAACGTGCCTTGATGAGAGACGCAAGCCAATCTCAACCCACCTACACCTGCACTCAATCATGGCGCCCATTCCCATCACCATCGTCACAGGTTTCTTGGGATCCGGCAAGACGACACTCCTCCTCAATCTCCTACCCCAACTCCGCGCTCAAAACCCCGCATACAAGCTTGCGCTCGTCAAAAATGAATTCGGCGATCTAGCAATCGACAGCCAACTCGCATCTTCATCTTCTATAACCGGCGTACGAGAACTTCTCAATGGCTGCATATGCTGTAATCTTGTTGGACAGTTAGATGTAGCTCTCGAAGAGCTGCGAAAGACCATCAATCCAGACCGAATCGTCATCGAAACCTCCGGGAGCGCATTCCCCGCTACATTAGCGATGGAAGTCAATCGACTGGCAAGAGATACCAAAGGCGCATATGTGTTGGATGGCGTGGTGACGGTCATAGACGTCGAAAACTGGAAAGGCTACGAAGACACGAGTTATACGGCCAAAATTCAAGCCCGATATACAGACCTGATCGTGTTGAATAAATGGGAGATTGCGGGAGAGAGAAGACTGGACGGGTGTCTGGATCGAGTAGGTGATTTGGAGGTCCAAGTTGCGACTGTTAAGAGTGATAAAGGTAAGGTACCAGTTGATTTGGTGTTTGGTATAGACAACGCTTCGGCTCAGAGTCTTGGTGTTGCTGTGAATGAAGAGCATGACCATTCACATGCTAAGAGCCATCAAAGTGAAGTCGAGGTCTTGTCAATCACACTCACTGCGGATTTCCCCTCAAAAGTTGATGTTGAGAAGCTTGAAACTCTCCTCAAGTCAGCGCCGAAAGACGAAGTTTACCGAATCAAGGCTGTGCTGGCTGCTTCTTCACCAATACCCTCTCCCGACACATCCCCTGAACCCTCAGAGAGCGGGCGATATATACTGAACTGGGCATTCTCCAGATGGACTTGCACGCCATTAAAGGCGGAAGAAGAGCATGAGTCGAGCAGCGGCGTTGTATTAAGAATGACAATGATACTTGCTCGCTATGAGAGCAAGAAGTGGAAAAAGAAGATTGAATCTCTCGATTACATATCTCTAGAAGGTAGCGAAACAGGGATTTTGACAGTTGAAAAGATTGCGTGATGATGATGATATGGTGTTACAAATTACGAGTAGTTCGGATGGGTTATTGTTTTTCAATAGACAAGAATGACCGGCTACAGAAATACGAAATAGAGGTCTAGATATGGATAGAAGCTCCTGGGGGGAGTACCCATGTATACAGAGCATAGAATAGAAATTAGAGAATACTCAGATCATTCAGAACTCGCACTCGCTTCTCAACCTAGACTCTTGGGACTTATAGCAAACCCCTCTCTTGCAGCCCAAACCGCCTTAAATATATCATTTATCAAACACGATAGACCAAGTCTTTCATGAAATCCCCACATCGCACTCCTGTTTGTTATGTTGCTATTTTCATCGTAACTAACTACTGAGGAATACCCAACCTTTATCTTCTCCACTTTTTATTACCTTAAGGCTTAAGTTCAGACTTTAAATTAACCTCAAAACCATATCTGGTCCTCGCGGCTTAAATTTCAAGAAGCATTTTTACTCCACTAGATTATCTGTTCTCTCAAATAGAGAATATCCTTTGTATACGATAAATTAAATGCGGCATGCCAACAAGTTGGACGTTAATGACAGCCTCTTCGCCTAGTGTCCAGGGCAGGATTACAAGTACGAGGTTTCGCTACGAGGAGTGTGTCTTTGGGACACTTTCCAACCTTATCCGACCACCTAGTCTTACAGATCTTAGGAGAGCAAACCCGGAAGAGTTTCTCGGCTCAAAATATGTCAGGGGTAGGCTTTCTTCCAATGGATATCATTTAGGAAAGCATATCCTAGATCCCCTTAAAAGAACTTGTAACATTTAGTCTCGCTCGCTGAAGCGTTTTGACGATTATCTAGCTATAGCCCATTCTTTACAACGTGGATTTCAAAAGAAAAGATGATTCTTATGTTGGGTTTGGACAAAGTGTAAAAGGGCAAAGGCAACTTCTCACGACAAGCTCTCATTTTACAAGGAGGTAAGCAGAGGCAGAAGAAAGGAGCTTATCGGCCAAGCTAAACGTGTTTAGAAATAGGCACTTCTGCATTTCATTCTAGGACTCCCATGGTCTTTGGAAGAACTCTATAGATATAAACGTTCAGCATTATGACTATAGAGAGTCTGAATGCAATTATGAAAATTATTTCCTCTTCGCATGTAAATGCAAGGAAATATTCCTTGCACTTCGTCGTCTTCATACCTGCCAGATATGGATGGTTCTCAAAGAAACATGAGTTTCCTTATCTCCTTTCAGGGAAGGTGATGTTCTGTCGACGATTTCAGCTGACTTGCACCGTGATGCGCAACAGGATGTGGTATATGATGAGCAGCCCGAAAGGACTCGAGTGCTATATATCTCGAGAATAAGTGCGTACAGAATTTTCCGCACCGCGGCCGATCGAGTACTAGTATATAAAACATGGGAACTTTAGTAAATGCTAATACTGGATGATCATGACCTCGTCAAAGTCGCTTGAGACTCACAAGTACTTTGGCTATTTACACGCTTCGCATTCCCTTATTTTGAGGATTATACAAATGTGAGCCTCGGCAGCTCCAGAGAGGGTGTGCCTGGGCCAGCAAACCCCTTTAAGGGAGGGAATCGCTAAAGGAAAAGATACAGAGGTTCCTGATAATAGGCTCGGTACTACCAAACAATTTCAAGAAACGCTAGCAAAAAAAAAAGACAAAACCTTTAGGCCCCCTGGCGCAGTGAGCCAGGAGGCTCTCCTTAGGATAAACCCGACATGGGTTTTCAAGGAGTATTATCTAATAGAAATTTCACGTACCTGATATATATTTTCTTTTTTTTTCTTCTTTTTTTTGGAGCGAGAAGGTAATAGGTTTTATGTACGGCGCTTATGGGAGAGCACACACTAACTGAGTGGGCCAGGCGAGCAGATTTACCAGTTTTGATGGTGGTGGCTGTCTTGTTTTGGGATATCAATATTCTTTGGGATTTGTGTGAGGTTTGGGGTAAGCGGTGTGGTTTGATTGGTTGGTAGGTTGGGACTTCAGGTGGATTTTGGGGGTTTGGGGTCTATGGTTGTCGTGCTTGAGATTGTGTGTTGTTACGTACTGTACACCCTCACAGTCATCTCGCTAGATCAGTAACCTTTGTAAACGAGGAATTTGACTCATTTATATTGTAAGGGGAAGGCTTTTATCATAGATCAGCATATGAATTAATGAGCAAGGACTGCGAATCTATACAAGAAGGAAATCTTGTGCTTAGAATAAAAAAGTTTAGAAGGAAAACAACTCATTCCTGAGCAGTGAGAGGGAATGGGGACATGAATAGCTCGCTTATAACGTATTTAGCGAAAAAAAAAAACGCTCAGCGCAATCGAGGTCTCTGCTTTCCTATATGTGGGGCGATCAGCATGTTTGTGAGGTGTGTGAATAGCCCGTGTTATCATGTAATCAATAACAGCGTCGGTGTTCGAACCTTTCAAGTAAATCTACCTTGGGTTGTAAAATCTTGGATCATCTCTTCATACCAAATGAACGAAGTTTACCAGAGATTCCGAGGTAGGGAAATGAAATGAGTAATCTGTCCAGTAAAAGAAGGCCTTTCCGAAGGGTAGAATTGTCAGTGCTGCATTTCTGCCTCATCCAAAGCCCAATTGTACCTGAGAAAACTTCACTTCAAGTAAAAGATTTCCATCCCCTCTTCTCTCTCCCTCCAAGCCTCTCCATCCATAATTCCATGCACATAAGCTTCTCCCACAACCCTCCAACCCCCATCACACTTCCTCAAAATCATTGGCATAGTACAGCCCCTCAAAAGCACACTACTATCTCCCACCTAACTCTGTGCGTGCGCAATACCCACGTATCCCTTCTTAGTGACCATAAATCTCCTTTCACAATCCCTGAACACCAGCGAATCGGTAAAGTCCTGCATACTGGCACTATTTGAATCTTCCAGAGTAAAGCTCTCTTTCCTACCGGACTTTGCCCAACCCTCAATAGTTTTGTCAAATACGAACATAGGACCAATTCGTTCAAGAAGATCCCGGCAATGGCTTAAATTCCGAGAGAAAGACAGAGTCTTCTCACTAAAGCATACTTGGAAGTAGTATTCAAAAACTGCTGGGGCTTCTGAGCTTCTTAAGCAAATTGAGTCTTCTACTTCACGATCATAAACAAGAGAGCGCCAGATAGCGTTGCGGAGAGATGTGTGAGTTGCGTAAATACCAAATTTCGCATAGTCTGTGGTATCCGAAAATCCTGGCGGCAAGGCTTTTTCATCGTTCTTGAAATGTTTGGAGGATTTGCTAAGTGAGTGAATCGTGTCAAATACGTAACCAGAGGCAATCAAAGTCCTGCCATCTTCACTAAAATTGATTGATGCTGGCTTTACTCGGCACGCGCAATATCGGTTAAGCAATCCCCGATAATAAGGGGAGGAGAATTGATATGCACTTTTAGAACTGCTGTCCCATATTGTCTTCCAGTCGATCACCCAAGACGGTAAAGAAAGTCTTTTTGGTTTTGTTGGGTCGCCAAGGCAAATCAAATCCATGGGCATACCCGTTGTCGCTTTCTTGGTAGTAGTAAATGATAATATTATGGCGCTGCGTAGAATGTCATTTAAAGGCTTTGAATAGTCGACCTCTGGTGTTAACTTAAACCCTTCTTCGGCCAGTCCTAGAATGGCGAAGATTTTATCGTGTTGTTCCGTGGCTTTGGAAAGAGTTGTATCGCTTAGTAACATAGAAAGGGGCAGAGACTGTTTTTGCCGGAAGCCCCCTATGGTCAGGAAGACCCCCCTCATTGTTGCCCAGTTTGGCAGCTCAGGTCGCAACCTCAGCATCTTCCTGATTGACCTTATCGCGGCATTTATAGTGGTTTCATTCCACAACTGTTCGTCCCATATAAATATAACATTTCGAGACAATGCTAATTCTTGTATAATCCAAGTTCGCTTCCAATAAGGTATGTCTACAAATGAAATAAGTGCTTCCACTCTGGTAGCTTTCGAAGATCTCGAGGGGAGTTCCATCATTTCTTCTTTAAAGCTAGTGCTGAGCTGACGAGATGCCAAAAGTGTCATGACATCAAATACTTCATCTGGGTACGGATTATCTCTTCCAAGCCAGGCGACCGTTTGACTAGCATTGCGATAGACTTCGGCCATCCGCTGAACTTGCTGACTTTTCTCAACTGCATCGTTCTGATTGATACATATGGCATCAATCCAGAGTACGCTGATATTCCGTTGCCATAACACTTTCAGGGCTTCAAAAAGGTTTTTGGTGATAGAGATGAGATGTCCATTGATGCGGATTGATTCTTTTTCGGAGGTGGCCCCCCAACAGTAGGAGAGCGCTGTGTACGTTGGAAACTTTGGAATACACGAAACACGACTCAAGGTGCAGGAGATTTCTTCCGTACTAGGCAGAAGCTTCAGAATCCGGATATTGAGTGTCTTAACATTCAGTTCATCGTAAAGAGAGGTGCTTTCTTGTGTGTTGCTTTGCGCATTTGACTTAATGTATTTTAAGAATTGTTTCATCTTAGGCGAGGGGAATTGCTGGTCTGGGCTGAGGGTGGAAGGAACTAGATGATATATCAGAGAGTCTGGATGACAGAGAATGAAAAATAAATGCTGTAAGAAAACTTGCTGTACAAGAGGCTGTGCTGTGGCTTATTTGTACCACCACAGGTCCACCAGTGATGCTGCCAATCATGACTTCTCAGAAGCCTTGCTCACACAAGGCTCTTATCAAAAAAACACTAGGCATGCATACTGAGTATGTACGCAAATACGTGGAAGCATGCCTTCGAGATTGGTGGATTTTCTGATTCGCGCCTTCCATGATATAACCTCTGTCGACGATCCGAGTCAATCTGGTGTGTTGAATGATGTTTCCCAGTTCATTGTAAACACTTGAGATCCATAATTCCTCCTGAATGCCACGACAGGCATTGTGCACTGCAAAATCAAGTCACCAGTCCAGTCCAGAAGTACTCCGTAGCCATAAAACATAAACACATCGCTTAAGAAGATCACTTCACGTGAAAAGACCAAGTGGATGAACAGTGCAGGTGGAGAAAAAACGATCGCCAAGCTTCCATCGCTCGCAACAAATGCATGAACCTCGGCACCCCTTCTTTCCCCACGTTTTCCTTCCCGAAGCGAGAATCTTTCCAAGTTTCTCCAGATATAACCTTACGCCTGTTCTCCACACCGTTCGAGATGTCCATTCACCTCTCCCCATACTCGTACATCGCATTTCATTATCGCTATACAAGTAAACTTCGGCCTTAGTACCACATATGATATATTTGCTTTGGCCAATTGATAGAACCCACCACAATAAAGCAAATAATTAATTCAACACCATGGGTCCCATAACTACTCCTCTCACAACCCTCTTGGGTATAGAGCATCCAATCCTTCTAGCAGGAATGGCCCGAACCTCAGGTACGTTCAGACCTAGAACAATACCCACCCATTCTCGCCCATCTCGCAACGAAGAAAAACAACAAAGCTAACACCCTCAGGCGGCCCTCTCGCAGCAGCAGTCTCCAACGCCGGAGGCCTAGGCTGTATCGGCGGTCTAGGCTACACACCAGACCAACTACGCGACATAATCCACTCCTTGAAATCCTCCCTCTCGTCGCCCGAGCTCCCCTTCGGCGTTGACCTCGCCCTGCCCAAGGTCGGCGAAGGCGCGCGCAAAACCAACCACGACTACACGCACGGCCAGCTCGACGACCTAATCACCGTCACCATCGAAGAAGGCGCCAAACTCTTCATCTCCGCGGTCGGCGTCCCGCCCAAGTATGTCATTGAGCGACTGCACGACGCGGGCATCCTGGTCATGAATATGGTTGGGCACCCGAAGCATGCGAAGAAGGCGCTGGACGCGGGCGTGGATATCGTGTGTGCGCAGGGGGGAGAGGGAGGCGGGCATACGGGCGATGTGCCGAATTCGATATTGATTCCTGCGGTGGTGGATGTGGCGCGGATGTACCGACCCAAGATGTTGAAGGGGGAGGCGGCGTTGGTGGTTGCTGCGGGGGGCATTTACAATGGGAGGAGTTTGGCGAGTAGTTTGATGCAAGGGGCCGCGGGGGTGTGGGTTGGGACGAGGTTCGTGGCGTGTACGGAGGCGGGGTGTAGTGAGCAGCATAAGGAGAGTGTGGTGAGTGCTAGGTTTGAGGATACGATGAGGACGCTTGCTGTGAGTGGGAGACCCTTGAGGGTAAGGAGGAACGAGTGGATTGACAAGTGGGAGTCGCAGCCTGAAAAGGTCAAGGAGTTGACGGAGAAGGGAGTCGTTCCTATGGAGCATGATCTTGATGAGGGGAATGATGTTGATATCCCTCACTTGATGGGTGTTGTTGCTGGTGTGATTGAAGATATCAAACCTGCGAAAGCTATTGTGGATGAGATGGTTGGAGAAGCGGTTGTCATGCTGAAACAGTGCAAGACCTTCTTGGGCGGGAAGAGTTTGTTGTGATATGTTCTACTTGTAGCTATATATACTGTGATTTCGAGCTAGTCAATACCATTGTTTTTTTACTTGTGTCAAATCTCACTACACAATGCTGTATTATGTGGCGCCGGCTGGTGCCGTTGGCGCCAGATTGAAAGTCTCGAAAAACACCCTGATATGTTTCTCTTATAGAAATTATGTTGAAAATGCTCCAAAACTGACCAACAAAATCTGATCACATCACACAATCTGGGCATATTCAACTAGCTCCCAGAAAGAAGAGAAAGAAAGTGTACAACGTGCTTCTAAAAATCTCTTTTATTGCGCCTAAAATGCCCAATAAAATCAAGTATTCCAGCAGCGAGCACTTCGCATACTTCTAGAACGCCATTCAGATGCCTACGCCCAATTGCCATACCACAAGCGCTATGATCCTAACCCAACAAAAAGAAAAACTGAAATGCCTCCTTTAACCCTCCCACGATCAATCTACATAGTTCTCTTCCACTCAGCCAAAATTTGGCAACCTTGCAGGGACAAACTCACTCCCGGAGTGGTTACCCGAAGATTCGCTCTTCGTGTCTTCTCTGCTCGTGCTGGGTATATATTCCACATCTTTAGTATCGTCGACTGCCACATCTACTGCGGGAGAGTCTTCAATTGGTGCTTTGTTCTCAGACATGGAAACTGTGGTGTCTTCAACATGAAGTCCACGCTTCATTGCTAGCTTAGCAGCCGCCAGTCGTTTCCGCTCTACCTCGTCATCTTCCTCCCGTCGTACTCTTTCTTCTTCTTGTTGAAGGTCTGATAAAGAAGGCGCATCAATGCCATCAGGAGAAGCAATGCCAGGACTATCTGTTATAGATGCCTCGGAAGTGGCGTTCATTGCCCCTAAAGTGAGTACCGATTGTGATGAAGCTGCTCTCCGGGACACAGTCCTCGAAATATTCTTCAGAGCTGCTGGTCTTTTGCCTTTGCTACTGCGTGTCCTCCCACTGCTCTTATCATCCATATTAGAGTTTGTCCCTCGTCTCTCTAGCACCATAGCAAATTCGTCAGGCAATGGAACTGCATCATCCTCTCCATCACTAGGGAATATATCTCCCCGTGAGCGAAATGAATCTGAGGTCTCGCCAGAGCTCATCGTGGAGCTTCTTTTCCTTCTATGTCCCTTATCATGCTGGTGATTGTCATCGTCATCGTCATCAGTATCATCATCCGGCATCAACGGCTCCCCTTCCTGATCGAAATATTCCGATCTCGAAGCCCCAGGATGTTCTTGTAGATCCGCCGCACTAGGCTTATACCTCAACGTCCCTCCAAATTTGAAGGGCAACCGTCCAAGAAACCCCAAACTATTCGTGCTCGGAATAATAGTCGGATCGGGTTCCAAACTCTTGCGCCTACTTCTCGTCCCATAACTCATGCCTCTTTTCCTCCTCGGCGCTTGATCAACGCCCTTACTGCCACTATGCGATCCACTTCCGGCTAGTAATCGATCCAGTTCATCATTTCCCCATCCCCCTAATACACCACCCTCATCCTCATCCCAATCATCGTAGAAGTCAAAGCTGAGTTCCGCCCGTCCTCTCGTCCGCCCGCGTTCCCTCAGTCGTCGCGCGCGCTCGTCGCGATCAGGAAAACAGGTTCCGGTACATTGCTCAAAGGCCAACGCGACAGATGACAGGCACGGGTTTATATATTGATGCTGAAAGGTCCAGATGCCAGCAGCGGCCGTTTCGGTCGCCGACTCCGCATTCTGCGAGAACTGATTCCAGGTCTGCCGGATGCGAGGATCTTCCAGTAAGGGAGCCATGGTGATGGTTTGCTCGAAACCTTAGCGTTGCTGCTGGGGACGGGAGAGATGGTTGGTATGCCGAATGAGCTATTGCGACCTGATTCTCGATTTGGGAGCTCTGGAGTGTGAGCAGTGAGGCATAAATGCATCCATTGACTTGAGCTTTCTTTGGAAAGAGAGGGGTTGCGGAGATACCTATGCCATGGGCGAGCTCTTGTGTCAGGTCTTTAATCTCTGGGGCTTCATGCCGCTAATGTTTAGCGTACTCCGCATCATGTTGTCGGGGGTCTTCGGCTACGAGGCTGTCAGTGCCTGTCATACCCGGTAAGGCTGCAGGTGAACAAAGAACCTGGCAACCACTGCTCTCCTCGCATTACAAACGTCACGCAAGAAGCAAAATGGAGTTCACGTAGCAATTTACAGTGAATAGACCCTACGATATTCACGCCCTCTCTATACATATGTATCTATCTTCTTATCCCCAGGTTCTCGGTGTAACTTTTCGATGTCACAAGCACCACCCAGGTGGCGGTTTCAGGTATACATCAAAGCTTCATCACCACTACGAGTAGACTTAATGTCAAGACACGTTGATACAGGATAGGCGCTTTGAATTCGCTATGTGAATAGGAAGCTGGAAAGTCTGCTTCAAGCCGCTACTCACTAAAGGTACAATTAATGCTTAATGCCATTCGCAGTAGCAACTAGCCCATTGATCGCTGAAAGAGGGGCAGGAGGGGGGGGTACGGGACCAAAAGGCTTTGCAGCTTGTTGAAGGTGCAATTCCTCCTCAGTATCTTCGTCATACTCCCCTTCACTTCCCTCTTCATCGCCATCTTCAGCCTCCTCGTCCTCATACTCATACTCACTCTCGGTACCTTCCATATCCCCTTCTCGAAACTCTCCCTCAACACTTCCTTCAGCCGTACTGCCCATCATACCACCAGGTACGCCCCTACCTTGCTTCTGCATTTGGTTGATGATACTCGTTAGCTTTTCATTCTTTTTTCGCAAAGCCTCTTGATCCTCATTGCTCTTTGTTCGTTCCTGGGCCATCTTGAGGATATTTTGGTTGGTCAAGTCGTGCTTTCGGGTAAGATTCATATTCTCCTTCTCAAGTCGCTTCGTCTTCTTGGACATATCTTCCATCTCCTTTCGGAAAGTGAGAAACAAGTCATTGCTGTTATTAAGCGTATCCTCCACCTGAAAGCTATCAGTTTCGTCCACAATATGTACTCGGAAAATTGGATAGTGTATACCCAATTCAAAAAAGCGCCTGGGCTTACCTGTTTGAACTTCTCGACGTATATATTAAGTTGATTTCGAAGCTCATTTTCGGTTTTGGAGAAGGTCAAAACCTGGGTGTTCAGGGCTTTCGATCGAGCAACTTCCGCCTCGGCCGCCTTACGTTCGCGGTCATATCTTGCCATATTGTACTGTACTTCTAGCTCCTTTGCGCGCATGAGAGAATGAAAGTGGAGCTCTCTCAACTCATACTGGTCTATCAAGGATTTGAAGCGTTGTTTGAACCTAAATTTGTTAGGATAATAAGCCTGAGTGGGAAGCAGTATATGACGAACAAGTCTTCCACCTCAATATTCACAATTTGCGCTTGAGGGTGATCCTTTGCCTCTTGATAGTCCTGGAGTTGCCATAGGAGTTGCCTGAACTTCTCATCCCAAGATTCGTGGCTGCTTTTTTCAGAATCCTGGTAACCTCTATTCTCAGCCTATTTTAAGCTGTCAGTACTTGAGCCAGAGTGACGCAAAAATTCGAAAGCGAACCTTCAACTTGTTGTTCTCCTTTTGCAGTTCTCTACACAGGGTCTCCAATTTCTGTTTCATGCTGGTTTGTTTACTGAGCTCGTTGGTTCTCTGGTCCTTTTCCTTTTGTAATTCATCTGCCCGCTTCTGGTTCTTCCGACTTTTTCGCTCCCATCGTTTCACGTCAGTCAGGTGTTCCGTGACTCTCTTCTGGAGGAAATCAATCTTCTGCAAAGCGTCCATTTTCGAGGTAAGACTGTTGAGTTCTCGATTTGCTCGTTTGACCTCTCGCTCTTTAAGATACGTTAGCAAAAATTTCGCTATCGCAAATTCAAGTAGCAATAAAACAAAATCTCAATCTAAGAGTATCCTTATAGCAACACAGAAATTGATGAGGCTCTCCCAACCAGATGGATATTCTTGGATCGCGCAGTGGCTTCAGCGGTACTAAAAAGCACGATCATGGCTTGCCACTGTTCGCCATCTGTTTGCTCATTCGGTTCCCCTCTTTGCCAATTTCTGTGCACCACGTCATATTCTCCAAAAACACCCATCAAGTACTCTTGTACGGAAAAGTACACTTGCCACCTCGCTGGGGAAAATTCAAGCGCATGCAAAATTATATGGGCAAGACCAACCAATTTCGGCTTCCTGCTCCTTGTCCTCAGCAGCTCCCAGCTCCAACTGCGAAATCTTTGCGGCTAGCAGTTTGGACGTCTCGTTTGGGTCCGCTGCCTTCTTCTGCTTTCCCTTTTTGGCAGCATTTGCTGCTCCAGCGTGTTGGTGCGAAGCCGCATCGTGGTGATGGTGATGACCATTTGTGTAGGCGGGGTCGGCGTGTGAATGGTTGGTAGGAACGGAGGGTCTCGCACTCGCGGGAACTGATGTGGTGGTGGAATTGACAGTGGTCGACATGTTGCATCTGAATGGAGATGGCGTCGTGGTTTCGTTCGGGGTCGGGGGTGGAAAGCAGGTCGGTTCAGTTGGGTGCGCATGCACAGGTGCCGAAGTGAGATCCGCTGGCAGTTGTTGGGATGGAATTCGGTATGGCGATGTCGAATCGTCGAATCCACTCCAGGTCGCCGGTATCACGGTCGCGAGGATGTGGTACCTGATTCTGCTCCTGTCTCTATTCCTCCTATCTCACGGGTGGTCGTCTTGGGGGTATCTCGTCGCGAGGAGGAGCAGAAGTTTGCCAGAGATCAGAGACCTTATTTCCGAACGAGACTAGCGCCTCGCCCACGACCACGATTTGAGAGGAAAGTGCAGAGCAGCGCAGAGCAGCGCAGCGCAGCACAGTGCAGTGTTGTGGGATGATGAGGGATGTACTTGTACAGTATAGATACTGTAGTCAGTAGGGATATATCCACTATGGCTACCAGAAGGTTAGAATGCGCGATGAGGTAATCAGAGTGTATATTTGAGGCCTTCGTCGGTCTATGGTGAGATTACAGGTGGTGATGTCTTCTACTCCGTAGGGACTCCGTAGTCTGAAATGCTCCCGTCCCGCTCCCCTCCCCTCCAACTGTCAGCGTTAGCTCCCAAGTTGGTGGGTGCGCAACACGCCAGGGCCAACAGTGAAGACGGGAGTGATAGTGGGCAAGAGAGTCATGCGCCAGGCGATGGCATTGGCTGGCATTGGCTGCTGGTAGCTGGTAGCTGCTCTTGTGCAAATTGGTCCAGCACCTCTGTAGTGGGCGGCGGCTGCATAGATGGATTGTGCAAGGCTAGAGGCGCATCATAATTTGTGCAATTACGTCGTATGCTCAGGTGGTATGGCCTTCTAGAATTTGTCAACCCAACCCCAACCTTCATTCGTGTACAATTATTCCTACTCTCTTTTTCATCCTGCTTCTGGTCATCCCGAGTCCTGGTCCTTCACCAGCAAACTCGCAATGCTGCGCAGCGCTACCAAGAGCGCAGTACGAAAGGGTGTGACCGAGATCTCCCAATATCCCAAGCCAGGCAATAAACTGCACGGCTTCACGCTTTTACGTTTTAAACATGTACCCGAGCTCGAGTTGACCGCATTGCATCTGCAACACGACAAAACCGGTGCAGACTATCTACATGTCGCTCGGGAAGACAAGAACAATGTCTTTTCTATTGGCTTCAAGACGAATCCACCCGATGATACAGGAATTCCTCATATCCTCGAGCACACAACACTATGTGGAAGTGAAAAGTAAAGCGCAATTCATCTTAGTTGATACCATGTATATTAATTTCTCGTAGATACCCAATCCGCGATCCCTTCTTCAAGATGCTGCCTCGAACTCTTTCCAATTTCATGAATGCCTTTACAGCCTCCGACCATACCTTTTATCCATTTTCTACAACCAACGAACAAGATTTTAAGAATTTAATGTCCGTTTATCTGGATGCCACATTACATCCCTTGTTGAAGCGAAGCGATTTCACACAAGAAGGATGGAGAATTGGCCCACAAAATCCAAAGGTTGCTCTTGCAGGAGAGGCTGTAAACCCAGATGATTCGAAACTGGTTTTCAAGGGCGTGGTATACAATGAGATGAAGGGGCAAATGTCAGATGCAGGATATCTATATTACATCAGATTTCAGGATCATATATTCCCCGCCATCAATAACTCCGGAGGCGATCCTCAAAAGATGACGGAATTGACATATGAGCAATTGAAGAATTTCCACGCCGAACACTATCATCCAAGTAATGCTAAGGTCTTCACTTATGGTGATATGCCTCTGGGAGACCACCTCAAAGAGGTCAACGCGCAATTAAGCGCTTTCAACAAGATCCAAGGCGACTTTGAAATTCGGCGACCAATTGATCTCAGCGGTGGACCCCAGAATGTTACAGTTTCTGGACCAATCGACCCCTTGGTTCCACTAGATATGCAGTACAAGACCTCAACTTCGTGGCTATTAGGAGATACAACTAACATATTGGAAAATTTCTCTCTGGGTTTGGTATCTGCTTTGCTTATGGATGGTTATGGATCACCTCTATATCGGAATCTCATCGAAGCTGGATTGGGTACGGAATGGAGTCCAAATAGCGGCTTTGATGGTTCAGGAAGAATCAGCATGTTTTCTGTGGGATTGACTGGCGTTAAAGAGGCCGATGTACCCAAAGTCAAAGAGGCAATTCACAAAACATTCAAGGAAGCGCATCAGAATGGATTTGATAATTCCAAAATCGACGGATATCTCCATCAGTTGGAATTGAGCTTAAAGCATAAAACCGCAAAATTTGGCATGTCCCTGATGCACAGAATTAAGCCCCAGTGGTTTGAGGGTGTTGACCCGTTTGAATCTCTAGCTTGGAACGATACTGTTTCGGCATTCGAAGCCAAGCTTGCTGAGGGAGGCTATCTTGAAGGAATTTTGGAGAAGTATCTATTGAATGACAACACTCTCACGTTTACCATGACTCCATCAACAACATACGCAAATGAATTAGTCGAAGAGGAGGCTACTCGACTTGCAACCAAAATTGCTGAAGTCACGAAAAGTGCCGGAGGCGAAGCGGAAGCTCGGGCTCAGTTGGAGAAACAGGAACTAGAACTTCTCGAAGAACAAGGGAAGTCCAACACGCAAGATCTCAGCTGTTTGCCAAGTGTATATGTGAAGGATATACCTCGACAGGGGGAGGCGGTTGAGTTAAGAACTTCAAAAATTGACAAGGTTGATGTGCAATGGAGGGAGGCACCCACAAACGGTCTGACCTACTTCAGAGCAGTCAATACTTTCGAGAACCTACCAGAGGAACTTAGAGCTCTTATCCCACTCTTTACCGATTCAATAATGCGCTTAGGGACCAAGAGCAAGACCATGGAACAGCTAGAAGATCTTATCAAACTCAAGACTGGTGGTATCGGTGCTGGATATTATGTCTCTTCGTCTCCATTTGACTTCAGGTTGTCCACTGAGGGCATGAGCTTTTCAGGGACTGCTTTGGACCGAAACGTACCTGATATGTTTCAATTGCTGCAAACACTCGTGCTCGAAACCGACTTTGATAGTGCTGAAGCACAATCCCGTATCAGGCAACTTTTACAGGGTGGTGCTGATGGAGCTGTCAACAATATCGCATCTTCTGGTCATGTATACGCAAGAGGTGTTGCCGAAGCTGCAATCTCACGCTACGGTCAATTGCGAGAGCAGGTAGGCGGTTTGTCACAAGTGAAACTCATAACATCTTTAGCGTCAAGACCCGAATCAGAAGGACTAGCGGATGTGATCGAAAAACTCAAGGCCATTCAAAAGCTTGCCTTCTCCGGATCCAGCACATTTCGTACTGCTATCACATGTGGCAGTGAAAGCGTCTCCAGCAATGAGGCATTGCTACAAAAGTTCCTCTCCTCCTTACCCGGCGGTGCCGGTTCATCTCCGGCTTCCAAATCCCCCGAACTGTCACGAAACTCCAAGACTTTCTTCCCTCTCCCATACCAAGTATACTACGGTGCTTTGGCCCTCCCAACCGTCTCGTATACCAGTCCTTCTGGTGCCCCTCTACAAATCCTCTCCCAACTTCTCACCCATAAACATCTCCACCACGAAATCCGCGAAAAGGGTGGTGCTTATGGAGTAGGAGCCTACTCTAAGGGCCTCAACGGCGTCTTTGGATTCTACTCTTACCGTGACCCCAATCCGGAGAATACCATGACCATCATGCGAAACGCAGGCCAATGGGCCGTTGATAGACAATGGTCGCCACAGGATCTCGAGGAAGCTAAGCTGTCGGTTTTTCAGAGCGTGGATGCGCCGAGGAGTGTGAGTGATGAAGGGATGACAAAGTTCCTCAGCGGCGTTACGGATGAGATGCAGCAGGAGAGACGGGAGCAGTTGCTTGATGTTACGGCGGAGCAGGTGAGAGATGTGGCGCAGAGGTACGTTGTTGACCCGCTGGCGAGGGGCGAGGGTAGTATGGTGTTCTTGGGGGAGAAGAAGGGGTGGGTGGGGAGTGAGTGGGTGGTAAAGGAGTTGGGGATGGAGGGGAAGCCTGAGACGGAGTTTATTGATGAGGATCGTGCGTAGAGTTNGAAGGGGTGGGTGGGGAGTGAGTGGGTGGTAAAGGAGTTGGGGATGGAGGGGAAGCCTGAGACGGAGTTTATTGATGAGGATCGTGCGTAGAGTTGGGCTGGTGTTGTATATATTTGTGTTAATCATTCCACTCTGAGCGGGTTGAAAGTTGAGGTGGGTAGATGGTTTGTATGAGTATAGATGAAGATAAGATGTATGTATAATGAGAATTAAAGAGACTAGCTCAAAAGACTATTTTCTATGTAAATGGAGGTATGAAGGTCAAGTAGAATGGATACAATGTTGAAACTTGATGTTTTCATGGCTCATGGCTCGCTACAATGATTAAACTCTCATAGTTATATATTGCCTAACGACTGTGATCCACTTACGCACTGCATCTAATCTCTCTCGATTTGGCTAGCTTGGGTTGCCCGGTTGTGTGAATATGTCGTATTCTTGGACGTTGTTCTGTTTTTAGATTCTAGGCGGCATCTATATCTCTGGTCGCCGAAAGGCTGTATCTAAGACATCCGGCGTCTCTATAACCACCAACTCCTCCATTGTTACCTGAAGTACCATTAGAGATCACATACCTTTGGTGGGGCAAAATCTAGACCTACAATGCAGAAAATTCTCTCTCACAAATAATTCGCAGTTTGCTCCCAATGCATGCTCCGGACCAAGCGGTAGCTGTACACTTTGCTCTACTGCTGCAGTCTGACAATCTTTGATCCAGGAGATGGTAAAATGATACGGCTTATACGGATTAGTACTGCTGAAACTGACGTCCTTGGGGTTGCGCTTCAAGGCTGGGGATGTAGATGTCATCTTCTGATCCTCCCAGTCTTTGCAAAATTGCCGAGAGTATGCGTTTTGTGCCTTTGAATCAATATCCCCTGTCCCAGGCTCTGAGAAATCTGCCTTTTGGTAACAGGTTTGGCCAGATAGACTGGGCGCTGGAAGAGGGGGCGGGGGAGGTGGGGGAGATGGTGAGGAGGGTGGAGGTGGAGGAGCTGGAACTGGAACTGGAGGAGAAATTGTCTTCGTGTTGAATATACTTTGCCATACCAAGAGAGCAGCGTCTAGGCTTCCATATGGGTTAAAAGCTCTTATGTCACCTCTAGGTAAACATTTACAACTTGAACCAAGTATCAGTGTTATTATCAATAAGGGGGATGTGGAAACCAGTAATCTTACCCTTGTAGGTTATTATTATTCTGGGGATCCTAAAGTTTCATAATTTAGCAGTAACCAAACAAAACTTTCTGTTTGAAGACTTACACCAGGGCAGGTATTGAATGTAAATGGAGATATTCCATCGCCTCCACAATTTGCGCAAAACGGTGTACGATCGTCAGGAGGGCATTGTTTCTTCTTCTCTTCCTCCTCGACCTTTTCCTTTTTATCTGCTTCCTCCTTTTGCTTCTGGTCTTGTTGCTGGCGATAAACTTTGACTTTGTCAATCGGCCGCCCTCCCATTCGTCTGCTAACAACACCTGAAAGAGCAATTATAATGCGGTCTACCTTTTCAATCGGAAAATCGGCTCGAAACGATTCAGACCATAGTTTGATCGAGTCAATGGTATCTTGGACGTTTGGAGGGAGTGTATCAAATGGTATGTCTCCCAGAATCAACAATGACCTCCACAATTGCGTCCAGATATGCCCAGACATTAACATGGCTCGGAGGCTACGTCGTTGGCCTGTGGCAATTAGTGATAAGTCATTCAGGTCCAGGTTGGGTTCATCTCACATTGTGTAGTCTGTGACTCAAGATCGCGAGCACATATTACTTGGTCAAGAATTTAAATTGAGAGCATCGACGACTTGCGGTGAAAATAGTATTTCAATATCACCTTCTGGGCTCTTGGTCCAAGTTGGTGGCGGCCTGTTGGTGTCTATTAGCAGAGTTGCCCAAGGATAGAAACGACGACACTTGCATGCATACATTGTAGCGCTTTCCGGAGGCGCGATTGCCGTCAAGGTTACTCTGCAGCAAATCAAGAATTAGCATTTCTCTTTTGATTGAGCCAGGATCCGAGAGTAATGAGTAAGGAACAGGTTTATTTTGGAACACCAGCACATGGGTTCTGTAGAGCGATTAAGGGAACTTCGCTTACGTGACGGCATGAATATCTCCCACGGTAGTCGCAAACACCGCTCTATCAGGAGAATCGTCACCCTGGCAAGAAGCAATTTGATAGTGATCAGCTTTCGGATAGTGGAGGGCAGAAAGTTGCAGGCGGGGGGCAGGATGAATTTTCAATTCATCTTCTTGAATCCGCGCCCATAGATGTGCCAGATACGAGAAGTAGAGACCAATTACTTTCACGCCAGGCCCAATAGAGGGTATCTGGCGAGCTTGTAGTTCGACACTATCGTCCGTGTTCAATACAGCGAGTATGTTTTCTTGGCAGGTTAGTGTAATGGCTCGTTTGCATTGTGAGGACTGGAAGTCATCGGCCAAGTGCTTCCCTACATCTGGCCCCAGGAGAATGTCGATTCCATCATTGGGAAATGAAGTGGCTCCTGGATCCGAGACCATAATAGTTTTCGAATTGCCAGATGGTTGAGTCGGATATGACTAAAGCAGGTTTAGTGTCGCTCTACAGTCTTTGAAAGACAGACTGACCTTCGTCACTTGATAGTTTGAATTGGCCCTACTATTAGAGTCGGAATAGGAAGTGAGTCTCGAGGGAGAATAGGAGGGTTGCTTTGAATTGATGATTGTGTAATAGTTGGGAATGGACCAGTGAAACGAGCTGGAGGCAACACATGATATCCCTCGGTTAAATTGCATGATATGATCAAGAGAATTGCTTCGATGAACATTTTGGAAATTCAAGACAGAAACCGGAAAAACAGGTGAAGGTAAAATAAGTGAAAGAACTTGGGACTAAGCAAATCGACAAAGGCAAAGCGAGTGACTCTTTAAAAACAGGTAAATGTTTTGGGGCTTGGGCTCTCTTTAGAAGCTCACAGGAATGTTACGGTTCTTATGTCTGAGTTGGGTTGTCGTATCTGGATACATGTTGTAAACAATATTCCTCTTGTCTTCGTAATGAATCCTATATTTGGATCTGTTTCATACGAAATTGGTTTGTTGGTTGTTATTTTTATGTTGATGCTGGAACTCCGCCGAAAATGCAACCTAGTGGACTTTGTATCTCATTAAGTGTTGGTTATTCCTTCATAGCAATCCTTTCTCCAAGAACTGTTGGTTTCTGCCTTGAATGCATTTTATTATAGCTAATTTCTGATCCTACACCGAGTGGCGGTTCGTGTAAAGTCGTTCAGTATGTTGTTGTTCACAGCAACACGTAAAAATGTTAGTACTCTGCCGCATGCTCGCTTAGCAGTTTTCACGTAGTTTAGGGGTTGAGGGTACTCAAGGGTTGTTTTTGAAAAACTCTCGATCAAATCAGTCGACACCTGGCTATAAAGGCGACTCTCCTTACGCGTGTGGGGCTGTGTGTTTCGTTTTCAATGGAATTGATGTAGGATCTTGTTGGTGTTTCGCCCCTGCAGCCAACTAGTTCAAATCTTCAGCCGTGATTTTGTCTTCGGCAGCGTTTTCGTGAAAGGTGTTGGCATTTCGCCCTACCAATGATCATATACCTTGCCATTATTCTAGACCTCAACGGCACCTTGTTGAATTATGTTGGTATTACGCCTTACCGACGCCTCGTCTCCCATAAACTCGGCTGCTTTGCTGCAGCAAAGGTGGCATTGATCATTCCTGTTCGTGAAATGCTAATAACAGCATATATGTATACTATTCTCTCTAATTTGAAAGACCTATATTTAGTTTTCTCCTGTTCTAGAGAGTAACTTTCACGTGAAGCTTACCCTCAAAATGTCTGTCTTGTGATATACTTACGATTGTAATTTCGGTTATCAGGATCGCCATTTGATACTCATGTTTTATTTATAGACGCATTACTTTGTAGTGTATATAAGGTCGCCCTACCGACCGAAACTCCTCGATTATCACTCAGCATCTTTTGGTTCTTCTTCGTATACTTCCTTTTATACCTTTCAGACACGAAGCAGAACTACTTTTTACAGACTCTTATTGTCTTCACATTATGTCTTCTTCCTTCTCTCGGCTATACAGGATAGTTTTCCTTGCTTTCAGTATACTTGGAGCTATAGCTACCGACGACTCAGTCGAATCTAGACCAGTCATTGCGGAGACTGAAGCCAACACGTACTGGATAGATTCCTCTTGCACAACCAAATTAGATGACCCTATACAGGAAGCAATCTTGATGGCAAGTAGAGCTGCTACCAGGCTATTCGACGGTAATGATGCACTCGCGGGTGCATATCTCAATCGACTATTCAAGATGCCTGGGATAACTAGTGGTGCCAAAGATGAAACGAGATCAATGGGTTGACAGTTTTGGGTAAGTCAAGTTAATTGCGATCTAATGAACATTGCCCAGATTATTTTTTCACTAATTCCGTAAACTAGATAACTTTCAGCTTATCGCGGAACTCAAGCAGACGACGGAGAGAAGTGATGCTAGAATCAGGCTTTACTGCGACAATGATGGTGCACGCAAAGGAAGTTTAGCGAAACCGGGAGAAAAGGGAGCACGTTGGCAACTTACTCGCGATCTTAATAGACCAGGCAAGCAAAACAGCAAACGAATCATGGGTAAAAACCAAGAATGGGAGGAGGTTGTTAATGGTGTAAGAACGGATATCGACTGGGCTGTCTGCGGTTATAAAAATAAGTCGGCGAGAATACAGTCAGATCATCTGGCGATGACCGTTGGAGAAAAGGTACTGCCAGGCTATCCAGGAGAAGTCTGGCCTCGTTTCGTTACTACAGTGAGTATGGATATTTATTCTCTCTCTATATCAAGTATAACTGATGAAGTGCTTTTTAAGGTCTGTGATGTACAGTTCTCGAATTTTCCAACAGTTGCACACCTCGCGGATGAAAATAAGGACTTTTCGGCATTAACTAAAGGAATCTTTGACTTGGAGTTGATAACGAGTTTTATCATGCTACATGAAGTAAGTTCAGACTGCAGTAGCCCACAAGTCTGAAAGAACATTATCTAACCACAAGCACAGTTTAGCCATGCATTCAAAAGTGAGAGGCATTCCTTCTTGCATACTCGTCCCCCTCTTTCCAATTACTTACAACAGAATTAGCGAAAGACCACAGGTATCAATGGGACGGCGCATTATCAGACGACGTTCCTGTTGAAAGAGCTTGGCAGAATGCTGACAGTCTTGCTCTTTTTGGTTTATTATCGATTCTTGCTGGTATGGGTTGGAAACTCTCTGATATTGGGTCAAACCCTGGATCACCAGCTTTTGGTCGTTTTATAGCAGCTCCAGAGCTGATAGTAAATCGTACACCCAAATAAAGTCTTGGGACCAGAACAGCGCATCTGGGGGTATGTTCATGTATTGATTCATGGTACTCGCAGTTAAACTTGGGACCTTCGTTTGTCTTGGATCTGTAGTTTGTGCTCAAAAGTGTATTCATGTTTTAGATAGTACTGTATGCGGGAGTCAACGATATATTACATCAAGTGCAATCAGAGTGATAGGCTGAGATACCCTACTTATTATCATACTATCGTTCTTTCCACTCTCGCTCTTCTTCATTTTCTTTTTCCCCTGATACCCTTGATTACTTCTTTCCTTTGGTATCCCTTCATTGATTCCCTGGGAAATGAGTGTGAAATTCAAGGAACTGCCAAGATAACGTTCCTCCATTTCAACCTGTCGAATAATATTAGATATCTCATGTATCCCGGAAGTGGATGTGGGTGGCGTGGTATACTCTGGAGACATTTCACTTGCTTTAGTGCCCTGTTTACCGCAAGGGACTTGTCAACCTATAATTAGTTTGTGACCAGAACTGTCATATCGCGAGAAGTTTCCTTCCCAGTTATGTATATGGAACCTTATAGATGAGGGAGTTTATAGCTAGGAACTTTTGAACCTAATATTCCCGCCGACTTATCAACCTCGCCAGCTGAAGTATAGTGGTTTTCAATTGCGAAGATTGCGCAGGGGAGTTCAGTTTAAAGCGGAAGAGAACAAAACATTGTGAAAGATATTACTTGATATTTGTTATACTATCACTCTTAATATATGGCATGATCAAATCCTTAAATTAAATACCGAATAAACAATCAGTCTGACTCTGTGATGACTCATAAAATCTCACTGAAAGGGGAGCGATCAACGATCCACCCTGACGCGTACCTCCAAGAAAACATCTGCCTCCGCAAATACATGTTCGACACTCGCGGGCGGTGTCCATATCTCTGACTTATACAAAGAAGTTACCTGCCTTGTTCCTTCCAGTATAAGGACACTATCCAGAAAACGAAGTCGTTCCCTTTTGTACTGAGCAAGTTCTAAAATCCAGCGATACTCTAATTCCCGCAGTTCCCCAGCGACGAATCGAGCTCGTCCTGTCTTCTCAACTCCAAACCCATCTCCTGGACGGCACAGAGAATAAAATATACCGATATCGTACTGGAAAAAAAGCTAGATACTTGTCAGTGTGCGGGTTCGAGTGCGTGAGGTCCAACTTACGTCCAATTCCTCTAATGATGGTGGAAGCAATTTATAGAACCCATCCCTAGACAAACCTAAGGGAAGGGGACTGAAGAAGCACAATGAGGAAATTCCAAGTTTTTTGAGAGCCACAAATTGACTGAAATCCATTCGCGTACCGTCAAAGTTACCCCAAATACCTCCAGAGTTGAGATGCAATGTCGTCAAAATTCTTGAGAGACACCTAAAAGGGGACATAAAATTCCGTGGCGACAAGACATAAGGTATTCGGATAGGCTCAGCTCTTCTGCGAGGAATATTGGATTGAATAGGTTTCAATGGACCGGGGGTTGGCATCGGACATACAAGCTCAGTCAACGAACTTGTGAACGAAAGTAGTTTGAGGAAAACATCTATGTGAAGGCTCCCAATCAGGAGAGATTGGAGTACAGAATTTCCAACTAATGTAACATCCTCAGGCTCGAATATGGAGGTTTTCGGTCCATCATCTTCTATGTCCAAAGATTTCAGTTTTGGTAAAGCTGCTAATTCAAACAATTGCTTTGTAGAAATGCGACTCTCGTACAATGTCAGGCGTTGGAGGCCGCTCCGAAATGGAAGATTGGGCGACAGAATGGTAGCAGCAAGTCTCAATGACTTCAGGGCCGATTCACACTTCAACTCCCGTAGATTGGGAAAGTGTTGAACGAAATCAGAAATTTCATGCTCTCGGGAAGGATCTTGTACAGTAAACGAAAAGGTCTTAACGTTCTTGCCGTATTCGGCGTTCTCATTTAATGTTCGTCGAAGAAGCTCGTATCTCGTTGAAGGAACGGAGTCATCGAATGCCTCAGCGGCGTAAGGTTGCGCGAGTTTTAACAATGACTTGCAGGTATATGCCAAGTTCAGGTTGTTATTTCGAAGAATTTGTTCTGTTGGTCGAAGATACACTATTATGAGATTGAGAACTTCGATATCGAGATCAAGGAGTTGCATCATGGGCGAGCGAAGAATTATTTGCCGGGTTTCTTGTGGTTGGCCCTGAAATAATTGCCGAAAATGAAGGAGTGTAGATGTTGGTTGGACGTTGGAAGGCGTAGCCAGTAAGAGACAGCTTGGCATTGGATTCACGCGAGTGACTAATACAAGGCTTCAGTACTACCCGCTAGGACAAAGTTTCTGAAAGCTGAAGCGAAGCACAATACATATAGATAATATGACCACTTGAAGTCTTTCTGTAAACCGTGTGGTATCACAAACATGTACAGTTTGTTCACTTTAGTCAGCAGGCACTGTACTTGAGGATTATGACTTGAGAGCCGCGCGACTTGCTATCAAGCTGTTCTTACAGAATCATACCAGGGATTTAGTACTACAAAATCAGATTGTCGTGACAGCGCGTATTGGAATACCCTCCCCAAAAGGCCTCGGCATTACTTGGATTCCTTGAAGTTCATCACCGATACCTTTCCCACCGCCATCAACTGTCTAATTGAGAACCCAGTTCCTCTTGCAGGTAAACATTATCCCTAGTTTTGTAAAACTTGACATACTTGCAATGGGTAAACCGATTCATGATTTTTTCTACGTCCCGCAATCAGCTGATAAATCTGGAGGACTGTCGCGTTTCGCTCAAGAACAGGCCCCTCATTGTTAAGTGGCGTATGCATAGAAAGATTTTAAATTTCCTGGCTTTCTCTTCCTCTTGTTGTTTGGTTACCGCTTATTCCGCCCCGCTCTTGCTTGATCAGATTCCCTGAAAAGGTAATTCTCGCCAATTGGCAGTTTGTTTTGCTGCAAGACGATGATCTTCCCTTACCATAAAAAGTATGGGGACGAAACAGAAGAGCAGGGAAGAGTCTTTGGTGGGGTTGTTGTGTATTAAATTCCAGGAACTGCATGGAATTCGAGAGTGGTTTAAGGAAATCACAGTAAGAGATACAAATGAGAATGACCTTACATTTACTATTAACAACTTGAGTAGATTGCGTGGCTTCGAATTCCTCTGTGAACGAAATGGAGGGCGCTAGAGCTAGATCAGGTGAACATGAAGTTGCTTGGGCAATTTTGCTTTTAGGTAGGGTGAGCTGCGAAAGTTAGTTTACATGGCTTATATGTATGAACTATGGGGTCAGGATCAGTTTGATTATGATAGAAGAAATTGATCTAGAAAAAGAATCGGTCAAAGCGTAAGAAGAAATATTAGTAAGAAAAGGTTATAAATTGATTTTGGAAAAAAGCGGGGAATACTTGGCCAATTTGAGATGCTGAGTTGGAAGCGATTGAGGGGATATGACTATTAAGGATTGACTGGGCGAACTGCCATAGCAGGACGCTTTCGTGGAGTAAGATGCCCGATCTGAGCCCGAAGGCTTTGCTCCTCAGCCTTGGCATCATCAGACTTGAGAGTGGAGATACGGTTGTTCTCCTCAATTTCGGCCAATTTCCAAGTCTTGAATTCTATCCATTCATCCTCAGTCAATGCTCGTGCTCTCTCCATCTCAGTTACCAATTCCTTTCCTCTGTTCTCCAACTTTCCCCACTTCTTCTTGGAAAGCCCACGAATGGTCAGGAAGTTTGATAGTTTAGCTTCCTCCGCAGAACGTAAGGTACATGGTTCGCATAGACCCTGTTGGCGTACAACATCTGGAGTGACATTGATGCCTGGAAGTCCTAGCGAAAGGCCACTGTGGTCCGCACACATAGTCGCTTCGCGATTATAAGTGTGCCCACAATCGAATAGGTCTTGGGAAAGCGTACAATTTGCGCACAATCCTCGGTCCACGTACGTTTGATGGTCTTCTACCATTTGAGGCCCAGTAGGTTTAGGTTTGGGTTCTTTACGGAAACTACCAGTTTTGATGGCATTCATGAAGCGACCTCGCTTAGAATCCTCTCTTTTCACGTTTGTGTTGGTATTCATATTGGCTATTATCTACAGTGTATGTTTGTTAAGCGTATGAAAGGCGTGTGAAGGCTGTGTGATTAGAACTAAAATTGAGATGAGGTATTCGCTTAAATAAAGATCTTTGTTTTAATTGTTTCGCGCCAAAACAATGAATCGAATCATTTTGTCTTGGTTAGAAAACAGACCCTCCTTGATAATCTCTTTGTCATAAACAATGATTTGTCATCAGGATGGGTTTATTCAGTTGAGGAAGACAGTTTAAAGTGACCAGAACAGGCTTGATGGTATAGAACAGGGAAAGGGGGTTCTGACGAGTACCTACCTATATGTTGAGCAATATCCTGTCATGTGACTCGCAAGTTTCATACAGACAACCTAATGAGCCAAAGAAACCCATCGCATGATTATTCGGGAAATTTCTAGGCAAATATTTGTTCATCATGGATGACTAATAGCATATACGACAACGTCCTGGAATGGTCTCTGGGGTAAATATCACGTGACGAAACTGCCTCTTCACAACCTGGAAATCGTGCGACCTCGAAACGACGAAAACTGTCGACCGTTAATAACAACACAACCAGGCAAGGATTAGACACTTGACTGGGTAAAATTTCAGATGAATCTCAAATCATGCTTTACTTGGTTATGGCAACTAAACTCACTGTCCCAGCGCATCATCCCAATGTCAGCACCAACGGCATCAACAGATTCGCTCCATCTCCATCATGGTTTTGCTGGCTTTGCGGTGAGATATCTGACATGGTACATCATCTAAAATCACAATCAATGATGGCCAATTCATATCATATCTATGGGTATTTGAAAATTCGTCGCTGCGTAGCGTGGCAGAGCGTGTGAGGAATGAATGCTTCATGTTTTAATGGTTTCCCGGTAAGTCATACAATACCGTCCTAGATCTCGATTTGGCGGAAATGAGATTTGTGGAACAGTTTTTACTCCCAGCGATCTTGAAGCATTGCCAGCCTTTGTCGATTGCTCCTGTTTTCGGTTTTCCCACTCGTTTCTTCATGTTCCCCTCACTCCCCCTTACCGAGTTTTGGTGGCGCTAGGCCCAAAAGGTACCTCAATAGAAGCTATTGAGGTATCAGCCACATCAGAATTCCCACCCCTCAATACCATCACGGAATGCCATGCTAAATTTTGCTTCCTATTTTGATGTCAATTGAAGTATACTGTCAATAACATGTCACCAACCATTGCGGTGGAGTTACGAAGTAGACCTTAAATGCTTTTCTCATTACTGTACCACCTATTCACCTATTTCTTTGACAACATCAACACTTTTCTTCATAATAATTCAACTCCGCCAACTCGAAAAGCACTGTCCAGCTTCCTTTATCTCCCGAAACCGTCTCCTCTCAGACGCTTGCTGCTGGTTCAGGCGAAGTCTCAATCTAATTTAAGCTGAGCTGTGAACTCGCATATCAAGCAGGTTGCCCCGTTAAGGCAATCCTCTTTTCCATCAACAACCTTTCACGAAATAATCTGCTGGTCAGAAAGACTAGGACGCGATGGCAAACCAAACCTCGGGGGTCATTTCAGCGGGGTTCCCACAAATTGATGGATCGATATTCACGAATTCGCTCATCAATCCACATGGAATCAAAACCAACCCAGTCAATGCCATCGTTATGCCAATTTTCAACGCTTTGGGCATTGTCGTCCTGTACCTTCCAATGCGAGACTTTTATCGAAAAGGCAACTTTGCAGCTTGTAGCATGATTGCTGCCACTGTAATGTTGAACCTCTACCAATTCCTCAATGCAGTTATATGGCAGAACGATGACCAGTCAACATGGTTTTCAGGCGTGGGACTTTGCGATATTCAGGTTTACAGCAGATACATGTTTACTACCGCTCTGTTGACGACCATAGCATGCTTCATCAAGAACCTTGCGGATGTCTTCAACACCGATAATCATGTGGTTGCTATTACTTCTGCAATGAAACGCAAGAAGCTTATCGTTGATATTCTTTTTTGCTGGTTTCTTCCTGTCGTGCAAGTCATTGTACACTACATGATTACTCTCGGCCGATTTGCAGTCTTTCCTGTATATGGATGTTATCATGAGATGGATAATTCATGGCCATATATTGTGGTATACTTGATATGGGGCCCAATCTTCACTTTGGTTGCAGCTTTCTATGGTAGTAAGTTTTCACCCTTCCAAAATTCGAAAACAGAAAGACAAATACTGACATTACAGTCCTACTACTCCGAGGACTCTACCGCTACCGATCAACCATCAGCATCACCCTCGCTAGCAGTGGTTCTGGAATGAATTCCAGATACTTCGTAAAGGTCACTATGATCGCCATCGTCCTCCTATTAATGTGGATCCCTTGTCAATTTTACTACCTCAAACTCCAAATACCTCCATTCATACACGCCTACTCTTGGTCTGCAATCCACGATCCCGAGGCCTGGAATCCTATCGCATACTACCCCACAGCATTAAACACTCAATTCCAATACAATGGCTGGTCAGATGTCGCGGTATCATTCGTGTTCTTCTGTTTCTTTGGCTTTAACAACGACGCCATCGATACATACCGAAAATGGATGGTCAAACTCGGGTTTGCTAAATGCTTCCCTTCGCTTACAGAACCCCGTCATCCACCAACTCGTCACGGAAGCTCGGTTTCCGGGAGTTCTCTGGGAGGAAGATTGGATATCGTAGGAAAGGCAATGAGATTCTTTGATGGCTCTAGAAAGGGCAGTCAAGCCACTGATACAGCGACATTAAGTTCTCCATGTCAATCTAGGAAAGGCTCACATGGGACTTTTCGTCATGCTTCTACCTGTACGGAACATGATCTTAACACGCATCTACCACGAATTCCCGAAGTTGGCTCGCCGCATTTGTATCCTTCGCCACATGCTACTAAGATTGTTCGACGACCACTTTTCGCTACACTTCGGACCCATATCAATCTTCCTTTTCCACTCTTCCCCTTCAAAGGTTCGAACCGTCAGTCTTCTCCTTCACCTGTTGGACATGGAAATACCGAGACACTTGCTTGCGAGAGATGTGGATATCGAGCAGCAGCAGGAAACCTGGATCTAGAAGCCCAACGTCATCATCCGTCTACTCCATCGAATCATGTTGTTTCACCGCCACATAATGTGGTTCTGAGAACGGAGATTTGGAGTGATACAGGCAAGTTCTTTGATCATGTTTCTCAGGCACAGGAAAATATCGATCGAGAAAAAAGAGGATTGAAGATGGGAACTCGGGCTTATCGAGAACGAGAGGAGCGGGAGTATGCGGAGGAGGTTGGAGAGAGTTCTGGGAATGGAGGAGGAGTCGTAGTTGAAAAGATGATGGAGAGAAGAGAGAGTGAAGCTAGAAAGTAGCGAGGGAGCTACCTACAGACTGTGCTTTTTTTCTTTTGTTATTTGGTAGGAAAAAACGCTGATGAAGGGGGTATATGCACGATGAAGTCCCTTTCTTTCTTCTTTTTGAGCGTTGTACACACGATATTTCGCTTTCTGTGGATACTAGTATTTTTTAATTTGAGAACCAAAAATACCTTCATTTCACATTCATGGGATCATGAGAGAAATCTAACCTCCTCGAACCAAAACTGCCGTCGAGATCAGCTCCGTGCCGTGAATTCAATTAAGGTCCATGTCCACAACAAATTCAATCGCACATTTGATACCCCCGCTTTCGTTGGATTCTCTCAACACCATTTTTTGAACCGCTCTCGTCAGCTTCCTGATGGTACAATATCATAGCCCCCAAAAGGATGTGTCAAAGCGAGCTTCAAAGGCATATAAGACACATTCTTCCCAATACAAGTAAGTACTAAGTAGTCTGGTCCCAATGTTTTTCTAACTTTCTAAACTAATCTTAGCGACTACCTGAAGATTTCGAAGTAATTAATATATCGGAATGTCCCAAACCTTTAGGATTATTATCCTTCTATAGAATATGATTCTTGAAGTCCTTTGTCGTATATTATCTCAATCAAAATCAATTCGGTGGGCTTCGTACGATTTTAGTCTTCAGAGAGTTTTACACGATGAGTCCGTTGCTGCGGCCATGTTGCCAGTCATACCCAATTACGGTGTTGGGCTACCAAACTGTTTAAGACTCAGCCACAATATGACAAAAGCGGCAGGACAGGACCTTCGTTGAGTGACCTGTCTACAAACTTAGGTAGAAAGGTTCTGCAGCATTCTTCCGAATACCTGATTCAACCAACCTAAGTTGGCCTTTTCACCGACTTTACAGGTCGCGCCAGTCAAAGTAGGACTTTACTCGTACTTGTCTGATGACGCCTCCACCAGCCTCTGATGTCTAGCGAGACTGGGCTCAAACTTCCACAGAAGCTCTACTAAACAATTCCACCGAATAATCAAAAAATTTAAACTTGCTATTTGCTGAACCTAATTAGGTAATTATATAGAATACCTCGATCTATTGAAATACTTAAAATTTTTTGGAATGACTAGGGGTCCAGTACTTACCCTGAGGGGGACAAAATAAGCTGCAGTATTTAGTCCGTGCACCATCGCTAATTCATTAGAAGCCTCCTTACCTATTTTCATAGCACTTTCAATGACAGGTCGATGAGATTAGGGCAGAACGCACGGACAAAAAACTGCAGCGTTTTTATCCACCAGGTGCTTCCTATAGAGACACTACACTTGGGTCCGAACGTGTTGCCGCTTTTACGGCTCACCACTGAAGAACAAGTTGGGGGAAGGTTCTAGGGAAGGTATTGGACGCCACAGACTCGATACCGAGACGTTGCTTGCTGCCTGGTGGCCTTAGACGTCACCCCAACATGAACTCAGGGTCAGGCAACTACTTCACAGCCTCGTTCACTTTCTGAACTCTTCTTTCGTTCTCAAGCAGAAGACTCTCTCTTTCCACCTCAATCTCCCTCTTCCAAACACACCAAACACAGCAAACGCCAAATAGCGAAGATCTGAGGATCACGTCGAGACCCTCGTTTGCGGCAGCACGTGGATACGCGCGGAATTGGACTCGCTGTCTGTTAGGCTGCTAGCGGTTCTGCCTGGTCCGGTCGGGTCTGGTCTGAACTACGAGGGTCCATTGAAGTTCCGTCTTCGATCTTCTAATTCTCCCTCACAATTAATTCTCCCACAGCGAAACGCCGCGTTAATTCTCCACTCATCTATACCAATCGGTCCAAGTTTCGCACCGGCAAGACAAGTGAATTTTAGAGCTTGATTGGTACATATCAAACCGAACCACTTCCGCTAGGGTATTTTTGCTGATACTTATGACAGAGAAAGTGTCTTCAAAGAACTGAGTAGTGAGTGCTTCGATATGAAGACCCTAGGGATATAAAATCCAGGCTTTGAATCTTATCTTTGTTTCTTCAGAAACGTCTGTGTGATCGAAAACTCTTTGGTCTCAACTTTCAAACCACTCAATCTCTCAAATCTTTCAAGATCATCTCAAGAGGCCTCGTCTTTGTGCTCTTATACTACAAGAAGGGCAGTCGCCTCTTGAATTTCACCGCAAATTCGACCTACTCTACAATTCAAGTTGTCAGAAATCACGAACACCACCACCGACAAGATGCGGGAATCCATTGGAGAGATAGATTCGGTGAGTTGCCTCTATCCAGTTGTTGCTCTTCTCTCTTTTGCGCATCCTTGCTGTACGATATACCTTTGGATAGTCGGAGACCTCTTCGACTCTTGTGAGGAGAATGGGACCCAAAGACTCTGCACTACTTCATGTAAATTGGATGTTTGAGTGCTGACTAGTAACGAAATATTCCTTCACTCACTTATGGCTTCTTTCCTTTTTCCATGTTTCTATCCCAGATGATAAAAGCTAATCGTCCTTGTATCTAGCCTTTGATAACACTCACAATCAATACACGCGTACCCGAATCCAGCAGTTATCTTGACGCTGGTGACAGCTCCAGCGATGACACTATTTTCACCCCAAATTCTTCAACTGTTGGTTCTCCAGATGATATGTTACATACGTCTTCTACACCTCTTCTTTTTTCGGCTGCTCCGATGGGCTATAATCTTGAGGCTACTACCACGCATGATGATACGCCTAAGCATACCCCTACACCCGTCTCCACTACCCCCGACACGCCATTGATATGGACAGCATGGAATTATTACTCTTCAGAATCGACACCAAAAGTAGAACAAGGCACCGCGACAACCACACCAAATTCTGACTCTACCCATCACCCATACACTACCGTGGTAATACCAGTCGGTAATTATATAATTGTGGATCACGGAAGAAACGCCTCTTCCATGTCAATACCATTCGCTACTCATCCAGCGGCCGCGGTTGGCTATTCACCTCTAAATGAATCGCCGCTCAATGGAGGAGAACGTGAGGGCTGGGATTGGACCACCGCTCCTGGCGTTGCCCCAAATGCGAACGAGCTACAACCAGGTTGGGACAATACAGATATCCAGAGGGAAATCGAAGCTTCGCGGGAAGAAGCGGATTTTGAGGAGATGTGTCATGTTAGAGCCGCACTGGAGGCATCACGAGCGGAGCTTAATCTTAGGGATTTTGAGGCTAGTTCGTTGGAACAAGAACGCATCATGTTGAATTACGCGGAGGATTCAAGTAGGCCAAGGCCCATACTCGAGACCAGAGAGGATCAAGAATTCTATTCCGAGCTTCTTCCTACTGAACTTGAAGTGGAGGACGAAATGGACGACTTGGATCTAGAGGATGAGGACGCGGACGAGGAAGACGATGATGAAGATATAGCATGATAACAAGTGATACCACATTTGACAGGAATACAATTTGCTTTAGGGATTTGTTAGACGATGATTTTCATGTTTCAGACATGCGGCATATCTTGAGAAACAAAACGGCGTTTAGGGCATGGCACGCTGGGGAACCCACACATCCATGCAAACACAAGATCGAGGGACATGGGTGGCGTAAATCTGACTTCTTTTGTTTTCTTTTTAGGCAAACGATGGGGAATCGATTGCTGTGGGGCGAATCAAAATTGATCCTGGGCGGTTCTGTATTTACATGTTCTTGTCTCTAGGAAGATTAGAGAATCTGCATACGTGTGGTGTGCTTTAAATGGAATACAGGACATTTGATGTATTTGATCCCTCTTGTGATTTGATCTATGGTGTTTATTCCATCGGCAATTGACTGAAACATCCCTCTACTGATTTTGTATTTTTGACTTGGTTGTCTCTAGCTCAAATTGACCCAAGAGAGTCGATTCTCCCCTCCTCTCCACAACCACTGACTAACAGTATCATCAATTAGTTCTAATCATGTTCAACTTATAGTTGATTTTTAAATGGTTTTTAAATAACCACTGAATTCATTACAGCTAGGTGAGTATGAGAGTACCCACACCAATTTGACCACTTACTCAAACTTCCATACTATCTTACATATACATCCACCCTCTGAAAAAACTCAAAAGGACCTACTACTACTAAACTTTTTCCAGCAATACAAGACAGCAAAGAGATTCCGAATTTGCAGCCCCTGACGAGGAAGGTGCAACACCAGGTCAAGCAGAGCATTACCTTAGTTGCTTTGTGGTGGTCCAACAATGCACTGATGGATATAAGCAGTGGCCGCTCCATAAGGCATGCTTGCAGTATACTCTATTCGTTACTCACGAAGTTCATGAATGTCATTTGTGAAAATTATTATTGTACCCATGGTATGAGTCGTAGTGGTGGTCATTACTCTGCTTGTACAGTACCTCAATAACCCGTCGTACTAGAGTTTTCAGAAACAATACTTGCATCGTCTTCTGATTCATCCAGTTTCCTCAACTACTTCAATTTCCACATACAAGTTTCAGTTCATGAAGTTATCAGAAACACCCTCCGATAAAGGTAAGAGTAGAGACGAAAAGTTTTGATCCAAAGAACCCAGGCTCCGCACGTAATAAATACTCTACCATTCTACCTAAATCAAAGGCCTTTTCCGAAAACTGGGAAACATGAAAGAGGGGAATTGACCGCTGCCACCGACGATGAGTTGCACTTGCTACAGTATTCAAGACGCAAAAAAGGAAGCGAATTCGAGTGGAAAGATTAATACTGTGTCGTTATGAGTTTTGGGGATGTAGCCGGTTAAGCTTGTATTAATAGGGGGGAGTTGTGGGTCGTTATAGTCCGAGGTTTTGCCGTGGCTGCCTTTGAATAATAGAGTTCTTCAAGGAGCTGGGCTGGGTTATGAAGGATCTGGAATTCTTGCGTGTGCGTGGATCACTATTGGTTTAACTAAAAATGGAAGGATTTTGAGGTGGTGAAAGTCAATTCTTGTTTTCCGGGTGAGATGAGGCAGGCGCGAAGCGAGTGCTGGTTATCGGCAGGACCCGGTCACAACACACATTCAGAAGGAAGGAACAAGTTGACCACTCTCAAGGTCGTCGATCTGATCTCCGAATTCAAGCTCGCGGTTCAGCTACCTGGCCTTGTGGGTGCTCACTCTGAAGGGCAGGAGCGAAGGGCATCATAGCGTCAACTAAGCCCGTGTCTCAACATCAGCTTCAAACATACCACCACCCACGCCAAAAATAAAAGCACAAAATAAATGCCAAAAAGCAAAGTACAAGAATCCAAAATGGCAAAAGACAAGCCCAGCTCTTGCTGACTCGGATTAACTCTGCAACCCTACTCGCAATGGAGATCGGGAAGTTGGTTTATCTCGCAAATCATGCCGGTAGCTCATCCCAACTGGTGGATGTACTTTTATGAACCTTCTGAATTACTGGGAGAGGGGGGCTTATTTGGTCTTATGATTGTTGTGGGCGGTGGGGGTGTGGGGAAGGGGACGAGCGTAATTGTCGGGCAAGCTTTGGGGTGGATGGTGGTTATGGGATGATGGGGGAGATGAAGAGGTTGGTTATATCGGTAACTGGTTCAAATGTGAGAGCTGATGTATTTGGCTCTTTTTAAGCTTGGTAAAACCAACTGTTGGTTAGTACATATATAGATGGAAAGCGGCTTGGTGGAAAGTATGGCTCTCCATCTGTTAGTCAACAGATGCAATCTGTGGCCTGCTCTCCTCCATGAAACCCCACTCTGACTCTTCTGTCTTCGGGCTTGTGTTTGGAACATATTGGATGCTCGAGTAGAAGCCAAAGTAGTCTTTTTACTTAAAGTTTCGACAGTAGGATGCTGCTGTCCTCCAGATAGTTAGAATGATCGTAAGTGCTTGTGGTTATGATTTCTGTACCATCGGACGAACAGAGAGTCATGTTGTACTCATATTGATGCTGCACCGTGATGACAATTGCATACGCTGACTTGGTTGGAAGATATGAGCCTTCAAGTGAATAGTACTGTCTGTTACACTCAATCTGATGTTGCAAAGAGGTGACCTTTGCAGATACGTGGGGTTTTGATGAGACATTACTTCGATTGTCTCCAAAATGATCAGCGTGATTTTACCAGCTCAGTCAAGGGTGTAATTCTCATGTCATTGAAACTTGCCATTCTTCGTCATCCTGAGTTAGCTACATCACGCTCACTGCCGTAGACATACGTATACACAGAAAGATGACTAAAACTCTCACAGAACCAAGTAGTTACCATTTCTTTCTTTAAGCTTACGCGATAATTCAAGGCAAAATCACAGAATCACGATTACTAATAAAATGGTCCTCAATTAACAAATCCGCCGATGCTCTAGCAGAACAAGAATGCGAGACTCAAAAGAGGATCATCACATGGAATCCCCTCAACATCATCACACACCTCATATCTCCAGACTAGCTAGAGGAAAGCTAGGGAATTAAAAGAAAAGGTCCACCTTGAAAAAAAGATCCAGATCCCTCAATACTACCGAAAATCCCACCTAGACGATCATCTCCCTGAACGCTGAAAATTTCCCAACCATAGATTGTCAGGCGAGCCTAAAAGCCCAGAGAAATTCGATCGAAAAGAAAGTATGTACTCCACATGTAAATTACTGAAAATTGGCTCCGTAGTATGTATCACTCCTTCCCTCCATGGACTTCTGCGGCCTCTTCTGAGATATCATCCACCCCATCCGCATCCCTCCATTATCATTTCATGCCTGAAAGCATGACTAACCTCATTACTACACTCCTGATAAGCGTCCCGCTTCTGTGAAGCCTAAAAGCTCCTACCGTATTCACCATATCCTCTAAGAACCGGTGTGCCTAATAGTCACCTGAGCTGTGTAGCATTGATCCTATCTTTATGGGGCCTAATAGCCTCTGCCATAATCTGTATCGTAGAATGAAGCGTGGCCTTGAAGCCGATCCGCTTCCGAAATCCCCAGTATCATCTTTTTTTGTGGTTTTATGTTGATTTGAAGGTGCTCCTAGGTATGCTACCATCGAAAAAGCGTATTAGGAAGGGCTGATGGTTGGAATGCGAAATTGCGAATGCGAAAGGAAAGTCGAGAAAGGAAAGAAAAGGGAGAAACTGTCGATATGCGCTGCTTATCCGGTATGAAAAGGATCGAGACTTATACAGAGAATGGTGTTGCAAATCGGTGTGGTGTGATATCGGTGTATGTCTCGAGTAACCTAGGCGGCGATCTGGGAAGGACCAGAGGCTCGTTCGAGAAACCAACTGGGATCGAATTCCTCTTCGACGGGGCTATTCTCACCTGTGAAATACACTTGTCAGCTTCGCTAAGATGAGGGAAAAAGAGGCGGGTTATGAGAGATAATATGCGGGACTTACCAGTATAGTCCTCCCACTCATTATTGTTGGGATCCATTTCATTGAAGTTGTGAAAGGCCTCTGAGTTATTTGGATTCTCCAAGTTTCTCAGAGCCTCCAGATGTTGCAAATGTTGCAATTGCTGCAAACGCCGCATATTGTCCAAATTATTCGGATTGTGAAGGTTCTCCAAATTCTGCATGTTCTCTGGAATCTCTGGATTCATGCATCTCCCCTTCCCCTTGGCAGACCCTTCAGGCAAACGTGATTCAACTTGTGATTGAGACGCAAAGGTGTACTGTGGTTGCTTAGCGATAGATTGTCGAAGTGTTGGCTGCTGCGAGAATCTTAGGGTGTCTGGATTGCCCTCTTGGGTATCGTGCGCCTTCATAGCCTCCTCATGAAGACCTGCTGAAAGCATGCTTGTATATGACTTCGGCGGCGTGACTTCATTTTTGAGAGTGTTTGACGTACCACCAATCGCAAAATCTGGTTTGACTCGCTGAGTAACTTGATCTTCAGAGACCTTGTCAACCACTGGTCTGGCTCCAGCAGCTTGACGAACTACTTCCTCTTCGGTAAGATCAGTAGGAGGAGCGCTGGTTGAAGAACGTTTGACCGCAGTATTTTCTGTAGCTGCCACCACGGGAATTTGGCCCTCTGTTGAGACGCGTCTTGTTCCTTGAGAATTCTTTCTACCAGCAGCCTTTTTCCTTGCTTGCCGGATATTCTCTGCTTGCGTTGCGATACTTGCGTCACAGGTATTCGTCTCTTGCTCGGGAATTTCGACAATAGGAGTCGAATCATGCAGGGGAGCCGAGCGGCTTCGTTTTACCTGTGGCTTTGCACAAATTTGCTTCTTGTTCTTGGAAGGGCGTGGTGGTGGAAACTTTGGTAGTTTGTAGGGGTGCAAGTACCCTCTATGCTTTACATCTTCTGGACCATAATTTGGTATAATTTCACCACCAGAAGCGAGCCATCTTATGTAATTGCTATCCTTATAGTCAGGCTTTCTTGTTAGTTGGGGGGGCTGTGGAGGTGGTCTGAGGGCAGCTTCGCGAGAAAGACCATATTTTCTTAACCACACGAAACCTGGGTCATACTGGTCCATCGAAAAAAGAATCTAAAAGGTAACAAAAGTCAGTCATTACCATTGTCTAGCAAAAGCGATTAAATACTTACATATTTTGCAGGGTCCCAGTACTGACTGAATTGTAGTACGATTTTATATGGCAAAACACCTTCGACTGGTATTGTTCCGAATTCAGGAACCTCAACAGTTGGCTCTACACCGGGATCGGGAAGAGCACCCTCCAGTGGCTCAGAAGTTCTCGGATCAAAACGAACTCTGACATGTCTATTGGGAAACGGTCGTCGAAATTCTTTCTCGAGCATGTTATCATCAAGTTTGAAGACTGGTCGTCCATTCGCAGTGAAGGGAACGACGGCATGCGCGTTGAGCCTCCTGGGTCCAAAAATTCCTTTGCCAGTTGATCTTTCATAGCGGTTGCTTTTGGTGTATTCTGTGGCTGGCGCCCGTTCCGGAACCTCAGGCGGGGATGGAGGTGTGTATCTTGGTTTCGGTGGGGCCTCGAGGCGAACTAGGACAGCGTTGTTGTCTTTGTGCTTTTTGCGCAACAAGTCCTCGGTAGATTCTCCGCCAGCTTCGTTTTGATCAGGGCTTTTCCTATGCTCGCAGTAGTAGATTGTCTCTGGACTGCCAGCGGGCGACGAAGACGGACAGTTGGGACCATTTCTGTATCGATATGTAATTCCAAAGTTTGGCACATTCCAAGGTTTGACGTTGCTGACAATAATCTCTTTTTCTCCAAAGACTTTCCCGCCAACTGCGTTTGCCCAAAGGCGAGTATCTTTGCACTTGTCGCAAAGGTTCGCAGCTGGATCTGGTAGACTCTGAAAGTGCTTCAAGGTGTAGACTCGATCCAACATGTATTTAGCATCTCTTCCACCGCAAAGACAGACAAGTTTGTTCAGCGTACGAGTTGATACAGTGAGATATTTATGACAGATTGAGGACAAGTACGAGGGCATTTTGCGAGTCTTGCCTGGTGTCGGAAGCGGTAGCTCAGCAGTTGAAGGACCACTCTGCACCTCAGAAGCAGGCTTCTGAGGGCGGCGATGGAACATCGCCATGGCCATGTTGAAAGCGGGTACCGCAAGAGGGTTGATAGCGAGAGGCGTGCACAGTGGTCGGTTGGAGAGTTGTAGATCAGACTGTATGAAATGCGCGAGTTTGTGAATGGAAGATTTGAGATCGCTTGGTTTGAGTGTGGGGGTGGATGTGCAATGGGAATAAGAGGATGAAGAGGGATCGGAAATTGTCCAGCCTTCAAGAGCGAGAAGATGAGAGCATAAGATGAGGTGAAACGAATTAAGCGACACAACAATACCAGCCACCTCACCCACCCATTCACTTTCAGAAAGCCTGCTGGCCACCACAAAAGTAATTTTTCTCAAGGGGTCTTCATAGGCTACAACCTCCACGCTTGACAATGCAGGGCATAACCCACATTGACTTGCCACTATTCACAGTCACTTATTATCTTTGTTACTCAAGGGGTCAGAGTCAACACTTGACAACAAACACTTGGAATGTCGCACAAGTACTGTTGAATACATCCTGGAAGTAATTCCAATGCCATATGAGTCCCCCTGACGTATATTGCTGAAATGAGCGATGCTTGAAATTCAAAGGTTTGGGGAGGTTCACTTTACATCATATGTCATTGAATGATGAATTGAAAGAATGAACTAAGAACAGCAGTGCGCCACAGACATCAACCAACCATAATTGAATAACTCGAGCCGACCAAGGATTAAAACATCCAATGGTATTCAATGAATTAAAAATCTCATTACCGACGACTCAGTATAGCGACGTGGGGGTCAAATGGATCAGAAAAGCAGTGAATCAGTATCCATGCGAACTGCTCTAACACCCCCCCATGCCAGAGATTCATACCACACCAATGAATTCATTGCATAGAACATTAAGAGCAAATAGATTACGCTTCTGAAATGATATTCCTTTGGCGCTGGTAGAGCGGGAGTCTCCCTTGGCAGGTTGCCTTGCCAGCTCTTCCACTCCAAGGCTAATTGAGAAGGGGGCCCAGAAATCAATTTATTGCCGCTTTAGAGCCCAAGATACTCGGGCTATCTTAGAGCGAATTAAGCTGTATTGGTGGCGGGAAGCCTGGCAAGTTGGAGGTGACTTTTTGCCAAAGTGAAGTTCAAGAAACGAGGAGGTCGCTTAGCAGTGCTTGGTGGCTTACATAAGGTGGTCGTGCACTGTCACGTTCTTTATCGAGATCAAGTGCAGCAAGGCCCAGCTCCAAGCTTGAAGCTCCTCCTCCACCTTCCTCGCAGACCCTCTCGGAAAAAACAATACTACAACTACAAGTGCCCTTGGGTGCTGCCCACCAATTTCTCCCTAAGACCAGGCGACTTCAGCAGATATCATGTCAGAATCTACTAAATACCTATTGGTCTCCCTTCCGACCTCGATCGTTCCCTCAAGTGATAAAGAGGAAGCTCTCCAAGCAATACGTTCCACCATCACCTCAAACAACGGTGCTGTTGCACCCTTCAAAATTCCGGAATTTAAGATTGGAACCTTGGATGCTTTGGTACAACAAGCAGACGATCTTGCGAAGCTCGACAATGCGTGCAATGGTGTGGTAGCCAAGGTTGGGGAGTCCCTCCGGGGATTGTTAGAAGGAGATGAGGGAAAGATAGCACAGCAGAAAACAGTTAATGACAGTGCGTGGTACCGAGTGGAGTATAGTTGGAAGTTCTGCTGACTCCTCCGAATAGAGCCTGCCGATCAATACCTGCGGTCTTTTACCTGGAACAAAGTCAAGTACCGAGCAGATAAGCCCCTCGCAGAACTTATCGACTCACTGCAGAAGGTGGGTGAGAGCTTGGTCCGTTATGATTCAACTAACTTTAGGACAGGAACTTGTGAGTATCGACAACGATGTCAAGTCCAAAGTCAACCAGTACAACGGAGTCAAGACGAATCTCACAGCTTTACAGAGAAAGCAAACGTTCGTATTCTCCTGCTACCTAAAGAAAACAATGTTCACATATCACACAGAGGAAATCTCTCCACGAAATCACTCACACCAGTCGTCGATCCAAAATTATTGATACAAAACTCCGAATACCTCGAAACCCACCTCGTTGTAGTTCCTTCGAATGTCAAGAAGGAATACCTCAAAACCTACGAAACTATCTCGCCAATGGTTGTTCCACGATCGTCTGTAGAAGTCGCACACGATGATGAGTTTACCTTATACGCAGTCACCACTTTCAAAAAGCACAGTGCCGAGTTCCAGCATAAATGCAGAGAGATGAAATGGACACCACGGGATTACAAATATGTTGAGGGCGGGAAAGAGGAGGAAAGAAAGGAAGTGGAGAGAGTGAGCAGGGATGAGAGAAAGGGTTGGGGTGAGGCATTAAGACTGGCGAGAACGGGGTGGAGCGAAGCTGTGATGATATGGATTCATGTCCTTACCATACGGGTATTTGTCGAAACAGTTTTACGTTATGGTCTGCCTTTGGACTTTGTTTGCGGATTGGTCAAGGTATGTTGCTTTGGAGGCGTTGTAGTGGAAAATAGCTAATTATTGCAGACAACACCCAAACTTGCGAAGAAGGCAAAGGATTCCCTTGATTCAACATATTCATATCTGGGGGGAAATGCATTTGGGCGAGACAGTAAAGGGAAGGTCACAAAGGACGATTCGGCATTATCGTCCGAAATGGCAGCTGCAGGGGTTGGCTCTCACGGAGGAGAAGGCAGCGAGTATACTGCCTATGTTTATTACGAGTTTGAGGTTTTATAGATAGCATGGAAGCGGGAATGGCCCCTGGAATGGCGCAATTGTTCAATGCATTGTAGCACTTATGAAAGATTCCAAACATCACGAAATCAATCCTACGAATTATCACAAAAGCAAGGACTCGGCGCAAATTCTCTGAAAAACAAGTAAAGGTATGACTCCAATTCTAGTAACCAAAAAACGCTGCCTCTATCAATACCGTTACATCGCCAGGTATCTTTTCATCCACCTATCTCTTCACGCATCTATGCCTTATTGGGAATCAACTCCTTGGCATACAAATACTCCATAATCTTCGCAACCGCCTCTTCAACCGTCACCTGATCGTTTCTAATATGAATCTCTGGATCGACGGGAGCCTCATATGGGGCACTGATACCAGTGAAGTTTGCAATCTCTCCGGCTCTCGCCTTTTTGTACAACCCCTTTGGATCTCTCGACTCGGCAACCTCGACGGGGATATCAACAAAGCACTCAATGAACGGAAGCGCATCTCCCTTATCCGAACCATGGAGATCACGCGCGATCTTTCGGTCAGCGATATATGGAGAGATGAAAGAGGTCAGTGCGATAGTCGAGGAGTCAGCGAAGAGTTTGGCAACCTATTTCCCGCATCCGTCCATTAGTCTTGCATTCCATTTCATTCTTCACTGGTGAATTGGGAGTTCACTCACCTCGCCAATTCGACGGATATTCTCATTACGATCTTTCTCGTTGAATCCCAGGTCCTTGTTCAAGCCAAAGCGCACGTTGTCGCCGTCCAATCGGTAGGCGGCGAGGTCGATGTGCAAGAGATGTTGCTCGAGGGCCGTCGCGATGGTGGATTTGCCCGATGCGGAGAGTCCCGTGAACCAGATTGTGAAGCCCTTTTGTTTTCGGAGGGTGTTGCGCTCGGAGCGGGAGAGACCCTCGTGCCATGTGATGTTACTGTGAGATCCCTCTGTTAGTTGACTTGTGCTTGTGTTGTGGTTTCTGGTTGCAGGTTGGGATGGTGGGGGTTTGGCGGGGTACTTTTTTGGGGGAGGTGATGGATGGGATGGGATTGGGAACTTACGTTGCCATTGTGATGACTTCTTGGGGAGTTTCTTTTGGTGGTGGGGTGGTAGTTTGAGATTTGGGCGAGAAGATGGATTGGAATCCTTTTGTAAGGAATTGGAACATGAGAGTTGGAAGACTTTCTTTTCCAAAACTACTGGCCGCAACTAATGGCGCAAGCTGCGATCAAAAAGTTGGTAGGGGTGCGATTGCGTAATTTGAGGCTTGATTGCAGGGGTCTTGGTTTCTGCAGGTTTCAAGAACATGAAGCTTGAATCACGTGGAAGTGATTTGAATAGATGGATGGATTGGATTGCAAGTTTGAAATGGAGCGAATAGAGTGAGAAAGGTGATATATTATATAGTTGAAACTGCAGAGACGAGTTTCTATTCTTGTGCAGGTATTACGTCGATGGTGCTTGTAAGTGGATTATTCCGATGCGATTGTTGGTTTTACAGACCTTCTATAAAGAGAAGGCGCTTTTCAGCCCGTACCACGACGTATGTAGCATTTCAAATCTAGGTTTGTTATACAAGATCTAGGCCTCTTACTCGACGCCACTATTGGTAACAATTGACCTTCTATAGACGACTTCTTGCTCTTTTTGGTCGAGGGGTGGGTTCAGGCCTGGTGTGTACTCTGTGCAACCTGGGAAGTCGTCCTTAATCAGGAAGAATTCCCATTCGGGCTATGATCAGTTAATTGACTGGATAGATTCGCGTCATAGTCTAGATTGTTTGTCAGATTTCGTTCTTTCGTCGAAAGGGGTCGTCTTGTTTAACTCACTGCTGCTGTTCTTGGTTCAATGAATAAGCCAGATGCTTCTGCTAGTATGACGGGTTTCTCCCCTGGTGCAACTAGAGTCTCAATATGCCCTTCGACCCATGCTTTCCTGCCTTCAACCTTTGTGGTCTTTGCCCTCAGAACTACATAGGTTCCTACTGGTGTCGGCGATTTGTAATTGATGTTCAGATTGGCAGTCATGGCAATCTTGTTGGGAAGAGCACCAAAACAGCATCTTGCCAACCCTTCATCCAGCATAGTTGCCAAGAACCCACCATGTACAATTCCTGGATGCCCACACAGCTCCTCGCCCAAGTACGCAATTGACACCATACTCTTTCCTCCCTCCTCGTTCCAAAAGAAAGGCGGTACTGCCACTCTTCCTGGCCCCAGCAGTATTCCCGCTGTAAGATTGTTTTTCTTGAAAGCTTCTGGGACTTTCAAGTGTGGTCTCGACTCGGAAATTTCTGATTTGGAGCGCAATTCGAGGGTGATTGGGTGGGTTTGGATGAACTCCTCGATTTCGCGCTCTAGCTCGTTGGCAGGTGTGAACATGGTGAGGGTTTCCGCATCGGTTGGGGGATTCACGTATTCTTGAACTGCCTGTAATGCTGGCATTGCACCTATGACAAAGCCTATTGTTGTGAAGAGGGTTGCTATCGTAATGTACTTTGCAGCGTTATAAGCGAAGGACGCTGGGCTGCTGGGAGGAGTGACTACCAGATCAACGTGTCAGTTTCGATTTCCTGAGAGCTGATATGGGATAATACTACCAGTGCTTTCTGCTGAACGAAATACGGTGCTGGTCGTGAAACGATTAGAGCGAAACGCAGATTTGGGGGATATCACTGTTCCCGAAAAGATTCTCCTGGGACCCAGCGAGGCAGAGGCCGCTGGCCTCAACAATCGGGGTGCCAAGGTCATTCTGCACTCAGATATCTCTCAAGATCCTTCGGCGGTGAGTAATTGCATAATAGCACCTTTCTGAGTGGTGGTAGTAGTGGTGGTGGTGGGGCAGAGGACAACAGCAATGGGAAACGAGGAAACGGGACCATCTCTGCTGCCTCGGTCGAAATATCCATAGATGCTTACATACCTAGGTACTCCCGACTTCGGGAGTCCTTATCGCTTATCGGGAATTACCCCTGAGCGCTAACGATCACGTGTGATTGTGCTCTTCCAAGAAATCTGTCAGATTTGAGAAAGTTCATGAAGTTACAGACTAAATTGCATAGTCAAAATCCCCCTCTCGGAAGGAAATTTGGAACATGTAGTGACACCAAGTCGCGGGAGTACTCGTACTGTACAGTATCTAGCTAGCTCGTCTAGGTAGGTTATTAGCTGTACGGATAGGTACTCACAGTACCCTAGGTAAGTAACTAAACACAGGCGACGTCATCCCAGCCAGGGGTTTGGAGAATCAAATTGGAACTTTGAATTCACGGTCCAAGACCCCTTATCAGGTGGTGAATGTAGTATACGCAACGTTTGCTTCGAAGTATTGTACTTGCAGATAATCCCCTTTCTTTTGCCGAGCCTCGAAATCTCCTCAATTATTAATCTCTCTCGCCTTTCCGTATTTGTCCCGAGCTGCATCACCTTTATGCGCATCTTATCAGAGATTAGGTTCGTCTGGTGGGGGATTTCCCGTCAGCGGAGTCACAGGTCACAGCCACAGCACAGCTCAGGTACAATAAACTGCCACCTAATGTTTAGCGCTCAAACAGCAATACTGGTAGAAAGTGCCGTCTCATCTCTCAGTGAACGGTGGCTGAAGAACATAGCCATCCAGATGCATCCAACGGCATAGGTAGGCATAGGCCAATTGCTGCCCCTCATTACCTGTAGAGTACTGTATCATGCCTTGCAAGCATCCCCGCTCCAAGTGATCATGTCGCTGCCCAGGTGCAGCTGCCAGTGTGAATATTTAAGGCTGACCCTCCCGTCATCTTGTTTCTCTTCGCCTAGGAACTTTGAATTGACTTCACTGGATATCGCAATCCTTGATTGAGGCCAATCTCCAATACCTCCTATAGAGCCCTCGCACATCACGAGTACTCCTCGCATCTTCCTTACCACTAACAACACCACAACCCGAAATCACAAACTACCTACCTTTACCAGCAAGATGGCAACCGCAGAGACCGTCGAGATGGGCCTTTCTCATCCACCAAAGTATGTTTGATTTCCATAAGTTATCCTCTTCAAAGATCGTGCTAACAAGCACACAGAGAGGAATCCATCAAAGCCTTCAACGAAATCGAAGTCGACCTCAAGAAAGCCATCCAACACCTCCGCCACGAAACAACCAGTACCTCCATCTCCCCTCCTCCTCACTCACAATCTAACACTCCCAGAACACGAACCTCCATACTTCCAAGAAGTCAGCAACCTCTCCAACGAACAACTAACTACCTTCTCCTGTTCGTTCCCTCCCCATCCCCGCCCCCTCTCTACCATATCAAAAAATGATGTATCCAGAACCTAACAAATCCCACCACCAGCCTCGGACCTAAAAGAAGTCCGCGTCGCAACCTCCGCCTACGGCCTGCACCTCTTCGGAAAAGTCCTGCTCCCCGAATCCGACAACCAAGCATCCTACTTCATGTTCCGCGCCTTCATCGCAGGCGATGCCGAGATGGCCAAGTTACATTGTATCCATCTCGAGGAGACGGAGAGACCAGATGGCGATAAGGATTTCCGCGCCATCTTTAGGAAGAATGATAGGCTGGAGTGGTTTGATGTATGAGTAAATAAGTAGTCGAGTGAGATGTTGTTCTCGACGCTGGGAAGGGGTCACATGGAGGAGGGGAGGGGAATGGGGAGCTTGCATCAGCATCAGGGAAATTGACTCGCATGGATTTGTTCAGATACGCGAACCCGGGTACCATCATGAAAACTAGTTTGCGATTTTTTGCCTTTTTTGAGAATGGGAATTTCGAGGGAAAAGCTTGTTATCTTTGGATCCCTCCGTTTATGAGAAGAAATACTTTTATTTGCCTTGATTTGTACATGGAATTCCTACAAATCCTCGTCATCATCGTTGTCCAACATCTCCGCGTAGTCTTCCATAGAAGCAAACATAGGCAGCTTCTTAAGTCTTTGCTTGCGCTTCCTACTGGTTTCTTTTTCGTCACCTCCTTCAGTGGCTGGCTGAGCGGTCTGGAGCTCTCTTGCAAACAGGGCTTCTTCATCTTCATCCTCGTCCTCGTCAACACGCATCTCAGTTTCGCTGCCTGACGCAAATACATCTTCGCCGACATCGGATCCTGCTATTTCTGATTCGTCGTCCTCCATGTTAATTTCAACACCACCGTCTGACTCCATGTCAATATCAGATCCTTCTTCAGCATCCGAGTCGTCCAGATCCAGCATCTCCATATCGGACTCATCACTATCACCTTCCACTTCGGGTCTAGATTCCACGAGAGCCTGCCAGATCTCATCTTCCTCGTTGTCCTCATCGTCGTTCTCCCCTCCTCTCGCAGAAGCCTTCTGCTTGGATGAAGACTGCTTGCCTTTGCCAATCTGGTTAAAGTATTTGTGAAAGAAAACTTCGTCGACAGCAACATCCTCCGCCTTTTTGCGCCAGAATGACTCTGTGTTAACGGGCTGGAGGGCAGTGTGGTTGGAACGGTTGGATAGGAGAACGGCTTTGTTGTCGCTTCCAGATAGAGGTTGCATGATGGAGCTTCCACGTGGACCACCAGCTGCCGCCTTTGCATTTCGGTAAACAAATCTATCAAGGAAGGATGAGAGTGTATGCGAAGTAAGATCTGGTTTCGGGGGCATCTTCTGGTTATTTGCAAGGCGGTCTGCAAATAGTGCAACGGACGGATGGAAGTGTACAAGGAAAGGGATCTAACGTGTTAGAAATGAAACACTCCATCGTAATGAAAACTTACTAATTCCCAAAGACAACTTTTATCAGCATTGGTATGCTCCGGATCTCGCTTTCTTCCGTCATATACGCTGGCTGGTTTGGACTTCTGGGGTTGTATTTTCACTTTTGTCTCACCATCTTCTGGGACATCCCGAAAGACTTCATCCTCGTCCTCATCTCCGTACTCTGGGTCGCTGAGTAACGTTTTCAGACGCGGAAATGTGGCCTTCAACTCCCGCAGAAGATATATGACCCCACAGATGAAAGGCGGTTGGTGCAAAGTGACTATTTGCAAGAGGCGTTTCGCAAAAGCCTTTACACGCTTAATATTGAGGTCCGCCTTCAAGGCTCTGAAAAGAAGATTGAGATACAGAGCATGCTTTGATGAGGTGATGAGTCGCGGGTCCAAGAGAGATTCATAAAGGGTTCGATAAAATCTATCGACTGCAAGGTGCTTGGAGGTGGCGAGTTGTTCGATCAGCATCAATGCCTGAATGCTGGTGTTGAAGTTCGAAGAATGGGTGATTCTAAATAAAGTGTCCATATGCTTCTCAAGACTATTTCAGGGTTAGATATTCATCAACATTTAAGATTTAAAGCACGAACCTAAGATCATCAGATTTGGAAAAGGGGAAAGCTCGGTTGACTCCACTCAAGACTGCCGAGATCATTTTTTCAATTGTCTCTTGACTCGCCAACTTAGCCTCCTCCTCCTTCGTGGCTTTTGCTTTTGCCTTCTTTCCCATAGGGGCGCCACCACCCTGCACTTGACCTTTGCGGTTTGTCACTGGCCCTGTCGGCTCAGGCTTGTGTTCTTTCTTCTTCAGTAAAGACACGAAAAGATCGAAATAAATGTCAAGAAGCTTTTTCGCGACTTCTTCCTCGTTGGCTCTCAAGATAGTCTGGTTCAAGGTGTTGATTGCATAATATCTTGCATGCGAACTTTGGCCTGGTCGTAGAAGCAGCTCTATTTCTATGGATCGTATAATAATGGGCTTCATCATGGGGTGAGAAGTTTGTAATTGAAGCAAAAGATATGATGTTCGTGATGCGATTTTCTTGTCAGGATCTCCGAGTTTATTGACCAGAAGACGGAGCAAGTTTGCTTCCTGTTCCGGTTTTTCTTTCAGTAGTTCGTAAACATAGGTCACGGCTCTCGACCGAGCATAGAGCACCTCGTCATTACACCAACCCTCTAGAACCTTAAGCATATCAAAGTAGGACTCCTTTAACCAATCTTCATAAGCCCATGAGATTAGATGGGCTTTGGTAATATCGCCTGGAAGCCGGTGGCCAAAGTTCCAGGTTGTAATTGTGTCTTGTTGCAGTGTTCCAAGAAGACCTGGCTGACTAGAGAACAGTCGAAGTCGTCGATCAGAAGGCAAGACAACGCCATTACCCAACAAATCCTTCAAGGCACCCAGAGCACTCACGGCTTGCGCACGGCTTCTTTTCTTAGCCAGAGCAAGAAGATTTTCAAATGATTTCGTGGTGTGAACAGGCGATTCTTGAACGACCAAAGTTAATGCGGAAACCTTATCTGACAGCGTACCCGAGGACATGATTGTTGACAAAAACCGATGGGAGGAAGAAGAAGAAAGATGTTTCGAAGCGTATAAATTGCCATCTTCTTCTAACAAGGTTGTAGCATACGCCTTCAAGTTTGAGATGGCACTTTGAAATTTCGCGGTGTTCGTAACTTTCTCCAATGGGAGGTTGGGAAGGGGAGCTGCATGCCAATCTGGACGTGCTTTGAAAACCTAAAGCCGAGATCAGTCTAAACTTTTGAAGCCATTGTTAGACTCACCAAGTTATTTGAGTCCTTGGACGAAGATGGGAGGTCTTTAGAGGCAGTAGCAAGCTCGTGGTTTACAGCAACAGATGAGGTCTCTGGAACGTCGGAATATAAGTCTGAAGCTTCTTCCCAATCTCCCTCCTCTTGTTCCTCGGAACCCATTCCACCATTTTCCTGCTCACTTTCTACATCTGATTCAGGGTCATCTGCAATGGATTGACTTTCAATGCCGAGGCCAGCGACAAATTTTGCCAACTCTTTTTGCAAGGCTTTGTCCGCAGGACCACTCTCAATGGCTTCTTCTTCCTCATCGGATGCAGCGTCTACCACGAGGGCAAGGTCTTCCTCGGTGCCCCCAAGAGCCAGAATTTCTTGGAGTAGAGTCTCCCTATCGTCGTGGAGCTTATCAAGTTTGGATGTTGCTTTCCCCGGACCATTTTCCTTGCGGGCTTTTGCTTTTCCATCTGCTTTGGCGTTCCCTTGCGAATCCCGCTTTGTGCCTCTGCTATTCTCTGCTGCTTTCGCGGACGTCTCTGGCGCTGCTCTCGTGTGCCCAATGGCTGGTTTTGGCTTCTTGGATCTCGGCTGTGGGGTATCTCCATTTGCTGCCTTCGACTTCGATTTCGATTTCCCCGCGCCAAAGCCTTGCTCTATCTTCGCGGTGAGCGCCGAAAGAGCTTTGTCGTCAAAGGATGGTAAAGCGTCACTGTTTGCGCCTGTGGCCGAATAGGCGCCTTTGGCGACTTTGTTGTTTCGTCGCGCCATTAGATCTTGTGGTGTTTGGTGTTGGGTATGCCTGTGTCTCTAAATCGCAGAGCGGCGACCTCGCGACTCCTGTAGATGTAGGAGATGATTTTTTTCTTGATCGGCGATAAGATAAAGATCCGCACTAACACCCGAACAGGTAATCAACTCGCCTACGAGCCATCCATAGATACGTGGTGTACCTACTCATACTCGAGTAGCTTGAATATTTCTCCCGCCTCGGCCTCACGTCAGTTTCTCCCATTGTCAATGCCAGCACCAGCACCAATGCCAATGCCAATGCCAATGCCCATGCCGATGTCAATGCCAGCTCACACCACCATAATATTTCTCTTTCCGAATATCAGTCATGATGAGAGCCGTTGCTTGTGCCCCTTCTTCGAGGACCTTCTGTAGAGCACTCAGAACGGCTTCAAGAAATGTTCACTCTCTCTCGGCCCCCGCAAGCCACAGAAACCTGCTCTCTAAGATATGGGCCCCAGGTAGCCCTAAGTTGCACAACCCCACGAATGCAATGGATCACCTCTTGAAGTTTGGCTTCCTATATCAGGTCGGTATCATCTCCTGTCACGGCTACAACACCTGCTGATTATACTTCTAGACGGCTTCCGGAGTATTCCATATGCTGCCCATGGGACTACGAGTGCAGCAAAAGCTGGAAGCTCTAATGGACAAGTATATGTCAAGACTTGGTGAGTTCAGTCTGGAACTCGCGGATATCAAAGTCCTTCAATGAGCTGATCAAATTAGGAGCGTGCAAAGTCGGACTCTCTTCAATATCTTCTCAGACTCTTTGGGCAAAGAGTGGTCGGCTATCGCTTGGTGGGTCCGAGGTAGCTTAGCGAAAAGAGCTTTAACTCACTATGACTTTTTCTAACATGATGTTAGCTCTTCAAATTTCAAGACAGGCGTGGTCATCGCCTCCTATTGTCTCCTACACATGAGGAAGAAATCACTTCTCTTCTGAGTAATTTTAGTCCTAAGGCCGATCGTCTCCCACTCCGTCTGTATCAAATATGTATGCATCAGCAACCCAGAGCGAGACACCGATGCTAATCTACAGATACAGCTCGAAAGTATCGAGATGAAAAAAGACCCAGGCAGAGGCTCTTGCGTGCACGAGAGTTCTTGATGAAAGACCTCTACACTTTTGACTCGAGCAAATCGCTCGCCCTTGCAACCTATGCTGAAGTGCGGGAAATCTACGCACGTATATTTGACGAGCTTAAGCTACCATACTTGGTTGCTGAAGCTGACTCTGGTAACATTGGTGGCAGTCTTAGCCACGAATATCATTTGCCAACACCGGGTGGGGAAGGGGAAGATTTCGTCATTACCTGTAACAAATGTGGTTATACGGCAAACGAAGAAGTAGTGGCGCGGAATGATATACCCTCTGGTTATGCGAGCGTTGAAGTTGACTCGCCATCCCAGAATGTTATCGATGGTGCTGTGGATTGCTGGTACGGGATAACAAAAGACAAATCTACCTTGGTATACGTTTGGTTTACCTCGAACCTCAAACCCAAGCGAGAAGTCAACACGCATGCCATAAAAGATGTGTTTCCGGATCTCGACAGCTCCATTGAGGATCCCAAGGCAGCTTTCATGGCCTTTAACACACAAAATCGAGCGGAGAAGTCGCCAAAACTCCTGAACATTGTCGATGGAACTTTCCCGTCGCACCTTCTTGAAAAGCTCGAGTCAACATTTGAAACTTTTGACTGGGAAGACGCAATTTACGAGCCCGTGAAACCTAAGGTGCTGAGCACTATTTCAAGACATCCAGTCACACAGCGCCCATTGAATGTACTACGTATTCAGGATGGTGATTCATGTGCACGATGTACCGATGGAAAGGTGAAGGTTCAGAAAGCCATCGAGGTTGGCCACACTTTCCACCTAGGGACAAGATATAGCAAGCCTTTTTCCGCAATGGTCACTCTTCCGGAATCAAGTCAAGCCGACATGAAAGATTTCGACCTCCATGCAAAGCAAAAAGGGGGCAGGGGCACAAATGTCTATCTACAGATGGGCTGTCATGGAATTGGTGTTTCGAGAATCATCGGCGCAGTAGCGTGTATACTACGTAATGACGAGGGATTGAACTGGCCACGGATTATAGCGCCATTTGAGTTGGCGGTTATCCCTTCAAATATGGACCTTATCAAAGGTGCGGAGCGAATCTACGATATACTTACTTCATCGCAGGCATCAGGCCAGGCACCAATTGACGCTATAATCAGTGATCAAAGTTCACATTTACTCGGTCGTAAAATCAAAGATGTTATGGCGTATGGTATTCCTGTGTTTGTTATTGTTGGGAATAGATATACGGTGGAGGGGATTTGCGAAGTGGAGTGTCCCAGGCTGAAGGTCAAAGAAATAGTTTCTGTCGCAGAATTGTCGGGATGTGTTAGGTCAATACTGGATCGGTTGTAATAATGGACACTGGCTCATTCCGACTTGTAAATATTTGTAAGTAGATGTACGATACGTAGAGGGAAAGGAAGGTACTCCTTTCGTGTGGCATGTAAGAGAAATACCAGCAAATACGTCTTTTGTTCCAGTTTTCTAGGTCCATTGCCCTAATTGTCCCAGATAGTACGGTTGATAACATTTGACCCGCCACGATAGGACGATTACATCGAACGTTCTTGATACTAAACTAACTGAAAATTATTCTGGGGAATTAAAGTAGTGCCGTTATTTGCCATTAATTTTCAGTGAGACACAGCCTTAGACCCATCGAACCATCTTGATACTTACAAAATCTTCGACTATTTCGGTCCGAATGGGTAAAAAAAACCATGGATCATAGATGCAGTTCACGTAGTGAGTAAGGAGACTACCTGCTATCTACTAGCTTTCTAAATGTCTCCTTAGGCTTCGACCTCAAGGTCGCATGGTGGAATTCTTCAATTTCCAGTTGCTTCCCATCACTGGCAAAAAAGTCAGTAAAAGCCGAATCAATTTGGTCAAGTTCATTGGCAAGAAGTAATATGTATTTTCCACTGGCTTCCTCCATTGGCTACTCGTTCAGCTTCACTTTAAATGATTGAAAGATGAACTCAGACTCTTTCAATATGATATTACGATTCAACTACTTTTGCTTCAAGTATACAGAACCGAAGCTTCTTGAGGTCGCCCAGTCCACACATTCAGTCCACACTCAAGTTGTGAACTTAAGTGGAGAACGAAACTTGCTTACAAAATTTTGGAGATGTAAATTCCAAGGGCTTTTCCTCATCATCGTGGGCTACTGTCAGAATTGACACTGATCATGGAAGTACAAGGACGAAATAAGTCTAGTGATATAACATCACCTCTCAAACAGTGTTGGAACAGCGAAAGAAACATATTGCCCCCTTCAGCAAACTGACAGGAACGGAATCTTCAAGCGATGAAATAGGACCATCAACAGGAAACGCAAACCAAATCATCCTTGCAACCCTTCCTTGAGAGGCATGTTCATGCGGAGCGATGTGCAACAAACACAATTTCCGGGAAAAAGCATGAACAGTTCGCCTAACACGAATCCTGTAATCTTAGACGGCCTTTCTAGAACAAGGAAGCCCAAGGCTTACTTGGGATATGTTATTATGAGTTGCGAGCCTAGAACTAGGGCTTAAATTCAGCGGCAACTCCTGGGCATGGGAACGTATTCTTCCCCAGGACGAGTATCAATCATGGCACATTGATTCATTCACATAGAAGTAGGCATACTGAGTACGACATGGGTATAATTTTTCCTTTGCTTCTCAATTGCACTTCAGGCTTTCAGTCTCTGTCCAGCTATATCATCTCGGGCATCTTTGAGTAGGAAGCTGTGAAATGTTAGCGTGATCCACCAAAGTTTGATGTTGTTTACACTCACTTGTACCAAATCATGGTTGGACCAACAGTTCCCAGATGCCACAGGCTATGCGCATCCAAACATCCCCACAATGGTGGAAAATCAAGAAGCTCGAAGCTCATCGCCAGCATGATCCATGCAACCACTAATCCTGGCCATGTAGCCCAAAGTCGACCGGATTTTCGGTATTTCCCCACACTAAACCAGCTCCATAATGAATTCTGCAGAACCCCAAGCACGACGTTTACTGCAATATTGTATGTATAATCCCAGCTATACCATTTCAGGTATGTCACATGTGCTACATACATGCAAATGCAGAGACCCGTCCATGCTCGAAGTACTGACTTGGCCTTCTTTCCCCCTTGATCCATTCGGAATATCCGGATAGGCGTGTAATAAAAGCCATAGAGGACACTTGCGCCCGCAGCAAAGTAGTCCAGTTGTTCGGTAAAAGGGAAGTCCCTTGTGTGGAAAATCATGCTAAACACCCAACTAGCCATGCCGAAGTACGCAAACCACACGTAGTATTTGCGTAATGAATATGAGGCTGGAATGTTCGAGGTGATTTTCGACAGCCCATTTTGGTGCGCGAGGAAGTTGAGGAGGGAGAAGAAAACGGAGAAGGGCTCTTGCATCCCCATGAAACGGTAAAATGGCCATTTTCCGTGGAACTGGACTATCTCTTCGGACGCTTCAACGCGCTGATCGGTGATGATGTGTTGGCAGGTATAATCGCATTCAGCGGGGCAGTTCCATAGAAGTAGTCGATGCAGGAGTGCTACGAATTGTAAGTATTTCTGTAGAGGTAAGGAAAAGAAGAACCGTACGAATGGTGGTAGCTGATTCGCCGCTGGCGCAATTCTCTTGCTTGCATACCTATCCCATCAGTCACTACAAAACACTATTAAGGATGCGGAAGTGCCTGGCCATACCTCAACGCATTTTTGAAATTCTGGCAGCCGGTCGCCAGTTGAAGCAATGGCTTGCTTTGCGCAAATTGACAGAAAAAGAAGCCATACTGACAGAGAAATGGATTGTCTCAATATCATCCTGGGTGTTGTTGACCAACAATTTCACGCAGAGGCCCGGGGGAAGCTTCAGCTGGCTTGCGCACAGACCCGCCACGCCCGCTTGACGCAAGGCAAAGGCTTAGCGAGCATTACCCGATGCGTTCTGAAAGACAAATAAGTCAGTCTCAAAATATAACACAACTCCAGGGGCTGTAACTCAGTGGTAGAGTGCCTCGTTTGCATTGAGTATTCACCAGAATACGACATAATAACTCGATGAAGTCCTGGTTTCGATCACCAGCTGCTCCAATTCAATGTGTTAAATTTTTGCTGAATTTTTGCACTATCGCCCGCAAAGGGGGGTTTTGTTTTATACTAATTGTACCCAAGTTCGATTTTTTGAAAGCGTTGCTAGGGAAAAGTGGGGTCGCCGTTGTGTTCTATCCCTTTACTTGACCTTTTCGGACGCTGGACTAAATTCAATTATTTTAGAACTCTTGAAGTATATAGGTTAGGTAGCTTTGGACATTCTTGTTACTTACACTTTTTGATTTTTTGCTTAGGAGTTATACGGTAGGTCTAATAAATATACTACCTAATCCTTCATGTCGGAAGAAGCCCTCGGGAGCTTTGTGCTAGCTAGAACCGTGTTTGGGGAGACAGGTTACACAACTCGGATGGAGCAGCTAGGGATCGAAACCAGGACCTTTTCCCCCCAAAAATCGAGTCTATATAAGTACTCTTCTCTCGCCCTTAGTAGTCCTTCCCAGGTTGTTACTTACTTGTACCAAGAGAAATTTACCCGACATCAGAGAAAAAGTGTAGAACAGGCTCCTACTTTTAGGGCAACGGCATTATTGAGACTTAGAGAATTTTTCGAATCACATTTTCATAGAATATAATGAGATATGGAAGTTTTTGGAAATGAATTCATCTCTAAAGATGGTTCGTCGTATTTATGTTGAAATGAGTTAATTACTCGAAAAATCTAACTTAATACAACAAATTGAAAGAGTTGCCGCTGAAGCGGACGGAGATTGTGGTACTTCACTCAAGCAAGACTCAGGAATGATCTGTTGAACAATTCTAAATGTTGGAAGACTTGGAATTTTATTATTACCTCAATTCAGAAGGGCAAATAAAGAGAAATCGGGAGAGACCAGTTTCGGACCGGTATCGGAGCCCCACCAAGTAAATGTACCTTGCCTGCGACTGATAAATGTTTCCCCTCATCATCGCAACTGAGATGTGAGGTTCCACCCAACACAGCTGGAATCATGTTCACTGGCATCGTAGAGATCATTGGAGGTAAGAGTCATTCCCTCTTTCAATTAATAATTGCTCACCGTATTTAGTCGTCTCCGAACTCAATGCCCACTCCGAAGATGGTGGCACAACACTTACCATTTCCAACGCTTCCGAGATCCTTACCGACTGCCATCTCGGCGATAGCATTAGTATCAATGGCACATGCTTGACTGTCACGTCTTTCGATAGCTCCTCCTTCAAGGTGGGCGTTGCCCCAGAGACTCTGCGTCGAACAAACCTGGGTTCGCTGAAGGAGAAAAGCAATGTCAATTTGGAGCGCGCGGTCTCTGCGAGCACCCGGATGGGAGGGCATTTTGTACAAGGACATGTCGATACCGTTGCTACCATCTTGAAGAAGGAACCGGACGGAAATGCGATGACCTTCCGATTTCAACCTCGCGACAAGACAGTTCTTAGATACGTGGTTGAGAAAGGCTATGTGACTCTGGATGGCGCAAGCTTGACAGTCACCAAGGTCGACGAAGAAGATGGGTGGTGGGAAGTCATGTTGATCTCATACACACAGGAGAAAGTTGTCACGGCGAGCAAAGTCCCGGGGGACGAGGTCAATGTTGAAGTGGACCAGATTGGCAAATACGTCGAGAAAGCGGTAGAAGGGTACTTTTCCAAGGGCACAAGCGGAGAATCTGCGATTCTTCAGAAGATGGTGGAGAGAATTGTCGATGCCCGATTATCACAAGTACGGCCATGAAATTGTCCCGGGGTCTTTAACAAGCGCCATTATCTGGCCTGCGCTGAGACGAAGTTTGTGCGATTCAAAGGTATTCCTAATGATAGGCTCTCCTCTCAAACTCTCTATTCTCGTAGGTAAAATCGCATTAATGAATTGACGAATCAGTTTCTTGGTGTATCATCCTATCATCTACAGACCGAGCTTTCTAAGCAACTTTAAATAGAGAGTTGAGATCTTTGGGTCCATCCTCTACGGAAATCCTTTTTTTCCAAAAATCCGGCTCTGAGGTTAAGATAAGGTACGAAGTAGTTTGGAAAACAAGAGCACAGATCACAAATTGACCTTCTATCTCTTAAACGCAGCCTTGTTCAAACGCCTCGGGGCTTGGTTGTCGTCGCGACAGATGCCAAGTTGATCCATCATCTTGTTGCAGCCAAGAAAAAGAATGCCGAGATCAGCAATAGAAGTTTCAAGGCTGCTTGGCTCGCCCCGTTATTGCCGAATTTTCTGTGAGAGAGCTGTATTCGCTTCTGCCAGTTACTTGGTAAAATCCGCCAGAGGGGGGTCGCTTTGGAGCCATTTTGATCAGTGCGGTATTTCTGCAACTAGATCTTCCATTATGAGGGAATTGACCCCACGCGCGGAAGTGTCCGAGGCATCCCAAGATTGTGGACTGATCCATTTTTCTTTTGAGTCAATTGGAAACTAAACGCCTCTTGGATCAAGGAGAGGGTAAAGCCAAGTCCCCCGCATATGTACACTCACTGCTGCATACCATCTGTTCAAGTGACCTGCTTCTGCATAATAAAATCAGCTTATAAACTGCGTTGGCCTCCCCCTTCCTCTCTACATCCTCATTCCCAACTCCATTCATCTGCTCCTCCATCTGCCACTCCAATTCCCCTCACAAAGACTTTCTCAGCGCTTGCTCAAACCCTCATACCTCCACCAAATACACAAAAATGTCTCCCTCTCAGCAATCGATTGCTCGCGTAGCCCAAGTCTGGCCTAGATGGCTTCCAAAGGCTATTCAAACGGACGCTAGAGCAAACCATTCATCCTTACAACCACTCTCGCCTACAATCAAATCACCTACTGCCAACTTCAACGTCTCTTATTTTGTGGCTCCAAAACCACACAGTCAGCAAACAAACCCAGCATCAGCTGCGCTCAACTACCAGCAGAGCCCCCGCGAAGCATCTTCTTCGCTCTAGTGGCAGTCAATAGCCCTCTTTGTTGTTCAACCTGTCTAGACTAGTTTGATCCATTTACCTAGATATCTGGGCTGATTAACTCAATTGTCTCGGAAATGTCGATTTGTCTTTCTGATTCTTGCAGACTTTTCACATTTGACCAATTGTTCTAAAAAGCTGGGAGAGCGAAGGCGGTTGTTTTCCTCGTATACCATGGTTCATCCGGGATGCCAAGGGTTCGAGCGGAGACAGAAGAGCGGTCACGAACGACACATGAACAATTTTTTATTTTGGAAAGCGAAAAATGGTGCAAGATTCATCATTGGGTGTTCAGGAGAAATGATTTTCGGGATTGGCATTTGCATTGGGATGAGGGACTTCCGGCGCAAAGGATGGGACGGCATAGGCAGTTTGGTTGGATGGGAACAGGCTACCACCATACATGCATGATCGGTGGGCATACAGTACGTGATCTGCTGGCAGGTTCTTGGGCATCAAAAGTTATGTTTCCTCGGGTAGAGACATGGGAAAATAGGAAGAGATGTTCCTGATAGATTAAAAATCGAAAACTTCCATGTTGCATCTTACTGGTTCTTAACTCTTTGGGTGGTACGAAGTTGTGATTGGCGCGCCAACACGACCTCTTTTTGACATGCTCAGCCCTTGGCCCTTTCGTGATCCAGAAAAAGGAAAAGGCTACACTGCAGTATTAGGTTTTATTCCTTTTTTGTATTCTTCCAAGACAGCCTTAAAAAGAGTCGCTTTTTTGGTTGTCTCGGATAGGTCAAATAATAGAAGTTTCAATCCGAAAAATGAAGACAACAAGAGGTACATATTCACTGCCTCGGTACTCCAAATCGGGTTTTAGGAAATCCAAATTCAATTCACTAGCTCGTGGTTACCTAATGCTCTGACATGCAAGTGCTCTGTAGGGCGTACACAGCTCGATATCCAGATCTGATTGGAGCCTTTTCCAAGCGATGATGTAGACATGAGTAATCCTCATATCAGGTACTATCGTCTGTACTCGAGTATCTGTAGTTTGAACAGCAGAAAGTATCAAGAACCTCCAAATAAACAACAACCAGAGCAAACCCATATCTTTTCGTACCACAAGTCCCTCAACACTTACCATGTCCTACCCCAAAAAGGTCACAGGCGGCTGTCTCTGTGGCGGAGTCCGCTTCGAAATCAACTTCTCCCCCGATCACAATTGGAAAACAGGAGTAAGTAATCCCTCAAACCACCCATGGTGTAAACGACAACGAAGAAACAAAACATCTCCTAACCCAACCCCCCAAAAAGCCACACACATGCCAATGCACCCAATGCCGCAAAAACAGCGGCTCCCTAATCTACACCTTCCACACAGCCCACGCCAAAGAACTAACCTGGCTCTCCCAATCCACCTACCAAGAATACAACTCCTCACCAGGCTGCTACCGCGCCTTCTGCAACAATTGCGGTTCCTCACTCGGCTGGACGGACCAGAAGAAGGGTGCGAATACGGATTGGGAACTTGCGGTGGGGACTTTCGATGAGGAGTTTTTGCTGGGGAAGAGGGATGAGGAGGGGGTTTTGAGGGGGGGTTATGGTGTTGCGTTGGCGAATTTTGGGGGCCCGCATTTTTGGGTGCAGAATGAGATTCCGGGGGTTACTGGTGGGATTTGTAAGGGGGGGACGAGGTTTTGGGAGGGGAGTAAGGGACCTGTGAGTGGGGGTACCGAGTAGAGCTTCGTGCCAAATGGCTTTAGCTAGCAGATAATCAAGCTCTTATTAGAATAACTGGTCGGCAGTTATTGATTCTTGTAGTGATCTAGCAAGCCAGTGGCAAGATTAAAACGAATTAATAAGTATTGAATCTTTCTCGGTATATTATCAATAATCACAGGAGAAGCTGGAAGAAAATAAACAGGCTTGTTGGTTTTCAATGCAATTCGCTGTGAAAAAGTCATAAAATCGGAATCTTTTCAGCAAAAGGAATATAATGGAGCCAGGAGATAATAATTTGCAACTCATATGGGGGGATTGTTGGAAATGGGATGCTTAGATATTGCAAAAAGTCCTTCGATGTTATATCGTGCTTGAAAGTACTGAGGAGGAAGGAAAAAGGTTTTATACAGTTACATAGACACGCAAGGAACAAGTGATACTTTGAAAGCGCGACGAAAGTCCACTTATGGAATGAGCTCAACACTTGGATGAGTTGGAAATTGCATTGCATTAGATATCTATCAATGTTATGTTCAAAGACCACGCAAACCTGTGAAACTTTCGCGATGCACATGGTACTTTTGAAAAGGCGAAGTTTTTGTACCCTTAAACCGGTAATCCATTTTCCTCCATCCTCATCCCGTTCTCGTCAAAGATCGTATGACTAAAAGCCGCGAAATCGTTGTTATCAAGTAGCCATTCAGTATCGTCCTCATCTGGACCCAATTTTGCCATCAGTCCGTTTCCTGCTTTGGGGTAAGGGGGACTAGCTGGTGTACTTTCCCTACTTTCATCGCCTTGAGGGTTTACATTCGACGGTGCTAAGGAGGCATGGTTAAATGAGCCTTGAGAGGGTGAAAATGAGGCCGGTGGCGTTTGACCTGAGGGGATTTTGCGAATGAAGTTCATTGGGGCATGGGGGTGCGATTCAGCTCTGGGAAAAAGACCCGTGGCGCCAGAAGGCGGGAAGGGTTGCTGTGGGTGGATATTTGCACGGCGGTCCGAAGACTGAGCTCGTTGCGTGTGGGTGGGAGGGGGGTTAGATACTGGAGGAAAGATCGGAATATTCGGGTGTAAGACTGTAGCTTGCATGAGAAGGGATACGAGCTGTTGATGTGGGAGGGAGTTGAAGTACGAGCGTTTCTAATATCCGTAAGTAGGTGTTGTGTTGAGGGATTGGAAAGAATTACCTCTTCTGAACTGCGACCTTGCCAGCTGGTGTGCTTTGAGTCAGCACCAGCAGTTTTGATGCCTCTTTTGCGACTGCAGTCCGAACAAAACCAAGGGGCGGTCTCGTCCTTTACCATTTCTTCGGAAACAATAGGATCATGACACATCTGGTGCCATCCCAAGTTGCATCCATCGCAGAAAACAATCATGTTGTTTTGAGGGCTATGTCCTCGCGAACATGTTTTGCAAAGTGCTTGTTCCTGAGTTCGTTTTGCAGGTGCTCGGCGCTTTGTCGACTCTCTTGCAGCTGGTACAAAAGGTGCCGGCTTTACGATTTGTCTTCCAGACTGCGTCACTTTAGGAAATTCAGTGACACTCCCCACGTCATCTGAATCGGAATCACCCCCCAGTTTTGACATGGTGTCTGATTCTTCTTCGTCGCTCATACTCTCGGACTTGGCTCTCTTCCTTTTTGTGCCTACTCTCGCACCCTTGGACTTTGGGCCGGGCTTTCTTCTGTCTTTTATGCCAGAGCCTCCATCGGCACTGCTCCTGCTCTTGGGAGTGGAGGAGGCTCCCGCAGAGCCTTTGGCGGACCTCGATTTATACTGTATAGGGCGTGTGGGTGTATCTGGAACCTCCATGTTCAATGTGGTCTTCATGCCCATTAGAACATTGCGCCTCATATCCTCATAGCCTGGAGGTGTGCCTGTAATGCCATATGAGGAGGGGGTGCTCATGGTAGCAGAAGCACCACTTTGGATGCGCTTGAGAATCATCTCTGTCGTAGCGGAAAATTGAGGTACATATTTGGGAGGCGAATCTGAGAGAGGCGTCTCTTGAGTTCCGCTGCCACTGGCATTGGCAGTTGGGGATTTGGGGGGCGCGTCAGAGTCCATCTTGGATCGCGCGCGACACGACAAGTGGGTTGAAAGTTGAATCCGCAATTTGCGCCGGAATCTATCGAGACTGGAGTAATAATTAGCAACCGCCTCACCGCATGCGGGATGGGAGAGCAAACTCAGGGGCAGGTGCACGAATTGGACCGGTTCAAATCAAAGAACCCCAGGTCGTGATCTATTGGCCGGGTTGTGGAGGTCGCGATGTTGTGGGGAAGCTCGAAGTTAACCAAATGCCATTGGCAAAAACATCGCCTTCAATAGATTGAAGGCTCTGCAATTGATTGCTGATGACCTTCGATACTTGTAGATGCAGATGCACGTCTGTGTTTAGGTGAATCCAGAGGAGCATCTGGTCGGCCATTCAGGTTCCATTTCAATTACAAATAACGTGACCATTCACCACGTGAACAAGCTTGATTGGGATTTTCTAGTGCAACCTGGAAGTGAATCAATCCACCATGTAAGATAACACAAACTGGTTTGGACGAGCTTCAGTACCTATATTATTACTACTCAGAAATGAATCTGGAAATTTTGGCATGAGGGTTTACATGTATTCCTGTAAATATACATATGGATTTGTTGATTGTATTACTGCACATTCTTCTATTTAGGTACTATCTCACGGCACCTTCTGATTTGAGTGATGCGATTTCTTCTTCATTCAGACCCAGAATACTTTCAAGAATCTCGTCGGTATGTTGTCCCAACGTAGGTGGCGCTGTGCGGATACTGGGCTTGCTCTCGCTATACTTAACCGGCGTGTTGACCATTTTGATGTCTCCGCAAAATTCATGTTCCATCTTTACGACCATATCTCTGGCCAAAACATGTTTATGATTCAAAGTGCCTTGGACGTCGTTTACCGCTGCGTATGGAAGTCCGCAGCCTTCATAGATATCCAACCATTCTGCTGTTGTTTTAGTCTTGGTAATTGCTTCGATCGAATCGTCGAGTTCAACACGATTTATTATTCTTTGGGTGTTGACTTCAAATTTGGGATATTTTGCCCATTCTGGGCGACCCAGTCCCTTACAAATTAAGCCAAAAAGGCGGTCATTCCCTCCTCCAAAGAGAATGTCTCCATCTTTGGTTTTATAGGATCTGTAGGGAACTATTGCAGCTAAAAAGTATGTAAGCAAGTAAATCCAAAATGTGATGTAGAAAGAAAACTTACGATGGGCTGTACCCCACCTTCCTTGGTCCTTCTCTCCGCTAATCAGACAGCTGCTTGCGATATTGACTAGCGTTGCAACTTGACAATCACTCAAAGCAATATCGATATGCTGTCCCCTACCTGTTCGGCTTCGGGCAATAATTGCAGCCATGATACTATTGCTAGTATATAACCCAGTAGTAAGATCCGTGACCGCAACGCCTACCTTGACGGGAGGACCATCTCTACTTCCAGTAATATGCATTAATCCCATCTCTGCCTCAACCATAACATCGTAACCAGCTCTATTTGAATATGGGCCTGTCTGGCCGTATCCTGTGATTGAAGCGTAAATCAAACGTGGATTCAATTTATGAAGCGTTTCAAAATCCATGCCGTATTTTTTCAGAGTTCCGGGCAGATAGTTTTCGACGAGAATATCGCTTTCTGCAACAAGTTTGTGTAGGATTTCCACGCCTGATTTATGCTGAAAGGAGAGTCCAAGAGATTTCTTGTTCCGATTTACCTTACCTCCACATCAGTTCTCCATTCATGTTAGGGAGGAGTTTCCTACCGAGAGGAAATAAGCGCTTTCTCCCGGACCCTCCTTGCCTGAACCTTCTTTGTATTTGGCATACGGTGGGCCCCATTGCCTCGTGTCATCGCCTTTCGTAGGATGCTCGACCTTTATGACTTCTGCGCTGAGTCTCGTAAGCCTTGCGCATGAGTCTTGTTGTGTAAAACGTACCCAAGGTCAGCAAGGATTTGCGTGGCGTATGGCTATAGAAGTACCATTAGTATGCGTGGTAAAGATGTAGAAGATTGATGATATGGTGTTCATACGCCAGCTAGCACTCTAGTCATATCAAGTACTTTGTATCCTTTCAGCGGAAGGGTACCATCATTTGTAGCTGAATTTGTGATGCTGCGCTGCCGGGCACCTCTGACGACTGAAAGTCTGCCATTGAAGCGTGTAATGGCTCGGGAAGTAGCCAAAAGAGAGCGTAGATATAGCAAAGCCATTCTGATCTGTTGAACTGTAATGACTAGAAAGCAATGGCTGGATTTGGTGGAAAGAGCTTCACGACCACCTTGCTGTTCTGGTACGAGTTGAGGTGGGGTACTTCGGTTCTGCCTCGGCATCTACAGTAGGTACAATGACTGAGTGACCAGCTCGTTCGACCGGACTACAGACTAGTAGACCACAATATATGTTTTTACCTTTCGAATCCGATTTGAACCAAGAAGCTTAGATAATCAATTGGCTTCCGTTAATATGCTTGAGATAATCGATTACAGTAAAAGTTTTTTACCCTTGTTGTTCTACATGAGGTTGCTTCTTAAGGGGGTTTGTTTACTCAACTGTATAAAATCCTTGGGCTAATCATTGGTATCATAGTCAGTTCCGGCGTACTAAGAACTTGAGTGAGCACTCAATTTAAGTCGAGTACTAATTGAGTTGAGCTGAGTTGAGTAGTGAATTTTACTAGCTGAATACTAAATAGGTAGTAATACTAATAGTAACTAAAATATAGAGAAATTGTCCTCGAAACACAGGTCTCTTATTTAGAGCCTTTTCCTTACCTGTGTAAAAGCAAACAATGTTATGTTATTATAGGTTAGCTATTGAAAAGGCGGGATACCTGAATTTAAAGCACTTAATTATATTATAGTAGAGGTACTCGGCTAAATCGAAGTAGGTGCCCCTACTTAACTCAGCTACTGTAATCAAATTCAGTACGCTGGTTAGTTCTCTAAAAGTTACGAATGAAGGCGATGAGACTATATACTACTACGTTGCGGGACATCGTGTTTGCAAGTTAATGTACATTTTTAAAGGCAAGTCTGTTTCAGATACGACTGTATTATAACAGACGTTATAGTTACTCTATAAGAGAGGCGGGCATTATTCTATACACGCCTGAGTTATAAAAATATTATCCTAAAGACCTCATATAACTAAATCAATTATACTAATAGTTTAGAATAATTAATACTTTTCACTCCTTATTAACATAGGTAAAATAGGACAATTAATTAAGTTATGCCAGACTTTTGGTATAACGACTTTTAATAGCGTGCATAGAGTAATGCCCGCCTCTCTTACATCTCTCTATATTAAGATTATTCTAAAAGTGTTGTACAATGAAAACAGATATATAAAGAGTTTAGAACAAATGTTATCGCCTACGGTCAATTGGCTTAAGTATACTATCACGATTATTCCACTTGTGCTGGAAGTTTATGATAATGAAGTTCTAAAAAATATGTACAGAGTAGTAACTAGGTATCTTACGATAGTTACCTATTGCCGTTTTGGAAATACCTTGATGGATTCATCCACTAATCAAATCCGCACTGTTTGTAATATGAGTCGACAATCGGTCAATTTATTCTCCTCCACTCCCTAGATGAAAAGCTAATCAAGAAAACCCTCCTGTGTCAAAAATCGGCTAGCTAAACAAGCATCCCCCGAAAGTGTGTCTGAAAGTACAGAATTACAAGAAAAAATATCCTCAAAATACATTCGTCCCTACATCAGACCCTAATTCCTGAAATCTCCTTATGCTACTCCATCAGGAATTGTTTTCGAAGAAGGCGGCGGTATGCCAAAGTGTTGACTCATCTCCTTGTAATGTGAAATATCTCCAAAAAAGTCGGGTTCCGTCTCATCTCCCAGGTCACACTCATATAACATTCCTCTCGCCTTGCGGATTTCATCACAGCGAGTATAGTAATGGTCCGCCACAATTGGAAAGAGTCTAAGGAAATCCCGATACCCCGAACCTGGTAGTTCCAGCTTCTTTTGCCCTGCCTCCTTCTCTCCTGAGGCTTTCTCCAATTCGGAGCTTGGCAAGCTTTTTTTCAATATGGCTTTGAACGTCAATGATGAATCGCCATCCATGATTGCATCACCGAGTTCTTCGAGAAGCATTTGAGCTTCAAGAACTCGTGTTGACAACGGGCCTCCAGTTCCTAATTTATCCTGCTCAAGAAATATGCTCAGTCTTGTTGCTGCCTCGCAGATTCGCTCATACTGAGGGTCCAGATAGTCGATTATTTGTTTGCGTTGCAACTTAATTACGGCGATGTTGCTGTACAAAATGTACGTATATAATGTGCTCAAAGCTTGATGCATGATATGGTCTGTGAAGACATCGAACATGGCAAAGCCGGCGGAATAATCTTCAGGTTGATCTTCTCTGTAGAGAGCCGAGAAATATCCCTGTTCCATGGCTTTGCGAGCTTGTGGACGGGATTCAAATGATGCAACGTAGTGGACCAGGCAGCCATGCATTTTTTCTAGACGTTCAACAAGCGAACTCCCAGTGATGACATCCTTGAATTGACCTGAAACCTTCAAGTCTTCTGGGCTATCACTCATAGTGTTTTTCGAGACGATGGGCCGTAGAGATTGTGGGGGTACTGGCAGCCAAGGGGTTTCTTCGAATGTTGCGTTGCGCACAACAACGGACTTGACATTTCGCAATATTTTGAGTGGGTCCAAAGATTTCTCGAACTGAAGTTCTAGGTCTAGCGCGAGATTGATATTTGAATCAAGGAGAGACAGTACTTCCAGACTATTTAATCTTGTAGAGCCTATATCTCGACAGAACTGTGCCAAAAGAAAACGGCATCTTCTATCGTCTGTATAGACCGAATGCGGACTAATCATGATCCTCCATCTTGTAACCTTCAAGTAAGGTTTCCAAGTGCCACGATATCTGTCGAGAGCTGAAAATTGATTTCCATAGGAGAATATTATCAGAAATTATTGGGTTGAAAGGGTATTGGGTACTGAAGGTCATGGAGAATTGATTGCATTGTAAAAGGTAGCTATCTAAGGTGTTTATATAAAGAGTGTAAGGTTTAGGCAGACATGAAGCATTTAGGCAGCAGAACTATAAGTGGATCAAATAAGGAAGTGGAGCAAAATAGAAAGTAGACCCAGCACAACAGAAATGTATTTTGTTCGTAGAGGATGGGTGTCGCTTCCGAGCAAATTTGATGGCAAGTTAACAGGATAGCGGGCGAAAGTCTGAACTTCCCATCGTAGTCTTCATCGATGGTTATGCAAGTTTGTGTGCCGAGGTCAGGATTTCGTAGGAGATAACCGTAGATATGGTATCGAACTTCGAGGGGAAACTTGGTGAGAAAAAGACATTGTGGAGAATGACGAGTGTTGTTGGTGTCTGACCTTGAACACTTTGAAGGCTTGTATCACCCACGTTTGCGTTGGATTCGTTCATGATGAGAGGGGATAGAGCGGTGCTGACTGCTTGTAGTTGTCCTTGTCAGTTGATGTTGTTGGTGGTAGGAGATGGTCTTATGCTAATATGGCATGAGTGTGTGGGTAGTGGATACTCATAGTGTAGAAGGCAGCACATAACCTAGACTATACCCCCTGTCCAGGGCTCATACCCCCCTCTACATAAGTCACATCAATAACCAAAGGGTATACACTAAATGAATGTCAACAGAGATTCAGCTAATTCTCTCTGCGTGACATACGTCTAGTGAATCTAGCCTAAACACAATTTGTTTTTTAGTCAAGTAAATACATAACTATGATTCAAATCTATAATCTCTTGGAAGAGAAAAAGCTAGTAGCTATTAGCCCCTTCATTTCCTTTCTTATTCGTTGACAGTCCTAGCGTTTTCGTTTAATTATTGATATCAACAATTACACTAGAAAGGAGCAAAAAGAAAAAAACAACCTACAGCCTCTTTCTTTTGTCTAATGTGAGGTAGCCTAAAAGAAACTTGTGTTAATACAAAGTATCAACCTGTTGACACATTTTAGAATAACTACCTGCATTACTCCTAGATTTGAAAAGAACCACCCAACTTTAGCGATAAAGATAGAATACAAAAAACCATTTATTACACCTAGGCCTTTTGATATACATGGAAAGACAGCAAAGAGACCCTACAAAGTTGAAAAGGGTCTTCTGGCAGGTCAATGAGCTTTCTAGGACTTTTGGCTGATAATAGAGTACGTGATATTTCAAAAATAGCACCCCTATAATACCTGATAAGTACTAGCTCCTAAGACACAATCTACAGTCTCATTTTAACTTCTCAAATCTGTAACCTACCATTAAGCAAACATAGTATTAATACAACGTCAAGTGGCTTTCACTAATAGTAAGTTAGGTTCAAGGGACCAGTGTATTAAGCTCTGTTTATCTAAAAGTGTAGCACCCAGGGCTCACGCTACTTCTTGAGCAAAGTAACCCTTAAACACTGAACCTCAATTTACATCAGCAAATAATCCCTAAAGCATTAATGTGCGCCAGGTACGTCTTTCCAAACTAGACAGAAAGAGAGCCTTCAACTTCCTTCTTCCACCACTCTGGGAAATCAAGAACCACCTTATCCTTCCTAGCTTTCTCAGCAGCGAAAACCATCGCATGGCTCCTGATGACTTCCTCCAAACTGCAACCAACATGCTCTCTCTGGGCATCAGTGACCTTCGCGCCGTGATTCTTCACAGCATCAACAGCAAGAATAAATTGTCTTGCAAGTCCGTCATCACCACCGCCATGACCTCCTCCAGCCATGTGAGGTTTATATATCTTCTTTCCTCCAGTCTTGAAGTCCTCCACTGTGATGGTTTCACTATCTGCATAGATTTGGCCATCCGTGCCGTAGATATGACTGTATCGTTCGCAGATCTTCTTGGTATGAGCCACCATGTGGAAGATTGCCGTTTTGGCGCCTCGACCAACTAATGCCTTTTCGTTGTCATTGTTGACTTTTGGGAGCGGATCATCTTCCCAGGTCATGATCACAGTCTGGTTGTCACACACATCGTTATCAGACTCGTAAACACATCGACCGAACCAATTCTTTGAAGAAACGACTTTGGCAGGCGTGTCGCTTGTGTAGTCTTCTGAAAGTTTTGCCAGAAGAGCCTTTTCGCCTCCAGCAATACCACTGGTGGCAATGCACTCTTCTATTTCAGGTACAACGATGTCAACAGGCCTGAAAAATTATTAGCATACAAAATTCTTCTTGAACCAGGAGACAAGAGCAATGAGTAAATAAATGAAGAAACTCTAGAGAGACGAAAATGAAAAGATTACGTACCAATGAGTATTTCCGGAGGCAAGACCTTTCAATTGAGTGCCAAGGTAGACCTTCTTAGCAGAATATTTACAGGACTTCTCGATCGGGCAGGATAGACAATTTGTAGCGCTTCCAGCCGCAGTTGGCTTACGAGTTTTGTTGAAATATTGAAGAGAGCCTGTAGAGCTCACGTTTGTGGGAATATGTGCGGGTTGAAGCGAGCCAGGTGGTGGGGAGCACAAGAGCCACAGTAATACGTCAATATCATGGCATGATTTTGTGAGTAGTGACGGCGCAGTAGTAGACTCTTTCCGCCAGTTACCTCTGAGAAGAATTAGCACCTGTCACCAGTTCCACTCGAAGTACTTACCTGACGTAGCTGTGAGTATAATGCCACCATCCTATGGGCTCGGTATGATTAATGGACAGAAGCTCGCCAATTACCTTCTCCTCAAGAAGGAGGCTTCTCAGAAGCATATTGTGAGGGGAGTAGCGTAGAACGTGACCAATTGAGAATATCTTGGATGGTGTGATATCCGGGAGATTTGGAAGAAGAGTTCGATATATCGAAACACAGTCTTCCAAGCTGGTTGCCAGTGGCTTCTCACACATGATATGGAGTCCAAGTGGTGCTAACCCGACAATAACATCTTTGTGTTGCTCGTCTAGCACGCAAATGAATGCTGCATCAATTCCTTCAGGGACCTCTTCACCTCTTGCAGCTTTGGCTCTTCTCTCCTGCTCCCAAATCAGGAATGACTTCCAATCATCGAATTCTTGACCTTCTGATGGCCCATTTTGGCCCCAAATATATTTTTCGCCGAGTGTTTTTCGCTTGTATGCAATTGGTTCGGCCACCGCAACGACTACGCCGTTCGTCGACTCCCCCGTAGCTCTTGCATAACCATTACCTCGAGAACCAGCTCCTATGATAAGGATTCTTGGTGGATTGACAGACATCGTGGGGCGAGGCGGCGCTGCCATCTCAACAATGCCATCATTAGAAGCTGGTGAATCAACATGAGATGCCATTGTCAATTTCTGTTGTAAGCTTATAAAGCTGTACTTTGTCAAAGTTGGACCAGATTTTCAAGTACTGTTGTGGTCAGCCTTCAATGTTAACGGAATGACCAGAATCGTAATGTGGCAGTAAAAAAGTATGTTGTAGGAAAGAAGGATGAAGATCACTAAAAGTTAAGGGTTTATAAGTCAATGCCAGATACAGACTCCAATTAGCACATGAAGAAGTTTATGACTGGGAGTACCAGGCAATTACTATCTTTGATGCTTTGTAAGATGAGGTTATCTTATGTTTAACCTAGGTCAGCTTCACTAGCTAAGACATCTATCTCAAAAGGCGCAACGTTGCAGTGGAGTAACATGATCTGGATTTGGGTTACGAACCTTTCTTAAAGTTCTGCGAATTGTTGTCCAATCAAGCTGGAGGGGTTGTCAATCTAACAGTGGAAAGGTGGGGTTGACTGTTGATATATGAATGGGCTCAGCTGTGACGATAATACATTTCCATTGGAGGTGAGCAACCAGAGCAGTTAATCAAAGGCTTTAGGATAATTTAGATAATTTTCTCAAAAGATTTGGGTGAATGATATAAACCTGTGGATTCTTAGAACAACAAAGGGTTTGTGTTTATTGGACTTTGATGTCAAGTTCAGACGTCTCTGCGTAATGTGGCTTTGTAGTCCACTGTACAAGTCTGTGCATGCCTAAAACTACGGGGGCCACCAGAACACCAAAAAAATCAATTTCAAGTAACAAAAGAACGCAAAAATGAAAACCACACCACAAATCAAAAAAGGTTCCATTATGGACCGACCCAGGGAAGATTCGAACTCCCAGTCTTTGCCATTCTGTACACCGGAAAGCAACGCCTTAACCATTAGGCCACTGGGCCATTACGATACTGACTCCAAGAATTGAAGCGGTGAAAATTTGAGGTCCTATTTTGTACTATGTACCAATCATAGACTTTTGAAGTTAGGACTCTGCCGAAACTGCCCTAAAATGGCACCAAGAAAGGCTAGTGTAATATATATTGATCAAAGAAAACAAATATCTGTAAACATTTTCTTTTGATACTCATTCACTGTGTTGTAGCCATATCACAAAACTGACTGTTACACCTGAGTTGTGGGCTCATGCGAGCTGAAAATATCCGATGTTCAACCGGATTGAAATTCACTTTTCATAATTCTGGAATGTTTATGTTCTAGAATGGCTTCAAGACTTGATATTGATTGTACACGATCAATACTAGCAATAATATAATGGTATGGAACTCAGATCCTTTCGATTCAGCAACAGTTCTATTTACAGCGCTAGGCCTACATACCTCCCCATCATCGTGGTTGATCGCAAGTAGCAATGATAAGTATCCCGCTTGGCCTGTGCATTTCCCCCACCTCTCGTGACGGATAAGTGATAAGAAAGGCAGCTTGCTGTTTCTCTATCTATCCCAGCAAATTGAGGTGTTTTTCTGTAGAATTGAGATAATTAGAATCATCTGTTTAATGATATAGATAGTTGGAATTACTCTAAAGCAGAATATTTACTTACTAATTAAACTGCCTCGTAAAGGTGGAACAGCGAATGCTATCGACTATTCTCCAAATAGCCACCATTAACCCCCGCGGTCGTGACCAAGCCAGATTAATTTGTTACTTCTACATCTAAGTTTCCATTTTACAATGACAATGGGCATTCATGGTATAACATTCCAAGTATAGAAGCATAAGAAGGCTGTAAAATTCATTCATTCATCGAGTACCACAACACAATATCGCTCAAAGTAAAATATCATCCTTGCCACCAGTAGACTCGCTAGGTAAACGCTTTCCCTTAAGCACCCGTTTACTCATAAGTCCCTTACTCAGAGCCTCCTCCGATGCAGCTTCTGTCAAAGATCCCCTAAACGCCCCAGTGGAATATTTACCACGCAAATAAACAACACTGTTCAGAAACGCCAAAGGCTCCACCTTGCTAGGAAGCATACCCAGAAGAGTATTAAGATGCAACTCGTACAAGAACCGGCGCAAGCATCGAAAGGAAAACAATATGTACCACTTCCAGTTCCGCTCTTCGTCCACAGATACCAGAATGATGACCAGAGAACAGAAAAGTATGAGAATTGCCAAGGCGTATAGAGGATATCGTTGGAGGAGAGAGACTGTTTTCCAGAATATGTCCATCCAAAAACTGCCCATTACGTTCGTATTGCAAGGGTCCACCTATCGTGTCTTGGTCTTGGCTCGCAATGGTTTAGGCATGGGTGAAGTCGGTCTCTGTTGGGAAAAGTCCACCGTCCGCAGCCTTTTCGCAGGTGCAGGCAGCTATCATGATTGTTAGTCTCGTTGCAGTTAAATCAGGAGTTTATCTATAAACTTACTGGCTGGGCGAGATCCACAATCGCAGAGGTCACCAGACGGCTTTGCGTTCTCTGTGGAGGCTCTATCGCAGGTACAGCTTCCGGCAGGACGAGCACCTATTAAATGGGTAAATATAAATGTTTTTGTACAATGAGCAAGCTGTGGATGAGCAGGAAGAACTTACGGCAGGAGCATCGTGGGCCAGCAACAGTGTTCTCAGTAGAAGCCTTATCGCACGAGCAATTGAGGGCTGATTTCTCGCCGCAAGAGCACTTTGCCTGGGAAGCACATACACAGTTGGCTCCCTCGCTCTTTCTGCAACAAGTTGTAGTAACCATATTGAGGTTTGTTTTGTTGGAAGTTGTGTAAGTTTGGGTGGTTTAGGTACGAAAGAAACTCTCAGGAGGTAGATGTCGGATGTTGGAGAAGGTTGAGATGGTTGTAGAATCCTGCTTGATACCTGATATATATAATAGTCCCATTGCAGACCAAGCAGGTCTTTATGTAGTGAAGGGGGCTCAGCCCTGTCTTTACAGAATAGCCTTGCTTTGTATTACATCCTCTCTGATTGGCTGGTCAATCCGATTCAATCAAACCCTCATTTGACCGAACAAATCCCGGCTCACTCGCTTAGAGTTGCTGACCATTCCATTTCTTAGTCACCCTCAAAACTCTCCAAACAAATGTTTATACACCAGCCAATGAAACGAGGTCCATTACATAGCTAATGAAGCTTGGTTTAGTGAGTGACTTTAACTTCTTCAAAGAGTAAGCATGAACATTCACAACTTTTTCCTATTGCACCAGCAGGTACTCTATTTCTTGCAGCAGCTGGAAGAATCAAAAAGCAAGAAGTCAAGTGATTGATTGGTCTCCTATCTTTCCATTGCTTCATGAGCTGCGAGAACTTACAACTTGTCAGGCATTTATTTTATTCTAGATTCTCTGTTACATACCCGGGAAAATGCCTAGTCAGTTCTCTATGCATACACCATGAGAAGGCAATCTTCTCATATTATTCTAGAAGTCTTGGAATAATCAATTCAATCAGCGTTCTGTTATCCCAAATAGTTATGGTAATCACAATAGCTGTTTGAAATAGGTTGGTACGAATTAGATGTGCTGAGGCGGAGAGCAACAAATGCATCTCTTCTAACATGTTGTAACTTGGTATGATTATTGCAGTTTTGATTTACTCAAACTTTCATTCAGCTACTGCTCTAATCCATGGAATCTCAAGTTTTACATTCCCCTCCATCCTCCCATACTCATCTTCAACCCCAAAAGACCAACAAAACTCAATCTACATCTCCGTCATTCGCCTCGTTGACCGCTCCCTCAACTCCCTTAGAAGAAGAAGACTGGTCTGTCGTTCCACGATCGGCCGTCTCAAACCCTTTTGCATACTTGTCCAATAACTCACGCTCAATAACCTTTGTGATAATCGTGGAACTAGGAGGAGGGGAAACCGGCCTACTAAGGATTTTGCTGAAAGCAACCGCTTCCCTCCACGTCCTATTCTCCGCCCTTTGCTTAGCTTCCATCTCTGCCCTTCTTCTTTCCTTTTCCTCTGCCTCTTGCTTTAGCCGTCCCTGAGCCTTCAGCTTCTCATCCTCCACAGATTTTATCAAAACGAACGCTCGAGTAACCATCCCTCTCTTCATCCCGAGTTTTGGTATCGAAGGAACCGTAGGCTTCAAAGGTCCTTTAGACCGCCTAGCCGCATCCCTAACAACAGCCAACAACCTATCAAAATCGACTTCCATCATCAATTCCGCATTCTCGTCAACGATGTCCCCTAACTCTGGACATTTCCGAATATACGGCTGCAGGGTCTCCAGACGCTTCCTCCAATTTTCAACGAGCTGTCTCTTTTGCCCACCTGCTTGGTAGTAAATCATCTGAGTCGCGTATCGATAGATGACCTGCCATGCTTTCGTGAGGTTCTTCATGTCGCTGCGGGTGATTGTTATCGTTTTCAATTGTTCACACGCTTCGTTGGCAAGTAGGTCGATATCGTGACCGTTGGCTTCTTGGTCAGAGGAAAGTTTCTCGGCTAGTTTATGGACGTATTTATATCTAAAAGGTGTGAAGCTCGCGTATTGGTAGGCCGTTTCGCATAGCCATTTGGAGCCTCCCCCTGGTGGTGGGGGATGATCTTCAAGGTATGTGCTAAGCTCGTCGACTACTTTGAATTGACGCGATGTCAACTGTGGTTCACGAGCGTCAGTCAGCTACTTTGTTCAAGTCGGAAGTCATTGAATGAAAGAACACTAACGTAGAGAAGCAATATTCCTCCGACCACGCCTCCTACGAAGATACCGGGATGCTTGATGGCATATGGAAGTGGGTGTTTGTATTCCGGTTGCCAGTCGTCGTTCTTGTTGTCTGTGGGCTTCCCATCCGTAGACTTTCTATCCTCCAGCTTGCCCTCAACAGACTCAAGCCTTTTATACTCAGTCTCCGTCTGTTTCTGATCAGGTACTTTTGGTTCAGCAGTTGAAACTATTTCCCTGATTTCCGTCGAGTTGGAGGTCGACGAGCGAGCTTTCACATCTGTACTCTTATGACGAAAATGGCATGGCTTCGGAAACCTTGGGAGTGGTCGAGGTCACAGGGTGCGTGCCATAAATGCTGCTCTGGAGGCGTTTATCATGGCCAACATCTTGATTGGATTTGCGAAGGTGTTGGTAGGGGAGGATGAGAGATTAAGGGAGAGAGAGGGTCAAATGCCATGGAAGGAGTTCTCATATATGGTATTTCGTTTGAAAGAATGAAGGAAGGGGTGATGCAAGGCCGCAATACATTACAAAGATGTAACGAGTAGATGGTAAGTGGAGATGCTTCTGGACTTAGTAAAGAAAGTTCATTGGAGTTCTCATTATCTCTTCTAGAAGTGACCACGTAGTTGACAGAAAAGTCGTAATATATCGTCCTTTATTTTGCGATTCTAGTATTCTTGGTTTGGAAATAAGGAACTCCGATATTTCTAAAAGAACTACTCTAATATCCAATCAAACAGATAAAACACTTTGATACAAGTTGAGCTACCAGAGACTACACCTTTCCTCCAAGCAAGTCAATCCAACGCTTCTACCCCTCTCAAACCCAGCTACCAGAGACTACACCTTTCCTCCAAGCAAGTCAATCCAACGCTTCTACCCCTCTCAAACCCCTTTTATCTAACGACCCCCTTACTGTAATTACCACGGAAAAAGAAAGTAACAAGCTTCTTCCTACTTTTTTGGGTCCTTTGTTAAAACAACCAAAGCCCATTAAAACCCATTTGATCCCTTCCGTATGTAAGAGAGGCGGGCCACACCTGAGTTATAAAAATAGTATCCTAAAGACCTTTCATAACTAAATAAATTATACGAGTGGTTTAGAACAATTATTACTTTTCAATGCCTACTATGCTAGGTGAAATAGGACAATTAAGTTACTTGTGCCAGAGTTCTGATATAATGACTTTTGATAGCGTGTACAGAGCAATGATTACCTCTCTTACTGTGACATTAGATGTCCTTTTCTATGCGTTACTATGCCATAGTCGCAAAATCAAAGTTCTACGATATAAGTCCTTCGCCCTTACTAATTAGTCACAAATGACAGTAACGCCGCCATTTACACACTCTGTACCGTACTCTTCCAAATACATTTCTGAGTAGGCCTGAAAAGACTCATTCATTCATCCCCACTTAAGAAGGAGAATGTAAAAGGTCATACCATATTCTTTCATCTTCTCCTTATTTTCATCTTCTATTCAGATTTAACTAAACACTTCCAGCCCATCCTCTCAAATAAATGAGTGAAATAGTCAGTAACCTCACCTCGCTTCGCTTTCTATTCTATCCTCTACCATTTCCCAAGTTCCAATGACTACACGTAAGGTAACACTTGAAATAGGCAAAGGAAGTAGTTGATCGTTCAACTTTTACTCAGATTGAAAGGTCATTGAGGATATCAGACTAGATATTCTAAGCTGGTGAGTATGATTGTTCTCTCTGTGTGGAGGTTTATCGGATTGAGCACAAAAGAGTAGGACCACAATGAAAGATACGGGATAACCTATTGCCCTGTTTTTTTAAGAGGGGATAGGATATGAAAGAGGGACAATGAACGCAGGACTGTCACAAATTTATTTGGAAAGAAGGAGGAGGAGGAGGAGCACAAGAAGGTTCTAGGATAAAAGTTCAACTTCAACTCCAACTCCAACCACCAACCACTCCCCCTTCACATCCCTCATCCACCATCCACACCTCCTCCCTCAAGTCTTAAGTTTCAAAAGCCCCTTCAAGAAATCAAAACTATTACTATCACTCTGCAACTCCCAAACCTTGCCCGTCGGCCTATCCTCCCACCCCAACTCCTCCGCCAACAACAATCCCCAACTCCTCGTAATCCCCTTGATGCGCACCCTCGCTCCTCCCTGGGCCTCAATCGTCACAATCTGATCCATGTGCAACCAATTTCTGTAATACAAGCCTTCCAAATTCTTATCGAAGCCGGTCCGACAGAAGGATTTGTAGATGATCTCGAACTTGGTGAGGATGCGCGCGAGGAGTTTTTCCAGGGTGAAGCGCGGGAGGTGAGGCGGGAGGAGCGCGTTGAGAGAGGTGGTTGGGGCTGCGTTGGTGGTGTTGAGACCGATTCCTACGACGAGGTCGTAGGAGCCGGAGGAGTAGGAGGAGTTTACTAGGATGCCGCCGATTTTGATGTATTCTTTTTTTCCGGGCTTGGTGGGATCTTGTGCGTCTAGGGATGTGTTATTAGAGGAGTTTCTCGACGGGATATGGGACTTACAGATGTCGTTTGGCCATTTGAGTTTCACAGGTACGTCTCCATAACCCACATCGTAGGAATGAATACCTTCTACTATCGCAATTGCAGCGAGGTATTGTATGAAAACGACGGGAGCAGAGTTACTGAGTGACATTGGATGTTTCATGGTAACAGAAAATATCAATGATCCAGCTGGAGAAACCCATACATTAGAGCCACGACCTCGCCCGGCGACTTGGTTCGTTGCGGTCACTGTGAAGCCATCTGGGACATTGGAGAGTAGTTTTGGATTTCTGGATACGACTGTCAGTGTTATCAAAGGTCCATAGTTGCATATAACTTACTTCTCAAGCAAAGTGTTGGTACTGGTCACTACTTCTCCATAAAGTAATGTCTTCCCAAACTCTTCGGCCTTTCCTCCACTCTCCGACTGGAATTTTCTCAAATTTGCATAAAACGAGTGATGGTTGAAATATGGCGTCTCTTTGCTAGCAGGCCAATCTGATTCATGCGGAATGATATGTTTGGTAATCGCATCATAATCGACTATTCTGTCATTCACCACAACACCACCCTTTTTGTTAGCCACTGCTTGTTCCGGAGATGCATCAGACAGAGAAAGCGAATCAGAAAGAGCATTCAAGGACCATCGAGAGTCTTGCTTTTCAAAGTGAAATGTATCATTTTCTCCCTTGATATACTCTTCTCCATCTTCAATTGTGATGATGTCTTGCCACGAAGAGAGCAATTCTGGCACGAGAAAATGATGCTGGGATGAAAGATGTAGGCGAGAAAGGGATGGTACCGATGGTTTATCCTCACTAACGATCAAACCAAATTTCAGCAAAGATGCTTTGAGAAACGTGACTCTGAGTTCGTCATCCTCAGCCAAATCCTTCACAAGTTTAGGATAGTCAGGACCGTCGGAGTCTGGGTTGAGATTGACAGCAGCGAATCTGTTTAGGAAGTCAAAATGGTTTCTCGAAATCGAAATGGAGTGGGCTTACTCTGGATGTGGACCTGTTAAGATAGCACCACCTTCCCCAACCTTACAATAGACAATTGCTGCAGGGCCTTCTCCTCCTTCTACATCTGTAGGATCTACATATGTTGCCAGGGTTTCCACACCTTTATCCGCGAACTTCCCGGCATCAACGAAAAGACCACCTCCGTTGTAATAGGAGCGGAAAAGTTGTGGAATAACCCCGCTTTTGAATGCCTCTTTGTTAGGTTGTACCTTCACAGCTTTTGCGCCTGCTTCGCTTTGGTAGACGAAGCCTTTAAAAGCACATCCTCTCGAGATACCAGGAAAGAAGGCCAGCTCTCGAGGACCGATGACTTCCAATTTCTTATCACCAACCTCAAACTCGCATCGGGCAGAGCCGTAGTAGCCTCCCGCACAGAATCCGAGGTACGCTCCGCCTCGACGAACATATTGAGTGATACGACGATTGCCTTCACCATTCAGAGAACGGCAGTAGCCTAAATCGGCTCCGCCAGGAAAAACCAGAAGAGCGCAGGATGCTGTCCAAGGCTCCTTTAAAATGATGGTATCGGTCACGGGAATCACAGCATAATTCGGGGAGAGAAGACGTCGGAGGGTGTACAAACAGTGTCGGACAGACTCGGTTGTACTTCCATTGCCTGTGAGAGTATTTTAGTATATTTTTCGTAAAAGTGGTGTAAATGGTACCTGAATAGACCAAGACGTTCATCCGTCGTGGTGCCATGATAGCACGAATCACGATCCCACTCAAGCGAGCGTACCCGTACCCGTACCACAATTCCCAAACTCACTCGATGAGAATCTGGTAGACTACAACTCCAATCTCACAATGTCCAAACCGTTGAGTGATAGTGATTCTAAGAAGGCGGTCTCGGTCGCAGTGGCAGACGACGATGAACCAGATGACTGGTAAGTTCAGATAAAATGGGGAACAAATTAATGTGCTCAACGTTTTGACTTCCTCAGGGATAAGCGGATCTTCAGCACCGGTTGCGCAGGTGAGTTGAGCTGCAGTTGCAGTTATATTACCGAATCGGTCGGTCACCGGCCGTCCATCCAGTACTAATAAGTTATGTTTTTTGATCGTCTAGGCGAGAACACCAAGATGAACGATTGTTTCTACGAGAAGAAGGATTGGAGAGCTTGCAAGAACGAGGTAAGAGCCATCCGCACTGCCAACCCTCGTTGAGAGGTTTGAGTTTGCGCCTCTGCGTTTGCATCGGATTCGACACTTCGGAATCACGTGTATCCAGGGATTGAGCTTGAGCTGGAGACCTGCAATGGGAAAAAGAAATGTAGAAGTATAGATACTGACTAGTGTACCCATGTAGTTGGAGAACTTCCGGAAGTGTTGGAAGAAGCAAGAGAACGACAAGAGGACCGAGACCAAAGATGCTTGAGAGGAACTCGTGGCAAAGATTGTAGTATTATTGTAAAAAAGCAAAACAGTAAAAGCTCCTCGCAACCCTCAAACATCTTCGAATTGTAATTACATTATTCAATATATTTCTCGTGGTTGTGCCTTAATATCTTGTATTGAGGTCAGTGGTTGATTATCGGTGAACGTGACGTACATTCACACCCGACAACACCACAGCCCAAAATTTACAGGGCGCGTCCACCAAAGATAACACCCGCGTTCCTCTCAACTTCCTCAACGATATCGACCTCCAACCATGGCCACCATAATCCCCAGAGCTGTACGCCCTGCCCAAGCTTCAAAATGTTTGAGGTCATCAATCTCTTCTTCCTTTGCTCCCAGACAATTCTCCTCGACGCCCCGGTTCGCCGCCACCGTATCACCACCTGCCTATGTCCGTAAACCTGCCACCGTCAAACCAGCCGTAGCAAAACCCGCCGCCGCCGCCGCTGCTGCTGCTCCTCCTACTCCTCCTCCTGCTAAAGAGCCGGCGACAGTTGATCATTCGTCAATTAGTGACATGAGCAATGGCTTAGCGGACGAGCCATTACTTTTGGATGAGGGGTCAAGGCAGGTGGATTGGACTCGATCATTCCATGGTCTATCGGCACAGCCATTTTCCAAAGAAGCTGCAGAAGTATTGCTTGCTCCCATCACGCTAGACGATGTGGAGGTGAAACCAGACGGGATTATCTACCTACCGGAAATCAAGTATAGAAGGATATTAAACAGGGCTTTTGGACCGGGAGGTTGGGGTCTAGCACCAAGAGGAGAGACTATTGTTACACCCAAGAGCATCACCAGAGAATATGCGCTTGTTGCGCATGGCAGGTGAGCCATCTCTCTCCATTTACAAGCCCAAGCATGGCAGAAAGCTAATGTGGTCGCTCAAGACTGGTATCCGTTGCTCGCGGCGAACAAGATTATTTCTCCCCGGAAGGAATCCCCACCGCCACCGAAGGCTGCAAGTCCAATGCCATGATGCGATGCTGCAAAGATCTCGGCGTGGCAAGCGAGCTCTGGGATCCAAGATACATCCGGAAATTCATGAAGGAGAAGGCGAAGCAGGTCTGGGTCGAGCATCTCGTCACCAAGAAGAAGAAACAGATCTGGCTCAGGAAAGACGACGAGGTCAAATATCCCTTCAAGGAGTCTAAATATGGATCATAGAATATCCTCATCAGAAATTACTTGTACAAAATGATTGGACAGAAGATGTTTAGACGTTATAATTATATGGGAGGCATGTGTTGTATCCCAGCATGGCGTTACGGCGCTCGTCAAGATGCGTATTTACGTATTTAGAGTACGTGTATACTTTGAATATACAACTCAGGAGAAAACTAGGGAATCCAGAACAACTCAGCTACTTAAATTTTGCCACCATTGGTATTCAATTGTACCATTTGACACAGCCCAAATTTTCCGCATCTCTCGGCTGACCTAGCAATCCCCAGAAGGCGCAGGCTATCACTGTTCGGATGCGGTAAATTGAACTGGTAAATACTGTTTTCACCCCATTATTCTCTCTCCACTCTCGTCCCTTTCCGTTATTCCATATCTATCCCCGGCTACACTCAGATTTCCTTCTCGGTAACAGTCTTGACGGAAGTTCTTTGTTACTAAGAAAAGTGATTGCTTTACCCCCTCTTTCACATTATAGATGACAAGCTTTCATTCAATATAATAGACAGCGGCTCAGAGGTTGGCATTTCGAGTAGGCCATCGTCGGCAGATTCCTCTACCCAATTCCCTAAGGGAGGACAAATCGGGTATGCTGAAGTAGGCACGTTCTACTCCTGCAAACGTGAGTTTGCTTTAGCAGTTGACCATGTAAGATAGCTATAAGGAATAGCGCTGGGTACAGTATACCTTTGCGCACCACTATAACGATGCAACATTTGACCTAGATGTTTCCACAATTGATCTAGGAGAGGACAGAATGGGATGGGACTTGTCTGCTGATACCATGCTGTGCTTTCTAGTGTGGAATGGGGAATCGGCTGTGAACCATTGGATTGGTCTTTGGTATTTGGATCGCTGGTAGCTGGTGTTGGTATAAACTCTACTGTCGAAACTGGAACTCCCATTGCAGGAAAGGTCCTGGAGATGGTCCGCTTAGAGAATCTGTGTAGCCAAGGAAATGTTGATATTTCGAAAGTCTGCCATGGGGATTCCGTTTCTGACTTACGGTGAGGTGTATGGTTGTGGAATCTTTTTGGACCCTTTGTGGGTTTTGAGACTAGGTAGTAGTTCACGGCAATGAATTTCGTCTCGTCCTTGGTATTTCTGCGGGGTTGAGGGTGATCGTAGACGGCTACTTTTATATGGGGTTGAAACAGTGCTTGGGATTCAGAATAGAAGGTATTGCTTCGATTCCTGGAATTTGGAGGATAGCTCGAGAAAGATATTTGTATTGCGAGGTGTTCTTAGCTTCATAGAGGTTGTTGAGAGAAACAGTAGCACCTCTTTTAAACTACGCTCCAATCCCGCTACCTAATCGTGATATGACAAGGATGGCTTTTTAGAATACTTAATCTAACTCCTAACTCCTAACTCCTATTTGTCTAGCTAGAATTTTGGGGGTTTTATGTCTTTGAACCAAGATCCCGAGGAGAAGAAAAGGAAATCCAAAAGAAAATAACAAGAATAGTGGAATTCACAACCCAAGCAACAGCGAGCTTAACCATCACATCAAGAGGTTATAGATGACGTTCATGATGAGCTTCCGTCCTTGGCTCCCTTAGCTCCGGTTCCTTGCGTTGAGTACTTGAAGATGTATCTGCCAATAAGGGCTCCGAGCTTTTATCTGACGTATTCTTTTCTTTTCGGGGTCGAGAGGTCTAGTTGTTTTACATTTTGGACCACTTCGGACTTGTATACAGTATTGAATTCCGTGTGATGTGTCTAGTCATACTCATAACGATCTTGACACTAAAGGTATTACTCGCGATATCTTCTATGCCATCTGAAACTACTTGGAGGACCTGCTAGTCTTCTGGTACTCTTGTGATAGAGCCCCACAACCAGTTATATGTGTTACTCTGCGTATCGTGGCTGAATTGAATCGCACCACATCCCCTAAATTGCACTTGTAGGTTTTTGAAGGCACCAATACATGTCCTGTGTAAAGATCCTTGGAGAGTCGGGTTTTGAACTCTTAGCGAGTTACTATATCTAGGGACCTTACGGTAGATGTCAAAGGCCGTAAGTAATATTTTTATATAAAACCTCGATCCCAGGATATTCGACATAAGGATATCCCCGTTCACATCCCTAGAAATTTAGTCCCAATTTCTACCGGGTCCCGATTTTGTTTAGTATATTATTATCCTTACGTTTATCCTTGGGTCCTTAGGGTAGCCGAATTCGTACTCTACTCTACTCAAGTAAGGTTTTAACCCTACTCTACTCTACTCGCCAAGTACTCGAGTGCTACTCAAGTAGGTGAGTAGTTCTTTCGTACGCTAAGTATGAGTAAAATCCCAATATCTTCAGTAGAGAGTTAGGGCTTAGAGAGAAGAATTGCAAAACTCTGCGTATAGTACTTATCCTAGGTGCTTAAGTAACCTCGTATAAATGGCCTTGTCGTCGCATATGCCAAGGACATACCCATAAGGATATCCTCAATATATCATTAATATATCAGACCCCGACCATACCCTTGTATCGAACTTCTTCTGATTGTATTAACTCTATAAAAATTCAGGGCAATTAAAGTAATTCACCGAACTTTCCAGAACAATCAAGTTAATCAATCAAGAAAAGTATAATTACTTAGAGAGAGAATCGATGAAGTATTCTTGGACAACAGTAATCGATCCAAGTATTCGTTAGGTGAATTACTTGAATTTTTCCTAGGAAAGTGCAGTAATGGAGGGCCTATCATGAGCGAGAAGCTATGTATTAGTCAAGGTTAATTGAGTGTTCTTTGGTTTGGATATCCAATTGAACCAGCCAAACTCATGTTGCACGAAATATTATAATACTTCCAAATCACACAATTGCACTAGATTACCTGAGGGCAAGCTCGAATCTCATCATATTCAACTCGACTAAAGAATGAAAGGATCTTGAAGCAAAGCTCAAATGTGAAATCTGAATCCAATACATGCGATCTGTCTTCTGAGAGATCTAGATCTTTCTAAGTCAAGAAACCATGTAACTTCTTCTGCCAAGTATCGGGCCTAGTCTCAGGTATTTCATTCGCAATAACGAGATCAATCCCCGTATGCAAATCCACTTCCTCGCTAGGAATAAGCCACGGTTCATTCCGGTGCAAAAATCGGTGGATGGCGTAGATACTTAGGAACAACGGGATTCCAATGTAAGCAGTGAGGAAACTACTAGCGTTGAAGTTCTCTGGGAAGAAGACATCGAATCCGTTGATCAGAGTCAGGATTGTAAAGCTGACCATGGCGATCCATGCTCCCCATGGCTGGACCTTGGAGTGGTATGGGATTGCTTCCTTGGGGAGGTTCTGAACAGCGACGGCTTTCCGGAATCGAACGTAGACGATACAACAGCAGATCCAGGAGATAAAGCCGGATGTGTTCGTAAGGTTGACGAACCAGCCGAAGACTACTGATCCCGAGTTTGCGCAGTTGAGATAAGCGAGCGGGGAAAAGAGCGCTGAGGCTGCGACAGCCATGTATGGGACTCCCTTCTTGGTGCATTTCTTAAAGATGGGTGGGGCATTACCGGCGATAGCGAGAGAGTAGAGCGATCGGGACGACATGTAGAGGAAGGAGTTGCCTGAGGACCATGCGGAGGTAATGATAATCGCGTTAATAACACTTCCAAGCCCACTGATTCCTGCGTTTGTAATTCCGACGACAAAAGCGGAGCTCTTTGCGCCTACACCACCACTCGTTAGAGCTGCATCATTGGATGGGCATATAACACCAATAGCCAAAACTGATCCAATATAGAAGAATACTGGACATTGGCCCCCAAAGTTAGCATTTATTTTTGTCATACTGCATCATTTATCTGCATAGTTTGGCGCAATCGAGCTCGGCACAGGAGAAATACATACCCAATCGGTAGAAGTATCGTTTTGCTGCTTTTGGAAGGTTGCGTCTGGGAGACTTCATTTCACCACCGGTAACGACCAATAATTCGGGTGCAAATGTGAAAGGGAATGCCGACAGTACAATTACTTTCCAAAATGCGATGAATGTACCAGTTCCTCCACTCCTCAAGTATGTCGTTGTAGCTCCTGGGTCTTTCCAATAGTGAAATCCCAAAATACCGTCTTGATGTGCTGCGAAGTAGTTTAGTGAATGCGCGTTACTAATTTCAACAAGATTGTTGGGTAAACCTACGTCCACCACCCCAAAAGAGGATGAATGACAGAATAAGAAGTCCTATCATCATGAAGACCTTCAACGAGGCAAACCAAAACTCGGTCTCGCCATAGTATTGGACAGGCAGCGTGTTAAGACCAACGATGACGATGATAAAAATTGTGATCCAGACACCGATATTGACAGGTGAATCCCAATAATCAATGACGAGACCAGCAGCAGTAATCTCATAAGGGACTAATATGCCGAGAGAGTAGAAGTATAGCCAGCCCATGGCGAATCCGAGCGAGTTTGAAACGTTTCGATGGCCATAATATGACATTGTACCTCCAGAGACGGGGAGATATGCGGCGACTTCTGTGATTCCAGTAACGACAAAGAGCACTAAAATACTAAGAAGTATGTATGCCGTGAGGATGAAGGCCGGTCCTCCAGTCGCTAGAGTGTTTCCGCTGCCAACGAACAACCCAGTACCTGTGAACTTGATCAGTATTATAAAGAGAAGCCAGCCATATTTGACTTGGGATGACGAAGAGACACAACAATTGATTGCTCTGTATTGTTCACAATATCGTTACAACCGTGCGAGTCTTTCCGTCATAGCTCTGTTCTTTACAGTGTTGGGCTAGAAAATTATGGAAATCAAGACTTACCAATAGTGCCACCAAGAGCAATCATTTGAGCATGTCGGGCCTTCAGACCTCTTTTGGTGGTCTCGATTTCGCCGACTTCAACTCCACTTTCATCACTGTGGGAGTTCTCCTTGTCATGTAGGTACTGTGGTGACGACTTCTCGTCAACCACAGCTACTTGTTCGTCGTTCTTCATGATGAGACGCGTGAAGAGCCTAGCTCAATGTGGAGAAACAAATTGGTGATAGAGACAGAAAATATGGGAGAGTAAGCTACTTATAAGGAACCTACAAGTATGACGATAAGGAAAGGTCTAAAAGCGACCCCCCTGTTTCTCCGATGCAATTGGCGTTGGGTTTGGCACTCGAAGACGATGATCGCTAAAAGCGGCAGGAAATAACTCTCCTCACTTATTCTTATCTCTCTCCCAGTGGTTAAGAAAAGGGGCTGGAGTTCCTTCTCTTTATTCCAGCGCGAGTGAATTGGAAATATTCATTTAATATCGATTCAAATAAATAGAATAGTGACTTTACTTGTCCTAGGATTCCTAAGGATCTTTTCGATTACCCTGGTCAAGTAGAATAATAAAGCAGTTGGTTACTCAAATAGATCTGATTTTCTGCTACTTTCCTGGGCCACTGGGGGTCTGTGAAGCTAGAATTGTTGATGAATATTTCACATTGTCTTATGTGTAACCATTCTAAGTAAATAGTACAAACTGTACGAAAAGCGTGTAGTGGAACGCGAGACCTATTTCCGTACTGCTGCTTTTATCGAGATTTTGATTCTTCGATGGCTTCATGCAGTGTAAACTCCACTGTCACCATTTGTACATGCCAAGAGCTGTATCTCCATCTGCCATGAGTTCTGCCCGAGAAAGCACCCTGGAAAACCTTGGTGAGACCTTGAAGTGACAGATCTTGGCCTCTTGGTTCGACCGAGATACCAAGAGAGAGGGGGACGACACAATCTTGCGGTTAACAATCTATCATCCCACTCAAACAAAACAAAACGACTGTAACGATATCGGGCCCAATGTTAAGGCGATAGCAATCTTTTTTACATGTATGCAGTTACCACCAAAAGCAGTCTATGTTAGAAAGCAGACGTGTAGTTGTACAAAACAGGCAAACAAAACAGCCAGGAGATACTCCGTAATATTACCCCATACTTTCAGGGTTCACTTGTCCCCATGGGTAAGCCTGCCGTCAGATGTGGGCACCTGGATCTGGGAATTCCCCACTCTTAGTTCGGTATCCTAGGGCAGCCTTTTTTATATATAACGTAAACAAGAAGTGTAAGAAACCAGTGGGAGTCCGAGGGTGAACATCCAGATGACGATCAAGCTCCTAGAGAATAAGCCTCTGAAGACTTAAGACCAAGCCTTCAACGGCTGAGATCTCACTATCTGGGCTGACGCCTCTATCTCTGCTCTGGGGCGGAGAGTCCGAAGCACGACGCCTCTTGAATAAACTCGGCGATTTTATCTTAGAGCAAGGGTTCCGGGAACGTAAATTTATCTCCTTCTCCCCTGATAAGAGAGGCGTGAAGGTTAAAGTGGAACTTGGTCGCAACAAACACACTTACTATCTTGATACCCAGATACTACTGCAAAGCGAACCTGAAGGAGTTGATGGACCCAAAGAAGACATGTAAACGTCGAGATCTGGAAATGGGCGAAGAAAATTACCTCCACTGGTGCCTCCGTAAAGGGTGAAGAAAATTCGCTTAACTTTTTTCTCACCCGTGATGGAACGGGACCCCCTGTAAACCACGTGATGATAGCGAATTATCGTGAACCTCGGAACTGCATCACTATCAAGGTATTGACAGCATCTCAGCTCTATATTCAACCCAACCCGTACCATGGCAGATCGTGGTAACAGAGAACAAAGGCATGATCGGGACCGTCGAGACTCAAGGTCACAATCACCTCGACGACATCACTCTTCCTCCCATCGACCTAGATCCCCGCACCGACACCATCACCGCAAACGCGATGCTGTCCCTGCCAAAGACCTTCCATTCAATACTCGTCCGCTGACCAAGCGCGATTTCAAGAACTTTAGGCCAATGTTTGCTCTATATCTTGATATTCAGAAAGGCAAAATCCTGGAAGAAATGGACGAGGTCGAAACACAAGGAAGATGGAAAAGCTTCATTGGAAAATGGTAAGCGCAACGGGCATTCAGAATCCCATGAAAAACACCAATTTCCGAAAACACCAGCTAACATATCTGAGGAATCGTGGAGAGCTTGCAGAAGGATGGTATGATCCAGAAACTCTTCAAAAAGCGACACAAAGTACACAAGCGGCTGAAGTCACGGATGACAATCACAGACCTGAACCAAGTACGACAGTGAGCAGGGAGATGGAGGAGAGACACAGAAACCCACCGCCTGGGCACGACAGAAACACGAAAGACGACAGCGGAAGTGATAGTGATGACTCCATTGGACCGGCACTACCAGGACAAGAAGGAAGATCAAGAGGTAGGATGGGACCTAGTATTCCGAATATGCAAGACCTGGACATCAAGAGAGGTAAGAAGCCTGGCCCTTGTTCATTGTCGTCTTTCCAAACTATACCTCGAATAGTTTCCAAACAAGCGGAGTAGTTGTTTGAGAAGGACTAGAAGGATTCAGCATCGCAGTACGGATTCTTCCAAACCTTCTCGAACAATCTATTTTTCGCTGAACATCTGTACAATTGTTGAAATATATTCAACATTCGTAGCTCACCTTCGAAAGGTCATAAAGGGACTAATATCTTCTTTAGAAATGGATTCAGAAGATGCTCATGCAAGAAGAGAGGATATGATATTCGCACGGAAAAGCGATCGAAAAGAACAAAAGGCCGCTCTGGACGAACTGGTACCTCGAGCAGAAGCTGGAACACGAGAACGTCAACTTGAGAAGGAGAAAGAGGTAAATGAAAAAATGAAATCATTTCGAGAAAAGTCACCCGGCGCCGCCGAAGTTCCAGATTCTGAGCTGATGGGTGGAGGTGATGGAATTGAGACATTTAAGAAAACAAAACAAGAGTTTGAGCGCAAAAAGAATGAGAGGGAGTTGAGAAGAGAAGAAATACTAAGAGCAAGAATGGCAGAAAGAGAAGAAAGATTGCAAGAATATCGGACGAAGGAAGAGGGTACAATGGAAATGCTGAAAGCTTTGGCTAAACAGAGATTTGGATAATGGAGATGGATATTTTTCGACCTAGGTTAATTGCGCATGCGGCGCCTTGTAGCAGAAAGTGCGATAATGAATGGGTATCTCTAATCATCGCAATTTTTCCAGCATAACGTAAGTCTCGAATGATGAAAGTGCTTATCCCAATGATCTCTGTGATTCAAATCATTCGTTTAATCGTTTCAATTATCCCACTTGATTCGGTTAAATTGTTCAGATCATGCTAAATCATTCGGTTAATTGGTTTTCCTGTATTCTCTTCATTGCATGACTATGCTAACTAGGACACAACCTAGGTATTCAGTGCATACAATGAATGAATTGAGCGTCACTTTTCGTAACGATATACTATAGCAAGAGCTCAAAGTTTATAATCGAGTTCGACAGGTACTTTACTTGATTGGGATCGCGGTCCTCGTTTTGTCCTGTGCTCACACTTGCTTTGAAAATTATCTCCCCTTTATTAGTATAGCAAAGGGATATTCTCAAGCATTAATACAAGTAATATTTGTTTACTTCTTATATATACAGGATTGGAGGAAGCTCCACTACCAAGACCATTCATCATAGGTTTATTGAAGTCACCTCTGGCCAATCAATTGAGGGTAAAGCCTCCTCTAACAAAGACGACCCATTCTTTCCCAGAACCATATCGAAGAAAGCCGTCGTGAAAGAAGTCTGAAAATCTCGCATTCGAAATTTCTCGGCTGTGCCAACCAAAGTGGTATTCCAATCCAGTAACTCAGCCCAAAAGCCAACATCACAGAAATCCAAATGACGACTGCCCTTAACTCTCAACTGTGCCCACCAAGAAGTCTGGTTTCCCATGAAGGAGGTAAAACTCTGTCCATAAACTGTGTCGTCGAATCTGGTTTCGCCATCTCGGAAAATGAGGAATGGTTTCTTGACATCGACAGTCTCGCCAAAAAGAGTGTCAATGAATGCACCGTCGCCGTTCAACCCAGCGATGATAGAGTCATGTTGAGAGACTACATGTGTCCCGACACTCCCTCCCATGGAAAACCCAAAATGCATGTAGGTTGACGTGTTGAAAGGAGCCTGCAAGCTTTGTACGAGGGGTGGAAACAACTCAAGCAAAGCGTCGAAATCGGATTTCCTATTTCGGTTGACTTTAAAAAGTACAGTTTCATCGGCCCACTCGTCGTTGATTGGTATTCCATACTGGCCATCTGTCCCAACTTCGAACCCGTCCGGAACTTTCAAGTATGGTATTTCCCCTGGGTGATCAATACACAAGACTGTGTATCCTTGAGAGACTAAATCCGAAGCTGTTATGGTACTGGTTGAGCAAGGCTGGCCTGCCCCAGGAGAAAGCAACAGCGTTGGGAATTCATTCGTCCCGACTGAACCAGCCAAGAAAGGGGGCTTCCATTGAGCATGAGTCCATAGATTTTGCAATTGTGATCCGGGGATTTCCCAACCCTCTTCTATTAATCGAGCAAGCTCCGTGTCCATATACTCTAGCGAGGTTTCGGCGGTTGGCGCTTGTCCAGTTGGATATAAGATAGTAAGCACGATGTATTTACCAGTATTATTTGATCCAATGGATGCTGTAGGGTCGTCTATAGTGGTATGATTGAAAACATGTTGCGTTTTGCCAACGAAGTATTCCCCGGTAGGCTCAGGGAGAAATACTTTGTTGTTCGCTGCAGCGGCGATCGCGATAAAGATTGATACAATTATTGACAGCATCATCAATGACAAGATCTTTCAGGATGAGCCCAATGGGTGATCTCATGGGCCTACGAGGCTCTTTTTGTCATCGAGTGAGATTCCACCTACCATAATAGGTAAGTGGGGGTCGTGGGTCGCCAATTTTTGCTTACATGGAAGAATTATTGTACTCAATATAAACCACTTCCCATAAGTCCTACAATAATCCTAGCACCTTGATTTTGAGTTGTGGGGCTCTTTTGTCTTTTTCACGTGTTTTACCGGGAGTCAACTTGAAAGAGCTGTAAGGAGTAAATACCTGATTTATTTGGAATAATCACTTTCAACCCTGTTTTTCGAGCGATTCTGTGCCTCAACATCTTGTGGATTAAGGTTTGCTGGGCTCTTGGCTATGTACGCGGACAACTTTTTCGGCAGCCAAATACGGTCTTTATTGTATGCCAAAGCATGAATCGCGAGCCACAATCTCGTTCGGAAAACAGAGCCTAGATCCTTCTCCAAAGATAGAAGTTGGAACACCATGGGATGTGTTTACTGTGACTTTTGTGCTTACTGCGTATTTTTTCTATTTATTTGAACAAGAGATTTGCCTATTGACAGTCAACTGCCAGTATATTTTTTACCTGTTTTAGTAACACAGAAAAGCCAATAATACTTCATTTTTCTAGCAAACGAAAGAGCTAGATCAACAAGTATTCTACTTTGTTTTTGTGATTCCAGAACGTCAAATACGCTGGCTATCAAGTATCCAATATTGCTCAACTCTGATTATTTGGGCGACACTGTTTCCCGCAGAATGGTCAGAAATTCGCAATACAGTAATATCTGAGGTAAGAGACGTGGTTTTTACTCCATACACACTTCTCTTTAAATGTCATTATCTAAAGCGACGTACAAATAAGATGCTTGTATAGAATTTGAAATGATTGTCCGCCTGATTTTAACTGGCCTAGGTATAATAATACGATTGTTTTATTTGTGTACGGAGTAATAGCCAGAAATTTATAAGTACCCACTATTAACTGTCTTGGATCCTGCTCGCTTATTGGTCAGAAAATCCTCTGGAATTCCAGAGACCAATCAATGGACATTCCATTACAGTATAAAGGTGCCCTGGAATTATGCCAGGTGGAATGGAATAGAATAATTCCATGGAATCTACGATCGTTGTTTTGAGCAGCATGGGTATTTGCCGCCACTTCTCATGCTGGCACCGAGAACCAACACTGAACCAACAGTCTCCACTATCCGCGCTGCTCTTATTTCAACAACATCTCATCAAGCTTGATTCATTGCTTTCCTACTCTCCGAGCGGTTGATATTCTATTTTGCGCTATTCTATGTCCACGTTATCCGAGAAACTACGAAGGAATGAGACAGATCAAGATGTCGACGAGGTCCTTGATGACGCCCCTTTAGAACAATTGTACGCGCGAAACTGGACCCATGATGCCGAAGATTATGAGGAATATCGACCTGGCGGATTCCATCCGGTTCATATCGGTGACCGCTTTGGGACTGCGGGGCAATTTCGTGTCATCCACAAGCTTGGAAGAGGCGGCCTGGCGACAGTCTGGCTTTGTCGGGATGGGAAAGCGCAAAGATATGTCGCATTGAAGATAATTCTTGCAGACGAGTCCCGTGAAGACTCTCCTGAGCTCGCGTTGGTAAAGAGAAAGCTGGATTATGGAGAAGCTGGTGGCGAGTTTATTGCTGTCCCGCATGAACATTTTTGGCACCATGGGCCTAATGGTAGGCATCTATGTCTAGTTCTTCCAGTGCTTGGGCCAAGAGTCACCGCTGTGTGGAATAGTGGCATACGGGCAGTATTCGCCCCAGAGGAACAAGTGCGAGTCTCTCAGGACGTTGCTTTGCAGGTCGCCCTTGGTTGCGATTCCTACACAAGAACGGAATTTGCCACGGTGGTGAGTCACTGAATAAAAAAAGCTGTGTAGATGTACTAACACCGAGCGTAGATTTTTGGCCATCTAACATTCTTTTCAGACTTATAGGTTTCGATGAGTTAAGCGAAGATGAGTTGATGAAACACTTGGAGAGCCAAACAAGGATCCTCTCATGACCATTTCTGGAAAGAGTCCAGCACCTTCCGGACCTGAATATTTAGTCGAAGGTCTAAGCCTAGACCGAATGAACTCTCAATTTATATCGGAACAAATTTCTATCATTGACTTTGGCGAATCATGTGATATACATAGTCCGCCCGAAGAACTCGGAATCGCAGGATCCTTCCGCTCCCCTGAGCTTCTCTTCGACAACGCTATTGGTATCGGATGCGATTTATGGGCTCTTGCGTGTACGATCTACGAAGTTCGTACCGGCGTATCTCTTTTTGAAAATTTCATGGACGATGACGACGAGGTAATTATGGAAATGGTGCCGCTGCTCGGAAAACTACCCGAACTTTGGTGGAGCTCATGGGAAGCACGCGGGCAGTGGTTTGAGGAGGACGGAACACCGCTGCTTAATCCCAATACTGGACACCCGATAATGTTGATGGGCACTCTTAAGGACTTTCTCTGGGAACTCTCTATCTGACGACAACCCCATGCGGAGTAAAAAAGGTGGTTACATTCTGCCGCTAGAAGAAAGTAAAGATTTAGCGAATGTTTTAAGGGGTCTTTTGAAATACGCGCCGAAGGAAAAATTGACTGTTGAGGCTGCATTGAATTATCCTTGGTTTAAAAGAATGGGGTGATCTGGAAGTGTTGTGTTATTGTTGACGTGGCCACCATCTCAACGAATATCCTTGTCTACAATTACAAACATTCGCCAACGCCGTAGTCGGGATATGAGTGATAATGTGGCGGCCCTCAATTCTATGAAAGCCTTCAGTAGCCCTCAAAATTTGCAGTGAAGAGCTTCCAACATGAACATCTCAGCCCAACAGATTTGTCGGGCTAAGTTGTGTTCCTCTCCGTCGTATTCTCGCTTGTAATGCTCATAGTATAAAACCCAGCGTTACGAATACACTTAATGTCTTTTGGGTGGTAAAAGTATAAAAGAAGCTCATTAACCTCTGTAGGGGATTTGCTGGCTATCTCAGATTATACTTGGCTTTGTCAATCCGTGCTTCTATTCAATATGTAGCGTATGACTTCTCCGCCTTTCCATGCTCTTCACGAAACATAACAAATATCTCAATCAATTGGAGTCGTCATCCCGAATATTCAGTATAAACATAATTCTTTAGTCCAACCTCCCTGATCAGTCAAGGAGATTTCTCCTAAAATTTGGCAGGGCCTATTTCTTCCAACCTTTGGGGCTCGAGTCGACTGACGCTATTATCTCGATATCTGTATACTTCAGCTACAAACCTACCAGGTGAATTTATCTGGCGGTTTCTTCTTTTCCATCATCAGTATCATACTTTACAAAAAACCTTCACCTGACTTCCATATAACTCGGAGAGTTGTTTACTTTATCCATGTTTAGAAGGACTACGTCCAGTGGCTGCCAAGAAAGGAACACTACCCCCATATGAGATTCACCCGTTCACAGGGAAATCGACTGTCGCATTCTCAAATCAGCGGGATTAATCATCTGCGTCAAAAAGTCCCACCGAAGCTGCCTCATTCATTTTGTCCTTGAGCCTCCCCAACATAACACCACTTTTATATCTCAAACAACAAAACACATCACATAGTCGACACCAAGTCTTATTTTGTTCATTTCAATCATTTTTGAAACCATGGCACCGTCCCCTAAAAAAGGAGAAAAGCCCGCCACTGAACTCTCACCACCTCTACCCACCCCCAAAGACAACCCAGCAAAGGCAATACACCAAGACATCAAGACCGCCCTAATAGCACTAGGAGCACGCGAAGGTAACCTTTCCCATCCTTCCCATCCTCAATAAAACTCGCCAGCACTCCTAACACATGCCCAAGAATATGCGCAATTTATCGCCGACCAAGTCGTCCCAGGGGGTGAAACCTACCTCGAAGACGTGTATATCAGAACCGTGCACAACGAAAACGAGAGCGAGACGACGGAGATGAGAATTAGAGCTGTCAATTATAATCCGGCTAGCAGGACGTTTTACTTTTTTGTGGGGTGTTTTTTTGTGGTTGTTGCTTCTTTTTTTGTGGCGGCTTTTGTTAAGGCTTTGTGTGTGTTGCGTTCTTAGAGGGGATGCAAGTCCTGTTGTTCGCTTACTGTAAAGCGCGAGGTAATTCATTTCCATAATTTTATGAGCTACAGAGTTACTTACTTCGGTCTTGCAGAAAAGAATCAATTCTTTCTACACCATGTTCCAGGAGATGATTCCGAAATTCGGGTATTGGGAAAGATACTCTACTACCGCGCAAGGCAGTAGTTTTGGGAAGATGGATCTAGACTGATATCAGCAATTTTCTGCTAATCTATAACTACATCTTTCCACTCGTTTGGATTTTCTCTTCAGCATCGATGGATTCTAAATAATTGATTGCACCGCAATCGACTAGAAAACACCCCCTGATTTATTGTAAATAACCAATGACTTATATCAGAATCACCCCCAAGTAAGAAATTTGATCGTGACTGAAATATCCCTTGGAATCATATCCCTCAAAAAGACTCGAAAAGATAGGTATAGTAAACACTTATTATTTCTACACTTATCTACACTTATCTACACTTATCTCCTGGTAAACGAAAGCTGTCGCTTGAACCGTAAATCACTAATACTAGAAGTCTTTTATTTACCTTAGTACTTGTAGAAGCCTTATAATACCACACTTATAACTAGCTAGTAATTTTATCTAGTTATTAACGTTTTTAGAAGAGTTTTATTCTAAGAAAGATAAATACAAAGTAATGACTATGTCTCTTGTAATAGTTAGGGTATAAAAGGACCCTAGCCTAGAACGAACGTACTTATAATCAGGACTTTTCCCTACTATTATATTACTTTTAGCTATAAGTAGAATGAGAACATAATAGTTTTACTCGTGAGGTAGTTTCTAAATTCCGAATAGAACTACTTCTTTGTTCAAGGGTATTAATTTCGAGTGTATTTCAGTTGGATGTAATAACGTAGGGAGTATAATAGTGGCTTTTGATAAACCAGAAGGCCGTTCAGTCAATTGCCGATAAGTTGTATTACACACAACAAATTCGAAGACACTTTCCCGTGACCATCTCGCTTCCCCTTTTCAACCTCTCCCGGACCCCGATGGGGACCCCCGAGAACACTTCAGGAACCCGACGGTGTATGCTGTTAATACCAAAACCCTCTAACTCAGAAACAACTGTAAGATATCTCTCTATATTCATGATCCATATTTTGCCTACTGGATTTGAAGTCAAACCAGGTAAACCGACAGATCCTGATTTATACCGGGGGATATGTTTATTGACCCGTACCTCGAAGCCGACGACAGCTATATCTTTCTTCGGTGTCCGAATCCCTTACAGTGCTCTAGAATCATATGGTTTGAAGATGAATTCTGAGCGACGATAGGTGGATAAGCCGAGGAGATGAGTATATTTACGCAGTTCCAGGCTTTTTCCTACTTTCGCTTACTTTACTCCGCATACCTACCTAGCTCAGAATTACAAAAACTTTATATTTGATATTTCATCTTCATCTTCCTGCTTTTTCTTCACAAGAAAGTCAGCCATGGATTCAACCCCACCCATCAACGACCACCCCTCCCCTCTCAACGAAGCACCCCGCATCTATCTCAAGATACCCACCGTTCCGCTGCCGACACCCTAGAGAAACCCCACGATACACTAATGCGCCTCTTCAACACACTACGCAAACCAGAAACCCCTACTGCTCGCTTCTAAACACCAATCCAATCCGTAGGCAATGATAGTCCCCCTCATCCGTGTAGGCTGTCTTCCAAGCACTTTGCTCCTCCCAAAGACCCCTTGACATCGAGACGCTCGCTAAATCCTCCGCCGCTGATCCAGTGCTCGTTGGTCGGATGCTGAGATATCTAGCATCCAATCGCCTTGTGAAGGAGGAAAGTAAAGATACTTTCGCCTACAACAACACCACGCAAGCACTCGCAGACCCCAATATCCACGGGGCTGTGCATTACATGTACGTCCAGCTACCACGCCTTCCAATCACGAGATTCTCAAAAGCCTCCAGCTGAAAAACAAAGCTTCAACATCAGCATACCAGCCTACCAAGCCCTCCCAGAGCACCTCAAGTCAACAAACTACCAAAGCGATACCAACGGCAAATACGCATGGCACTCAGGATCCCACACCGACCTCGATTTCTTCACGTGGATAAAGGCACACCCACGCGAACGCACCTTCTTCAAAACCTCATGAGCGTCCCACGGGAAGGTGACTAGCTAGACGTCCCGCCCCTCTCCGACAACACCAGCCCACTCGAGGAAGGAAGAGCTTTTTTCGTGGATGTAGGAGGGAATGTTGGATACCAATACGCACGATTGACGTCTAGATATCCCGCTCTTTCCACTCGGATCATCGTACAGGATTTGCAGGAAGTGATGGACTCCACCTCGCCCATACCAGGTATCGAGTTCAAGGCCAATGATTTCTTCCAGCCTCAATTTATCACCGGTATCCCTCCCTCTCGCAATCTGTTTGTAAAAAGCTGACCGACAACTAGGAGCCAAATACCACTATCTCCGTAGGGTCCTCCAAGACTGGGACGACGAGAAGGTGGCAGAAATCCTAGGAAATCTACGAGGGGCGATGCGTCCCGATTCGAGGATTCTGATAGATGACTTGGTTTTGCCTACTAGCAGTGTTCACTGGTGGCAGGCACATATGGATTTCCATATGTTGACCATGCTAGGAGGGCGGGTTCGAAATGTTGAGCAGTGGACTGGGCTTATTAAGCGTGCTGGGCTGGGGGTGGAGGGGGTTCGGACGTATATGCCGACTATGCGGCATTCTCTTATTATTGTGTCTGGGAAGTAAAGTAAGGGTGAGAGAGGATCTAGATAACTTACTAGAGGCCTACTAAATTCTTCGAAGCATAACGAAACGCTTCTTTAGACTTGGTTCCTTCGGGACGTTGAAGTGTTGACATAATTCGAGTAACGCATGCATGAAAGAAGAAAAAGATAAAACACCTTCAGATGCAATTACAGTACTCTAACGCCAAATCCAAACAAGGATGCTACTCCAAAAGTATGCTACTCCAAGAACATGTTTGTTTACCCAAAAGCGAGCTCTCAGTCCTGCCAACTCTCCCCCAACCACTCCACCTTCTCCTTTTCGATTTTCAAGATCAATTCGCCCAACATACCATTTGCCCATCCAAACCAAGCTCTAGTCCATTCCGCCGCATTCCATGCGCTAACACTTTCATGAATAACTCCTGTTCCTGCAGTATTCTCCAAAACCATAGCCAACTGTTCTCTAGCCTCAACCTTCAACGTTTTCTCGTCCAACCCCATCGAGAAGGCCGTGATAGCTCTTACAATCGCCGCCATCGGCCACCCCCGCCCAGGACCAAGATGTGGCCCTCCTATAGCGGATAATCCTGGTCCTCTAGACCAGTACGGATTATTTGGACTTGTTACAAATTTCCTCGTGTTGCTGTAGATTTTCGCATAATCTCTCTTTGGATCTCCCTTTGCAGGTTCCGGAAGTGGAAAGTCGCTTTGAGCATAATCAAATAGGGGCATGGAGAGCAGGGAGGGAACATTAGCATCATCCATGAGATTGGCACCTCCATAGCCATCAATTTCATAGGCAAAGATCTCGCCAAAGTCTCGATGGTGGACAATGGCATCTCGATCGATCCCTTTTCGAATTCCGAGAGCTAAATTACGCATTGCTTTGGTTTGAATTTTCGCTTCTGCGCCTTCGAGAGCTTCCATTATTAAAGAAGCTTTCTCCAGATACTTGGCGAACATCATATTGGCTGGAACTAGCAGTTGATATATGGTTGCGTCGTCTGACGGTCTAAAAGCTGTTCTAACCATACCATTGCCTTTCGTAGGATTGCCGAGACCGTCATTGGTCAGTGTTTCTGAGCCCCTGAGGAAAGTCAATTTACTTTTCTGGGATATTGTGAACTTGAAAAAAGAGTCAAAGAGTTTGCGAGGAGGAAAAGATGGAGCAGCAATTATCAGTCCTCATGACCCCACCAAACACTCTTTGGAGATTTTTAAATTGGAAAGAAGATGCTGTCTCTTTGGGCATCAAATGAGGGACGTACCTGTTGGTCCAGCCCGTGAAAGTCCAGGCAGATTTCTCGACTTTTCCATTCTCTGCGTAAGTGCCCAACCGCATTGCGCCAGCAGCATCAACAGCTGACTTCACAGCTTTAATCCAGTTGTACTTTTGAAAGAACTTGATGTCCTTAGTACGTTCATAGTAGGCAGTGGATATTTGCAAGAACGAGGCAAGTGAATCAAGCTCCCATTTACAGTCAAATACCAATTCTGGATCATATGGCGGCTGTGGGTTGTTCTGGGAATAAGCTCCGTTCTTGGTGGGAGCTACCCCCGACTCTATAGGAGGCTGAAAGCTGTGACAATAAGGCGATATTATGATATATCTCGCATGGCTGTTTATCATTCCCCTCCATAGACTAGCCAAGGAGTTTGGGTCTGTCGAAGCCTCCAGGAGGGAGACATAAGAGTATATCTGAGAGGCGCTATCTCTCAGCCACATTGCATCGATGTCTCCAGTGATGACGAAAGCTAACTCTTCGTCGGTTGATGTCATGTTTTTGGTGACTGGGTCTTCAATTGCAGCGAATCCACGCCATTTGATCGTCGTATCCAAAGTATTGGGAAAGCTGTTCTCAAAAAGTCGGTAAAGGTCTGGGTCCTTGATCACGCCTTTCATCCGCTGGAGAAGGTCTTCAAGAGATGGCAAATTGAAAGTTCGACAACCTGGTTCTGGACGAGAATAGGGAAATTTTCGTTTTCCTTCTGACAAAGGAGACTGTTTTTGTTGCTGTAATGCCTCGTAGGATATGCAATCTTCCTTTCGAGCGATCGTTGGAATTGGCTTTGGCGGTTCTCCAGCCGCATTTGGCAATGGGATTGCCTGCTGTGAAGTGACATACTTCCCAGCAGAAACCTCGCCATATTCGACTTTTCCGATGTGAGAAGTCGGGGACGGCCACGTGACAGATGCCGGGCTTTGATACCAGCTACCAAGGAGAAAAAGTGTGATGCAGACAGCCGCGACAGCATATCTCGCGCGTCGTGGTGCCATGATGTAGAAGGAGATCAAAGCAACATATTCGTGGGAATGCACGCCAAAAAAAAGTGACCAAGAAAGGGAAGTGGTAGATGGGTTGGATTGGGTTGGATTGAATGTTTTGCGTGTACTTGTAGAGTACAGGAAACAACGCAGAGGACAGGCGGGAGGTTGAGTTTCCCTGGGAATGTGGAAGGTGGGAAGGGATGGGGATGGGGATGGTGAAGGTGAAGGTGGCACTTTCGATACCTTGGCGGTTACAAAAAAGTAGGGAAGCTGGACTGGAGTAGCTGTTGGCATATTAACCTTTAACCTTAGCCTTAACTTACGAGTCGTTCGAGTCCGTACCAGTACCTGACCGCGAAGTCTATCATTCGACTGGTCACTGCAGTCCAGTGCAGGAAATACTTGTACTCGTACTCCAGTACGAAGTACTGGTTAGGGTTAGGGTTAGGGTTACTGGTTAAGAGTTCTCCTGCAAATACCCAATACCGTCTACATGATGAAAAACCTGTCCGTCGGCACATCCATGATGGTTGACGAGACTCCAAATCGCTTCCCCACCGGTTAGATTGTTGCGCGGCAGAATTCCCATCAATTGCAAGCGCGGGGCCCAATTGCGAAGGTCCATCAGTGCGAGTGCGAGTGCGGAAGTACGGACCGCCTTGAAGGTCCTCCTGAAGCTATTCAGAGCTCTGGCTCTAGCTCAAAACCCTGGGGCCGGCCGATACAAGTATGGTTGGTATGAAGTATGAGGAATGACCTAATGGCCGAGACTGCGATGGTGTCAGCAACACACCAGGGGACATCAACATACCATACCGCAGAGACAATTGACATAGTTCGAGAGGGCGCGCAGGAGAAGTCGGGACAAAGTCAAAGCCATTGAAGCTGGCCTGCAGGTGGGATGTCTCCTCCCCCCTCTCCATCCCCACCTTTGGGCAAACATATTCCAGGCACGTACGAGTACAGCCTTTTCCCCAGTGCTCGAGTACGAAAACGACCAAAGCCGCCATGCATATGATCGCAAAGTCATGGACCATTCGACTTGGAGTTCTCGTTCCCTCGTCCAACACTGCTCTGGAACCCCTCACCCACGCCATTCTCGATTCCATCAACGCCCATCTTGCCAAATCTCCCAATCCAGTCAAAGTCAAAGTTACAGCACATTTCGCCCGATTCCCCGTAACCACAATATCCCTAGACCCAAATGCGCTTTCTCAATTCGATCTGCCACCCATCATCGCCGCCGCTAAACTTTTAGCACATGCGAAGGTCGATGTGATAGGCTGGAGTGGCACATCTGCCGGTTGGTTGGGGTTTGAAAGGGATGAGGAATTGTGCAAGGAGATTGAAAAGGAGACGGGGATAAAAGCTACAAGCAGTGTGGTCGCGTTGAACAAGGCGCTTGAGATTTGGGGCCTTAAGAAATTGGGATTGATAACGCCATATACGGATGATGTCCAAGCAAAGATTATAAAGAACTACGAGCGGATAGGCGTCCAAATTGGTGCTGCAGAAAAGCATCTGGAGATCAAGGAGAATACAGACATTGCCCAGGTTTCAGAAGCTGTTCTCGACAGCTGTGTTGAAGAAATCAAGTCTGCGAATGAAGTCGAAGCACTCACGACTTTCTGCACGAATCTTGTGGCAGCGCAGAGAGCACCTTTCTGGGAAGAGAAACACGGAGTTCCAGTATTCGATACCGTTACAACTGTTATTTGGGATATGCTACGGATGTGTCAATTGGAGAGCAGGATAAAAGGTGCAGAAGGATGGGGTATGATCTTCGAAAAATAAGAAACCCCCCTTTTACTGTCCCCAAACTGGTGCTTTCAAGCCATGCATGCCTGCGTATCCAGTCTCTCCAAATGCTACTTCACTCTCTTTCCATCTCCTCAATACCTCGTCCTTTGTCTCATTGGAGATACTGTGGACTTCGACACCAAGTGGTCTGCAAGTATCCAGCATCCTCTTCTGAGCATCCTCTCCCCAGCCATAGACCGAAAGGTCTCCCCCTGTAATCAATTGTTAGCTACTTTTGTTTTGTTCTACGGAATCCACCAGTCTCGGGGGGTAGCTGTCTATTTCATTACTTCAAATGCACTCAGACAATCGTGGCCGTTGCCCAACCTCTGGACGATATAAGAAACATAATTTCTTATAACCTCTGGTACCCCCAAGCATTTCTTTAAGAATATCGATATTTTTGATCAAACGTGGTAAACAAAGCGCGGGAATCTTACCTGGACAAACAGAAAGAGCACAGAGGAGATCAGTTTCCGCAAAGAAGGAGAAGTAATCGCCGGGCTTCGCTGGGGATGGGCTCCTGTTCCTGAATCAGCTTCACGTGAGTTAAGACATTGATGAGGGAACGAACATGAAATATCTTCCATCTTTATCTAAGCCTGTCACCTGGAAGACATTCAGAACATCGTGAACATCTGATTCATTCAGTCCGTACGGGATAACCGCTCGAACCAGATTGGATTGGCAGTGATAGTCAAAAGACGAATTGGCGAGTAACCGGTTGACTGTACACTCATCAGCTGCAACCCATCCTACCTTTCATCAAATACATACCGTAAGGGTCACATCTAAGCCACCATTCTCATTAGCTTCCCTTCTCATGAACCGAAACTCAACTCACCTAGTACCAAGCAAATCATGCACTCTCCCACCTTTCTCATCAACTCCATAATTCTTCAAACTATCCCCCACAACCGTGCACAAAGGCCTGAGATAGGGAAGTTGCGACCACAACCTATCTCCGATCTTCAGGTGCGAAGCATGAAGTTGACGAGTCCTCGCTGGCCAGAAGTGTTCCCGGGGGTTGGACAGCGAGAAAACGTTGAGGTCTCCCACTTGGGGTCCATATGGGGTGCTAAGCGTACAGATTTGTCCTGGGTGTCCCGGGTGGTGTTAGTTTTGTTGAGCTCTCCCATTGAATCATTTAGATTAAGCTGGGAGATATGGAATACTTTATTATAGTATAATGGTTTAAAATTTGGTAAGGGGATGGGTGGGATGGTAGGTAGGGTAGGTAGGGTATAGGTAGAGAGTCAACTTGCCTTTGCGAACGACCCATGCTTTGCCGCTGCGGATGGGGATCTCGAATTTCTCCACTGGTACTAATTCGCCGACTGCTGTTGCGTTTTCGCTTTCGCTACGAGGTCCTCTGGATTTCTCAACGAGAGCGTTGAGACGGGCGTATAGTTCTGGGTCCCCGTAGAGAGCTGCGCTGTCTGAGGCTGGGTATCCTGGCTGGGTTTCGGGGGGTGTGGGGAAGGTGCGTTTGGACATTTTTGGGTTGGTGTTGTGTTGGAGAAAGTTGGAGAGGATATGTTGTTTTTGGAATGGTTTGGTGGGTTGGTTGGTTTTTTGGTGGAAGTGAATGAGATTGAGGGAGTTCAGCTTTAGTAGGTAGGAGATTGGTGATAAAGAGATAGAGGGACAGGCAGAAGTGAACTGATTGAAAAGTGGGATTGTTACTTCTACAGTAAGTGTGGCAACCTTACCCCAAGTAATTTGGAGACATGGAAGTGGCAGGAATGTAAAGTACGTATCTTGTGGGAATGTGGGTGACGAAGTCAGATACTGAGAATGATTAATTTATTTGTCTAGAATGTTCAGGGTAGTTAATTATCTCTCTCGCTCCTTTTTCTTGGTTTTATTTGAGTAGAATAACCTGTCTAGGCTATCTGAATTATGATGCTTTTTACTGTCACTTTTCTTTCTTTTTTATACCGGATATTGGTTTATTGGGATTTCTAATACCTACTTGTTCTGATATCACTTTACTGTGGTGAGGTACTTACTTGTACCACCACTTCCTCTACTCATTTAACGTTCTTCTTTAAATACTCATCACTTGTGTTCCAGATTTTCTAAACACCTGTCGTTCGTTTAGGTAGTACAGGTAGATATATTAATTCCACACTTAGATTATAAAGTTCTCATCGAATATCCCATTCTGTACCTATGAATTTCTTCTCGTGTATAAAACGTGATGACATGTCACCTGACACCAACAAGGAGCCAACGGGTATCTAGCTAAGTCGGAGATACTTTAAAGTTAACTTCACCTGTCAGCCCACTTTCTGTCGTCTCTGAACTTTCTGGCTTCGTAAACAGATCGAGATTTAAGACTGTGAACAGGATTTACTTCCAAGGTTTGATTATCATTGAACCATCCTCCCCTGTCCTGAAGAATACACCAAAGTTTCTTGATTACAGCAAGAAGCACCCGTCCATCCATTGTCTGTCCTTCCAACTATGGCCACGATAAACATCGTCGTTAACTTGATTATCTCTAAAATACCTCTCAACCATCATTTGCTTCAAAATTGCATCATCTCATCTCGGCGCCGATACTCGCTATCGGCGGATGAATGGTTTTCTCCTAGGCGCCAAAACGGGAGAGCAAGCCGATGGTTGAGGTAGGTCATATCAATATCAAACCGCATCTACCTCACACTGAGAAAGATTGCCCTGTTTTCTTCTCTTTGCTTGCGCTCGAGTTTTGGTATTTGTATTGTTCGGACTACTCCGTACAGCTTACAAACTACGCTCACTAGGTTTGTAATGATACAATTTTAGGCTTCCAATTTTTGGCCTTGGTTGCAATGGGGCCTGAAGTTACTTTCTTTCCTTCGATGTTGTCATACAGAAAAACCTCGATACAAGGATATCGACGGGAGCGGAATTTGTCAGGATATGGCCAACCCCATCTACATGTCTGGCAAGGTGATTTTAGGTGCAAAAAGAAGATGATGAAATTCGGACCTAAAAATCGAAGAGTATCATCGAGGCCATCCTTATATGAATATTCTCATGTGAGCATTCTTATATCAGGCACCCTTGAAGCGAGTTTTCACTGTATCTAGGTTCGTTATCTAAGGTTGCACTGGTTGTCTACGAGTACTGCAGGAGGCGGGTGGCAGCTTCTCTATCCAACGAACCTCATGGGTCCAGACTCCATGTGAGAGACTTTTGTGGGGATACAGGGACTTACACTTACACTTGCATTCCCCGAGGTCAATTGATGTAAAACTTCAAAATGCGGTGCGTTCCACTCTTTGGCACTGGCAGAAAAGGCGACTTTTCATACTACAGTAATTTATATACACTTTGCTCGCGCCTGTGACTCGTGGCTAGCCATCCTTTTGCGATTTTCATCTTGACGGAGACCAAACTCACGCATTCTTGCAATTGAACCAGCGATATCAAACTCATTCGCACAATATGGCTTCGAGCGGGGTAGATAGACGGCATACCGCCAGCGCGATGGGATTGCCGGGCTACAACAAGGGGACGTCAATACATGAGGAAGCCAGAATCGACTCTGAGTCCAATTCAGGTCAAGTGGCGGCTGATTCTACTCATAGACAGCTTCGACCCAGACACATTCAGCTTATTGGCATTGGTGGAACTATTGGTACAGCGATTTTTGTTCAAATTGGGCGTGGATTGCTCAATGGAGGACCCGGAAGCCTGTTTTTGGCTTTTTTAATATGGTGTACCTTCATTCTTGCCATGACGAAGGTACGTAGTCTATCTAGGCGCCCAATCCTCCGGAAAATACTGACTTTCAATTCCAGTGTGCTGCTGAAATGGTTACCTATAATCCGATCTCGTCACCATTCATCCGATTTGCTGGAAGATATGTTGATGAAGCTTTCGGAGTGGCAGCTGGATACAATTTTTTCATATTTCAGGCTGCTCTTGTTCCTTGGGAAATAGTGGCTTGTAATCTCATCATTCATTATTGGAGCGACGCGGTGCCCACGGGAGCGGTAATTGCGATTGTCATTACATCTTAGTAAGTTATTTCTTCAGCGTTTTTACCAATCTTCTGTGTAAGCCTCTTATTTTCTGAGAGACACGGGCACCAATGCAACTACTCTTTCAACTCTGGGTCATCTCTCGGATTAAATAAAGGGTGCTCATAGAGTAAAGACTCAAACCTTTACGTGTTTGCTAAGAAGTTCATATCTAACATCTATTAGTGGGTAAGTAATATGCAGAAAAGTCTCTCAAGGAAGATGACTGATTTATCCTGTGTAGGATAATCAATGTTTTTGCTGTTAAATGGTATGGGGAGTCGGAATTTGTGAGTAATACATTTCCCAAATGAGGCAGACATCAACCAACACCAAAAAAGTGGCTTGCTATAGGAAAGATGATTCTTATCATCGGACTTCTTAGTTTCACCTTCGTTGTCATGGTCGGCGGAAACCCAATGGGTGACAGATTCGGATTCCGCTATTGGAACAATCCCGGGGCTTTCGCCGAGCTCTATTCAACGGGCAGCCTTGGGAGATTTCAAGGATTTCTCCAATGTCTAATCACAGCTGCTTTCATAGTTGCTGGGGCGGACTATGTTTCAATGGCTTCAGGAGAAGCCGAGAATCCACGTGTTGTCATGCCTCGAGCTTTCAATGCCGTCTTTTACCGCCTCACAACTTTCTTCGTTCTTGGAAGTCTGGCAGTAGGAATCCTTGTTCCCTATGATAGCGAAGAACTCGCGAATGCTTTCGAGAAAGGACTTTCAGGTGCCGCTGCAAGTCCGTATGTAATTGCCATGAATCGTCTGAACATTCGTGTCCTACCTGACATTGTTAATGCAATGATTCTCACATCGGCATACTCAGCAGGAAATAGTTATGTTTACTGTGCCTCCCGCTCTCTTTTTGGTCTAGCTCTCGAAGGGAAAGCCCCCAAGATCTTTAGGAAATGTACGAAAAATGGGTATGTAAATATTCTCTTACTAATAATATGCGTGTATTTCCGTCAGTAGCCGTCAAGATGACCTTTCTTCCTTGCACTCTCCCCTCAAATGGTCATCGAACTAGAACAAAATACTAATTTGTTGCAGTGTCCCGATCTACTGCGTAGCATTCACACTAGCTATATCGTTGGTATCTTTTTTGCAGGTTTCCAACAACACAGCTGTGGTATTGAACTGGTTCGTAAGTTTAGTCACTGCCTCACAGTTGATCAATTTCTGTGTTATATCCTTCACATTTCTGAAATGGAAGGAGGCCTGTGATGTACAGGGCCTTGACCGAAATTCTCTGCCACACACCTCATCCTGGCAGCCTTTCACTGCATATTATGCACTCACAGGGTGTTTTACAATGATTTTTCTCAGTGGTTATACCGTATTTTTACCAGGAAATTGGGATGTTCCCAACTTTATCTTCTCCTACGCCATGATCGGCGTTTTTCCTGTCATCTTCTTCGGATGGAAATTTATTAAGAAGACGAAGTGGTTGAAGCCTGAAGAAGTCATTTTGAGGACCTCCGAAGTAGATGATATTGAGGAATATACTAGAAATTATGTTGAGAGAACCCCGAAGACTAGATGGCATGGTTATGTTGATAGAGTATTTAGCTAGAGCTTCGGGTCGGTGGTTGTCAGATACACATTTTTTAGTTTTGGTCAGCATGTCGCGGCAGACCAGGAAATTAGCATATAGCGTCATTGTTTCCGCCCTCTAGAATAAGTCATGGTTATATGAGGGATTTAGACCAATTCAAACGATTAGACTCAACCTCGTGGAGAGTGAGAGTAATTGACCTAAAGATCTAGGCCAGCTACTTGAACTCAATCAAGACAATCAAGATAATTACTCGACCGTTGTAAGAAAGTTGAAGTAATCATCACCAACGTATAGGTCAATCGCTTAAATTGACCCAGAAATTTGAGTGATGCGAGACTTATTTCCCACTGTTTTCTTTTCTGTCGCAGGATTAGCTGCTTGTAGCTTACAGGGCGTATTGGAGACAACAGGGGATATCTACTATACGAATTACTCCGTATGGAAAAATGATCGCGTAACCATTTCCAGGACAGGAAACCGAGCCCACATGACGGGACAGTCATTGCTCGGCGATACTTTTATTCAGCGGCGCATGTAGAATATCGTCGTAATAGCTCACCTATGGTATGCAGGAACCAGATTCTGACTGACGAGCTTGTCAGCACGTCGTACCTTCGGCAACAGGCTTCCGAGTATATATACGAGTAGAACATATAACTCTATGGTAACACCAAGAAGTGCTCTTGTCGTCTTCAACAATCATTTTTAGGTGCCGTTATATAAGCAATTATGAAATACTCATTTTTCCATCTTTCGTTCCTGCTCTTCGTCAATTTGATGGTTGGACACTCAACCGATAAATACCAATTTGATAGCCGCGAAGCAACTATCGAAAGTGTTCACCATGCCATATTCTCTGGGAAAGCTTCATGTCGAGAAGTAGTTTCTTCCTTCCTCACACGAATCGAAGCGTTCAATCCAACCATCAACGCTATTATCTCGCTCAACCCCAACGCACTTAAGTCAGCCGATGATTTCGATAGCCGGATTGCTTCTCAAAACACCACAGGAGCTCTCTTCTGTATTCCAGTCTTATTGAAAGATAATTATGATGCCGTGGGCATGAATACCACGGGAGGGTGTCTGGATTTGGCAGATAACTTTCCTAGTAAAGATGCAGCTGCCGTTGCTGCGTTGAAGAAGGCTGGTGCGATTGTTTTGGGAAAGACGAATTTGCATGAGTTGGCTCTGGAGGGACTTTCGGTCTCTTCGTTGGGTGGACAGACTGTTAATCCGTATGATCATACTAGGACGGCGGGAGGGTCTTCTGGGGGAACTGGTGCTTCGATTGCCACGAGTTTTGCTGTTTTTGGAACAGGTAAGTTGTTTTGCCGCCCTTCTCTTCATCAAACTCGAATTTGCGGAAAATATGAGCAAAGTAAAAAGGATTTCACTTATTCTCGTGACCTAATTCAAAGTTGTAAATGATTCCAAGTCTTTGGAACAATTACTTTTTTGGACTAAGCCATGCTAATACAGAAAATTTCTCTGGCACCTTTGTCTACTACAAGTCCATGTATCCTAGGAGAATCGGCCTTATTTTTTTGATACCGAATTCATACCGGATTGCAACTGATGACTGCTAGGAACCGATGCTGTGAACTCCCTGCGTAGTCCAGCTTCAGCGAACTCTCTCTTTAGCGTACGACCAACAAGAGGCTTGATCTCACGAGGTGGGATTTTACCGATTTCTTTCACTCAAGATACAATCGGTCCATTCGCGAGGAATTTGAAAGATCTTGCTGTGGCGTTAACGGTTATGGCCAGCGTCGGGACTGATCTGAACGACAACGCGACCTTACTGATCCCACCGAGCTCCAAAGACCTTGATTATTCTAAGGCAATCGTTGGTGGAACTCTCGAGGGAGTTCGAATTGGCGCGCTTCAAGGATTTTTCAATCGTACTTCTAGCAACGAAACTACACCCGTCAATCAAGCCATGGATCGAGAAATCTCAGCTCTTGAGGCTGCTGGAGTCATCATCGTCCCTATCAATGAGACAGTATATAACGCAGCTACTCTCGCGAATTTGGATGTTCAGCGGGCAGAAATGCGGCAAGGTAATACCCTATAAATTCCGTTTAGCCAGTTCGGTATCTAACACTAGTCCAGTCATAAATTCTTACCTAGCCTCTTCGTCTGGACCACGACCAGCAACGCTAAACGAGCTCTACGCAAGTGGCAAATTCCTGGTCATTCCCAATCAATATAGTTTTGTAAACATCGCCCTCGTTTCCTCCACCAATAACGCAAGCTACCAACCAAACCAACAAGGAATTTCAGATCTGAAAATGACATTGCAAGCAACATTCGCAAACAACAATCTCACCGCCGTCATCTACCCCGAGCAAAAGAATCTGGTAGTACCCATCGGTTCGCCATCTCAAGTCGGGAGAAATGGTATTTTGGCAGCTTTGACAGGTACTCCCGTGGTCACAATCCCGATTGGATTCTCAGAACCAAACGACAATTCTCCTACCGGAATCCCCATTGGGATGGAGATTTTGGGACTTCCCTTCACTGAAAGCAAACTTCTCAGTATAGCGGCGAATATTGATAGGTTAGGAGGTATGAGAAAACCGCCTGGTTTTGCAGATGCGTTCCTGAAGGCGAAGAATTTTAGCGTTGTACCGACGATCACGCCCTTGCACAATATCCCTAGCGCGTATCCGGTTGGTGTTCTTGCATGAAGCATATTGTGGATGATGATGTATTCAGTTGTATCCAGATCTTAGTTGACCCGATAAGTAGTGGGCTGTAGGTGTTTGTCAGTGCGTATCTAATAGTCAGCGCAGTAGAAAGACGCACTGACTATTAGAACGGGTTCCCCACGAATGTTTAACTACCCTGGTCCTTGTTGTTCTATCCATCTAGATAACTTTAAAGTGGATAAACTATACCGGTATCATTTACCAGTACTGTGGAAAAATTGCTTTCATTGTCCTAGGGTATTCGATGGACTGTTTTGATTAACCCAAATGATTTGAATAATCATAATTTATGAGAAGCTATCGACTTCTCCTTTTTTCTGAATACCAAAATTAATGTACTTGAGTACTGTACTTGTAGCAAGTGTAGTGTAGCTATTTCAAGAGGGCTGCGCAATCCTTCAGGGTTCATACTGTAGGTAAACTCGGCCGTGCTACCCAAAACTTCTTCATATGATTAATTCAAGAACCACAATGAAGACAACCAAAAACCGAGATTGTTGCTCGGAGGTTTTCAAATATTATAAAATTGCTATGTTTTTATAACATTACCCCATCTTCGTCATATACCGGAAGCCAAAAAACAAGCTGTACTTACCGGTATGAAAAACGCCGCTTTTATATTACACCTACCTTCGTGGCTAACAAACTCATTCAACCATCGTGGCCATCCATCGCACACCTCTCACCACGGATCCATGCGGCAGGAAGAAGGCCATCAGTCAGACTCTAAAATATGCACAGCACGAACAAAAAGAATTGGGTCATGGGACGGGAAAAACCGATTAAAGAGTGATCGCTGTCCGAAAATAACCCCTCGAGAGGTTCGTCAATGCGGATTTCGTTTCACATTCCTTCCTTTTATTAGACCCTCACCCCTTCAGTCTCGAGCTTTCTTTTCCTTCCAACCATACATTCTTTTTCGCAATTTTTGCTGTTTTTATACATTCTTTTCATTCCATATATTGGAATAGTCACTCTTTTATTAAATCTTAAAATATGTTGTTCCCTCTTACTCTTCTCTTTGCTGCGCAAGCGCTCGCGACTTCGGCCCCCACCTGCCCAGACAGCAAGAACGGGTACCAAGTCGAGAAAGCGTTTTTCCTCTACCGAACCTTCTGCCACGAGCTCGCCAGTACGGGCTTCGAATCGCAACTTTCCTTCACGGGAAGCGACACCGATCCTTGGATATCTTTCGGTTACGAGAAAGCCAGTGATGGGACAGGATGTGATGAGAACAGTTGTGCTAGGGATTATGAGAGCTTGGTCGGCGCTTGTAGGTTTTCTTATTCCAAATTCAACATGGAGTTATATTGATTAGAATAGGCGCCTTACGAAACCACACCGTATTCGGAGGAGGAAATGTAGGCAGTTCTTGTGGAACATATAATTTCACAATCTACGAACCTCAATTTACGCCTGGAAGCGATGCAAAGCCCGAGATCCCTTCCGGGCCAGAAATCACTTCAATAGTTTCACTAGTAAAGGCGAAATATGGTCTCGAGTCGGGACCTACGATGGCTCCGAGTAGCAGCAGTAGCAGTGTTGCTGCTACCACTACCAGTCATGCTACTACAACGTCAAGTGGCAGCTTAGGTACGAGTTCTACTAGTATTACTCCTGCGGTCTCTTCTTTTACATCGACCCCTTCTGCGTCTCCTTCGCCAGTTTTCAACTCAACGCTCACGCCAACTCAAGGCCCTTACGGAAACGGCACGCGAACGTCCATTTTACCAAACAGGACTGGATCGCCAGTCGCATGGTCAACGGGTAGTGCCGGTCTTGGGCCAGGCGCAACAAATGCGCCTTCGATACCGGCGGCCAAGAGTGAGGGGAATGTTAATGTTGTTGGGGGGTTGGTCGTCATGGCTGCTGTTCTTGTATCTGGATTATTACTTTAGGATTTGCGATGAGAAAAGTGTATCCATCGCGAAGGAAGAATAGGAGTTACTGGAAAATCGACGCTGTTCATAGACAGCCGTATAATACGTGGAGTTTGTGCGGATATACCCATAATGATATTACGTTAAATGCTTTTCGATCAATCTCTCCTTGTCAAGTTGCCACGAGCAGGCGTTAGGGATGTTTAGCTAAATCACTGTATTTAACCAATATCTTTCTAGGTGCCCACGCGGGAAACTCATATTGTAAGCTACAAGCTTTTCCACCTTTTTTCTCTCTACTGAGAGGCTGAGATGGCAATTGCAAGACTTCAGTTCGTCAAACTTCCACTTAGGTCGATATCCACCTGCTCACAAACATTCAAGACAATCTATTTACCATCCCAACTTTTGGATTGAAGCTTTATTCAGTGAGGCCGTCAATGGCTCTCTTGGCGGAAACAAGCTCACATTATCGTAGAGCGCGGAGAATCCTAGAACTCCCATGGATTTGGGAATACCCATTCATGCAAAGTGGATTCAAGTCTGGTCCTGTTTATCGATTGTGAGGAATCAAACTTGGCCGTTTTCTCGCTAAGCTATTGCGCTGCCACTTTTCAGCTGATGCCGATGAAGTCAGTCAACGCGAGTAAACACCAAAGGATAGGAGAACATGCCATCTTCTGGACCCCAAAACGCAGTTGACTATCTGTCACTGGGTATTCAAGCCCAAAATTTCTACCAGAAGCCATTGCCTAGCGCCTGGAAGATTACAGCTTGGTTCCTCAACATGTTCCATTTCCATCTCCCATCAGAAGGTTTCTTCTCAACGTACGAGTAAAATAGAACGCCATCACATGTCGAATGAGTCCATGTCATGGAAAAGCAAAAGAACGAGAAACAATCAAATAAATCAGTCCTACTCGTTGCTGTAGCGCGGCGGGCTCGAATTCTAAAGTCTTAATTATGACTGTGTTCACGAATCCACCTCCTGCGATCCATTTTCATGCTCACAAAGTTTATATGTTTGGAAAATCGGGGGGAGGGGGTTCACTACACTCTGAGGGGTTGGAAGTCGTACCTTCCCTTCTTGACTCAGACGGCGTTCTCGACCTAGAGCCCAGAGTTAGAGAGAGAGGAGAGGGAAGGAACTGCCCTGGGTTTGAGGGCAGGATTCTCAGCCATCGCGTCATGTCGCGACTTCCTCCATCTGGACCACAACATGAATTCAGGTTGCCCGTCTGCAACTTCCAGGCGGCTTTAGCAATGTTCACGGTTCTTGCCATTCTCAGCCTCCCGAGATCTTTTGGTCTCGCCTGTCGGTCTGTTCAATCTTGTCTTGCCTCCTTCACCGATAGTCGAGATTTATTCGAGGAAGGAACGTTCCTGAATTGGAACCCCGACCAGGACTTTCGACCGAGCCAGTCCTGCTGAGGGACAGCATCTACCTACCTTCATCACAATGACTCTCTCTAGGTAAGTAGGTACCTACACGCCATCCAAAATTTGAATATTCGGTATCAATAATCTTAGTCCTTTCCCCGTACGTGCATATCAACTGCATGCTTTGCCACCTCGTATAGGTTCAGAGCAACCTTAGAAGGAGAAGAATAACAGTCTCCCTTCAAACCCCTAAAACTCCTCGTTCCAATAACCAAAGTATTCTATCCGCGAGAATGGAAAATAAACCTGGGTACAGCAACCCCCCTTAATAGTCCGAACCGAACTCGCTTAACAAAACTACCTCTCCCAACTTACAAAATATTCACGGTGAGACGAACTTTCAGAAATGAATTTTGTATTATATTCTCACATACTGTACTCTTAGTTAACTGGATCCATAAGCCCTCTCTTCATTTCCTAGTTTATCTTGGAGGCATGACATAGATCAGTTATGTTACTTCTCAAGATACTTTTCATTTGCATATTATGCAGTATATGCTAAGCCTACCTTGTATCGAAGTAATTAGTGTAGTGTTATTTAGACGAGCAAATTATTAAAAAGTTTCACTTTTCTTTGGTCGAAGGCTTTTATAGACATCCATTCTCTTACCGACTGTAATTCGTGCCTTATTTGATTTTTGAAGACTGTGGATTTCTATGGCTTGAGGCACTAGAATCTAGTGCGATTTTGATATACCATTGCAACATAGACCTGTATATGAAATGGAGGCACAAGAGCTTTCAAGTACACATATTTTTTACATGCACCAATGATGGCATCATAAAATTACATTTTCATCTCCCAATGGGCATTTGGAGAACACCACAGGGAATGAATCTCCTACCTCTAAAATACATGAAGGCATTCGCATAATTCTGCCTGCTTTCCTCGCTATGCAAGGCCCGGGTAACGAACCAAGGTTTTGTAGTACAAGCTGTCTTGTTTACTTTCTCACAGCCGTAGTCTGGTTATTTGTGGGAACACTCTTCCACTCGACTCTTCGTCCATTGTTCGCAAAAACAGGGAGTCCTCTCGCCATCAACTCGGCTCTTACAAGCTTTTGTCGACCAATATTTCGTTCCTTGTCGTGATATGTTACCTTGTGTTGAGATATCGAGACGTTTGGCAGATTTAATAATTCGGGGTTTTGGGTAATGGCCTCGGCCAGTTTGGTTGGCTTTGGTGGTTTGATTAGATATGAGAGAATATTTTCAACTGATTTTGCTGATTGAATTGCTGAGTCTGGGAACCGGGCACCAGTCAATTGCATCATTCTCTTTATGATCTGATGAACTTGTTAGCAAGGTTTCTGGGCTGTTTTGGGGGAATTATTTACAGCAAATTTGACTTCGAGATCCTTAATTGGCACCTGAAGCCATGTGGTACCCCAGGATCCAACTACCGCTTCAGTACTGAGGACGTCCCGATTCGTATTTGCATTCTTCAGTGGGTTCTCCTTGGAACGATCAGCAGCCACGTCCTCTTCAGACTTTGTGGGCTGTGGCTTTCTGTCTTCTGGTAGTTCGTGCTCAATCGGCTTTTCTGTGGGGTAGAGAGGGTCGACAGGTGATCTATCTGCATCGACATCTTCCTGAGATTCCGTTGGCTGAACAGGAGCCTCCTCACTAGCTTTACTGCTCGAAGGCGAAGCAAGCTCCTGTAATATTAACCGAAGGGTGCCACGCTCAGGGAAAACCAAAGTTGCGCCCTTCGCGGTTGGGGTAATCGCCACATCCATCGTGCAATCTAACTCGCGGCATGGTGCCTCCTTAGAAATCGAGGTCAGAGGCTTTCTAGCCCATTTCAAGGCAAATATCTCCACCACTGCTCGGTGTAATGCCATTGTCAGAACCGCAGGATCTTTCTCAATCGTCTCTGGTATGAATGCCTTGAATCTTTGATCGGCTCGCAGTTCCGGGACTGAATCCCCAACAACTTCCATTCCAAACAGATACTTTGGCTTTTTGTAAATTCGATCCGGCCGCAGCTGTTGGACAATTGATCCTTTTATTGGTTTCCTGACTGTTGGAAAGTCTTTCTTCTCTTTCTTCTCTTTCACCTCTTTCGCCTCTTTCGCCGCCGCTATCTCGCCCTCGGATGCTTCCTGCTCCACCGCTTCATTTTTATCAAGCTTCGTGTATGGGTCCTTCTGTCCTGGGGGGTTGTCCGTACCCCATATCTTTTTTCGTAAATTTTCTGTTGAAAAGAAACCGCCCTCCTTCGCTTTTGTGGTGGTCGTCGAGAAGGTATTTGCGTGGTTTCGGCATGTCACGCAGAGGTATTTCAAAGGGGTCCGCGTGGAGCTTGCGCCTAAAAGGTCAACTGACCTGTTGATTTTTGATATTCGACGCATGTTGGGTTGTTTAATCGCCTTGGGAATCAGCCTTGAACTTTTAGGTGGCTCGGGTAGCTCAGGCTCTCACTCTCCAAGAGAGGGGAGCTCGACACTAACCAATTATACACTAGCGCGAAAGCTTGGACCAGATCCATAATCGCCGACATTGTGCATCGGACTTTGAGACTTGCGACGACTGCTTTCTACAGAAGTACTGGCTTTATTCAACACCAACACCCACCATCTCCAGAGCTTTGTTGAACTCGGCCTCTAGGACTCCCCTCCCATTAGTATCTTTGTGTGTAAGGCTAGGGTTAGGGTTAGGGTACAGCTAAAGCGACGATTGGGAAAACACATCGCAACCAAGACATTCAATATATCTCAAAAACACCGCAACTATGGCGAGATTCACGATCATACTTCCGCTTCTCACTTTGATTCTTTCAGTATTCGCTGGTGGTTAGTTCCCCACAACTTCACGGATAATCTTATCTAACATCCATCAGCACCTCCCTCCTTCTGTAAATGTACCTGCTTCAGCAACAGCACCATAATCCCCCTCTCAACCAACACATCTCCGCCTCCTTCCTCGCCCGAAAAAAGCCCTCGAGCAGCTTCTGCCTCCTGTACAACATGCAATAAAGCCTTCTGTCTCTCCCAAAGACTGCCAATTTGTAAAGGAGCCGAGGATAAAGATGTCCTCACGACGTGTTTCCAGAGAGATAGTAGAAAGGACCAGATTGTTGTTTTGACTTTTATTACGCTGACTGTGGGACTACTTGGGTGGGCGGGGTTGAGGAAAGTTGTCGAGGAGAGAAATGAGTCTACGGGACCGAGGATGGGGGATGGGGGTCAAAGTTATGTGCCCGTTGGACGATAGATGAAGCAACGAATCGATTATGAATATCAAATTTTGAAAGAGAACTCAACGGAGAAGGGAGAGACTCTCTGACGCCGGAGAGGGTTAAAGCTCTCGACCGACGCGAAACTTGCATCAAGTTTTGTCGAGTTACCCGCACCAGGCTGTCCGGAAATTCTACGACTTTGATCGCCAGATGCATGCTGAACAAACTTCATATGAAGCAACTGAGATATTGATTTACCGAAACTGTGGCTTCAAGTCTCTGACATGTGGAAACATGGCTTAAAACGGAGCTGCGCCAGGCAGTGGAGAGATAGCATGTTATCCTTTATTGGATAGCAGAACTAGGATAGTCTGGCTGTAGACTTTGATAACGATTGAGGACTGAAGGAGCTCGTCTTATGGGACGTAGACGTAGACGACCCAGGAATATGGCGAAGCTGCAAACTAGTGTATGATAATAGTGTAGAAGCAGAGCAGTTTTAATAACCCTCAGCTAAACCGAGAATGCTACTGAATGAGTTCAGTAGTGAGAGAAGTTGACAGAATACAATGAACACCTGTCCTATCATCCATATCTTCTCTTCTTCAGCATACTAGTCCTCAGATTTGCATAAAAAAGTATATGATATGTTCCACATAAAGCTTTCAAATTTCCAGACGAAGAATACTCAAAACAAAAGGCTAGGAGAAGCGATTTTATACAGCGCTTACTAGGGTTGAATTCACGAAAGATGTAAAGGTACGAGCCATTACCAGTTCACCATTGATTCATTACAACCAGTAAGTAACACATACAACCATACCCAAGACGCCATGAACATGAAAGTTCTCAGGCACGGGTAGAGGCTTCAAAAGCTCAGAGTATACCAAATCCGAAGACTCGTTTTCGTCCCGATTTAGATATGAAGAAGTGGTTCGAATTCAATGAGGACTAACATTTTCCTATGTTGTCACTGTACTGGACGCAAACGAATCCACGCCAAAGCAGGTCAATGGATGTTTGCAAATTACAGAAAGGAAATTACAGAAAGGAAATTCCAGAAGCCCGGCAAGCTTTAGAGAAAATTGCACAACCGTCCTGTAGCCGAGTCCCACTACTCCAGATTTGTTTCCCTAGAAGAGGTCTTCTGGAGAACTATTCTGGCGGGCCAAGAGCTTAGTGATGATGGAGAGCTCATTTCTCAACAGGAGTATTGACAAGAGGACCTTTTCACTTCCGAAGAAGCATTTGTAGGTCTCTGCCCAGAGCATTGCCAAATCGGAGATCGAATCGTCCTTTTAGCGGGAGGAAGAGTGCCTTACATTATCAGACCATGTAACCTCGAGGATTAATACCAAGAAGTTGATCTGTATACATCTGTCGGCGAGGCGTAAGTACCAACATGTATCACCGATGAACGAGCTAATAATTCTAGTTATGTATGTACATGGAATTATGGATAGTGAACTCCTGGACCCAGCTCGAAATAAATTTGATTTACTCGTGAATGGAAAGTTTAAGATAGGTCTTGTCTGAGACATGGTTATAACCTACGCGCCTGTGGTCTAGATACTTGCTTAGGCTGTGTTCGTTGAGTGAGGAACGAACTTCTGATTGGAGAGCGTTTTGTTAGGGAATAATTACGAGTACCAATATATTGTGAAGAAACACAAGCATCAACAATCCGGACTCTAACTTTTGTTTTTGGTTCCCCATCAGATAACAGATTATCATGTATTCCTCTCACAATCCAAAGGGTATTATTACAACTTAACCCAGTTTACTTGGATTCAAATACTTCACCTCTATTTTCACGTAGATAGCCTATTATTAGTCAAGAAATAGAACCACTGGATAAGATCCAATTTATTCGACCCAGGACTCGTACAATAATTTAGTCAAAGAACTACAAGCTTTCTGAGACCTCTCTTGTCGCTATATCCACGTTCTAGGGGATAATTGGTGGCAGATCACATGACACCATATTTAATCCGACACGACACTTACACACAGTTCTATATATCCTCAGAATACCACTCTTGAGTCTTGAAGTAGAATACTATACGCATATTAAATAACATCATATTCTACAATAACTCACTGTTTGAGTGAAAGCAGTATCTCTTTTCCCTCCTTTTAGATAGTGTGATATTATTTAGGTTATAACGCCATTTGGTACAATACAACATGCAAGTCTACACAACCTACAACGCAAGGATTTCCTCAAGAACAAATACAACACGTACCAGCTGAGTAGTAGAGAAAGCAGCCCAAAATAGCAATAACAAGTTACCAACTAATACTATAGTTTAGTACAAGGCAAAAATGAATTGAAACTAACCACAAAAAGACCACAGCAGATGAATACCAAGGAAAGAGTTATAAAGTACAAGTAAATTTAGTAAACATTCTACTACCGTATCAAAAAAGCACGTACTAGTATAAATATCCCAACTACCTCAGAGTAAGTCTTGACTTCAACTCCATTCCCAACCAGAAACTCAGAAAAGCCCCAATTCCCACAAGCTTGTTAATAACACCAAGAAAACAACCAGATTTGTTGTACTAATACTAATACTAACTAATAAAAGTCAACTACTTAGAAACCTAGATTCACTGGCTAGAAATAGTAAACATAAAAACTAGATACTCCGTACTTATCATTAACATTATTCACCTTATCCCTATCTATTCATTCACCAATACCCCCACACCCCATACCAACACTACCAACGCCAGGACATCCCATCCCATCCTATTGAACCCTTCTACACACATTCACTCACACAACACACCTCCCCCTTATTCCCCACCTCACCTCACCTCCCCCAACCCAACCTAATCCCCCTATACTCACAAAGAAACTACAATACCACACCACACTATCCTCTGTTATCCTAAAAATGTAACATATCCACCCAACCTATTGACAAAAGCTCTCATTAAGAGATACAAGGAAAGTTCCAACTCACAACGTACGACACTTTATGTATGGTCGTAGATAATAGATAGGTATAGTATAAATAACCACCATAGGTGGGTCTTGTATGACATGGTACAGTATGGATGATATGACAGAAGGCAGATAGGGAAGAAAGAAAGTGGAGGTGAGAAGAGGTGAGGTTAGGGTGGACTGTATCTACTTACATTTGAATGATTTAGACTTATAGTACCTTTCTACGGACTAGTGTATAGTCAGTTAACGAACTGAGTTGATAAATATCAATACAGAAGGACCACAAAAAAAAACTTCAGAAGAGCTTTGATCCATGACTCATACTGTGCATCCCATAAATACAAAACCGCAACGTAACTTCCTAAAAGAAAGCTCGCTTAAAAAGAGGGGGAAGGGACAACAAACCCACAAATTCACCACTACACCAGAGTCAAAAAAAGAAGAGAAGCACCAAAAGTTTTATTTCAAGTTGATTCATTCATTCTCCTCTATTCCTTCCCAATTTCCCCCAAGTTCCATCATGCAAACCTAGTGTTACCCCCTTATAAACATACCATAATCCATCATACAGACGCGAGAGGAAAAAAAAGAGAGGGAGAAGAAAAACAAAGGGAAAAGAAAAAGGATATTCCCACCCGTGCTTGAAAAAACATCCATAACAATCCACCACCCAGAACCCCCCATAGAAAAAAAAACAACGCCTTTAGTACCATGTATAAATGCTTCGAGGGGAGGGGGGAAATCCGGCACAGGAAAAGGGGGAAAGGACAGAACTCCCTTCACGTCCGTCATGCTATCATTCATCATATCTCCATTTTACTGCGTGATCTCTCGGGTCACATTCTCAGTCCACCCAGAACCCAATTGCTTATCTTCCTCATCGTCACCGTTCATAGCTGCCGGAGTTTCTGGAGTAAGCATGACCTCAGGCGTAGTTCGTTGTGGTTCTAGTAGGGTGGTTTGCCGGTTCTCTTCAGCACTATCCGGACTATTGAGTTTCAATGTGGCAACGCTCTCCTGCGGCTCGCTCTCCTTTTCGGCAGGATTCTTCACATCAGACCTTTCACCGCCGTCAATTCCACCATCGAGGTACTCTATGTGCTTTGCTGCGTCCTGCTTATCCTCCCCATTGCGATCCTCACTGCCAATCATTTCTGCCAGACTTCGAAAATTGAACATTGACTCTGACGCCCCGCCTTCGTTTCCTTCCTCGCCCTCTGGTGGGGTCTCATCACTCGCAATGTTGGTGCCGGAAGCACGAGGTGAATCTAGAGTGGAAGAGGATCTGTTGAGGCCATGCGGATTATGCCTTGTGCTGCCACCCGCAGATTCTACTAATGAAGAAGCTGGACTGGATGCACTACTCATCTGACGAAGGTGTGAAGGTTTGTCTGGTGCCGAAGGCGAGGCGGGGTGAGGTTCGGTGGTTTGCGCCAACGAGGATAAATCCAAAGGTCGGGGTATTCCAGAACTCGAGCTACTTTCTCCACGTGAGGTCTCTGTTGGTATCGTAGAACTAGTCGAATTTTCAGATCCGCGATCAACACCTTTCCCCTTCGTGTCAGATGGCTCCGTGACCTCTTGGGTTATCTCTCTCTGCAGGTTACTTGCACCACTATTTCCCCTTCTTCTGCCTAGTCCCGGTAAAGTTAAACTCAGAGCACTGCCACTTGCTGAACTTGCCCCACTCCCATAGACCTTTCTCTCCTTCTTCTCCCTCTTCTTGTCTTCTTTGAGTTTTCTTTTTGCCTCCTTGGCCGCCTCCTTTTCAGTCTTTCTTTTTCGTTCCTCCTCAGCCACCAAACTTAATCGAATCGCCTCTGCCATCATCATCTCCTCGAGATCATCCATTCTATTTCGACGACGAGAGCTACCACCTCCTTCTCTACGCGAGTTTGAGTTTTGCTCAGGTGCGTTGCCTGAATTGCCACTATCATTGACATTTGCGGGCGATGGTGTGGCCGCTCCACTTGTTCCTGGACTCTCGTGACGATGTCTACCAAATCTACTCCTGAAACTTCTGCTATCCTGATTATTTCCCATCAAATATGCAGCTGTATGTAACGCGGTTGCTGCGGCCGAGCGTCTCGCAAGATGAGAACGTGCAGTCGATAGTTTTGTAGCCCAGTCAGGTCGTATTCTGTCTGTTGTGATGACAGTAGATGCGTTGGCTGAAATGGACGTTGTGCGCCTCTTTTGGGCCACAGGCACAGCAGCCGCTGGAACAGTTGAGTTCAATGAAGAGGAAGAAGACATTGCTGAAGAGAGACTGGTTATTCCAGGGTGTGGGTTTTGGTAGGCAAGACCACGTCTGAAAGGAGGAGGATCGTACGTGACACCAAACTCAGGTTGTTGACAGTATGGACAAGTGGATGGCTCTGAGACTAACATTTCTGATTCTGCCGCTGGTTCAGGTGCTGCTGGAGCTGGATTAGAAGGATCATTATGTTCGTGCTCAGGCGGATGAGGATCTGGACGCTTGATTTGCACAAAGCACTCTGAACATATGGACTGATCGCAGCACCTGGTTTTGTTGAGATATGGAGGATAGTACAGGAAACAAATTGGACATTCTGAAGCGTTCTTGTATAAGAAGACTTCAATCTGCTGACCGTTAACAAAAGGATCATGAGGCAGTTGTATCTCCTGAGGTAGCAACTCTGGAGAAGAAGTATTTTTGGATGAAGTTGTGAGGGAAGCCAAAGTCTTGGATCTAGGTCGGAAGGGGGATGTTGACTGTGTGGCTGTTGGTGAAGTGGGGGAAGGTATTGAGGGAGAAAAGGTTCCAGAGACATCAGAGGAAGCTGAAAGTGATCTACCACTAATAGGCACCATGAGATTCTGTATATTGCTTGAATCACTTGCAGGCTCAGCAGAGGCAACGCCAGCAAAGCCTTCAGGTGGTATTTCATCTGCTGCGGGAATGGGCAGACCTCTCCCAGCAGCTATTAGCTGGTATTCTGTCCATTCGTCCTTGAAATCGTCCAAGCCGCGCCAGAAGGGGGCAATTCTTCGTTCAATCTACTATTAGTCAGTATGATATATCCAAAGCTACTCCACGTTTTGAAACATACCATCAGCTGTCTGACAATTGGCTTGTTGAAGTCCTCATGTCCAGTATAGACTCCCATGGTGACCAAGAAACCCCTGTCAACATGCTCTTCTTTTATGCTTCGTTCCCTTTCCTTGATTCTGGCAACCCTCTCCTTTTCCAATTTCCTTGCCTCCCTCTCCTGCTTGGTCTCCCTCCGCTCTGGCACATCGTTGCTGGAAGAACCTATCCCAAGTAGCGACGACAGATCCGCCCTACTCCCGCGACCGCTTCTTGAGTTGTATGGATGCTGGTGGCTGCGATCGCCATGAGACGAACTAGTGCCACCATCACGTCGGTTTGATGGTGACTCTTTTGTGCTGTTGTTGCCCATTTTCACAAGCTGGTGATCTGCATCTGGCAGATCACCCAGTCAGCCAACGAGTACAGAGCAGATCGGACGACGGTGAAGGGTGACAAAGGGTCTGGTGTTGATGGGATTGGGAGACAAACGTGGAGTCGCTGAAATTTATGCAGGTCTCGTCTCGGCAAGCGTGGGGAAGAAGCGGTTGCAGGTGGACGTGAGCAATGACCAGACAGGAGGGCAGAAGGGTAGAAAGGTGGTCGTACTGCGAAAATCCACAGTGTACCTCCGTAGTAGAAGGAGTGGGCAATGGTGGTTGATCTATGTCCAGTAATGTATGATGGTCCGTCTGCTCCTGTGAGATTGATACTGCAGACTGCTTAGATCAGTTGCTGTTGTTGTTGCGGCTGCTGCTGCTGCTAATAGTGACAGTGGCAGTGGCAGACAAGTAGCGCAGCACAGTGTGGTTTAGCGGACGCCTTGCCTGTGCTCTCTGGAAAGCGGGTGCTGGGTCTTGGTCTGGAGGTGGTGGAGGTGGAGGTTGCAATGCTACCTGGCTTGGGCTATGTAGCAGGCTGGCTGTTGGGTAGGCGGCCTTAGTGGAGTAAGTCCCAGTCACAGGGGTCCACCAACAACCACTATCAGATCTGCAGGGGACTGCGATAAGAGGTGGAACAGGAAGTCATCTGGAGAAGCTCTGCTGTGAGCTCACTATCACTATCACTATCACTGCCACTATCACCATCACCTATAGGCATTGGAAAGATTGGGTGTGAAGAGAAGGATTATGGCACGCTTATTCTCCCCTGTTGGTAACGAGGACTCCTGAAGCACATTCACTCACCCCCTCACACATCCCAGGAACCCTTCCAAGGTCAAGCAAGCAGTGAGCTCCTGATGACGCAGATTTCAGCGTCGGCTCATTCGGCTGCCCTTCGGTTGATCTCCACCTCCATCGCCTCCCATCCAAACTCACCTGATTTTCGCCGCATCCCTACCGAGTCGAGTTACGAGTAACTACTTGGCTTCAACACCTATCGAGTTACCCCCAAGCTTTCAATGACAATCTCCAATCCAGCCGTGAGAAGTGAGGCTATACTTCTCGTCTCCCCGTTCAAAGCTTATACTTATTGACCAGGAGTTCCTTGCAGTAGAACCTCAAACTGCCGAGGACCTACGTGCCTACTTCTACAGTATTGGAAGACCTAGCCCTCTTGTGGCTGTCTACCGGTACTGACCCGCGATGAATACCAGTCTTTTACGTGTATTCGTAGTCTCGAAGACAGATCAACAAGTTCAACAGCCGCGCGCAAGTCCTCACGGGCTGATGCGAGATCCTCGCTCCAGATTAGCCTGAATTTCAATGTCGTGCAGTTGCATACGGAGAAATTCTTCTCATAGCTTTCTTCTGTTTGGATAAACTCCTTTGCTATCTATCATGCCCGACGAACGAATCCTCGCTTCTCTTTGGTCTCTTTGCGCCAGTCAGTCTGTGGCTGAAAAGCCTGCTCGCGTACCTGAGTACTCGTATTTGATGCATGAATTCTCTGTTCCTTCGTAGCTTAGTTTGATGCTTGAGCTAGGCTGCTTGAAACCCGTCTCACAGATGATAAGATAGCCTCATCATCCTAATTGTCTCGAATAAGAATTGATTGCGCAAGCTTTGGACAACAATCAAACCAATTAAGCGAGCGTTTTGGGGCAAGGAAATCAGAACATGTTCATCGCGATAAGCTGAGTAGTGAGCAGTAACAGTGCTGTACCAAGAAAACCCTTGGATTTCAGTACGAAACGTTTACTCGAGAACAGTAGCGGAAAGTCTAACCTGTACTGGTAGACCAACTCTACGAGTAACACAAGTATTTGGTCTGACTGTCCATCGGGTTGCCATCTACTGTGAAAAGTTCATCCCGTACGTATACCTACCTTGAATTTTCTCCGCTATCAAACTACCAATCACTTTCCGCTATATATATTATCTTCATAAACAAACAGCAAATATCGTGGAAGAGGCGATCTTTTGCTTCTTCATTTCAATGGGAACACAAATCGGCTTCCCATGTCAGACAAAGTTATTACCCGTCGGCAAAACACCCGAGTACTCGAGTACAGTAGTATCACGATAAACAAACAGTAGCACAAAGTACCTTGAAGGTAAATGTACCGAGGTAGAGTCTACATATCTTGTACTTTCTTCTGTCAACTCCATGCTGTCACACCCACGATGTCTTCACCGCTCCTCTGATTTGTTCTTCTATCTCTACCCCTTGTCTGGTCTGTATCTCATCCAAGTACGCCTCCAACGAAGCCACATCGGGACGATGAATTGGAGTTTTCTCGTCTGGTCAAACGACACCAAGATCAGACTAAACGATCATCAACAAGGAGATGGCAGAAATCTTCTAAACATGGCCTGTTAACCTCAGATGATTCCTCTAGCTAATTTATCTTGGTCATGGAGCATGAAACACCCAAGCCGAAGTTCGGAGTGGAGAAAATGCACATAAATAGGTATAACTCACCAGGGAGCCTTGAATGTCAGCTGCAGGAGAGACGAGGATGTTGTTCATGACGTGCTTGATTCCCACCCCAATCTTCCCTCCAAAAAAAAAACAACAGTTTCAAACCCCCCTATCAGTGACCTTATATTTCTGTGCCTCTACAATTTGGATGTAACCCCATCGTCAGCACTTAGATTGCTATCATATCGCTGACACTAAAAATGGCGGGATCACCAACTACTGCCCCTCATTCCTATGGTGGGGCAAAGTTTTAGCTGAGAGCTTCACAAGCCAAATCGCAACACCTCAATTCACCATCAAACTCCAGACTCCCAAACCCCCCAATCCTCTCCAATAAGAAAACCAAACCCCTTCCCATCAACCACCCAATAACCCCCAGTATGCCACCCACCCAACCACCCCTCTCCCAAATTCTCCCCCCTCTCATCTGCGGCACCGCAACCTTCAACAACCTCTACAACCCCACCATCACCTCCATCCCCTCCAACTCCATCATCGCCTCCGCGCTAGCCCGCGGAATCCGCGCCTTCGACACATCCCCCTACTACGGGCCCTCAGAGACGCTCCTCGGAACCGCCCTCGCCGAGCCCTCCGTCCTCAAAGCGCATCCGCGAGCAACCTACCAACTCCTCACCAAGGTCGGCCGCATAGCGAATGCCGAGTTCGACTACTCCCCCGCTTGGATCCAGTACTCCGTCCGGAGGAGTCTGCAGAGGTTGCGAACGGGGTATCTGGATGTGGTTTACTGCCATGATGTGGAATTTGTGTCTGCGGCTGAGGTCCTCGTTGCGGTGAGGGAATTGAGGCATATTAGGGATACACAGGGGACTATTAAATACATCGGGATCTCGGGGTATCCTGTTCCTCTGCTAGCGGAGCTCGCGGAGATGGTGTTGCGAGAGACGGGGGAGCCGCTGGATGTCGTGATGGGCTATGCGAATTTCACGCTGCAGAATGGGACGTTGCAGAGTCGGGGACTGGAGAGGTTGCGCAGGGCGGGCGTGAGTGTTGTGCCGAATGCGAGTCCGTTGGGTATGGGTCTTTTGAGGAGTAAAGGTGTGCCGGTGGGTGGGAAGGGGGACTTCCATCCTGCGCCGAGGGAGTTGAGGGATAAGGTTTTGGAGGCGGCGAGGTTCGTGGAGACGAAGGGGGAGAAGTTGGAGGTTGTTGCTATAAGGTGGGCTTTGGAACAGTGGGCTATTCAGGCTGCGATGCTTGGGGGGCAGGGAGGTATTGGGGTTAGTGTTATGGGAGTGAGTAATCTTGCTGAACTTGAGGAGACGATGAGAGTCTGGAATAGTGTTTTGGATGGACTGGAGGTTGTTGGGAGGAGTGCGGAAAAGGATGAACTCCAATGGAGTTTGGAACGAAGGAAGGATATTGAAGGTCTTGCTCAAGGTGTATGGGAGATCTTGGGGACTTGGAAAGATTTCACTTGGGCGAGCCCGGAGGTGGGATATGTAAATGAGAGGACCGTGAAGGGGGTCATCGAGGATTCGGATTCTGTGGCTAAGGATAGTAAGGTTTAGGTGTACTTTGACATAAATAGAGCAGAGTATTTGGAACATGGCACTACAACTCTAGTCTCAACATATGGTATACCTGGTCCCCCAGTGGGAAATCAACAGCCATACTTGTCGTGTTTCATTTTTGTTGCTATTCCATTTTTTCATAGATTGCAAGCGACAAGTAATTGAGGATTTAAATCCTGCGTTTTCTAGTGTTCTTTTCTTTTTTGAAGGGAAAACTGTGAGGCAGGATTGAAAAGAGAGGCTTTGATAGTGAGCCTCTTGATTAGCTAGACTATCGCAGGATGAGGGTATGAACTGTACTGGATAGTCTGTCTAGTTTTATACCATGGTTGACTAAATTTACTACGGTAGTCAAGCGGGATAAAAAACAGGGAGAAAATCAAAAGTCATAGAGATATTTTTAGTTAGAAGCTTCAAGTCAAGAAAATGAAAGATGAAGCTCATGACAACCCACTTTTATTTTTGGATCTCTTTATAGAATGCTTGATAGTCTATCATTGCATTGAATTGAAATCACCCCTTTTTCGAATGGTATAAACCAAAAACTCCTTCAAAACGCCATGCTATATCATCCCAATGCGATCTCATCATGCCTTCACTCCATTCCCGTTGGAGGTGACCTTACGTCTTTCCCTAACTGAGGCGGCCAAATCTTCAAGAACGGTAACAGTAGTGTCCCAGTCAATGCATGCATCAGTAATACTGACACCCTTCTTGAGACCAGCTGGACCTTCCGCTGGAACCTTTTGGTTGCCCTCGTTAATGTTGGACTCGATCATAACACCAATAATAGAACGTTCGCCAGCTCTAAGTTGTTCACCAACAACAGCAGCGACCTTGGGTTGATTGCGGTGATCTTTATTTGAGTTGCCTGTTGATTCAATTAGTTTGTGGTCCATGTGAAGGGAGAAGGTGGATAAATAAATTGTGAGATAACTTACCATGCGAGCAGTCAATCATAATGGCCTGTTTTTGTTTCTTCTTGTCCAAAGTCTCCTTTACAAGCTTGACACTCTCAGCATCAAAGTTGGTGCCTCTAGTGCCTCCTCTGAGGATGACGAAACCGTGCTCATTCCCATTTGTTCTTGTAATAGCGGCAAGACCTTGCTTGGTGACACCCATAAAGTGATGCTTAGCAGCAGCAGATCCGATAGCATCAATTGCAACAGTCAAACTTCCATCAGTACCATTCTTGAAGCCAACAGGAAAGGAAAGACCAGATGCAAGCTCTCGGTGTAATTGTGACTCAGTGGTTCGCGCACCAATGGCACCCAGAGAAATCATGTCTGCGAGGAATTGGGGAGAGATGGTATCTAACATCTCAGAGGCGATTGGCATGCCAGCACTTGTAAGATCAGAGAAGAGTTGTCGACTAATTCGAAGACCTTTGTTGATTTTGAATGACTCATCGATATCAGGATCATTGATCAATCCCTTCCATCCAACTGTTGTTCGTGGCTTTTCCAGATATGCTCGCATGATGATGACCAAATCGTCCGACAATTTATCTGAGAGGGCCTTGATTCGTGAACAGTACTCAAGGGCTGTGACGGGATCGTGGAGGGAGCATGGCCCGCAGATGACCAAGAGACGGTCTGAAGTGCCCATGATACATTCAACGGCATCTTTGCGTCCTTTGATGACAGTCTTCAAAGACTCTGGGGTCATAGGAATCTCCGAGACCAGCAATGCAGGAGGGATCAAGGGATCCTGACCCAAGACTAGATTATCGTCGTGCGTCAGCAAAGTGCTGGTCAAAGAAGGTAAAGGTAGAATGGACATTGTTATTGTCATCGAGGGGTTAGAGTCGTATCTTGGAATACTCACTCCTCACGTCGTCAGAGACAGCTTCGATATCAAGAATCGGCATTTTTGTAGGATTGAAAGGCGGATGAGAGAGAGAAAAGGTTGGAAGAAATACAATTTCGTGATGTTGTACAGACGGGAGCGGTGATGGGCAATGTAGTGCGAGGTTGCAGGTCGCTCTTGCAGTTTGTGTACAACTTTGCCTCTTTGCCTTGACTCTTCGCCTTGAGGTGGATGATTGGGGAACCTATGGTAGGATTTCTCAAGCGGGCCTGGAGGGGTTGGAGGGGTGGAGGGGTACTGGCAGGGGTCTTGAATCACAATGGAACAGCCTAAACTAACAGACTGATGGTATTTAACTAGCCTCAGCTAGCTAACTAAAGGTCTCTAGACGTCGTTCTTTTTCATTTTCTGAGTCACTTGTTTAGGTGCTAAATTTTTGGTGTATTTCAATCTTCGTTTGACTCACAGAGAATAAATTGACGGGTGATACTTTTCTCTCAGGTACTCCGTACTGCAGGCATGAGAAAATCAGCGGCCGATGCCGCTCCCTCGCTCCTGGCCACCTACACACGTTGCCTGACAAACAGCCAATGACAGACAGACTTTTGGCAAGCATGGCATAAAAGAAATAATCAGTATTACAGCACTCGTACGCCCCTTCAAAACCACAATTTGATTTTCGCATTCGATTTTGAGCTGCCAAGCTATTTTCTCAAAGAGGAAAAGAAGGCCTCTTTGTAACCGCTGGCGGGTAGAGCTTCAATGCCGTAACGGGTATTATATAATATTGGCATTATCAGTTCATCTGTAGTCTTACTGATTATTGGCTGCATACCAGTACAATTTCTGCGAGCTGTCCGTTGTTGAGAGATTCTCTTTCAGATGGATGTGAGGTGCGTCTGGCGGTCAATGCTTTCAATGCTGCAATAATGCTGCAATGCATGCCTGCGGAATGAGGTGCCTCTTGGGAAAAGACCAGACCAGAGAAGGAGACGTGGTATCGGAACAACTGTATCACAGCCTGGCAGTATCTCGTACTCTCGTACGTCCGGAGTATTGCACCAAGTACTCTATTTGCGAACTCAGTCTTAGTGCCATCGTGCAACTTTAAAGTAAGTTTGTTTTCCGATGCCATGTAACAGCTATTGCATCTTTGCGGTACTGGTACTGTGCTGTACCTAGGAGGTTGTCCAAAAATATACAGTATTCGACTCATACCTCGGCTACATAGTCGTCCAGAGGTTTCAATGCCTGCTTTCCATTGAACCAGTCACGGCCATACTACCGCAAGCCAAGTTTCCGGGTGCCCTGAGAAGAAAAGCTCTGGTGTGTCCCGGAGGTTTGACAACTCCAGCTGCCTTTGGACAATTCTAGTGCTGGTTTTCGTGTCAGAAAGAGGCAGATCTGGGTAACAAAACTTCCTCGGATACCTGACTGGAAAAGAAGATGCAACCATTTTGTGCTGTTCTTAATCAAACAACCATCTTCCGTTATGAGATGGTTGAAGGCAGTGCAGGAAGAGGTGCCTGTCCTGGTTATTAGCGTTACTACTACTAGATCAAAGCACCCGTCCCATATAAGAGTCGTCCTCCGATTCTCTCTGACGAGGTACTAGCTAAAAGACTATCGAGGCTCTAGGAAACCAGACTGCCCAAACACTAATAATTAGTGGGTTAGGCGAAACTCCTAAGGTATGGCCTAGAATACTTTAAATCAACTTACAATCAACCCAGAGAAAGAGAAAAAGTGCTCATCCATCACCTTTCTTTCTCCTTCCGGAGTCACCAAGATATTTCAACTCCCTTCGTACTATTCACTTGTTAGATAGGAGCACTGGTAGGCTCGAAAGTTGGTGGCTCGGTGCTCCGTACTGGAATGTTGGAATGTTGGAGGAGTTCCAAGACCTGCAGCCTTGCTGTATGCAGGTGGACAAAGAAAGTTGCGGCTCGGTGTTTCCTCGGTTCATTGGGGGTTGGCAGTTCGCGCCTTCTAACCACCACCGCATCCAAAACATAGCTCCCAGGCGTGAAGCAGACTTGAAACCGCCACTGAGCTGGTCTTTCCCAGAAGCACTGACAAATCTGATATTGGGAATATATCCTCAGGGGTCCCATTTTTTTGCATATGGCCTTCACGCGATCACATCGTGCATTGTTAAAGTCCCGTTGAGCCCATCCTTCCCGTTGGACTAGACTTGCCAGTCACCTAGACATCAGAGACTCCTTAAGCCGAGCAAACCTCAGACAGAAACACATTAAAGATATTCAATTATCCAAGGCATAGGTTTCTTCCCTACAACATGTTTAACCAGCAGTGGGGTAACAGAAAACGCGGAAGGGAAGGAGAGGATGAAGGAGAGAATAATCCAGCGGGCTTCAGCGAGCACAGATCTGTAATTCTCTCAGCACTATGAACAATCCACAAACTTGTCAAACTTACGCGTAATAGAAACGTCGAACTGAGACTCTTCCTCACCGCCAATCTCCAAGCCTTGCCCAACCTGTATCCCCGCCTTTTATCTACAATACCAACTATACTTCTGATCCAGCTGTGCCTCCCACTATTACACCAGCAGATTCTGATGCAGAAGACAAGCCTCCTTCAGATGAACCAAGATCCTTCTTCTCGCCATTCTCCTCCTCCTCTCCAACATACACCATAACGCAGAGCAATCAGGGCTCACCATTTACCTCTCAGGGCTCCAGCCAACTATCTGATGTTGCCATGTATTCTGATGACTACGAAATGTCAGACTCAGTTCATCTCTCCCCAGGTCCATTCCATTCCGATCCATCCCGCAGCATCTCGGGTCGTATTCCAACTCCAATTCACAGTTCCTTTGCGCCATATATCCGTGCTGAGAAGGCCTCGCTCAACCAAGATGTCGAGTTCGCAGACGACGAGGCTGTAGTTGACAGAATCCGGCGAGGCAGGCGCTTGCCGAGTCCCATTAGTGAGGGCGAGATGAGTCCGAGTATCATATTGGGGTCACTGAGCGAAATGCAAATGGAGGTGGATACCTCGTCGCAGCCAGACAAGGAGACACCAACTAAAAAAGGGCACCAACGCTCAAAGCACAGCCTCAGAAATTGGACTGGGTTCAACGGAGAACTAGCTGGGGGTTCAGGAATGAAAAAGAGCTTCAGCATGGGATATCGTGCGGATTGTGAGAAGTGTCGAATGAAGGTCCCAGGCCATTTCAGCCACATTATTACGTACTAATGGTTCTATCGGAGGTTTTGTAACAGGTTTCGCGTCCCTGTTTGGATTTGAGTCGGTACGCGTTTTTAGCAAGCATGGCGTTGAGGAAAAGTGGTAATGTCGTAATGTCACGAATAATGTAATTCTCGGGGAAAGCTCATGAATATAATATTTTCTACCAGAGTCTCAGTTGTCAATCAGAAACGCCAGTGAGAAGACATTGTGCTAGTAACTCGTATCATTTCAAGTAACTTGGGAAACATTTCGCTGTAGGTCGTTCATATATTGTTATTTGGTCGTCCTATATTTTTGGGTATAACGCGGTCTACTCCCTTACAAACAGTCCAGCCATTCCCATGCCAGTGCCTATACACATACTTACAACTCCCGTCTCGAGACCTTGCCTTTTCATCTCTGGTAAGAGACCCGCCAACATTCTCGCACCCGTGGCACCAAGTGGGTGACCAAGAGCAATGGCACCGCCCTTGGGGTTCACTCTTCCCTCAACCAAAGCCTTCTCCAAGCCCAATTCTCTCAGGGTGTACAGAGCTTGACTAGCAAAGGCTTCATTGATTTCCCAAATCCCAATTTCTTCCTTGGTCAATCCGGTCATCCCAAGAAGTTTGGGAATTGCAAGAGCGGGTCCAATTCCCATCTCGTCTGGTTTGCAACCAACAACAGAAGTTCCCGCCCATTTTCCAATAATCGACGATGAGAGGCCCAACTCAGTAGCTGTGCTCCTCCTCATCAGTAAAGTAGCTGCAGCTCCATCCGAGATCTGTGAAGAGTTTCCTGCTGTCGAAGTACCATTCTCTTTGAATGCGGGTTTCAATTTTTGCATCCCCTCCATCGAAGCATTCGCTCTAATCCCATCATCCTTCGTAACAGTAATCTGTTGCAACTCCCCCACCTTCTCCCCCGCCTTATCTATCTCCTGAAATACCGTATGCACAGTAACAATCTCCTCGTCAAACAACCCTTCATCCTGTGCCTTCTTCGCCTTCCTATGTGATTCCACAGCGAAAGCATCCTGGTCCCCTCTACTAACCCCATACCTCTCAGCCACATTCTCACTCGTAAGTCCCATAGGCATTATACAATCCCTCACATCCGCATCCTCACTCGCCTTCAACGCGGGCCACAAATCCGTCGGAATAGCCCTCGATCCATAATTCCTCGTCATACTCTCCATCCCCCCTNATCCCTCACATCCGCATCCTCACTCGCCTTCAACGCGGGCCACAAATCCGTCGGAATAGCCCTCGATCCATAATTCCTCGTCATACTCTCCATCCCCCCTCCAATCCCCACATCAATCATCCCCGTCGCGATCTGCTGCGCAACACTCGTAATCGCCGTCAACCCCGAGCTACACGCCCGGTTCACAGTGTAGAACGAGGTGCTGGTCGGCAGACCGGCGTGGTTCATGGCCATCCGGCCGGCTTTCGAGCCGCCTAGTTCGGAGAGCACGACCCCGATGGAGACATCGTTTATGAGGGCCGGGTCGAGGGATGGGTTTGCGACGAGGGTTTGTTTGAGGACGGTGGAGAGGAGTTCTTCGGGGTAGGCGTCTCGGAGGGGGCCTTTGTAGGAGCGGGTTATGGGGGTGCGGAGGGAGGAGAGGATTACGACGTCGGTGGGGGATTTTTGGAGGATGGATGTGAGGCCTTTTCGGATTGGGGAGGCCATTTTCTTTTTCTTTTTTTGGGAAAGTTGTTCTTGGATGGAATTTTTGTGAGGAAGGAGGGATTCAAAGGAGAATGGGGTGTTTTGAGAGTATGAATAGTAAGAGGGACAAATTCAATTGAGTATTATATGGTCCGTCCCAAGACATTTTGTTGTTTGAAGCTCGGCAACGAGCCTCGGATAGGAAGCTCTGGTGGGGAAAATATATGCTTCCCCGGTTAATAACTTAACCGCAGTTCCGCCCTATCGAGCCTATGAACATGAAAAGTGGCCAATGTCTCTTTTCCTATTTCCATAGAGTTGTTTATACCAAGTACCCCAACTACTATACAAGCTAACATAAACCCTCGATATAGCGAACCCCAACTCGGAATACTACCTAGGTAGTCAAGAAAAAGATGGTGGATATTCATCTTCACGGGAGTCCCCAGGTTTCAGTTTCACCCCCACCCACCCCCGGAATTTTCTTTTGTTGCAAGTCGCGAAATTTGGACTAATGAAAAGGGTGGTTTGGGAAGCGGAGAGTTTGGATAAAACATGCTATGCTGACCTAAGATTTTTACAGTACAGTCGTGAGTGGGTGGGTCTTGCAGCAAAAATGGCGTTCTACTCGATTAAAACTTATAACCTTGTGGATAGTAGACGGGAGGAAACTGCGATTTTTCTCCGTACTTTTTCTTTGTAGGAAGTTTTGCTGTTGCTTTTCGTTTACGCATGAGGTTGGTAGAAAGAGGGCGAATTTTTCGTGGTGGAGATAATGAATCGTGTGTGTTGAGGGTTAGTGGGTGTTTTTTATTTTTTGTTTTGATTGGAGGCGGAGGATAATGTATAGAAGAGTTGAAGTGGACGTGGTTTAATGCACTAATACTGTGGTAAATCTTCGAGTGGAAATTTGTTTAGTTGGCGAGTTGAAGCACTTTTACCATCTTCATACACAGAATTATTTGCAAGCATAACATTTATAACCTGATAAATATGTAAGATGTAAGATGTCAGCGTTCGATTATAACATGTATTGTTGTAATCCCATTTTGGTGTAAAAATGGTTGAGGCCCCCTTTTAGGCTCGCTTAGCTTGTTTTCCTTCTTGCGGTGGACAAAAATGAAATGCGGCGGTAAATTTTCTTTGTTTTTCCACTTCTCTAGAATAGGTAGGCAATGACCCCAGATCCTCCAGACGATCGCTTTATCCTTCTTACTATTTCAATTAAATGTTTCAGTTACTTGAAATTTTTTATAATAATAGATAGAATACTGAAGTAAAGTCACGTAAATGAAGTATTACTTGCTCACGCTGTACTGTTCGCCGCTAGACCTTCTTCTAGAAATAGCTTATGTAGGTGGATGAATAACTATTTTGAGTCGAGATCGTAATTTGTGAAAGGTCGGGAAGCCATCTTTGTCGCAAGACAATCCACCGTGGTGTGGTTTTGACAAAGCAATATTGATCAACAAAGCGACCGAGAAGTTTGTTTACTTAAATGGCTGTTTTTCCTTTGTAACACTCAAAACCAGAGTCTATGAACAATTAGATAAACGCTTTATTTTACAATAGCTTTTGTGTCTCTTGTTATGGCCAGCACAATAAACAACTCGCTATATATTACAAGGAAAAGTCAACATTACAACCTACAAGAAAAACTACAGCTTAAAAATCCAAAATTTCAACAAAATGACAGACTCGACAAGCCAAAACATCAAAGATCTCCAAGATTTTTTTGACGACTACCCAGACCTACCGCCCCCAACTCAGTCTGCTTCCGCGAACCTACAAATGTTCCCAAAAGTAACCACACGGAAGAATGAATCAACCGGCAAGAATGGTCGACCAATCATCACTTTCGGAGTTGAGCTCGAGATGACAATAGCATGGATCTACCCTAACGACACCGATCCTGAACCTGAAGATCCACGTATAGTTAAGGGTATTGTTGTGGAAAATGTGGATTCCTCCCTCATAAGAGTACAAGTCTACAAGCATATTATGAACACCCTACGGAAAGCCGGCATTAGATGTTTATCTGATTGGGGCTTTGAGGCCGTTTTGGGCGAGAAAGAAACATATTGGCTCATCAAAGACGATGGGAGTATTTATCCTCCAACTCGACCATATGACCAAAGGGATGATTATCAATTCATAGGCGTCGAAATTACCTCACCACCCTTCTACTCCTGCGAAGACGCGCGTGCGCAGGCTGCCGTTGTTTACGATATCCTCACGAGCAATTATCGTGTTTCATGTCCGGAGTCGACGGGTATGCATGTGCATGTGGGACTAGGATTGCGAAATGGGGTTGAGAAAGCATGGAATACAAGGGTTCTAGCGAACCTGATGGCAGTGCTCTGGGTATTCGAAGATCGCCTGGACTTGATCCACCCACAGAGGCGACGAACCGGAGGATACAGCAATTTGTATTGTCCTTAATTAAGAGAAGCGGCAGTCCTTGGAGAATCACTAAAAGAGAGCCCCAACTGGAAGCGAGAGGGTCTAGAGAGTATCCTGGAGCTAAAAGACGAAAAAGACTGCATGGAAATCAGGAAATTGCTTTCTTTCAAAGGCGGTATCAACCGCGTAAACTACAACATCAGAAACCTCGCAGACAATGTCAAAAGGGGCAGGACCATCGAATACCGTCAAAATGAGGGCACTCTCCACGGTAAGAGGGTTAGCGCCTGGGTTAAGGTATGTGCGGGACTTGTGGAGTTTGCGCTTACAGTTGATCAGGACAAATTGGAAGATTTCCTTAGGCGGTGTGTGGATGACGCACCCGAAGACTATACCGTTATAGATCTACTAATAGCTATTGGCAGCTCAGACGTAGCGGAGTTCTACGCCTATAGATTTCGTGACAATGACCCTACTCAAACCCCCCCAACACCGTCTCCCCTAGACACGCCTCCTAGGGATGCCTCGCCCCCCGGAGAGGTGTATACTTTCTATATACTGGGGATGTAAGTTGTTGTCCCTCGCATTTCCTAGCTTTTCCCGTTGCTTTTTTCTTTCTTACTTTACAAATATAATCAGAATAAGGCCTCCCTCGTATTTCCTAGCTTTTTCTCGTTGCCTTTTCTTTCTTACTTTACGAATATAATTAGAATGAATCCCTTTTTATTATTTTACTTTGACTTGACAATATTTGTGACACCGTGAAAGACCTTTTAGTCAATGTATCTTTCTTCCTTTTTGGTTTGCAGTGCTCCTAAATGACCCTGAAGGGATGAATACCTTTGACTTACTCGATAATAGAATTTCGCTTATTCAGTGTAGAGCACGTGATTTTGTTATGAATCATTCCTCGGAAACAATGTCCTTCACTATGCAAATCTACAAGAAATGTCATCAGAACGCACAGCGGGGAAATGACAGGCTTCAACTGGCCAGAAAATAGCTCGACTGGTAGTAAGTATCCACGGAAGCATGTTACCATCAGAGTCTCTCTAACCATGGATCTATGCTCAAGTCTGCTTGTACTCCCTAGTTCTTGTGGAGTCAACAAGTAATATGGATCTCTTCAAACGTTCTCTCGAAATCCCGTGATAGAGAGAGATTCCAACCAACCGTACCATCTGTGTTGCTACAGAATGAGGGCAATTTCGATCATCGCGAGAGAGATCAATAAAGACTCATGTGAGCACCATCAAACGAGTTTGTGAATGGAAGGAAAGAACATCCGAGAGCATGGAATGGCTTAAGTCCCCTATGTCTCAGCTACCTTCCATTTCCACAGCATGATCTGCATTCCACAACTTCATTAAAACCTTGCTTACAGCGGATCTCGATTGGCAGAAAGTAATTGCTATGCGAGGAGCTATAAAGCCCAGTTAAGGGCTCTTGCAAAGGAACTGGGTTAGCATGACCGACACGAGAGGTTTTTTAATCCTTCAATCTCGAATATGCTTTTCAAATATTCCTCCTTATTAGCTCTCGCTACCTTCTTTTCATCCATCGCAGCAGACGCGAAACATAATCCCGTAAAGGACGCTCTCTCCAACTTCTTCTTTTCGGTCGCTGCTGGCAAGCCCTTTGATCCACCAGACAAGGACGTCACCCATGCAACTGTATGCCTTCTCCTCCTTTCAATATCCCACAAACGACTTCTTGATCTAGCTAACCCACCACTAGTTCGATGAAGCAGGAAATATCCCCCTCCGACCTCTTCGGCAAGTAGGCACGTATAAAGGAATCAGCTACAATGGCTTCCAACTCGTCTCGCTGCCCGCAGGCGGGTTGATAGCACAATCCGGCAACAACGTAGCCCTATACGGCACCCAAGGCGCTACCAATCTTGGACGGCCGAATCTGGAAACCGCTGATAACCCATTCGATTTATACGAGTTTTACTTTGGGTGTGTGCTTCTCGGGACTGACGGGCCGATATTTGATTCCCCTCAGCCGTGCACTCTTACCATCAAATCTGAGCGACAAGATGGGTCTCAGTTTAGCCAGCAGTTCCGGTCTGCACCTGATAGCCCGCTGCAAGCGAGGATGTTTCGAGCGATTGTTGATAAGAATTTTACGGGGATTAGGGTTGTGCGGTTTGAGACTTTGCCTGATTTGCAGGTCGTTACGATTTTCGATAATTTCGCCTATACTTTGAACACGAAATGATGTTATTGTGAGGATACCGGAATGAGCCTGCTTTTGGTGTGAGGAATCCCCTGGAGTTTAACATGCGACATCATGTATTGATTGAAAAGTTTCCTTTCAGCGTGGTCGTGTATGTATCGAGGGCAATCGCCCTTGAACTGGGTATTCAATGGGGGGAGTTCTGTTTTTCTAGATTGGTTATAGGTATAACAAATGGAGGTCGTGTTTGCCATCTCTTTCGCTATACTTTCTACCAAATTTCACCTGTCCACATCCATTCGTGTATTGTGATGCAGAGCAAGTATTCTTAACACAACGTAAGCTGGCTTCTTATTATATATATTTATATATATAACCGGATATAGCCTTCATAACTATAATATTATTAAGATATACGTCAGCTTGTCGTTTCCGTTTACCGTTATTGAGGTCGCTCTTAAGGTGCCTGCCTCAGTGTCTATTTTTTGAGGTGCAGACCTCTGTGCGATATGCAACAAAATTTTAAACTTTTTAAAGAGGAAAGGTTAATGTTAGAGAGTTGGATTCACTATATAATAACTGGCGAAGTCGGGGGTTAGAGGCTTCGTTTACCGTTCTTGGGGTCTCTCAGGTGTAGATTTTTCAAGGTGCAGACCTCTGTGCGATGTGCAACAAAACTTTTGACTTCCAAAATAGGTAAGAGAATGGATTCATTATGAAGATAACAGCCTCAAGAATTCCGTCTGCCGGTGAGTAGGGGTGGTTGAAAGAGGAGAGTGAAGTTGGCTTTGAAGGAACCTGATATTCTAGAAATCTCGGGAGAACCACCTTTATCAGCCATCATTCAGCCGTTCAAGAATAATTGGATATCCTACACAGTCATCAATACAATGGCCATATACCAACTTCTTTCCTTCTCTTCCCACAAGAGAAGGATCATAAGAACCACAGCATAAAAGACTCACTCAATAAGATTCCCATCCAGATCCCTACAATAAACACTCGCCAATCGTCCCCTTGCTCCCGTTCTAACCACAATACCCTCCCCAAGACCCAACCCATTACCTTCGCCTCGAAGATCAACAATCTCCACCTTGGCTTCAATCAACCTCTTTCTCACTTCTTTCACAGGATCTGTTGTCAGGAAACACAGATCAGCAGAGCCGGGTTGTACTTGAAGAGCCTTAGGTTCGAATTCCTGTACCCGGTCAGCTTATATTGGTCTTTTGTTTCACAGTCATACGCAGACAACGAACCTTTCCGCACTCATGTAGATTTATCTTCTGGGTTCCAAAGATTAATGAGTGCCGTGTGATATCAGGTGTAGAAGCAGAAACGAAAGATTCGTGCTTCATTCCTAGGTTTTTGGTGTACCATTCTTTGCTTGCGGAGATGGACTTGACGGTAAGGACTAGGTGGTCGAGGGATTGGATTGTTGCTGCTGGTCTGGGGATTGATGATGTCATTTTATGAGGTGGTTTGAATGGGGGAGAATTGATTTGGTAAATAGGCATGTGTGAGTATGAGACCTGGAGAGGTTGAAGAGACAAGAATGAAGGATGAAATGAGTAGATCTTGAACTGCTTCTACGAGATGTGGCGTGATGAGTGCGTGAAGCAAGTTGTAAGCTGAAGCTAACCAGTCCAGCCAACAGACCTCTGTTTGTATTGACTAGATCAATCTTGGATAATCCGGCGCATCATCAATCACATGCATATTTCAAATAATGCTTCCGAGATAGAATTCACATCCAAGACGTATACTTACGAAGAATTTTAGCACGTCTATTAGGTGTGTATTTGCCCATCTTAGTCACTGCACAAGTCCTCCAGAATGCCAAGCATCTTCCTCTGAAGCTTGACCAACTCAATCTCGTCAATCAGCGCTTTTCCACCAGACTCTTTGGAAGCATCTCCGCGTCCGGTATTTGCGTGGGACATCGGTCTGATTAGTTCAGTTCGAGTACCAAAAAAAGGAACCCCCATATTCCTCAGTTTAGAGGTCATTTCTTTTGCCATTTGCATTTGGGCCTTGTAAACCTTCATATCAAAAGTTTCAAGCTCTCTTGCCAGCTCTTCGGTGGTGTTAGTAGGTGTGTTACTAGAGACGGCACCGCCTATTGCCTTCCTGTGATTCGATTAGCTTGCTAAGAGGTTTGCCGCTCTGGGTGCTATCTTACATGACCTCGTCAAGCTTCTTCTGCCCTTCTTTGCGTGCTACCTGTCTCTCAAGAAGTGCCTCGCGTCCCTTGAACCATTGCTGTCAACGTCAGTATTTTCACGTTAATAAATACCTCCCATTTGAAAAGAAGTTGTATGAGCATGAATGACCTTCTTAGTGGCGAAGATTGTCTCAACACTCTTGGACATAACATGCAAGAGTGATGAAATTCAGATAAAATCAGAGAAAACGTACTTCCTCGTGTTCATGCTGGACCTTGATCATTCGCCGAATATCATTCATGACATTTTCATGCCTGGCAACGGTCTTCATCACACATCTTAATCCAGCGGACCACTCGGTGATGGTAGCAGGATCAATAGGGTTTGGTACAGCTGCAACCGGTGGTGGACCTGGTTGGATTGATCTAGACGCTTGTTCGAGTTGTTGCTGCAGGATTTGCTGGTATTGGTGATTTGGCTGTGTTGATTGGGCTTGATGATAGGGGACCGGAACTTGAGACGGACCAGATTCTTGAGGCGGAGGTGGAGCTTGTGGTGGTTGAGGCTGAGGTTGAGGGGCGAGACTTGCTAGACCAGCAAGAATGGATGCCAGATCCGGCGCTTTGTAGTCATAATTTGACATTTTGTACTGTACTTGTGTTGACTGCAGGTCGTCTGTGTACGGAGTTTTATATTTGGAGGAGTCTTGAGTCTCGACTCGCAAGTCCAGTCTCGCAGTACAGTATGCGACGGAAAAACCGCGGATATATATCCTGCCAAGACCATTTTTTGGTCGGGTCATCGAACGCTTGGTGAACATTTGGGAGAACCCAGCCAGCCAGCCAAAAATTTGGATATCGATAACGCATCGTCTGATCCACCACCACCACTGTAATTGTAGATATCACCGCCACCAATTCCCATTGTCGCCTCTCTAGGTATCTTCCCCTCTTTCTATCCTTCGATATGCCGCGATCGGCGACAGATGCCACGCGCTTCACAGCAACCACCCCGCATGCCTCTACGAAACCATTGCCATTAGGCTCGAAGCCACCATTTAATTCACAACCCACACGCAAACCTGGTCCTGCGGGCGAGACACCACAAGAAAAGGTGCGCCGGCTGCGAGCTGCAGCCGATAGAGCTCGAGATGCACAAGTTTCAACATTTGACAAGTTTCTGGTGCGGGGACGGGTGTGGGCGGATAGAGCGCATCGATTTACTGCATTGAGTTTGATTTTTGCGACTGGTATGTGATAGGTTACCCGCCGTCTTGAGTTCAAAATTGAGTCTTGAGAGGCACAATTTTATCTCTATCTAGGTCACTAATGCGCATTCTACAGTTGTTGCTGGAGGTGTAACGGTCTACGCACTGGGAGACATGATGATCCACAATCGAAGAAAACGACGGGAATTCATAGCAGAACAACAAGCATTACATGCATCAGCCTTACGAACAGCCCAATTGGCTATTGATCATGGGACAGCAAGCGAAGAACAAATCAAATTTATGAACCGGGAAAGACAGTATCTTGCCGATTTGGAGGCAGAAAAGGCGGCTAGGGCTGCGAGGGGGGGCATTTTCAAACGAAGTAAAGATTGGATGCTGTCGGGGCTCAAGAAAGAAGAACAAGGAGACGATGTTGAAACCAGCGAACTGACGTGGGGATATGAGGGACAGAGTAAAGAGGCTGGTTCTTCGGGGGCGAGGGAGAGTGATGTTGTGCGAGCAATGGAGGATAAGACGTCGGCCCTCACAGATAAAGCCAAGCAGGCTTTCGCTGACGAGAAGGAGAGGCAGAGGAGTGGCGGCCCCCTGGATCGAATAGGGACTAAAACGGCCGACGAAGACTCGGACCAGCAGCCAAAATCTGGAGGCTGGACATCCTTTATGGTTCGACGTTGATGTTTGCTGTACGTTTTAAATGTAAGACTGTATCATATGGGCAAGAGAGGTGTTGCATGGGAAAGGCGTTGGATCTTCCATATAGTGGGAAGCCAAATCTATATTTATACCAATTACTCACCCTTCTATTGGTACTATCTGCTGTCTTTTCACTGCTCTCCTTTGGTCTCTTCTTTTGCCTTGAGGTATCTTTTCTTGTTCAATGTACAGTTTTGTATCTGCATTTCCTGTTGATACACATGGTATTACAAAGTCGTTCTTCCCAAAATTACCTTGCTCTTAATCGGATTTTGGTCTTCTCTTTCCCCCCTCAGATGCCTAACCAAGGCGATTTCCCCGCTCCCAAGATTTATGCCACATTATGCAACTACCTCTACTTCTCTTATACAGCAAAAGTCTCTTCTCCCACTTGGTAGAAGCTCGAATGGCAACCCGCCGAGACAGTTCTCCGGTATGTTCGCTTAGGGCTGAATACCAGATAAATTCGAGTAGGAGTATCTATCTCGAAAACAATTGTTTGATAACTGAATTTTGTTATCAATAAAGGTTGAAATTATAACGACTACGAGAGAGGTATCGAAGCTCTTTGTCTAGGACCTATGGCGGACAAGAAGGCGAGATCATCTGGGCATACTTAAGCATTGCTATGCTCAAAGAATGTAGAGAGCTGTTTTGAGTTCACCAAAACACATTTACCTCGAAGTACTCGTACAAGTAAACACTCCAAGGGTCTTCGCCGATTGGTAGCTTGCAAAATTAGCCATGATGCGGATTTTGGAAATGGATCAATCGCGTTGCCCAAAGTGCTCCCGAGCCCCATCCCGTCGTTGGCAGCCAATAGTCGTGCTCATTTACAGAATTCACTCCGTGGGCCTATTTTCCGAGCCAGTAAGCTTGTCTCAGACCCTGAAATATTTACCCATGTCAACCAAATTATTCGTGACCATGATGTCAGAGCTTAACGTACGAGTACGGTGCATTGAATTCGTTGAGTTCTCGAAGCCTTGTTGTCGTCGGGTACCAAGTGAAGAAGCATCTCATATTTTACGCTATCCCGTCTCCTGCAACACCTGCACCTCCAGTTTGCTTTGAATACTCTCACGTCCTTCTATGCGATCTTAGCGATTTGTTGTTTCTGTTCGCATCGTCTGACTTTGCCACAAAGCTTTCCCCTCATGTTGTAATAAACACAGCTTCGCATCTACATTTCACCCGACTATGGCGAAGACTTTTGAACACGAACCTATTCGCGGCAGATCTGGTCCACCAAGACCGAGTTTTAGCTCCATGAAGACATCAGATCGACTGCGAGAATGCGAACAACGCCCTTCATCAGTATCAAAAATCCGACCTCACAGGCGGTCCATATTTAAGGAAGAAGGACTAGAAGATATGGATAGCAGCATTCATCCCTCTCACCCAGCTAGCAAACTACACAGAAACACAGAGGAGAATACGATTACCAAGGATACGAATATATCAACAGAGAGTAAGGAGCCGGCTAGGAAGGAGGATACGAATTATTCCCACGGTGGCGGTAATACAGCTTGGTATTCGAAGTTGATAAAAGGATCAAGACCGCAGATGAGAGGTACATCTTCAGCACCTCCGAGTTCTTTTTCGACTTTTCCTCGAGCTGCGTTGATTGCATTTTTGATTGCTGTGGTCGTCCCTGGACATCGCTATTCTACGGGTGCAAACGCAGGTGTAATTGAAAGAAGGGCAGACTCTACGGATATATGTACCCGCTGGGCTCATCAATCTGCCCTTGTGAACTCAACTGCTTATATATATGGTGGCCAAACTAAAACAACCCCTTCACAAACCACCGATACGGTAAGCAACTCATTCGTTTGCGTTTGCGTCTGAACATCCATCTGGCTGGTCAGGCATCGTTCATTGGTTTTTTGATTACTCTTATGAGAAAACATTGGCTAATATATTGCAGTGGAGTAAGTGAAATCTCGCAAACGTATAGAAATGAACTAACATGGTCAGACAATAATCTGTTGAAGCTGGACCTGGACAAGAGCTGGAAGATTACATCTCCGGCTTTGACAGCTTTAGCACAGCCACACGGACCACCTGCTGTAGCTCTGGGTGCTTTGTGGAATTCATACAAGTCGCTCTTCGTGTACGGCGGATATTTCTCTCAGTATCCCCCCGTTTCCCCTTCGCCTCTCTCGACCTGGGAATATTCGATTGTCGATGATCGGTGGACTGAGCACAAAGACCCCAAAACTTCAGCGGGAAATCATTCGGAAGGCGATAACCAGCCAGTTCAGAGAGCAGCCGAAGGTGCCGGACTGAGTGTTCCTGAAATAGGCAGAAGTTGGTACTTCGGGGGGCATCTTGATGAATGGACAACCCTGGGATGGTCTAACCAAATATCCCGTGTTTATTTGAAATCTTTTCTCGAATTGTAAGTTGCGCTCTTCGTAGCTTTTATCATTCGTATTCGCTGCCTTCGCAGCGGACAAAATATGTGGCAGGAAACCATTTACTCCTTATTCCAAATTTCTAGGTTGATTAAGGATGATTTACTCGAATCTTTAGGACAATTGTTTTAATTGTTCAAAGGATTTGGTTGATTATTTAAATTGGCCGAAATAGTTAGAATAAAGGATTACTTACTTGCGAATCAAGTTGTGCTAATGGAATGGAACCTCTGTCATTCTTGTCCCGCGCGGGCCTGTTATATATTCCGTTTTCGGTTTCCTAAGCAATCAGAGACTAATATGTTTTACAGCACACACCCAGGATACTCAAATTCCGGGGTCTCCTCATTGGGTAATACCAAAGCCGCCGGTTCAGATGGCGTATACAGAAACATCACCCAAGGAGGATTGCAAGAAGCTGCCGGATTTACTGAACGAGCTGATGGGGTTATTGTGTACATACCCGGCTGGGGAGCTGAAGGTATTATCCTCGGTCTGGCGGGAGGCACCAATACAACCTTTGTAAGTCTACCACGTTTCCCAAGCATTGGAGCTTACCTAACAATACCTAGACTGAGATGAACGTCATTGACGTATTTGATGTTGCCAACGGCGAATGGTATAAACAATCGACATCAGGAGAAAGCCCACCAATTCGAGTCAATCCATGCGCAACTGTTATCATGGCTCCTGATGGATCAAGCGTCAATATTTACTTATACGGGGGACAGAATCTTATACCGTTTGGAGAGCAAATACAGTACGACGACGTATGGATTTTGAGCATTCCAAGCTTCACTTGGTTAAAAGTTGATACGACTGGTCAATCTAACCCACCTGCTCGTGCTGGTCATACTTGCGCTATGTGGGATGGACAAATGGTGGTGGTTGGAGGATATGTTGGCAAGGATATATCATGCGACTCTCCAGGCATTTATGTTTTCAATGCCAGCTCCCTAAAGTGGAGCAATGAATTCACGGCCCTAAGCTCAGGCTCAAATTCGCAAGCAAGTTCCGATTCCTCCATAATCCAGGGTTCATTTGGGTATCAAGTACCAGATATTGTTCAATCAGTTGTGGGAGGCGGTCCTCAAGGCGGAGCTACAGTTACGCAACCAGCCGCTGGATCTGCAACTGCAGGTCCAATTGCAACGGGTAAACCTCCTACCTTCACAGTAACACAGTCTGGATCTACTGTCACTCAAACTTCTGCACCTGTTGGCTCCTCTCAGTCTACACCTGCAAAGTCTGGCCCTAATGTGGCAGCAATTGCGGCTGGAGTTGTTGCGGCTGCTCTGGCAATATTAGCCGCCTACCTTGCTTTCTGCACTTGGCTCTACAGGAAACAACTTAACCAATACAAAAATCACGTAGCTATGTCTCAAAGACGAGACCCAAGCCCTGTTCCAGGAGGACGTCTCAACGAGAAGGTGGCAGGCGCTGGTGTGTTCGTCGGTCCCTTTGGAACGGATCTTTCTACTGGACGACCATCAGTTGGCGAAAGTTCACATTCCAGTGTCCCCGCTGGTTCTATCGCCGCTGGTTCTGTTGTTACACCTTCCTTTACACCTTCCTCTGGGGTCACTCCTGGTAGTGGAGGTAGCGTGCCTACGCCTTCCACATACGCAGGTGGCTATGGCGGAGGAAGCATGCCCGGTGGTGGCATTACTGGAAAAGGATACAGTGAAGAAGACGAGGGGAACGAATATCACGGCAGTACATCTGCTCCTTACGGCCGGCCAAGTGGGTCGACGGCGAATTCTTCGACGGAAGATCTGCTTTCAGGTCAAGAACCTAGTTTCTTTAATGTGGTGCTGAACCCAAGAAGGACTTTGCGGGTTGTGAACAGCGATTAATTTGGATTCTTCGTGGTCTTCGGCTACGGATCACCATGCGAGGATGTATTATGGCAGGGAAACGATGTGATATGGAGTGTAACGATAGATGTTTTTCTTGGGAGTTTTTTTTTCATTTTTGTTTCTTTTGTCGTTTGGAAACGAAAGGACGTTGGTTGTGTTGCCTCGTGGCTTGGTGTTTTTACATTCTTTAATGATACCCTTTTCTTATTTCTACTACTGTACCTGGAGGTTTGGTCTTAGTAAAACATATGTTTTTATATAGCTGTGTTATACTTGTCTGATATATATATAGTTTATCTTCTTATGAACATCTGTTGCTTAATTCAAGTTCCAGTTGGTAGGTGGTCGCTACATCGCCTAGTTGATTCGCCGTTAAATACACATCAGCTCATTGATTTGAAATATGCTAAGTTCAAGAAATTGATGAGGTATCTATTTATATCGAGTAAAGAAAATAAACAAGTAATGATGATATTATAATCTATTTTGCTCTGAGCAGAGGGAGTGGAAGCCCTCGAGCACTTGTATTACACGAACAAAATTCAGTTACTCGAACGCTTCTACATCGTCTGCTCAGCGCAAAATCGATTATAATATCATCGAATATGGCACCAAAATAAAGCAAATTACCGATGCGAAAGTCTTCGGGCATGAGATCAATATTTATGACATTCGCAGATAGTTTTCATGGCATTTCCTCACGGGAACAATGACTGTCAAATGTGTCAAATTATTGTTTTGATGGTGGCTCTAGAGCTCCTAGCGAACACTAATGTACAATGTGTTGAATCAAATCAACCCCTTTCAAGACTTCCAACTATAAAATCCCAAAAATACAGCATTATCTAAAGAAATTACACTTTCATGGTCGTGTAGAAACAACCAAGAGTATACACCCAAATTCCCAAAGAAGTTCTCAGCGGCAGTGAGAAAACTTCGCAGGAAATGGAGGAATTTAGTTTCCGTCTGGAGATGTGCAGAGAAGTGCTTGGTCCAACTTGAAGTCTAGGTCAGTATATACGTCAAAACCTCATGGGAATGTTACTTACGATTGGAAGGATGCAACACATGTTCTGCTTCCCAACAGAGGCACAGATATCACTGAAGTTCTGGATACTGGTTGGTACAACAGGTGCTATAATGATGTCAGTTCAAGTTCAATCCATCCAGAGGTATATCGGATTTTACTTACGGACTTCACAGTTCAAATCCGCAACGCCGAGGACGTCCACATCGCAACATTGAGGGGTGGAAGTGCATCCAGTGAGTGTTGCTTGGCGGCTCTCGAGGTCGAAAGGGGCTGCGAAGGCGGCGGCGACGAGACCGAAGAATGTGATGGATGAGGTAAGCATGTTGAAGGTTGTTTATTTATTTCTTTGGTGAAAGACTTGGGAAGTGTTGATGGATTGTTGAGTTGGTTGGAGATACGAGGATGCGATTGTTGATGGAAAAGTTGAGATTTGGAGGGAATTCTGAGATACTTTATAGATTCCCCGACACACTTTATGGTCTCGTCGTACATTCTTGGACATACTCTATGACCTCTTCGTGCCTGTTGCTCACGCTTCTTTCCTTGAACTGATGGTTTATTATGATGATCTGAATTTACTACTTAAGCCTAATTGGGTAGTACAAGAGAGGAAAAACTACGCTTTGGACAACAGTGCCCATCAAGCCGGTCAATTACAGGCGAGAGACATCCCTGTTTTGTGGGTTAACATTTATTTTACCAAGCCTTGACGAACTCGGAGAATATATAAAGTTGAGATGGAGTCCACTTTGTGGGAGGCATGTTGTGGGTACTGTAGCGTACCAGAACGGGGCTAGAGCTGGCCCAATGGACAAGGCTGGTCCCATTTAGGGAAAGCCATGATGACGATCAAAAGTATTCTGGGAACATTTCCTGAAAAAAGAATCCATGTCTGTTTCATTGCCTTCGTAAATCGTCATCTTGCAAGGTTAATATTGTGGTGGTTTGTGGAGATTTTTGGTTGGGATAGGATACACGTCTCCGTCAAAGGTGGCCTGTCGATCAATAGTACCTGGCTGAAGGCCGAAGAAGATGTTGGCATGGGTGGTAAGCATCAGCAAGAATTCAAAAAAAAAAAAAAGATTGAGCTTCCCGGCGATGGTTCCTGAGTTGCAGACCAAACTAAGTGAACATTTGGTACAGGGGGCATTGCCACCCGAGCCGTTTGGCGACGGTATTCAGCTTGTCTAGGGAGGATTTAGCAGTGAAAAAGGAGAATCATCGTCATTGTAACCAGGTTTAAAGCGGATTATTATGACCTGTCCAAACAAAACACGGGGTAAGGCAAGGCCATTACAATGCTTACATTGCGGTTGCTGTAGCCCAGCCCAGGTTAAATCGGGTGAGATGGTGTGCAGTGACGAAAAAACTTACTTCGAAGAGACTTGGACATGGCTCTTCTGGGACACCGGTCTCTTTTTGCGACCAGTCCTGCCCATATGAAGCTCGATCGTAAGTACTCTGTATTTGACCTGCAGAGATATATTAGAATCTACCACTGGGGGAAAAAGAGTTCAAATCATTTCTGGATCGAAGTTCTGCCCTTCCGATTCATATCGTACCGGCTTTCTTCATAAAAACTGGGGATTCCAGATTGGACCAAGAAAGTTGCTTCTCGTCTTCAAATTTCGAAGTCAAGCGAGGAGAAGAAAGCCGGGGCTCGCTACCGCGTGGTGGCAACGGCCCACAATGACAAGGGGCCCAAACCTGGAAGAGCGGCTCACCCGATTCGGTGATGCTACCCAAAAAATGGCGAGAAATGGACGTTTATCATCATCGACTTCTAGAAAAGAGATGGATTCAGGAGTCTGGTAGGGTGACCTTACAGACGGTTATGCGGGGTTAAATTAAGAAAGTGATGCAAAGGTCCCGCTTGACAATGCTCCACACCCTCGCTAAGCTGACAACCAGGGGTATTTCGGCAGATTCCTGATTTTTGTTTGACGCAGGGATGCATTGCATCTGGTCATGTCATTCAATTACAAAGTTTCTTTTCATGACTGGGAGGGTATAATACGATATATAATACCCGTCATTCGTCTTGGGAGCCCAGGTTCTGTGGCAGTCTCCTCTTTGCCTTCCTTGCCACTGACGTCTGCGTGTGATTTTCCAATTCCCCACGGCAGTACCTCCGATGTCAAATGCCAATTGGACTTTCCCATGTTGTTACTGTAGTCACGGTAGCAGTGTATTTTCGGAAGTGAGCCGAGAGTTTTGAGGCTGTGTCATACATATGGAGTAAGAGTGCAGTGCTGAAGTGCAGCTTAGCCACCAAGTACCTTCCGATCTACAGTGGTATACCGAGGGGCCCTTAGAAATTTTCAAAATGTTCATGTGATTTTAGATACTATGTTGAGAATTTCCGCACGATAGTGCACCATTGGCATTTACGGGCCCCTGGACATCCTGACTGCATGTCCATAGCATCTCAATCTATATCAGAAACTTGATTCTTGCCGAGGGCAAAATAATTTAGCTGAGAAGCGTTTGTCGCATGTGTGGCAAACGACAGAAGGAGAAAAGGCAAAAGAGCAAGCCAAAACTTGCGAAAGAATCAATGGAACATTCCTCCACCTGTTATTCGACATCTTTGGCGAACTCTAACGGTTCTGAACTCTCTTCTGAGGATCCAATATCTTGAGATTAGCTCCCTTATGCTCGTGAATCCGTTTAGCTCTTCGTACCGCATTATTTTCCATCTTACCTATAAACTGTGTTTAGGTCTTTTGATGTCAACTCAACAGTAGACTCTAGTTGTCAGTTAGCTTTATTGTTCTGGATTGCAACATCTTGCTTTTCTAAAATGCCTACTCTTACCTTTTCTTGAGTAAGAGTAACGTACCTACCTATAGTTACAGATCGCCATTGTGGTTTCGACACTTCATTTCTCAGTTCGGAAAACAGTACTGTTGGATCACCATGAAAGCAAGAATACGAATCTTCTACGAGTAGTTCCCAGGTAATCTACATACAGTTCCTCAGAAATATCGTAATTCTGGTTGTTAAATATTGCTACCAGAATCCAGCACTTGCAAGTGTTATCACTGAATCTGACTCGTACTTTTCTTCTGCCGCACTAGCACTACGAGTACTAGCTTTTAATAAACAGCAAAGACAAAAACACTCACGCAAAGTCTACCTGAGAGTCAGTTCAACTAGAAAGGGGTTAACCTCGTTCTAATTTCACTATTCCAGTGCCCCGGCGCATATTCAGTTCACTTTTAAAGCAAGTAAATCAGGCTTGAATACCTAGTCACGGATTGTTCAAGAGAGACTTGGAAAGATCAGAGACTTCACTTCTTGTTACAAGACAGAAAAAGAAGAACTCTTCAATTTGCAAATTACGGTACAGTTAGGTACTGAATATCCCTGAATGATCCTGGTACCCGATATTAGGAAGTGAATTAGTATTAAATATGTTGCAACATTTTTGATCCTTACTAAGCTCTAGTCAGCATCTTGACCAGGGTAAAAATGTAGGGAGGTGTGTTCAGAGAAATCACCAAGTCTCATATATCGACAATGAGCCTGTAGATATACCTTGTGACAACCACATATAGCTAGCTTTAAAGAAAGCAGGGTATCACGAAAACAGTTTGGGGAGAGTGTCCGATCGGCGTTCCGCCGCGTCCATTCAGAAGCCTCAGATCGCTAGATTAGTATTAAGGTGGAAAACCACCAGTGAGTGTCCGATCGGCGTTCCGTCGCGTCCACTTACACACACTGGCTGTTTCTTTTTGCCATTTTCTTTTTGGCTACTTCGTTTCGCTCAAAAAAAGGGGAGTATTAGATGGCTTAGAACTAAGCGATAATACGATATTTTTCTCGCTTCTATACCCCGTCTCAGCTGACGAGAATGCGGCCCTGACATCGCGGGACTGGCCCGACTTAAATCAAACCTTGGACATGTTGAGGTGCCTGCTGTACATGCAGAGCTCGCGGTCAAAGCCAAATTTGGAGTAGTTCCTTAAATTTATCGTGGGTCTCGACTCGAACACGACGGGGCGACACATCTGTGTTATGGTGGGGATCAAGGAATAGATTGTTCGCAAGGAGGGAAGAGAGACGCTCTTCGCACTCCTTAGGTATTTGTCTATCTACGGAAGGGTACACCCGCAACTTCGCTAAGCGAACCCTTATTCACTAAATCAAAAACTGTCACAATCTGGATCCTTCCCTTACCTACCTAGGTAGATACTTCACAATTCTCAAGCTTGTGGCTTATCTAGGTACATTGACCACTCTACCTACTCGACTGAGTTTCTTTCTCACCTATATGAGGACGCGAGAATATCATGATTGTCGCACAACTCTGCCCTCCACATCACTACCAGAATTTCATCTTCAGTCGTACCTACCCCCTAGCTAGCACTAAGCTCCACGAGAGATATGAAGTTCTGGACTAGTGAATCCACACGCCGTATTTCTCAAAACGCTTCTCAACCTACCTGAACGCCAGAGAACCCATCCCAACTCCTTCGAGTGCCATCTAGAAACAAGTCGAGGTGAATTAGAGGATTTAGACCAGGTGTAGTTGTATCTATAGGTATCGCCAGCCAGAACCGTGTGATTATCTTATGCCATGAATTTATATCATGAATTCCAAGTTACTAACGGAACAACACGATCCCGATCAATACGGCAGCATCTCTCCTCCCATATAGCACCTATCACGCCCAGAATTATAACCCACCCTTCGATTTATCGCCCTTGACCAAGGAACTTATATTGCGACTTTGCTCTCTTGGCTTCAAAGGCGGGTCCAGGAAGTAGAGAATTATCACATTCAGTTACATGGGAAACCACCTATAGGCAGGAACTAGCCCTTCTTCATGATTCGAGGAACGGAAGTACACACTTCAACTGGCATGATATCAAGACGGTGTCTAGATACCTTTAAGAGAGAAGGGGAATGAAGCAAAACTTACGTCTTGTTCAGAGATAGAACTGGTAGCACGTAGAATCTGATACCTATAATTTATCAATCCCGAGGTAGTTAACGAGAGACCACTTACCTTTTTTTACCTACCTGGATGTGAAACACTTCGTGTATCTAGGTATCATCAACAATAAAACCAACCTAACTAGGGGCACGAGCTTAAAGTTATTACTAATTAGGTACCTACTGTAGCAAAAACCTTGAACCTTGAACCGAGAGCTATATATTTTTACAACCTATCTGGGTAAAATAGGGAATCAAGTAGGTCTTTAAATTAATTGGTACGTGTCGTTAACCTCTCTGCTATTTTCACAATATTAACTCTTCTAATCAGAGGGATAATGGGAGATAGATACTTGTACTAGGTAATACCACAAGAAGAGAAGAGAAAAGAGAAAGCAAAGGAAAGAACCTATGTTCTCAACGCCAAGAACCGAAAGAACTCCTACCTACCAAGGACAGACGCAAAAAGAAATAAAAAAATAACAACTACATAACATTAAGCAGTACTCAGAAATAGGTATAACAATCGTTACGACAGTATAAATCAACCCCAACCCCATCTCCAGAAGAGTAATCATCTCTACAGTAAAGTACGGCGACCAAAAGAGGTGGGTTACGGGTAAAGCTATAGGTATACAAGCGAACTGTAGAAATAGCGAAAGATCCGACTGGTTGGTCTCCCTCCTAATGGGAAGATGCCCATGTACCAATAAGTCCGACGAGGCCTCCAGGGACAAAGAGTCATGTTCTACAGGTGTAAAACTCTAGACGTACTCTCCCGGTGGACAAGAAAAGTGGCAGAGATTCATTTTTTTAACTATTAGCGTAAGTTAATTCCAAGTACTAAAATATTTAAAATATTAGAACAATTGCCCTCATTGTGCTATCGTTCGATAAATCATTTTAATTGTTCCAAATGGATAAAATAATATAGTGGTTTTTAGTTAAGTTAGGATAAGATAAAAGAGATCTCTGCCACTTTTCTTGTCCACCGGGAGGTACTGTAGCCTGACGGGAAGCGAAGAAAGAATACCTCAGACATGTGATAGAGAGAGAGAGCGAGCACCACTAATAATGTATCCTGAAATGCGAAGGACGATAGCATGACAATAAAAATGGGAATTTATTCGTATCTCATGCTAACTTGAAAGCACCCACCCAACGAAGCAAATAGAGCAACAAGATAGAGAAAGAAAAGAAATCATTTTCCTTAACCCAACCCGGCATGAGAGTCGTTAAATGCCTTGCCTTTTCGCGCCAAAAGGAGAAAAAGAAAGCAATCCGTCCATACGAGTACAAATTCATGAAAATCACCATTATCTCCACCGAATTATCTTTCACTGCTTTCATCGTTACGGAAACATCGAGCTATTTAAATTATAACTCCTCCTTGATCTTGTCACCGGCCTTTTGTGCAGCCTCTCCAGCACGGTTGGTGGCAGAGGTAACTCCCTCCTTGACGGCATCAGCTGCTTTTTGACCTTGGTAACCGGCCTCTTTACGGCCAGCTGCGGCACCAATGCTCAGCTGATTCAAGACCCATTGGACACCGTTGCTGAGCTTAGCATATAGAGTTCCTTGAGGAGTAGTGGCACCGTATTGGAAATAATTTCGAGCATTTCGCGCATAGGCAACAAGTTGGTTCTTGGTGGATCCTTGGGGCACCTTGAATCCGTAAGAGTCGAGATAGTTCTTAAGTTCTAGGACATTGTTTAGCTAAGCATTTAAGAAATTTGTGGAAGAGACTTACCAGATTCGGACCATGTGTCGAATACCGAGTCTTTGGCAGCATCAGTTTGCTTTGCCAAATACGAAGTGACGGAGGCATAAGCATCGCCACTAGCACTAGAAGCAGAGTTGTACGAATCTTGAACTGCGGAGAGGAGTTGTTCGCGTGTAGCTCCTACCTTGTTGGCAGTCTTCTTTGCAGCTTCATCACCGGTTGCCAAAAGGTAAGCCTTGAGGTTCTCAATAGTCCAGGTATCAAATGTCCATGCAGACCAGCCGGTAGCAGCTTTGTGTTTGTTAAGTCTAACAGCTGCAAGAAGCTCATCTTTCTTTCCTGATTGTGGGACTGGAACACCTCGGGCATCCAAATATGCCTTCAGTCTTGATTGACTCCATGTAGAAACGGCAGTATTGAATGCATCTTCTGCCTTGAGTTCAGCGCTATCGGAAGCACGGGCATATTCGTTTGCAGCCTTTGAGGTAGCAGCTCCAAAAGCAGAGCTTGCAGAATCGGAAACATTATCGCCAAAGAGTTGAGCTCGGTGCTTTCTCGCGATTGCAAGAAGCTCGTTACGCTTGCTTCCTTGAGGAACCTTGATTCCGTTCTTGTCGGCCCACTCCTTGATTTCTATACAAACATTAGCCTTAACAAAAGAAAAAGGATTGTTTCTCTTACGAGAATCGGACCATGCTTCAAGCAACTTCTCACTGAGTGTCTCCTGTGCAGCAGCAGCGGATTTTGAAGCGGAGGCGGATGTTTCGGCCATCCTCAAACTGGCAATACGAGCATTACGACGAACGCTAGCGATCAATTTGTCACGAGTGCTGGGTTGGGGTGCTGGGATTCCATGAGAGTCGAGCCACTCCTTCAAGTCTACAAATAATTAGCTCAGAAAGAGTAGAAAATATGTAAACAAGGCCATACCAGATTCAGTCCAGGTCTCGTAGAGCCAATTGCCAGGATAAGCTGCGGTCTCGCCAGCCTTGGAGACAATGGTCTCGTAGTTGGAGCGTAAGGTTTGGAGAAGGGTGTCACGCTTTCGTGGTTGAGGAACGGGAATACCGTGTTTATCGGCAAATGCCTTCAGTTGTGAATCTATTCTTCATGTCAGTGGTTGACGATAACCCTGGTTGATATGTGTTACCTGTCCAGCTACAAACAAGTTAGCCAAAATGTGGATAAGAAAAGGAAGAGAAAGCATACCTATCAAATACCCAGTCCTTAACACTGCTCCAAGCATCTTCTGCCTTGTCCTACAGGAACTGTTATTAGAAACCTTCACAAGCAAAAAAGTTTTCCTCAAAATACCTCTGCTTCGTACCAAGTGCTCTTGACTTGCGAAATTAAGCTATCCTTGTTGCTGTTTGCAGCATCCTTGGCTTCCACGCCTTTTTGCTTTAGAAAGCTAGTCAATTGAGGAGCTTCCCAGTCATTATATGGGGTTGCGATCTTGGATTGCCAGTTCTCCTTGACAATGTTCTCTAGATCTTTTCGATCTGCGGGAGTAGGATATGGGACGTTGTGGTCGGACAGCCATCTCTCAAGCTCTGTTTCGTGCCATTTATTATAAACTGTGGAAAAGTTAGCAATGTTGGGAATATCGTTTTGGTTAGTGATGTGAATGGAACGGTTTTGGAGATGCTCGGCAAGCCAGTGAACAGTCGCCGGAAAAGAGCAGAAGAGCCTGAGAAGCTTCAAGGAGAATGATAGAAGCTGTAGAAAGAGAAGAAGACGAAATATGAAGCTCTACATACCAGCTTTGCTGAACCAGTTGCTCGCAATCGTGGATTCGGCGGCAAGACCCAAGACCAGGAGCTGAGAAAAGAGCTTCATGTTGGGAATAGATAATACCTCAGCAACTATGGCGTGTTAATCCGAGATGTGGTATTTCTGGTGTTGACAGTTGTGATATTCAACAGGACTGAAAATATGGTGGAAGTAAGGGAGAAGCAATCGGTAGCGGTAGCGTGGAGTAGCAAGCACAGCTGGTGATACGAGTACCGTCAACAAAGATGATGACGTGACGTAATTCGTTTCGCCGCACGAGGAAAACTTATTTTCTTGATGGGGCGCTGTGATTTGTTCCAAGCTTGCAAGTGCTTGACTTGAGCGGCAGGGGCTTTGAATGGGGTTTGGAGTTTCCCATAGGCGGCTGGTGGTGCCACGCAGTTTTTGGAGTTGCACCTGCAAACAAACAAGGCAACATCTCGATGTGGTTAGTGGTGGCTGAAATGAAGTCATAGGCCCGTGCGTGCTCCTCTTTGCGGTGAGATCACGGTAGATCCTTGGCATGACGGGGATGGAGCTTCTTCTCCGGACTGGCACGTGCTTCTGCCCGTGCTTCCGTTCTTATGACGGCAGGGCCGCTACCTACCCACTAGGTAATCGCGATAGCTTCATTTTTGTTTATTTATATATCTCGACGATTCAAAATCATCCAGCTGTACCTTTATTCTTTCACAAACTTAGAGACCGTATTATTCTAAACTTCTAGAACAATTGCAGATAATCCTAGCCAGGCAGACCAACAACGTCATGTACTGCCGCTCTTCATGTCATCTATATCTATTCTATCAAAGATGACATAGGGCTTCAAGGACAGGAAAACCAGAACAATAATAAAGGACATGGAAGACGATTTGCAAAAGCAGATCTAAATCGAAACTGAAAATCGGCTTGCCTGGGCTGAAAAATATAATGATGTAATCCATTGATCTCTCTCAGCATGCGCACCCTTGTGCAGGGTGTTGCCGCAAGCTACTGCCACTTCCAAACGCCTCACAATTTTCATCCCCCCTCATAAACAGCCAATTCAACAACCTACCTGGTATATACCTCTCAATTCTAGGTAGAAAGGAAAGCTTCAAATCACAAAATGCCTATCTTCCGTCCAGCAACCGCCCTCAACGCCCTCACAAGACGAGCATCGCCACTCAGCTGTCAACGCCTTTCCATCCGAACTTTGACCAGCAGTTCCCCTCGATATGCTCAACCCGGTTATGGAGACATGGATGGAAATCCTATAGCCAAAGATCCCCAGAATCAAGGAGCTTCCAATGCCACAAAACACAACGCAGAACATCCTGGGCCAGCCCCTCCTGCAGAAGGAAAAGGATCTGGAGCAGGCCCTACGAAAGGCGGGGATACACCATCACCCTCCAACTCCTCTGGAAATTCCAAAAACTCGAACTCAACTTCAAAATCTCATTCTGGTAAAACACCCGAAGATGCATCGGCACAATCAGGAGGTGCAAGATCAAAAGAAGTGGAGGAAACGGGATCGAGTCCTACAGCAGGAAAGATAGTGGAGCAAGGAGAGAAAAGCTCGCAGCAGAAGGGAGAAGATGACAGTAGTAAGAACACTCAAAAGAAGGGAAAGGGATCCCCAAAGATCTTGGACCAGGCAAAACCTATGGTTGACAGCGAGGGAAAGAGGGAGAAGGTGGAGAGACATAACAAACAGTTTGAAAAGGGTCATGATCATTGAGATATTTTGAGGGAGTGAGGAATACCTTCAGCACTGACTTTAGCAGACTGCTGAGTATATCAGATAGTATGCAGGCGAGGATTGCTAACGGCAATGGGGTCATTTTGTCATCGAAAGATGGATATTGTAATTTCTAATGGCAATTGATTAAAATATTCACATGCCATCTTTTCCTCAGATACTAGTAAATCTCATTTTGATGCAAGATCTTTCCCCTTATTCCCTGGTTCATGTAAACCAAAGTGGTGCATGCATTCTTTTTATTAACGTGGAACCAGGCTCCAAAATGTCTCGACGCACTATTATTGATCTAATCGTTTGAAGACGGGTTATTCTTATGAATTCTTGTGTTAGTAACTCCTTCTACATAGTTGAGTACGATTTTTCTTACAGTTCTAAAATCCATTGCCATCAACATAAATGCTCCAAATACATATAGCGATGCCGTCGTAAAGGTGCCATTGAATAATCTTCGACCTTGGACCGGAAAAGCATAAGTGAACTGAGTGATTTAACCTCGCTGTAAATACAGAGTTCTTGAAGAGGAAAATTGGCACTTACAGGTATTTATTGCCAGTTGTCGCTTCCATCCACAGGGGGGGATGCCGAGGCCCAGACCCGCTTAAACAAGCCACATCTTGGCATCTTCAACTTTCAGGTTTCTTTTTTTTATGACGCGACTTGAGCAGCATGCAACATGCCTAGGCGAAGTCGCGGTGTACTCGTGACGAGACGCTCTTGCAGGTTTCCTAGGTTATGTATGCAGTACGAGTATTTCTTGAATAAATCTTATTATTTCGACATTTGAAATTATCCAAAGAATATTTGGAGTCACCTTTTGATAACAATAACACTTCTCTTGGATTTCTCAGTTGACTTTTGGATTCGGATAATAAAGACAAGATGTCGAGTCTATGGCCGAGTTTCCTTGGAGCCTTGCAGGCATCTCTGTCTGTTCTACTAACCATGAGCTATGGCATCATTGCATCGCGATCTAACATTATGAAAGACAAAACAGCAAGAGATATCACAAAGATATGTGTACGGTTTCTGCTACCAGCTTTACTCATCACCAACGTGGGCTCCGAAATCCAAGCCGACACATTCGTCAGATATCTTCCAGTTCTTAGTAAACACCACTTCTCAAACGCAATTGTCAACTAATTTATCAATGTAGTCTGGGCCCTACTCTATACACTCTCATCTTTGGCTCTCGGATGGGTTTTAAATCGAGCTTTCAAGTTTCCCGCCTGGGTCATTCCAGCGATTGCTTTTAACAACACGACGTCATTACCCATCCTTTTATTGAAATCTCTGAAAACATCCGGGATATTGAAGGATCTGAGAATGGGTGGAGGGGATAATACGTATACTGCACTTGACAGAGCAACTTCATATTTTCTTTTCGCTTCTATTGTCACCAATTGTCTGACCTTTTCAATTGGGCCGAAACTCTTGGATGATGAGGAGACCCCTGACGTGGACGAGGAAGAAGATAAACATGAAGAACCCACAAATTCTTCTGGAAGAACACAGGAGCAACAAGAAGACCATAATACAGAAACTACCACCTTGCTTCCTCATCGGGTCGTCGAGCAAGGCAGTGAAATCGCAGGCCAGATATCCAAGACATCGAAGAATATCTGGGCAACCTTTCCGGAGTGGCTACAAAACGCTCTCAGCTTCACGACCAGCTTTCTTAATGCACCACTCGCCGGTGCAATCATTGGAATCATTCTTGGACTCGTTCCACCATTCCATAGAGCCTTCTTCAACCCACCCCGTGACGGAGGAATTTTCAAATCATGGTTGACTTCCTCGTTGGAAAGCATGGGCGATCTATTTGCTGCCTTGTCTCTAATAACAGTAGGGGCCAAGCTCAGTAGCGGTTTGCATAATATGAAGCGCGGGGAAGATAGCAGTAGAGTGAGGATGACACCTTTGCTCTCCGTTCTGTTCATTCGATTTTTGTTGTGGCCAGTGTAAGTATCAATCACTCCTAACAAGAAGGGTCAAACTAATCTCGGTGCAGTATAAGTATCGCAGTCATCTACGCTATTGTTTCTCAAACGAATTGGCTGGAGAATGATCCCATCTTGTGGTTCGTCTTGATGTTATTACCAATTGGACCCAGCGCGACGAAGTTGACCAGTCTGGCTGAACTGAGTGGGGCAGAGGAAGATGAGAAGATGTCCATTGCGAAATGTCTAGCCATTTCGTATGCGATATCTCCAATAAGTTGTTTAGCGGTGGTTGCCTCTCTTCGGGCTTCCCTCATCTGGAAGGGGCAGATTGGTGGATGAACGTCGCTTCATTTAATTAGTAAACATCTATTATTGTAACATTTGCAAATTCGGTATTCGATTACTCAACTCTCTTATCTGAATATAAAGTATCCTCAAGGTTCTGGGTCTTGCCTTTCTATACCCAAGTAAATACTTTGGCTAACCAGACCGGGTTCCTAACATAAAGGGAAATATATAGTTTACTATATAACGTAGTCCACAAGCGAGTTGGATTCCCAAGCGAAATGGATTTTTTTTCTTGGCACTCCACAAACTTATTCAGAGCGCGTTTTTTCTTAACAAACAAAATGGTTAAGCATTGGACAGAGTCTGATATGATTCTTGCGTTAAATACGCTTCGTACGAACCCACATTTAAAAGTTAAGAAGGTTGCGCGGATCTATAAAGTACCTTATACGACATTGCTTAATCGAACTCATGGAATATTACCACGACAAGATTCTATCGCTAAATCTCGAAAACTTACAGAGATTGAAGAAATAGGTATCGTACGACATATTCTCGACCTAGATTCTCGATCATTTCCCCCACGAGTACGTTGTGTTGAAGATATGGCGAATCGTATCCTCTCGGAGCGGGGTGCAGGACGCGTTGGCAAGAACTGGACTTCGAACTTCGTACGACGACAACCTGAACTTAAGACGCGTTTTAATCGAAGGATTGATTATCAAAGAGTCCAATGCGAAAATCCAGACGCGTATAACGCGTATAACGCGTGGTTTCGCCTCGTACGAAATATAATTGACAAATATGGGATTCAGGAGGAGGATATTTATAACTTTGACGAGATCCCTAGATTGGATTTTTCATTTCGATCGGCATACAAAGCTTCGTACGAAGGGCATTCACCGGCTGCTTGTGCTTGATGGCCATGAAAGCCACCACTCAGTCAATTTTGAGCTTTTTTGTAAGAGTAATAACATTATTACTCTTTGCATGCCAGCTCATTCCTCTCATAGACTCCAGCCACTCGATGTAGGATGTTTTCGAGCGTTAAAAAGGTCGTACGGTGCTGAACTTGAGAAATTTATGCGACTCCACATTACATATGTTTCTAAGGAGGATTTCTTATCAACATTCTATACTGCCTTTCGTATGACAATGACTGAATCAAACATTCGAGGAGGATTTCGAGGATCTGGCTTAGTGCCGTACGACCCAGATTCTGTGATTTCACAGCTTGATATACGTCCAAGGACTCCGTCACGTCCATCTACCTCAACAAGCCTCCTAGCTATTTGGGAACCAAAGACCCCAAATAACATAACAGAGGCATATTCCCAGACGTCATATATACAAAACAAGGTCGTATGACACCAAGATAGTTCTCCGACCCAGATTCTATATGGCCTAGACCAGCTTGCAAAGGGTGCACAGCGTGCAATCACTGAGGTAGCTTTATTACGAGCTGAGAATGCTACACTTCGTACAGCAAATGATCAACTTAGTCGGCGTCGTCGTACGAAAAAGCGCCGATTACAGGAAGGAGGATCACTTACTCTCCAAGATGCACAAGATTTAGGGGTCCTTAGTAATTTTGATTCGCAAGAACAAGTGGTTTTAGTAGAAAATAGTAATTGTACGAGCCCGAGTCTAGTACCTCGCCGGCGCTGTGGACTATTTGGGAAACATGGCCATAACATACGAACTTGTCAAAAAGGAGAAGAAATATGTGAGGATTCCGATTCTGAATACTGTAATTAATTTAATTAAATTGTGTCGTGAGATATTTAAGAATTTATAAAATGCCAAGAAAAAATCCATTTCGCTTGGGAATCCAACTCGCTTGTGGACTACGTTAGTTATAAGTACTATAATAAGTACTCTATTTTTTAATCGCGAGCTAACTTACGTTATATTCTACCTTTGACCTTTACGTATTTCCTAAACCCTTGGACTATTACATGTCTAAATATATCCATGTGTGTATACCTACTTTTGGGAATTTCAGATTATTTTTCAGGTCTATTTTATATAATAGTACATTTGTGAAAATCGCGTTCGCCGCTTTTTGCCGATCTCTACCTACGTGGTTACTTTAGTAAAACGCGATTTAACAACAGGAATTTAGCTTCTAGTAAAGAGCGTGGACAGCTAACAGTGCTCTATGTAACACCAGGTTACACGTGAAAATCTATATATTCACAGTACGCGAGTCTCTGATTCGCTAGTTCCGCTGAAAATCTGCGACTCAAGCTGTCTACCCCCTTTAGACAAGTCTCCAGGTCCAGTGTAGCGTGGTCATGTATGTTGACGATTCGACGAAAACAAAGTATCATAGCTAAAACCCCTGTAGAGCCTCACCGCGTTTTAATAAGAGGAGTACTGGTGGTTTGTAAAGACTAGGGGCTCGATGACATGAGCGGAGTTATTGATATCTTTTTGAAATATCTTGTAGATTAATCACGCTGGACAACATCCGTTCGGATCTCCGGGTTTTCAATCGGGTTAGTCATAACAGATCATGAAGATATTAGCTCTTATACGTGGCTCCTTACCTTCTTACCTACAACCTCGCTCCGCTCAAATTGTCCCCATATATTTTATTATAATTAGCGCTATCAAAGTTTAAGTAATTGTGTGACGGTTATGGTCACGAGGGCTGGATGTCACATGCTCGCTTAGCGAGGCGCTAGCGCGCACGACCTGTATTTAGTTCCCAGCTCTCTCGAGCTCTCCTTCTTTCCTCGTCTTTTGTCCTAAGAATAGAGTGTTAATTGTTCTGAGTTCTACCTGAAGCACGTCTGTCACATTACAAAAGACCCTTAGTTGAGGCTAAGTATCCCAGGTCTAAGTTCACGTTCACGTCCAAGTTCAGGTCCACGATCTTACGTCTCAATTCTCACGATTTCTACCACTTTCTTGTGCGCAAGAACCCTACACTTTACAACACGACGAAACCTCTTCTTTTTTCGACTTCTCTACAATGGATGCCCTTCAAGTTCAGTCCGCCATCGCTGAGTTGCAAGCTGAAGTCCAGCGACAGCGCGACGAGATTCACTTACTCCGGTCAAGAACATCCGCAAAGCCTAAACCTTCCCTCCCAGACCCTGACAAATTCACTGGCCAGGCTCATAAATTCGACACCTGGCTTCCCTCAATCAAAGCAAAGCTACGAGTCGACGGTACAGCTATTGGAGACGCTATTGCGCAGTTCTACTACGTCTACCTCAACCTTGACTCCCACGTCCAAGCCATGGTCCTTCCACAGCTCTCTCAAGCAGAAGACACCCAAAGCTGGGACTACCAAACAATCCTCGAACAGCTCGCGCGCGTGTACGACAATCCAAACAAGGTACAGGAGGCGGAAGACAAGCTATTTGCCCTCAAGCAAGGTGCTGACTCAGTCCCTACATATATCGCCAAGTTTGAGCGTGTCCTTTACGAAGCAAGAGGTCAGGACTGGCCAGATGTCAACAAAATTTCCACCTTTAGGAATGGCCTTAATTCTACTCTTCGCGGACGACTTTCTCAACAACTCAACCTACCTCGCGATTATACTACATTCATACGCGTCGTACAACAATTAGCAGGCCGCTTCTCTTCGTCTACACAACCTACACAGTCCTACTCCTCTGGCAACCACCACAGCGAACCAATGGACATAAATGCTTTTAGCATCAATTCCATCGACCCATCCTCTCCTCCACGCGCTCGCTCTATTTCCCCTGAGCGTAGAGATCAATATAGAGCTGAAGGCAGGTGTGTACGATGTGGCTCCTTGGAACACTGGGTCAACGATTGCATACTCCGTCCTTTCTCACCAGGACCACAAGGAAGGAAATCAGCCATAGATTTGGGGGATCTACCAGCTGGGGAGGCATTCCCAAAGCCAGTACGAAAGCAGATTGCAAGACCAGGCAGAGTAGTAATAGCAGCTATGAACGACAATGCTTACGATAGCGCGGAGGTAGATTCGGACGATCCTGACCATCCAGATGCCTGGCAAAAGGGTATTTTTCACAATTAGTTCAGATTTTCAACGCTCGGGGCGAGCTCTTTTTAAAGGGGGGGGTGATGTGACGGTTATGGTCACGAGGGCTGGATGTCACATGCTCGCTTAGCGAGGCGCTAGCGCGCACGACCTGTATTTAGTTCCCAGCTCTCTCGAGCTCTCCTTCTTTCCTCGTCTTTTGTCCTAAGAATAGAGTGTTAATTGTTCTGAGTTCTACCTGAAGCACGTCTGTCACAAATTGTGATTGAACGTTTGCTAACAATACGCGGATTTAAGCCTTATTTATTATAAGACTAATCAACAATTGGAGAAATGACATGGGTAACCATACAAGGTTATACCACCTATAGAAAAACCTCGCTTATGCGTTATGCAGGGAGGGCGGGCATAATCCGAGTTGCTTACCGGATCCACTACGGCTGTCTCGGACCGACCGGACTCCGCATTAATCTAAATTAATCTAAATTAATCTAAATTAATCTAAATTAATCTAAATTAATCAGGTTACTTGGCAATTTGATTTATCTAATCGATATCTCCTCGTCGCGTTATATGTACATTTGGATTTTTGAGTTTGCGATTTCCTATTTGAGCGATCGGAGAGGTCGGAATAATGCCTAGGCGCGCTACGGGACTTGGCCCAACTAGCTCCGTACCAATTAGGCTATACTATTGTTAGGTACCAAGACTTAAAGTAGGCATCGCCAACTCAAAAATCGAAATGTTTATATAACGCGACGAGGAGATATTAATCCGATTTGATTTAATTAAGTGATATTAATCAAATCAAATAATTTTCCACGCTGTCAATGACAGAATCCAAAAGCCGCACAATATGTAATGCGATTCATATAGCGCGTTCGCCTTTGAATATCTATATTTATTCTTTTATTCATTCTTCAATATGAGGCATCTCTCAGCAAAGATTTTTCTGCTGCTGACTTTCTTCACAGACAGCTTTCCTCATTTTGCTTCAGCCGCTCCTCCCTTCTTCCGAAATACACAGTCTGATGCAGAAGCTTTTTCTCTTAGAGATGTTATCGTACCCGGCGAACAAGCAGGCGATAATAATCCCATTGCTCGGAAAGGGGATGGCTACTCCTTCAGCGCCCTTACAGACTTTAAGAGACTCGAAGCCAAGGGAGTTCGATGGGAATATGCTCACTTGCGGCCTGCACCCGAACCTTCCCCAGTAGTGTTGCCTGTTTTGCGTCCACCTCCTGATCCTCTTAAACCGGTACCAAAGGAACCAGATCCCATTGAGACCCCATCCCTACCTGGTGCCTGGAAACCTATCAGCGAGAGTGATAATCCACCCGGATTACACGATGTTGATGCCCCACCTGTGCATAGCAGTGGTTTAGGTGAACCCGCGAAGGCCATGGAGTTCTATGCCGAAAAGGGGCGAAAACAACTCAATATCTACGAACGAATAGTGAGGAGCAACAGGAAAGATACCAAGACTGTCCTAACCAAGGAAGATCTTGTGAAATATAACAAAGGCAGTGCCTTCCTTGATGTCACCAAAAATGCTGAGTATTTGGTCTGGGATTCAGAAAACTGGATTGACGAAAGTTTTGCATACTTGCCAAAACTCTATAAGTCTGATGAGATTGGCTTTGACCTCAACCGTGTTCCCATTTTGACAACGACATCAGTCTACACTGCGGACAAAATGGGACTGGTCTGTGAAACCACCTTCGCCGACAATGGACTGTTCATTATATATCAGCATGCTTACAAGGAAAATGACGACGTGGGGGAGATTCCAATTAATGAGATACAAATGCAGACTTTCTTCGACGCAAGTAAGGGAAACTCCAGAAGTTTCAGGGTAGCGTTCCTCGAAAACATCCAGAACAAGGAATTCTGGGCCATAACCAGAGAGAACTACAATGATATGAGGCAACCATACACCAAAGTCCTTACTTTTGAACGCGGAACTCCTCAATTCGACAGGTACATAGGTTCTCCGAATATATGGAGCAAGTTCTGGGGTTTTGGCAACCATCACAATGCTCTCGGTAAACCGATTCTTATGAGGATCATTGTTACACCGGCTCAGGTTTCTAACGCTTTTGGGCTGGGTGCTGCTATCGTGTTTAAGAAAGGCTAGTAGAGTTGGATAGTTTGGTGTGTGGGTGCTTGGGTGTTATTGTGGGTCTTCAGGGGCTATCGGCATTCCAGAAGAAAGTTCATGTAATGTATGTACAGTACAGTTTATAGTTATACCCTCCGTACTCGTTGGAAGACATTTTTCCATAAAAGTTTCCAAACGGTGTTTTCATTGTCATTCTTCTCGCTTGAATAGGAGAAGCTTATGGGATTCTTTGGTTCCAAGTAAGTTTCTATTCCTAAACATGCGAACATACTCTCTAATACAAGCTAAAGCATAAAGTTCAGTACAGCGCTAGAACAGAGTGGACTAGTTTGAGATCTTGGTGGTACAAGTAATAATCTCTTAGATTTCTCAGTTGATTGTTAGAAAATCCTCGATACCAGGACATGGTCGAGGGCAAGAACCTTAAGGATATAAACTACTTATCCTTACAGTAAGGTTCTTAGTATAGGCAACGGGAAGGTTACGTATTTAAGTACTAGGAATATATTAGTTAATGTCTAGTTATAATAAGATAGGTACCTGTAGTATAATCCTAGAATTCTTGTAGCTAAACCCTTAGTTTAGTTTCTAAGATACTAGAATTTAATATAAGTTTACTAAGCCCCTAAACAATCTATACCTTCTAATAATATACGCCAGGTGTGAGGGTTGGAACCCATGATGGAGGCTCGGGCCATGCCCTCGCTAAGCACTGACCAAAGTCCCCGCTCAGCATTGGCCATTGCTTCACTGCTAAATTGGTTTCTCCTTTTCTACACTTTTCTACTCTATTCTTTTGACGTCACGTATTTGTCAAACAGTTTCTTGGAAGACTCCAGAAACTCTTCCTCTCTCTATATATAGAGGAAGAGATTGCATGTATGTAGTCTTCACGCACTTCTTAATTGAATATTCGAAACCACACCTTTGAGCTATTCGAGGTCTGGCCTCTCACACCAGGTTATTTTAGATACTAAAAGGATTTCGGGAGCTAAAACCCCTAAGTATATTCTTATATTTAGAATATGTTAGTATAGAGATATCAGATATATCAAAGGCAAGGAAACAACAAAGGGCAAAAACAGTGGTTCTAATAATCGTATTGTTCTGTCTATCCTGTAGAATCCAGGCGTATATATAGCCCTGGATTATCACGTGATTAAACACGTGAACATATTCCGACAGAACAATCCCTACATCCTATTAAAAAAAGACCGGGACTGAGGAATTTAAGTATACAACTAAGGTATTTCATAGAGAGTATCCCAACGCATTTTAGTACTTCTGTCAGGGTGTCATTCCCCCTGATTTGGGGGATTTCCATTAGCGACGTAAGCGAGGAGTCGGAGAGTCTGTGTTAGTTGGGGGATACAAAAGTCGAATGGGAGTAGACGTGCTGCATCTGATAGTTCGCCGTTCCTAGGAGTTCAGCTGTTAGAGTAGGGGTTGTTTTCTGTCGAGGAATGGCTTTTCTTCGAAATTGTTTACGTGTGGTGAGTAAATCTTACTTCATCGAGATCGGTTCTGTTGTTCCTGAGTAGACTTCGCCTTATCTGAAATATTTAGAATAAGCGAAAGATCAGGATGAATCTGTAATCATGAGGGGGCTATATACTCCCTCTTTCCGATTTGCCAACGAGAGGGGTTTAGTCAGGGGTAAAACGACCTTAAGCGAAACTTAGGAATAATGTCTAAGTGATAACGAAGGAAAACATAGACATACGACATCGAGACCATCGAGTATCTCCGTACCAGAGGCTACAAGCACAAGGTTTACATTCAATTCTACCAAAAACAAAAGATCAACCTGCTGGAGCACTCGGTGGATAGTAGAAACAGTTGGGGCAGCGACTTTTGGTCTAGTGACACTGTATGATAATGTCGAATGCTGAAAAGGGGTGGGGTCAATCTCTCAAGCTGTTCCAAGTATCTCTCTAGGATCCGGAACAGATAGAATATTGAAAGGTATTCTCAGTAGCTCTTTTTGTTATTGATCTTACGTAGGTCAAGATTCAGAGGACTATTAAGAAGGGCTGCTTTTGCAAGTTCAACTTGGTCTACCTAGCAACTTTTAAAGTGCAGAGAGCTCTATAGCTTTCGCAGCAGCTTCTTCGAAATCGTCAAAAGCGTGAAGAGGAAGTTTAGACTCAGCAATCTATTCAACGTGTCAGCTCTCCGTTTCAATTCATACAAAACGACCAAACCCAAGCAGACGCAACACAAAAGAAAAGGGGGGGGGAATATAAACTTACAATTCTCCTCCCATCTTCCTCACCAGTCCCTCTTATCCTAACAACAATCGGAACTCTCATTCCGCCCTTTTCAGCTTCCAATTCCCTAACAGCATCCACCACACCCACAGCAATCATCTCCCCCCTCGTCAGTCCCCCAAACACATTCACAAACACCACCTTCACCCTCTCATCTCTGAGGATGATTCTTAAACTCCGCTTCACGGTATCGCTCGTGGCTTTCCCACCCGTATCCAGGAAGTTGGTCGAGAAGCCTCCCAGGGAGGAAAGTGCATCGATGGTGTTCATTGCGAGACCGGCACCGTTTACCAAGGTTGCGATGTTACGACCCTTATAGTCGACGGAATTGGTGGGATTTGGAAGGGGGATATAGACGATGCCAGCCTTCTCAACTTCGCTTTGGATGGCTTTCTCTTCTTCGGTACGTATTTCTTGAAGAGGAAAGCTGATATTCTTGCCATTTTTAAGTTTTCGCTTCAATACCGCTTCATCCAGAATGAAATTTGCGCCCACTACTTTTATATCTCCCAGTCGTTCCACGAAAGTTGCTTCTAAACGGATAGCTTGGTGTTGCTTGAATATTAGTACAAGAGTTTGTATGAGTTTCGGTAATGATGTCTGAGAAACGTAGGAGGTAAGGCCTGCGGAAACGGTCGGTATTTTGTTGAGAGGCAGATCCGTGAGATAGTCGAACGGGATGGGTTTCATTTCCGTCGCTTCAGCCAAAGCAGTTGAAGGCAGGATTATGGCTGGTGAACAGGTCCGTCTATCCACCACTACTGCCACTTTATATCCTTTTCCTTTACCCGAGTATTCCCCAGCATTAAATCCTTTCTCTCTCAACATGTTGAGCGCCGCATCTTCTCTAACCTGGAAAAATGTCCTCTTTTGTCCTGTTAACTTTCCTTTCATATTAGGCGTTGTCGTCCTTTTTTCTGAAATCAAAGGACGCTTTCTCATCATATGCATTCCTCTTTTCTGAGCAGCACTACCAACCATCGAACCAAAAATCCTCTTCCTCCAAGTGGGAGTCTGATGTCGAGATTCAAGAAACCCCGTCATCACATCTCCGAATTTCGCAGGATGATTAACAATCGTTACGCCCGCATCTTCTAGTCCGCGAATTTTAGTAAGGGCATCTGGATCTCCTGGAAGAAGAAAGGCTCCTGCATGACCCATGACTTTTCCTTCTACGCATGTGATTCCTGCTATCAGTGCTGCTATCGGCCTGTCCAAATAAATCAGTCCACAAACTATAATTCCAGGACATTTCCGTCCACCTTTGGCAGTTGTCTCATTGGAATCACAGAATGAAAATAAAAGAAGAAAGGAACGACTAACTTTGGATTTTCAACCCTCTTCTGGTAGTCCCTGATCCAAGCGGCAGCTTCTAACTCGGAGTCCCCGCCTATCTCACCGATGAGTATTATTCCTTCCGTCTCGGCGTCATGTTCTAAAATTTGTAGAGCGTCGAGGAAAGTGGTTCCCGGAAGCGGATCTCCCCCTACTCCGATACAAAGCGTTTGACCTAGACCAGCACGGGTGGTTGATGCCACAGCTTTTCAAATCTTTTGTCAGTTATGCAGTTTTTTTAGTTACGAGGCTGAAGAGGGGCGTAAGATATCAAAGTAGCTTAATGATCAAAAACAAGAGAAGGCTCGGAAAGAGTGGGTAATACCTTCATAACCCAGAGTCCCAGATTTCGCAATAATACCAACCCGTCCGGAAGAGAAACATGGCAAGGGCTGGAACCCAATCCTACACTTTCCTGTTACGGAGATGATTCCTGGTGTATTTGGTCCCACGAGTCGTGATTTGGATTGAGTTTTTAGGATTGAATGAATCTATCATTTTTACAAGTTAGCGCTGATAGTTATTTCATGTTTAGAAACTTATGGAATGAACAGGAAATATTAAGAGACATAGTAATTGCTCTTCACCATCCTATAAGTGACGATATTGTTATCCTAGACGTCTTGCATAACCAAACTAGTTACACATTTGCCTCAGTATAATGGACACTTATCACTCTTGATTCCTCAATTAAATCGAACAATTGAGCTGTTTGCGCTAGACCTTTAGTGTAATAAGACCTTGCAGTGTATGCAGAGTAATGACAAGACCTCTCAGGATGACGAAGCAGAAGAAAAATTTCAACCCAAGGAAAAAACCTACTCTCAACATATCATGTAAAGGAATATGTTCAGCAACAGCCACTATCAGTGGAATCTGAGCCTCAATAGCCTCTTCAATAGCAGCAGGTGCTTGATGGGCTGCAACGTAAATTCCAGTAGCATCTGGTTTGAGTTCTTCCATCGCCTATTAAAGACTGTTAGAATTTAAATAAACCAAGAAAAGAATTACAGAAATATCAAGAAATATGGTAAACTACCTGACGAACAGTAGGCAAAACAGGGAGTCCCAAATGTAAACCTGTTATGTTAGGCCTCACGCCTCCAACAATATTCGTTTGGCCCCATTGTATGGATTCTTGCACATTGATAGTTGCCTATTTCTTTTTGTCAAAAATCAAGTCCTCATTCCCCATGTTCTCACACTCGTGTAAGCGCTGCACTTACTTGTTTACCTATAGAGTCATATGTTAGCTAATCCAGCTCTCACCCTCGGGAGCTCCAACATAAAAACCAAAAAGACAGAAAAACTAAAATCAACAAACCAGTAAAGCCCTGAAAAATGACTCTCGTCTCCCTCCCAATCCTCAAGTTCCTAACCGTATCCTCATACCCACCTCTCCTCCTCGAGGTCCCAAAAGAAGCTTGTCCCCCAAATCCACTTCTGCAACCCCCGAACGCATTCCCCAGAAAACGACCCCGCGTTTTTAGCGCTCGGAACATTTTGGCTTAGACTGAACGCTCTGCGAACACAAGAGTCATGAGCCTAGAGTTTTTGGTTTGGATGTTTGTGTTCGTACTGGTACTGTAAAAAGAAGGGAGAAATTGGATTAGGGGAAGGGATGGATAGCTTCTCGGGAATAAGAGGGGAAGGTAGTAAGTAGACTTCCATCGGCCTTTCGGTTTCCAGGAGCCAGCTTAGGAAGAAATGCACGTGTCAGATGATTTCACGTGAATTCTTCTCCGAGGTCGGGATCTTCAGCCCTTTCTCTTGAGAAATCTATTGGTTCAAGCTCGTCGTTCTATGTGAATTGGTATGTTATTTCTAATTGACCTGTTGTGAATTGGCATGTTGAATACTGTACTCGTACCTACTTCGGTCAGCCAAGTGATACTGTGATAGGAGATTATACCGAGGTATCTGGAGGGGTCGAGAACATCGATATCCCAGCAAATAGCTCTTTCGTCATTCTATCTTCCCGGTTGCAGACGCCTTAAATTGTATAGGTCTATAATTGCGTTAGATATCCTTCATACATTGAGGTATTATTCTGCTTGTCCAATTTTACCATCTTTCGTGAGAGGGGTTGGATGAGCTAAGCTGAGAAGCTAAAGAAGTTCCTCGAAGACACTCGACAGTTAGTTGTCTTTCATTGGACTTGAAACGTATGGAATTGATCCTATGGAAGGATTACTGGAGATTGGAATAGGATGTTTTGTTAACTAGCTGTTGCTAATGGTTGTCAAGTATATATGCGGAATATCGTGGGAGGCTTCAAAAGTACCTAGGTAGAAGATTGTACTGCACTTTTGAACAGGTAGGAGCATTTGATACTTCCATGCTTCGTAGTAATTAAGTACATACCAATTTCTCTCCTTCTCAACGACCGTATCGATTATTTCGGGTTCAAACAAATGTGACATGCCTTGCTCTGAATACCAATCCCCACATTCATCCCATACTGTCATCTTGACAACGTGAAAACCATTGCCATAACCACCCCTTATAACTATAGGTATACCCATATCCCAGCCTCCAGTATCCGTCCTCCAAACCAAATCCAACGCCAATAGATGAAATGCAGCCCAACATGCAACCACCCGAGAAACAAAAAGAACCCAACCTCCCCACCTCTCAATCCTCCCAAATAGCAGCCTTAGCCTTCTCCGCCATCTCCTCCTCCCGCTTCTTCTCCTCCTTCTCCGCATTCCTCCTCTTAATCTCCTTCTCCTTAATCGCCCTATCATACGCCTTCTGCTCCTCCGTCTTCTTCGGAGCCTTCACCCCCAACGCCCCAGCAATCATCCGCTTCGCCACCGCATCCGTCTTCTCCGGTCTCCGCACGCGCTCCGCCCTCGCATCACTGCTCCCATCGGCCGAATACCCATACGGATTCGTGAACATCTGGTTCTTGAAGGCCGTGGGAGAGGCGGGCGTGGGCGGGGGAGCGTCGGGGAAATCAGCGGGTTGCGGGGGCTGGGAAGATTCTTCGCCGGACGAGTTGTTGGCTTCGTCTTCCCAGGAGTCGGCGGGTTGGGATTGCTTCTTTTTGGAGGACCCGGTGGCTTTGGAGGATTGGGTGGAGAGACTTAGTTTTGCGAGGGAGCTTTCGAGTGCTGTTGCATGGAGAGTGGGATGGTTAGTGGGGGTTTCTGGCTTTGGGGGGGGGTTGGGAGTTTTGAGGGCTTGGACCTTTTGGTTCTGCCATTATATATAAGAGGAGGTTCCTGTGGTAATTTGAGTGGTTATTGTTCTAGCTGGAGGGCGAGTCAGCCCGGGGAATGATCTGGATTGTGTAGAGTAGGTGTGACGAGTTTAGCGGGGTTGATACTTACATTCATATACACTCGCTTTGTCGTTCACAACCCTCTCTAGGAAAGGTTGTATACAGTGTAAATGTGCAAAGAAATGGAAGATTTAGAGGTTTGAGTGGGGACTTTCTATTGAGTCTGGATTCGGTCCTTGACCTGCATCACTTGCGTACGAGTATTGCGGAGGAGTGCTCGTACTGGGGTTAAGCCTGTCATTGGCCGATGTTTCAATTTTACCAAACAGAAGCATGCCGCCCAGAGAATTAGCCAAACCAAAAACCTGCAACTACTACTGCGTTCCTACGAGATGATCCACCTAGTATTGGGGTAGCTCGGCGGTCATTTGGCGAGAATCTAAGAATGCGACAGACAAACGACTGAAGCATAAAAAAGGAAATGTATATATAGAGAACTCGAAAGGAGAATATAACCGTCATCAATCACAAGACGCTTATGAAGTGAATTTTTGTATTGGAAATTGCGTGGCTGCCGGAGGTAGAGAAAAGTCCTGCGTACAAGAAATGCTCTAATCCTCAGCTTCTTTTAAGAGAAGACAATGATGTTGTGAATTGACGCCCACGCGCCATTGTAAAATCAGGCAAACCCCCGCGTAAACAAACCATCCCGTATCCCCAAATGCTAAGTTCGTCATACCCCGCACACCCTCGAGCCCAAGATCATCATCAGGTCTAGATCTCATTGCATCAAATCATCGGAATCGTGGTCGCGGTATTGCTCAGGCTGATCCTCCGATCTGCTCCTGGTGAACCTCGAGCGTATCGCCATCTTGCATATCCAACTGGAAAAGAAAGAAATTAGCCACCCGAGATTGAAAAGTGAAGGTGAAGGTGAGGAGTAAACCCCGCCTCTGGGTTGAGAGGAGAGAAGACTGGCACTTACGGTCTCTGGGCTATCGGTTGGGGCGACACGACTACCATCAAAGAGAAACCGGACCGAGTTTGGCGCCTTGCCTTGCCTCTCGCAGAAAGCGTCCATCAATTTCTTCAGGTTGGTGGTGCGCTTGATCTTGAAGAAGACCTCGTTGTTGTTATCAGTGACCTTGATGTTGAGGTGTTCAGTCTGTCCAGCACCCTCGGGCTTCTCTGGGGCGGGGCTTCCGTTGTCAGACATGCTGAAGGTGTTGTGGCGTTGAGATTTGTAGATGAGAGTTGTGAAAGAAGGCTGTTTGGCGCGTTAGAATGCTGGAGGATATGAGGTGGTAGGGTATATGTAACTGCCCAGCGATTGAAAGTGGTTTGTAGACTAGGTAGGGGCTTGGATGAGTGTTGATTGAGGGTGTTTAATTCTGGAGGCCAGGCAGAAGTTGAGTTTGACAGTAGATGGTGGGGAGGTGGAAGAAGATTTAATTCACGCGATTGATGATTGCTGGATGGAGTAGATATGGCGCTAGTGGGGCGTTGCCACTGCTGTTCTGGTTACCTTCAGAAGGACCTTCAGCAGTGGAAGTGAAAAGCTGACTAGGTGAGGCAGGAGCGATAGACTTGACCAACTTCACGCTAGCACCACAACAAACAATTGACTTTCACTTTCCCAGTCGCTATTTTCAAAACCATAGGTAGCCATAGATACGATTGTAGGCAGCCTGAGCCTCAAGATGAGATATTTGTATTACTTTTTAGATCTAGGCACTAATTCCAGTGGCCAGGTCCAGTTGCTAGACTGCTACTCTACTGCTTCTTTCAACACAATTACAAGTACCAACCTAAAGATCTCCCTGCCCAGGCCAAGGTAGTGATTCTCCAGAGAGCCCGCCGAGCCCATCTTTGCGAAATGGTAGGTAATGCAACATCAGCTTCAATATCTTGGCACCTGCTAATGGAAGTTTTAGGCGTCCACATCAACACCAGCATCCAAAACCAGAACGAGTACCTCTGAACCGCCATGTCGCTCCAAAGCCGTAAGTCTCATTGCCAACTATCAGAGCATGTGTCAATTGGGTGTTAATATACTTTTCATTACAGTGTGACATTCAAGGCAAGTTCGATTCGGCTCCCAGCGGGATACTAGATAAGTACGTACCGCTGACGTATATACAGACTGTTTGGCCAAAAATTCGTACGACGAAGCCAAATGCAGGGCCCAGGTCGATGATTTGTACGCATGCTGCAATTCCTTCTATCGGCAGAATGGCGATGATGCTCAGTCGGTGTGCTGCCCTCAGGCGAGTCTTCTGAGGCTCAAGATTAAGCAAAGGGCAGCAGAGTCCGCTAGATGACCTTCTCCAGCAAGAGAATTGGATAACATAGGTACTCGGAGTTTTGCAATTGGCCAGTTCATAGATATATCTAATATGTGTAGAGCATATCTAGCAGCAATTATGTATATATGAATATATAGACTCCGTATACTTGTGATGCAATAGACCACGGACCCAGTGGTGGAAGAACCAGAATCCGTCATGGTATACTATTTATTCTACCTGGGCACTGAGTACCCATCTACTCTTGGTCAGTCTGGCAAAGGTGTATCGTGTGTTGAGCAGTCTGCTGCATATTTGCAGAAAAAATCCATCAAAAGCAGATGAATTGTGACTCTCCAAGTTTACTGCCTATTATCAGCCCCAAGAAAGGTCCAGAGACGGAAACAGGAAGAGCCAGATTACTCTGGGCGATCATGAGCGCGCAAAGAGATCCAATGGACCTGAACAAGCAATGATGGTTACTCCTGTGAAGGAGGCTTATTCCGAGACTCTATTTAGATGGCCGAAAAACATTGTGTCTTTTGAAAGTTTTCCAAAGCTCGCAGACTTTTAAACCACCAGCTGCGCGCCCCGCCGCGCTAACGCCACTAGCGCCGCGTCTGCATTCATGCCTCAATATTCAGGCATCAAAAACAGCTTTATTGTGGTTCGTCTCAACTTTCAATCAACAACTCCTGCGAAGGTTCTGGGGAAATCGCGTTTTCGTTGCCACTTCAACAAATTCATCAGCATTTATCGTCATCTCATCTGCAATCATGGCGCCAATGACACGAAGTGGTGTGGGTTCGATACCCCCGCCGGAAGGACTGCGACCTCCACGAGAAGTAAGCTCATGCGTCTACCTGCCCTTTACCCCGACGTACATGCTAATCATCCACCGGCTATAGAAGTACCGCGAAGCAAGCTGGCAATTCGTGGGTGTATGAGCCACTTCTTTCATATCTCTGACGCGATTTTATTGACATGTCGGACTTACAGGCGGATTCGCGACACGAACGAGACCTCTCCGAAGAGCCTCATTCCTCCTATGACGAAGATACAGATATGCTGTCGCGAGATGGCTACGGCGCTGGGAGTATGTCCATAAGTAAAATGTTGCACGCTGCAGTTGACTAATGGGATTTGTTAGACGATGGGAGGCAGCTTCAACTTGAAGGCCCTGAGGACCACGAGGATATCCTGCACCCTCTCCGTGAAGCTGCAAACCGAGTTGGGCGCGAGGTCGAGAAATTTGCGGAAGTATTGGATGGTTACAATCCTCTACGGGCTACGGATACCCAGCAAAGACATGAAATGACCGCCGATTTGATTGAACGGTACCATGAGATCGCAAAAGAAACTTTAGGTCGGCTACGCGAACAACATGAAGGGGAACGACTGCGATCAAAAGGCAGGGCGTGGAGGAAAATGTGGGGTCCTGGATTGAAGATAGCCAATGATACGGACGAGCTGGATTCGGATTATGAAGATTCGCCAAACGCCGAATTTGCGCAACAAACCACTTTGGAAGACTTAGAACGATGGGAACAGGAGGCGCAAACTTGGGATCTATTAGCACGCCTCGTCGAAGTCCGTCACCCAGCTCACGAATTGGAGAATGTAAAGGTTCCACATCGATCTTCCATCCACCCGTATTCGACAGAGCAGGAGCTTTGGGACGATTTTCTCCAGTCCGATGAGCTTGCTATTGAGCGCAAAACTGTCCTCGAGTGGCTCAAAGACACGGCCCAAGAGTCTGGAGAGGACATCAACGAGATGGTCAAGGAACTACATCAAAATGCTGAAAGAGGTGACATAATAGCACATGGATGGATACACACCAAGACTGCCATCAAACAGTCGAAGCGTAATCTCGGGGCTCATGGATGTCTGGACCCAGAGTCGAATGACGTAAAGAGACTACACTTGAATTCTTCAAAAACTGAGATTTTGGTTTCTCAGCTGGATCCCGATGCTATGGCGCGACAGGGTAGGAAATTACAGATAGAGGATCAATATTTCGAAAGAGCTATGTGGCTGGGCTGTTACGAGATGCTACGTCGTGGAACAAGCCCTGACGATATTCGAGAATGGTGTATGGATCGCACGCAAATCTGGCGAGCTGTCAGCATGGCAAGTCTTCCCAATGAACGCATGAAGAATACGGATGGCAACGGTGTCAATCACGATCCTGCTGACCCATCATCTTGGAGATTATGGAGGCGCATGTGCTTTGCTCTGGCTCGTCAAGGGGGAGCTGGTGATTATGAGCGTGCTGTTTATGGCATTCTCAGCGGTGATGTAGCCAGTGTCGAGCATGTCTGTCGTTCCTGGGACGATTTCCTATTTACTCACTACAGCGCTCTTTTACAAACTCAATTCGATAACCACCTCCAAACCCATTATTCACCAGCGGGACCGCCGATATCTATGTCAAACTTTGGTGTTTTCGATGCTGTGCAGTTTCATGGCGATCCAAAGACTGCTGCAGAAAGATTGATTGAAAAACTGGAGAGCGACGTACGGACCAAGGAAGAAGCACTGAAGCCGATGAAGATGATTCAAGGTGTCTTACTTGCAAACAAATTTCCAGCTTTCATATACCAGCAAGGGTCAGCGCTCTCAAAATTCGCAAATGCAGCCAACCCATCAAATTTGATACCAATGCAAAAGTACCATCCTGATAACATCGAAAAATACGTTAGAACGGAAGATCACGATAGCTTGAGAGTGCTCACTCATGTTCTGTTGGCATACAGGGGTCTTGGAGTTGACTTTGGCGGTGCAAGTACTCAGACTACGATAGACAACGTGATGGTCGCATATATCAGCTTCCTAAAACTGGCTGGCAAAGAGGAGCTTATACCACTCTACTGCTCTCAACTTAGCGGAAAACGAAGATATGCTACGCTTAGCAGAAGCCTCATCGATATCACGGATCATGAGCAGCGTGTCACACAGATCAAGCTCATGAGGGGCCTTGGGTTGGATGTGCAAACTTTTGTTACATCACAATCTCGATTCCTGAATGGCGATTATCCTGATAATCCAAAAGACTTTCCAGCTGCTGGTCAATTTAGGTTGCTAACGACTCTGCCAGGTTCGGAGGACCCAGTCCTTAAGGAGGACTTCTGTGGAATAGATGACAATACTGAAAGAACAGACATGCTCCTTATCAGAAGTCTTGAGTGGTATTTGCTTGTCGATGGTCTTTGGAGTGAAACATTCAACTTCGGCTCTAAATTATTTTGCCGATTTCTCAGTGAGTCGGTACCATTTGTGACTCAACCCAAGCTAACCCTCTTTCTTTTAGAAAATATGCAACTTCCCGCAGCTCGAATGCTTGTTTCCAGAGTTAGCTCCAATGCAATTGCGCTTAGCAAGACTCATGCCATCTTGGACGAAAGATTGGATTTTAACGGCCTGGAAGAGGAAGGCGAAGAAGATTTAACCGATGTTTTAGATGGTATATCTGACCAGAAAAGACTCTTGAAGAAATTTATGCTTGCGGAAGCAAAGAACTTCCGAGAACTGGAGGCTCTAGTTGAAGTCCTAGATAACATAGAGACCATCAGTGGCATCGAGAACATCATGCGAGAGTAAGCTTGACAAAATGTACTTCCGGTGGCTGCATTTTACTAAATTGTATTGATCTAGGCAAGACCCATCTCAGCATTCTGCCGGTTACAAAATGGAAAAGCAGGCTGTGGTAAAAACATTGATGTACATTCGCGGATTCGTTCCCACCCTGGCCAAGGGTTGGCTTCTTACAGTTTCCGAACGTAAGTTCCTCCGTTCATGAACTATATGGCCCATAACTGACTGTAGCAGCATCTTTGGAAGACCAATTCGTATTTATAAGAGAAACATATCTCCCCGAGACGATTATGGCCTTTATTCGCGTTCTGGAATTTTCGGGCCGTATTCTAACTCGGGACTTCCTGATGGAGTGTATGGATGTAGCAAGTGTTATCGCCGACGAAGACTCCGACTTGCTACCTCTTTTTGCGAGCACGGGTAAAATGCAAGACCTGGTAAAGGTTGTGACCTATGCCAGTAAGACTCTACTGCTTATGACCTCTTCAAGAGGCAGCGCAGCAACGAGAAGCCGAAAATTAAGAGCCAAGGGTTGGACGCAGCATCTCTGGAGTGTGAGACAACCTTCTAGCGAGGATGAGATATGAGGTATGGGGATGGATGCCGTGTATTTGTAGGAGTTTGGAGGACAAAAGGGAAAGTCGCAGAGACTGGTGTCTCATCTGCTATTTGGTGGTAATGTTTAGATGTGACAAAGGCAGAATAGAGTATGTGTACTCAAGTGTTCCTGAACTACTGTGTTGTAGATGCTGTGAGGCATGATTGGTCCGTATTTACTACCACTTCCAGAGATGCGCAGGACAGGGTTTCCAACAGGCCTCGCAGCAATCCTAGCTCAGCTGAGCCACCAAGAGACGAGACCGAGTCCTCAAGGTTATGGAGATGGATGCGATGCCTCTATTTATTCCTTAATAATTTTTCGCGGGGAGTATAATGGGAGGCAAAACCCGGGTATGGTAATTTTATATGCATATAAAAGATCGATTTATATTGCTAGCGGCGTATATATAGAATATAAATATATCTAGAGTGAATTGTGAGGCTGATGACAGAAAGGCGAGGGCAGCTGCCAGCCGACGGGCGCTAGTCTAAGCGCAATACAACACTGGCACTGGGAAACAACAGCTCTGCCCAGACCAGGCCACCCGATGGCATCTTCAACAATCCCAACTCTCCCCTCGTCGCCATTGAAGCTCTGGACGAGCGCGCGTCTTCCCTCATAACCTCTGCCCAATGCGCTGCTCAACCGATCGGCCTTTGCACAATTAGTCGTGTCGTGACCTTCCAGGCGCTTTGCCTGCGCCTGCCCCCCGGTTCTCACCGAGCACAAGCATCTGCAAGACGACCACCAAACGCGACAACCGATGATCAACAGACCCCGTGTCCATCAACTTCAGCTTCGCCTTCGAGAAAGGACACACTGGAGAGATGGCGCAACCATCTCGCCCAGCGTCAGGCCAGAATACGGATCGTCCAACCTCGGCAGCGCCTCCACGAAGCGCCCCTCCAGAAATTGAACAGTTCAATGCCTCACCAGCGATAAATGGCCCAATCAGCATTCTTGACCAGTCACCGCAATCGATTATCGAGGGAATTCTGGGCCCAAACAAAGATGGACGAGTAAGAAACCCCGTTCCGAGCAAACTGAAAGGCAAGACGGACCAGAAGCAAGGCAATTTTGGAGTCATGTCCATGGGCCAGAACACTGGAGCGAAGAAGAACGAGTCTGTAGGTAGAGATGCTGCCGCAGAACGGGATGCCGCTGCCAGGAGAACAAGTGAGAATACCGCGTCAAGGGCTAAGGCAGCTCAACAGGAGAAATATGTCGCGCCAAAGAAGAGAGGACTCGATGCCACTTTGAACGAGGCCACCCGGGGCACAAATCGCGGATCCCCTTTCGCCAGAGACGATAAACGACAAGCAAGGCCACTAGCCCCAGACGAGACCAAAATGGAACAGGCGCGACTTTTGACGCTGCTACGGAGTATCAATCCAATTACGGTTGTGGATCAGATATGTAAAGCAGTAGCCTATTTTGGTGGGATTCCGGGGGCACCTCCGCCAGAGGACGGCATCTTTCCAGAAAGCGCGAATACAAGAGAAACGGGTGCGTTGTTCATCGGATGGCTTGCCGAGATCTTTCCCGATCTATCGTCGAAGAGCCCCGATATCATGAAGATTGCAGATGGAGGAAAAAAGAAAAGTCGCACATCCAAAGGTCACCAAGCGACACTATCAAGTGGCGGTCCGGTAGTTTCGGCTGAGCAGCCAAATTCAATGAATGGATATGGTTATGGACCAGCGGTGTCTGCTCCCGCATGGGGATTACCTCAAAACTTGGCTGAAGTCAACCCACAGGCCCCTAGTGTTCCGGATACAAGTGCTCTCAAAAATGGTGGCACTGAGCATATCAAACAATCTGAGCAGCAGCAGGCTCCACTGACTCCTGCTCAGCCAATACCAGCCGAAGCTTCACATAGTAATGTATCCGCGAGTGCGTCTAAGAGAAGGGGACGAGGAAGGCCCAAGGGTTCTACCAATAAGAAATCAAAAGATGGCCAGCCTGAGGCCTCTGGTCAAGATCAAATGCAGGATGGGCAGCAGCAAACATCTGATTCTCATCAAACGGTTCAAGCCCAAGATCTGGCTGGCGCGGCAATAAATGTGTTGCAGTCTGGACAATCAGACCAGACGAATTATCACCCCGCAATCATTCCACAAGCGAAGCCAGCCCAAGTTCCCCAATACTCTGATCAATCATGGCAGAACAATACGCAAAAAAATCATAGTGGTCAGTCAACAGCCCCAGTGCAAGACGAATTAAGCCCGGAAGAGCGTGCCGTACTGGAAGCTTTCAGAGGGCAGGGAGTCGAGAGCACGATGGACATGGTTATCAACAATACTGCTCCAGTACCTTCTCCCATATTGCCTCCAAAAAAGACCCAAGCGGAGGGTGGAGTCAAACGAAAGCGTGCACCTGCAAAACCTAAGCCGGTTCAAACAGTTCCTGATAGCACTGCTTCATCGGGGTATCCTTCGCAGAACAGCCCACAGGTTCACAATCAACCACAACAGCAGATTCAGCAGACTCAACAGCAAATCCAAGAGCAGCCGCCACAACCGCATCAGCTGTATCAGCAAGCGCAACAACATGAGCAGCAAGTTCAGCAACAATATACGCCTCAAATTCAGCCGGCTGAGCAGATGCAACAAACCCAGATTACCCACAAAATGCCAAACTCTGCTTCACTGGCAGCCATCAGTAACAACGACATTACGAACATGGCGAAGGATGCAATTCAGTGGGCTTCAATTGAAACTCCTATCCCCCCTCCCGCAAAAAAGCAGCGTCAGCGAAAACCCAAAGTGCCGGCTACGAAACCGATTGAGCCTCCATCCCGAACTCAGTCTGCTTCAGTAGTGAGTGCTGTTACACCAACAATACCCCCAAGCACTATTCCGGATTCCCAGGCCACATCCTCTCTGTCCCAGGCCGCCTCATCTCAACAGAATGTACCCGCTTCTCGACCTCCTGCAGAAGGTTTAGAAGCTCATTACGAGATGTTTGCAAGTTTGACACAACAAAATGGTCGCAGCCACACTCCAACTATGCCTCAACAGCAGCAAAACCAGCAACAACACGTACGTCAGCAATCGAAACCTTCGATAGTTCCCCCACAGCAGGCAACGGCTATAATATCCCAAATGCAACACCAAAAGTCACAACAAGGAAACCAGCAGACTGTACAACGTAGCGAGCAGAAAACCTCTCAGGACAACGTATCGAGACCCTCTCCTGTGTCATACTATGGTCAGCGAAGTCAAAACCCTGCTTCTTACAACCAACAATATCCCTCTCATCAAGCATCTCAACTATATGGCAGCACTCAATCTGCTTCTCCTCGGCTAGGTAACAGCAATAGCTATAGAACCACCAGTTCACATACCTTGGCCCAGAGTGGGATGACTCAAAACTCCATGGCCCAGTCTCCTCAATTTTCACAAGCCGAGACATACAGAACTACAAGCCCCCATATAGCTCAGCCATCTCCTTCCTTTTCTCAACCCGAGTCCAACTATCGTACCACAAACCAAAACAGCCTTGCTCAAGCATCCCCGTCTTTCACACAAACTGAAAACCCATACAGGACCCCCAGTACACACTCTATGGCACGAACATCTTCCTATTCCTCTTCAAGATCACATGTCCAGGCGCCATCCACTCAACAATCTCAGAGCCAAAATCACTATGGTCAATTCTCAGATGCCCCATACATTGATTTACCAACTCTCGAGTCTCTTGGGCATAGTGGTAGTAGCAGTACTGCTACTCTAGGCTACGGACCAGCGGGGTTAAATGTTGGACTAGGTGGTACCAACGCAAACTCAACTTCGCACTCTCGATCTTCTGTGGGTAGCGCTAGCTTATACGGTACGAGCACCAACGGTCTCAGCGCCTTTGACCAAAGTGCCCAGGATCTGTTGCGTGTCTCAAGAGGGACAAATAGTTCTGGACATACAAATCCACATGCTCATTCTGGCTATGGTGGGACCAATAGCGGTATGAGTAACACATTCGATAACGACGACATGCGAGAGCGCCTGTTGAGAGGAATGACCCGGCGATGACTTTGAGTTGTTGCGAGGCATGATACCAATTCTGTATTTGCTTTTCGTTTCTTCTTGACACATTTTCTTTCTCTTGTGGTGTTCTCTTTCAGCAAGCGAGCAAGCGAAATCCTCTTTTGTGAAAGACTTCTTTTCTTTTCTTGAGTCCTGGGGCGCAATACCATGTTCTCGCTTTTAAATAAACTTTTGCATACCTGGTAATGAATTCAATCTTCGACCAGGTTAAGGGGTCATGGGCAATGGCGTTGGATAGTTCTGTTTGACAAGCGCTTTCTCATCTACCTTTCTCAGTTTCTTGTTGTTTATGGGTTTGCTTGTCCTTGATGTTTGGTATGGAATGGGTATTGGGTGATGGGAGAGGTGGATGGAAAATAGTACTTTATGTCAGGATTTGTGCGGGGTTATTTTGTAGTGGGATGGATGTTGGACGCACAGACGGAAGGAATCATTGGGCATTGCGTATTCTAGCTTTGATCTTGTGTGGATACAAATATAATGAACGGGTGGCGTGTATAATTTGTACCCTTATGTCTGTAGTGTGTTTTTTGATCGTACTGAACTGGTGTATATCAGTCACTTCTAGTTAGGTTTCGTATTGCTATTCTCGCTGTTCATCGGATTTATATAGCGGCAAGATTATAGCTAGGGATTAATGAACAAGTTACATCAATAATCTAGCACTACCTACCTACTTGCGACTCCGTAAACGGTAAACCACTCCTTGTGGATTTTGGGAGTGGACTCTGATCCTTTTTTTCTCTTTCGCTTTTCATTCGTAATTGTATTAGTCTTGATTGATTGTTCCTGATCGAGCGATATCCTCGTCCTGAGCAGTATTGTCCGAAGAAATAGCCCTAGCCCTAAATACAGTACTACCATGTGCAAGTGGTGTGGGGTAAAACTCATAGGTGAATCTCTAGAGACCTTGAGGCAGGATACTATCTAATTCACCTTAATCACTAGTAGTATTTCTACGAAATTCACTATATAATTGACTAAGATGCCCCCTGTTTCGAGAGCGAAATACCCTTGTTTTCTCGCTTATGATTTAGGGGTAAGATACATGTTAAGGGGTATCTTAGTTAGACGCCTATTTATTAAGGGGCTTCGCTGGTATTTAAATTAAACTAAGGGGGAGAGGTTTACCACGGATTGTTGATTATATGAGTACTTGGGATAGTTTAAGTTAATATATAACTGTCAACCTATGTGATTTGGAATAACGTAAAAGTAAGTTGATTTTTTGTGAATCCTAGTATGATAGATTCGTAAGGTGTGTTTGGATGAACATCAATTGATAGGTCTTTTACTTGGATGTTACTTATATGAAGCGGGGTTAGGTTAAGTAGGTGATTTGAGGGAATTGAATAGGGGAGAGGAGAGGAGAGGAAGTGCGAATACTCTGCTTAACTATTTGAATTTCTCGTGATGTGGCGTATTGAGCAACGAGCATAATGTAATCAATTGTTTCGTACTAGCATGAATCAGATAGTGAGAAAATAAGCGAGTTTCATAAGATACCCATAGAGCGCTTTTTCTTTTCCTGGCAAACCTCAGAATAGAATTCTTGCTCGCTTAATTAATCGAGGTGGGCGTTTTAGTGTTTCCTAGGCAGGAGTAATGCTTATCGAATTTCCTAATAAAGTACCTCGCTTAGCAGCTAGGTAGGTTAACGGTTTGCAAAATTTCTTTCGAGATTTTTTTAATGAATGTCCCCCACTCGCAGCGGACTTAAAGCTCTGCCGTCTTGTGTTAGGGCTCACCTCGATGTGAATCCTTTGACGCCGTCAAGAACCTGCTACATAGTGTTTTGCGGTGTAGATTCTTTGTTATTCAAGCCATTTACTGTGGTAACCAACGCAAGCCAATCTCATAGCTAACAGTCCGCCTGTCAGAATGGAATTATTTGGGGCTCTCAAGTGGAGTTTTGTGTTTATCCATCGCAGCTAGAATGAAAGAGCATGTTCTTGCAAGGAAATATCAGAAAGGAAAACAAAGACACCTGGAATATGAAAGAGCACGCCACCGCGTTCTCAAAGACCTTCTATAAATATCAACAAAGCTACAAAGAAAAGTTATGTCGATAATAGAGAACAAGACATTGCCGAGAACACAATGGTATTCTTGTTTATATATTGCGGTTGAACTTCCAAGAATCCCAACTTTATTATCATATCAAATCTACAAACTTTTACAAACCAATATACAGATACATACATTTCTAACCAACAAGAAAACAAAAGCAAACAAGTAAGTAAACTACTCCAAATAGCAATATGCAGTCTCCTTGGTCTATTCCTTCCGCAGGTTCTCCCCACGAATCTACAGACAGCACCAACGGGTCCGGGTCAACAACTTGGAGTTTTCGAAGGGGAGAAGATGACACCCTCGATGGAGCCAACAAGAAAACCGCCGAAGATTACGAAAAACTCCTGCAGAAATACCAGCAAGAAGAGCAGGCACGAAAGATCGCCCCACCACCTTCCAGCTCACGACCACGTCTAACATTCGGCGTCGAGATAGAGTTTTGTCTCGCCTACCTCGTACCGTCCGGAACGATCTACCGCAACGGAGGGCGCCCTCGGAATGGTTTACCACATACCACGAATCCCGACCCTGAGGACGGACGTATCGTCAAGGGAATAGCAACGACCGAGCCCGAAGCCGCTGTACTTGACCAGTTAGAAGGGCTTGAGAAATTCACGTATACCGAAACCCGCGCTATCCAACGACAGCGCGAAGCATTCCAGCATATCATCAAGGCTCTCGCAGAGTATGGGATCGCATGTCGCGATCGGTTTCCCAACAACAGAGCGGACCCCAACGCGGACCCCTTTGCGTGGACCTTGACGGGTGATGGATCGGTTGATAATCCTACTACGGACACAGCTGCAAACTACAATTTCTGTGATGTCGAGATTGCTAGTCCTCCTTTCTACAACCATCCAGACAGCCATGCAGAAGTACAAAGGGTTCTTGATATTCTGACTTATACATACAGAATCAACTGCGATACCAACGAAACATGCGGGCTGCACGTCCATGTATCTAGCGATTGGAACCCCAATCCCAACCTTGAACTCCCGGTAAAGCGATCCCCAGGTTTCCACCCGAGGAATCTGGCGAATCTGATGGCAACCCTCTGGGTCTTTGAATCTGTCTTGGAAATCATCCATCCAAAACATAGGAGAAAATACGCATCATGGAGCGCTTTTTGCGAGCCGCTTTGTGTTTCCAGCCAGCTTGCGATGGAGTATGACTCTGCTACAAACGAGGAGTGGAAGCGAGATGGACTCAGGGGGTTGCTGAGTCTGAGAGAGGAACAGGATTGTAAGGAGATTTGTAAGCTGTGTGAACCGCAAGCTGAGCGTCTAGCTTATAATACTGAGAACCTCCGACTACTTTACGAGACAACACAGGATAGGAATAAAAGGACGATTGAGTTCCGAGGTGCGCAGGCATCGGTACTTAGCGAAGAGGTTTATAATTGGGCCAAGGTATGTACGGGACTAGTTGAGTTTGCTGATACGGTCGATGAGAAGATACTAGATACGTTTCTTACGATTCACCTTGACGACGAGCCTGGAGACTTTAGTGTCTTTGAGTTGGTGTGTGCTATTGGCAGACCGGAACAAGCAGAGTACTACGACGAGAAGAGCCGGGAGCGAGATCAAGAGGGAGGGGATGAAGAAAGTACAACATCCTACGAACCTGAAGATTTCTGGAATTTGTCGGACGTCGATGAGGATGAGATCTAGTGAGAGTCAGAGTCCCGACTTTTCCGAGTTCCAAGACGCATGCTTCTCAGCTAGAATAGCGAGTATTTGGCGTTAGAAACCCGTCTACCGTAAGTAAAATACCGTAATATATAGATCCCTTATTCTTTCAAGCCATAACCAAAAACCAATTCCCCAGTAGTAATAATAGAAACGAGACATCCTAATTTTTCCGGCCAAAATCATAAGCACGTATCTGAAAATGACCCAACTATATCCCCCCTTGCCAAAGAAAAAGCAATGCACTTGACACAAACGAGGTCCCCGAAAGCAATGTCTTACAATAAACGACGTAGCATTGAAATATATGGCTGACGCAAGATGAACCAATGACACTAGTGAGCGCTAGTGTCGTAATGTACCCAACACTTTACCCAGAGGCCAAGACACATGGAAGTAGACACAGCCACATAATTACGTTGGCCTGGGACCTAAAATTTAGGATCGGCGAGTGATCAAAGAAGGGAGACGAGGACCCTGAACATATCGTTTCCCACCTAAAAATGCCTTACCGTACCTGTAATTTGTCCAGCAAAAGCAGTTGATGTTCAATGATGCCCAAACGTTCTCATGCCTTAATACTGTTTGGCCAACTATTCAAATTAACGTAGTACTCAAAATTCAGAAATGGACAAATGCAATGCGACATGGCACAACTGAGGACTGACCAAAAGGGGATTGTGTCACATGATTGATTGGAAGGAACAAAATTTCTCTGTTCTTCCTTTGTCCAAATGTATGTATGGAAGGCCGAGTAGGGGTCTGTTGGTGGATAAAAGATTCCGGCGTTTGCTGATATAATTTCGACATCCATCTGACTCCGATGGGGACTGTTGCAGTGTTACACTACGAAACCAGAGGCATGGGATCAGATGCATGCAGATGTACAATACCAGGCTAGAATGTAGGTGATGATAAGATTTCTGGGGTATCTTGGCCATACATGTCTTTGGAAGCTCCAAGGAGCCAGTTTTTCGTATTGGACATTGTTTCATTTGAGGTCAATTGTTGAGCAAGTGGCATTATGATTATGCAGAGTGTTGGAATACTGTAGTAATCATTCCATGATCACATAAGCGTATGAGGGAGTTATGAAGATCATCTCCCGTCGGCTTTCCCAAGGGGTGGGGTTGAGAAGGACGGTAGAACGCGCAACGCTCCCTGATAGTCACGTATTACCTTCCCAAAGATAGCTTAGGGTACTTCTTGGGAAAGATTTACGAGACAAGAAGAAGGGGGGAAGGAAGGTGTGGTTCGAAACCCGGCTATGTTGTGCAGCATTTCGACTAAGGTCGACAATCTCTACGCGCTTGCATCACACCCTCACCAAACGGCATCTTGAATCAGAATTGTGCTGTGCCCAGAGCCATACAGGGACGAGAGGGAGTACTGAGCCGCATCTCCACCGTTTCCGCTGCAATGTGATCACAGGGCCACTGCTCGAGGGGGATGGACATGCAAGTGCGGCTCTGTCCGCGTCAATGAGAAAGGCTAAGTAGTTGCTGGACCGTCTGGACGTAAGTGACTGATCGTGAAGTCGCTCAATTCGTGTGGATTGTAGCCAAGCGGTAGGTTCATGAAGGTGCCGCGGCTCTCATGCACGAGTCAAAATCTCACGTGGTGTTTTTGAGCGGAGTTGCAAAGACCTTTTACCGGCAACGAGATGCAGTGCAGTCAGTTCGGATGCTCGCTGATTTGAATTTTGGCGCCGAGGGCGCGGCATATTTTTCCTCATGAAGGAAATACCTAGGGATGTTGATCTGAGAGGAGTCAGAGGATGTTTCGTGCTTTCTTGATAAGAAATTGGGCAAGGGTGCGGGGAAACATCTGACGAGGATAAGAGGGCAGGAGGGGCAGAACCGTCGTAGTCGCAGGGGAAGGCTTCTTTCGACCTCCTCCTTGTCTGCCCGGTGCGGTCTCATACTGTAGCTCCTCTGAGTCCTCTCCCTTTCCCTTGTCGCTTACTGTAGCGTAGCGTACTCCACTGTAGAGCGACCGAGACGGTCCGTACAGTCGTAATACGGCTCGTGCTTCCCTTCCCTCCCGTACCGTCCGTGCCTGCGAGAGACATTTCTCCACTTTCCACTCCACCTCCACCTCCACCCCTCCAAGACATTATTTGGATGCTCAACATGGTCAACCTGGGCTATCAGCACATCAGTGGCACAAACGGAGCATTGGCAGCACATCACTACAACCTCTCGCCACCCACGCTGATGTAGCAGTTTGATTCTGCCTTCCATGATCCATCACGACAAGGCATCAACTCAATGGTACGAGCCTTCGGTATGGACCATGAGTGACTATTATGCTTTCCAGGCCCGTTCTCTGTGAGAGTGATAGTAATACTCCGTAAAAGGTAAAAGCCGTACGAGTACAGCGCAAGTGCTTCGATACCTGAGGAGAACCTGCAAGACTGACTTCCTGCATCGTCAAATTGACGAGAAGGCTAATCCAGACGGGCCTTGGCGGCACACACCTGATTCATCCGATCCCTTGCTCTTGCTGCCCACATGGCATGGTGATAACGGTCTTCTTCCATACACTCCGTGCAGTACTTATCGCTTTGGTTCCAGTTCAGATCCTCCTTCCATCGTACCATATTACCATCCGCATCTACACATCTAGACCAGGCTTTGGCGTGGCGCTCGCCCTCGAAACCATCGTCGTCATAGTATATTTTCCGTCCCAGCTTCACCAACTCCATCTCACCAATCACCAAACGCCTGCTTGCAAGTTCAGAACTAAGCCCCCCCATCCAACCAGGTTTCTCCGTCCATTGCTGTGGCCAATGAGGAGACTTCAGTTATGCACCCTCGTCAAAACTCCCCCCGACTGCCTGTTCAGCCCAGCAATGGTCATAGAATTTTGCCGATGATCTTGATATCTCCGAAGCATTCCACAGCGCCCCTCTTACTGAAGTACGTCTGTTGATCTGGGGTTATGCAGAAAACGTTTTCCCTTGTCATGATACTCGCTCGGTGCATTTGAGGGGCCTTAGAATCCGCTGCTACCTCTCAATTTGTCTTCCGCTCTAAGCTCGAAGCTGCGCTTGATGCCATATCTGATATCCTTGCTTTCGGTGCTAGCAGTGTACGTACGGGGATATTGCGATGCACTACGACAAGCCCCATAACTATAGATCATCAGTATTATTTCCAAGCGATCTCTCCTCCTATCCCAGCTCCCTCTCTCCACCCCCCGTACACACAATCCCTTTTCCCATCTCGACCGTACTTCCTATCATGTACCGGGTTTTAAGTGACTGAGTCACTGCTACTGATGCCAGAGGTATTGCTGGAATCCCAAATAGAACCAATTTGGATGCCCACAGATTCTTTCTCTGTTCGCTGCATTTTCCTGGCCAATCCCAGTCGTCTTTCCCATGGAACATGTGCCATTAGGTAGCCACCGAGTCGGCAAGATCCCCTCCTCCCCTTCTAAAGTACATCGCATCTGGCACAGGACCACAGCAGTTGCAGCAGCAGCCGCAGGATTCCTGGCCTCACGCTGACTCCTCAATATAATACCACGATCCCAAGACGCGAACTATAGTGCGGTGGCTGATCTTGAACGAAGGACGCTTTTGTCAGCACCATACGTCGCGAGCCGTCCCTTCCCTTCTGCCCCTTTTCCCTTTTCGGGTTCCGCGCCTCCGGATTCGATTCAGGCTAGGATTGACGTTGATGTTGAGTGATCTCTGAGCATCTCGGAAAGCTGCGAAGCTCACTCTCGGCGTGGAAGTGTTGACCCGTCGGCGATAGACCGATAAGAGCTCTCTGGTACCAGTACTGGTATCAGTACTGGCGAATTGTCTCCGTGCCAGAACAGAGGTACTTCGAGGGCCCGTACCAGTACCGTACCATACTCGATACCGTACGCTACGCTACCCTGCCCTACTTGGTACCCTACCCTAACGTGCTCCCTCCATTTATCCATCTGCGCTGCGTTCGCACAGACGCGTTTCGAGAGGATCTGATCTCGACCCAGGACGAGAGGGCAGAATTGCAGCATACACGGTACGAGCACACCACCACCACCACCGCAATCCCACCCTGCTAGAAGGCGCCTCCAGCGGCTGCCGTTGTTGCTTCGGGCAGTTTCCATCCTTTCCGTCAACCCTCCATCGTCAGCAGTCCAACCTCCTGTTTTTTTTTGACCCGCGACCGAGGTCGGGTTTTATCGAACATCCCCTGCTCGCTGGCCTGGTCCCACCAAGGTGCGCTGCGACTGCTGCAGATTTTCGATTCCAGAAGACGGTGCTTTGCGGGTGCTGTGCAGGTGGCAGCTGTGGGAAGCCTTGAGCCTATCCTGAACGAATCTTGTGTGCTGCTCCGTCGACGGTTGAGGGTTGTTGTCGCCGCTGCTGGTGCTGCTGGTCTCGCCAATCGCAAAATCTGCTGGTCGCCGGCCGGGATCGTACGTATCGCATCGCATCCATCGTCAAAGTTGGACCCGCCAACCGGCCAACGACAGGCTCGAGGTACCTAGGGCTAGGCTCAGTACTGGTACTGGTACTCGAGTATCGCTGGAGCTGGAGCTGGAGCTGGAGCTTGAGCCCATCGTTCACATCCCCACACCCATCACCCATCCCCATCACCGCCATCCCAACCGGCCGAACAACAAGCTTCCCTCAGATCTGCTGAGGACGCTGAGTGGCAGGTGCTCGCCGTGGCATTTCTTTGGACAGTCGCAGCTCCACTCGCTGATTTGCGCATCCCCTGCTCCCCACGCCGACTTGCCCTTCTGGGCGACTCGTGAGTCGTCTCGCTTGAAGGCTCCTTTATCGACGCTCCACATCCGCACATCCACATCCACATTTACATCCACACCAGGCCACCCCATCTCCACCCCCTCGGCCTGGCTGCACATCAGACTTGCCTACACCTACAGCTTACAGCCTCTTACAGACCTCACAGAAGACCCCCCCTCCCC